CACCTCTTATATTCCGCATTATAGTATTTATCTAGTTCGAAACATTACTAGCCTTATCCTTATTACCGGTAACTAGCTATACTTTATCCTCTTGTTCCTTACCCTTCTTATAATATAGGCCTATCCGGTATACTAACGGCTTATCTCTAAGTAGCGGCTTAGAGCGTAATATTAACACTATGCGTTCGCTTAGCGCTGCTACTAGCGACACTCGTAGCCGGTTTAATAGACTAGCTACCGCCGCTATAGCAAYAATAAYMGGCTCTTTRCCSTTRCCCTTCTTCCGCTTCTTCGTTAGAGCGGCGATAGCTACATTAACTAACTTCTAAGTAGCGTACGCCGTATTAGCTTCCTTAGCTAACCGGCGCTAGCGTTCCTTCTACTTCTTAATCTTCCTCTTTTTATACCGTTATTTAAGGAACTCTACGTATTCTRCTTCCTTACGCTCTTCCGTAATCCTCGCTTCTTCTACTACCCTCTCTTCCTTATTACGCGCTCGAAGCTCTACTAACTCCTCCTTAGTATAGCGATAATAGACGGATTCTAGTTCTACCGTACCTCCGCGCTTAATTAAGGGCACTAGAGTTACGAATAATAACTGCTAAGAGCGCTTAGAACCCTCCGTAATATTACTTAGCCTTACTATTATTTCTACAGCTAATACGGCTTTATCTAGTTCCTTATCCTATATTACGTCTAGCGGCTCCGGTTCCTTTTTAAACTCTATTAACTTCCGCCTCTTTAGCTTTATCGCGTTAATTATAGCCTGCGCTTTAGGCCTACGCGATATAGAGCGCTATAACCTCCGTAATACCGGCTAAGTAGAAGGGGGAGGCATATAGCGTAGTAATAATAGTTATAGCGTGTCCGGTAGTAAGAAAGGGCGTAGAGGGCGCTCTTTACGCGGTAGCGAGGATAGTAGCGAAGAAGGGTAACGCGACGAAATATTAATAGCCTCTTAGCTCTAATCTAGCGGCGTAGGCATAGCGAACGACGAATAACACCTTTTAAGAAGCCTTAGTAGCGATACGGACAGGTATATTAGCCTAATTAAGACAGTTGGGGGTAGTAGAGGGCGGTGCAGTACTAATATTAGTAGTAGGGCTCTCCAGCTTCCCCGCGGGAAAGGATCCGAGTGGTAAGGGTGTTAGTGCTGGCGTTCTAAGGCTGGCATCGGGCTCCGGACTCCGGGCCGACGGTTCAAAACTGGTGGGATTACATCTCCGTCGGCATCTCATCACCCACCAATGACCATCCCTCTTTTCTTCATGACCTCTTCGTCTGAATGTACTGTACATCGCATTCCCGCAGACACTGATGGCAGCCTCCGCATATCACAAGGATAGTGTGATACTGACCTCTCCTTTCACGCCCAGAGTCGGATGCCGCCTTATACCATCCATCGGCAGCGGCAAGCCAACCGACAATATCGGGCCCGGACGAAGTAACGTTCGTTACTGAATCGGCATGGAAGAAGTTGTCCGAGTCTGAAAGCGCATGTCGTCTCGTGTGTGTGTGGGATGCAGACTCGACGGTTTGTCTAGGCGACCGTCGGAGGATGGGTGAAACAGCAACCCCAAACACAAGTCGTGTCAGTGTCAACACGCCCTCCAACCCAAAACATCACCTGCACGCCACACACGCGTCGCGCGCTCATTCTTTATCCTTTTTATCCTTTTTGGCACGAGTTGTGAACGTCTACTCCATCATCCCATGGCAGGCATTCCTGGTTATGACCCCGGATGCTTCCACTGAGAAGACTCCAGTGGTTTGTTTGATCTTTCCCACGCTCTGCGGAACGACTCTCCGTATCCTAGATCCCAACACACCTTCGAGCTTCGACCATGTATACCATATCGCCTTCGCAGTCAGTTCACTGTGAAACGGTCCCTTCTTTGCTGCTGTACAGCGCAACGGATGTGGCCGTGTGCCAGAATCCCATAATGTGACATCCCCCCAACGGCTATGAGTCTGCAATGGAAGTATTCAACGCTTCATGAGTCGGACCTTGGGGTCTCTGACTTGTGGTCGAACAAGTATCGATATAACATGCTCACAGAAGAGCTCATCCATTCCCTCTCCACCATCATTCTTTGTTTCTATCCTACCATTTCAAGTCGCAATCATGGTCAACAACGCCATCTACAATAATCCTCCCTATGTATGATCAGCAAGCAACTCTGTCAAGAAGCGATCAGATAGCTAACACGACCTCTCAGGCCAATGGCCGCTTGGCAGACATCCACATCACCGAAGATGGCAGCGACGTGAGCATCGACTCTCTATTCAATCTAATTCTCGCCATTCTAACACCATGCGCAGTACTACTACGCATACTGTGCCTTTTCTGGCTTCATGGCCATCTTAATCCTCGGCCTAGCCCGTCGTAAGAGACGCACTGATAGAATCTTCTACTATCTGTGCGCCACAATTAGTTGGTCGGCCCATATTCCATCATTACCACATCCCTAACCCCCGCAGATATTATGATGTGTCTCTCTTACTACGCCATGGGATCCAATCTCGGAATGACGCCCATTGACGTCGAATTCCACCGAACCTGGCCTCGTGTACGTGGTGATGCACGAGAGATCTTCTGGGTGCGATATGTGCAGTGGTCAGTGGGCAATCTTGAACTCTGCAAACGAGAAGAAATACTAATGAAGATGCATAGGTTCATCAACACCCCCTTGATTCTGAGCATCCTCCTTCTGCCCACCTCTCTGCCTGCGCCAAAGTTCCTCTTCACGCTCTTCCTCAACCAGACAATGATCATCATGGGCTTGGTCGGAGCCGTGACTTCTACCAAGTACAAGTGGGGTTCGTAGTTCTCCTCCCTTTGATCTGCTTCTCTTGCTGACAAGATCAATCCCAGGTTTCTTCGGTTTCGGCTGTGCCGCCCTGTTCTACGTCCTCTTCACCCTCCTCTTCTCAGCCCGCAAGCACGCCCGTCGCCACGGCAAAGAAGTCACCCGAATCTACATGATCGGAATCATCTACCAATTCATCCTCTGGATCTGCTACCCAATCTGTTGGGGAGTTTCCGACGGTGGCAACGTCATTGCCCCAGACTCCGAAGCCGTTTACTACGGAATTCTGGATATCCTAGCTGTGCCATTCTTCTCGATTATGGTTTTGATTTTGACCAGGAAACTCGATTTGGCGGCTTTGGGATTGAGATCGCACGATTACGATGATGAGATTGGTGAGATTGTGGTTGGACATGAGAAGAAGCGCGGTGCTACGGGACCGATGTTGGGACCTATTAGGAGGAGCTCTTCGTCTATTGCACGGGGAGGACCGGAGGTTTTGGACCATCCACAACATACTCATGGGAACAACACGACTGGAGGATTGGATGTGGGGAATAACACGGGCAATGCGACGGCTGTTTAGAGAGTTGTGTTTTGTCGGTGAGCATGTGGGGTTGGGATGACAACGAGTAGACTTTAGAATCTTGTATGAATCGGCAAAATCAATGCAGATGACTTGGGAGAAATCGCATGAATCCCAATAATTCAGTCCCGGAAATGACCTTCAAAGTGAAAATCTCAACTCCAACCAGTCACGTACACCCAACTCCCCTACCTACTCGCTAAACGTTCCTCGCCACCCCCTCCCTCGCGATCACCTTCCCTCCCCACAACCCCAACCCCTTCATCCCCCACTTCCCCCCTAACCTCCCCACCCCTAAACCCCAACCAAAACCCCAAAGCAGAAATACCCATAACCCCCGCCAACGAAGCATAATACCCCACAAGTTTCGGATCTTTCGCCAAAGGACTAATCGCCAAACCCATTAAACTTCCCAATGAAGCGGCCAATTGAGAGAGAGCTTGTACGATAGCTTTGCCTTCTTTTGGGGAGCGGGTGAATGCTATTTCGGAAATTGTTACGAAGGATAGGATTTCTGATAGGGCCTACGGGAGAAGAAAGAAGATATATTCGTTAGTGATGGTATAAGGGGGGGATATGGGAGGAGGGAGGGAGGGAGGGGGGATTGGACGTACCGCGATGAAATACATAGGAATCTGTAACCAGACACTAATCTCATTAGGGACTCCTACTCCTACTCCACCACCCCCTAGACATTTCAATGGGGCGGTATAGCATGGAGGAGCCATGTAGATGAGATGTTGAATTCCAGAACTATAACCTAGTGTTACGCCGCAGAGGATGAAAGCTAGAGTTATGAGGAGTGTGGAGGTGGGGATTATTCCTTGGCGCGCTAGGAGTGCGTAGAGGGTTTGGATTAGGGGTGCTAAGACCACGCATGCTATGCCGCCGATTGCTTGGATCATGTCGTTTGGTACACCGGAGAGCTGCGGAGGGCGTGTAAGTGAACGTGCAGATTGAAATGAGGGGGGACTTGCTTCCATTTGACCGGCTTGGGAGATGAAGTTGTTGGTCATTTGATTTACGCAGAGGTAGAAGATTGTGAGGGATAGTCTGTGAGGAGCTGTCAGCCAAGAATTGATATGCTGATGGGGAATAAGGACTACTGTACAATATTCGACAGGTTGAGAGAGTCATCTTGACTTCATCAACGAATTCGTCACTCCATGCAGCGGCGTGACCGTATTTTGATACTTGGTAGTCGGCTTTGGTGTTGTCCATTTTGAAACCATTCTTGGCGGCGCAAATCATGGCTTTGAGGGATGGCAGGAGGATGTTATCGCCGACGGGTAGGGGTTTTACTATCCTGCTGGTCAGCGAACTCTGTACTTTTGAGCTATGCGGGCGTTGTTTTCATACCAAGTTTGGGGGAACAAAGAAGGAGAAATAAAACGGATGTGCCCATGGCTATCATSGCCAAAAGATTCGACGCCCAGAAACCATGGATTCTCTCGAGAAATGTCGCGGGGATAGATGATAGAGAGGCGACGTTGGTGGCCCTGAGACGTACGTATCAGTTGAAGAATGAATGCATGGAGGGATTGAGGTGACGCACCAATAGGAGATGTTGTATATGAGTTGGAGTGTAAGGCCATAGTCCAAGACTACCTTCTTGCCTTTCTTTTCCACGACGGATGGTCCGGTTTGGGTATATTGATCACCTGGTAGAAGATCAGCATTGTGATATTTGCGATGGTCCTCGGCTGTATACATACCGAGTAAAGGCCAGATGGAAGTTTTGATACCGCCTTGTCCAATTCCAATGAGGATCATGGAGACACCAAGTCCTGGTACACCTGCTCCTTGATCGAGTGCAGCTGGTAGTGAGGTGGTGAATTGAATGATGCATCCTGCGAATGAACAGATTGTGCTGATCAGGAGGGTTTTGTATCTCCCCCATTTACAATCGGAGATGATTGCCCACGGTCTGATCTCATGTCAGGATGTTTTCGAGCAATACGTTTCCCACACCATTGTCATGGAACGTCCATCATTCGATCCACTTACAAAGGCGTCAACGAAGTGAATACCAAGTAAGCATTACTGATACTCGTAGCAGTTGCTTGTCCAAGTCCAAGCGCACCTGGAACGGAGACTGAATCACGCGGGTGCTGGATATAATTCTCTGCCTTGCGATATGAGTATCATGTGTTGATATCAGGTGATATGCATTGTCTTACGCCAGGGAACGCTACTAAATGTCAAAAACAAAACATGTAAATGTGGACGAAAATGCTTCTTCACTCACGATACGGAGTAGTATGCGAATCTTTCGAATCCACCTATGAAGATGAGTAGTAGAAGCGGCACTGAGAGCCGATCTGCAACACGAGGAAGAGTACTGATGTCCGCTTCTTTCTCGGATGGAGTGTTCTTCTCGGATGGAATGTTCTTCTCGGGAGCATCCTGATGGCTCGCATGGCTGCTCAGTCTATCCGCAGGACTTCAAGGAAATGGTCAGAATACGCATGGGTGATTTGAAAAAAAAACTGAACTTACAGCGTGATGTCTTTTTCGCTCTCCATAACAAAGCGAAGGAATTTTGGGGACTCGGTATACAGTATCTATCCCTGTAGCCTGCGTTCAATCGCCCTTGCAAGTCGTTGATTCTAGCTTATAGGCCGGACGCTGCTAGGTGCCACAGGTTCCTTGTTCAGCAGAAAATTGCTTCACCAGCGTTGAAAAGAAAGGATTTCCCAACTTGCCGGGTTGCCTTGCTCTCTACCGAAGACCGGCAGCTGTACAGTAGTAGATAGATACTACAGCACCTTCGTGCATCGGAGTGGTAAAACGCTAGAAGACGGCAGCTAATAAACCAGGTTGACACTGCTCCCGAGGATTGCTATTGGCGACATACCCTGTTCGAGGCTGCTGGGATTATAGCGGTTTACCACTCCGATGCACGAAGGTGCTGTAGACGGGAGACTGGTCTGATGGCATCTCTTCGGACATTATTGTACGCGTAGAAGCCTTGATTATTGCCTATCGCCATGTTACGCGTAAGATCAGCGTAAGGTACCATCGGGGTTCGCAAGCATGTCCTATAATGGAAGTATTCGCGAATCCTTCCGAGGTGGCTTCATGTCTCCATATTTAGCGATGAGATCAGTAGTGCGAGGTGGACATTAGCCAAATGCTACGTCGTGTAGATGTTTGGTGATGATAAGATTAGAGAAGATGGCAATGACGGAGATTCAGTTTCGGTTCGGCATGATCCCTGCCCCTGAAAAGGACGCTAAGCATCGCGTGGGATTAAAGTTTGCATCCGACCTCACCAACGGCATCTGCAATTTGCATCCATGGATCCTTCCCAGAAGAGAATCACCAACAACCATCCCTCGCGTCAGCTCGGCAAGCAATCATGTGCGCTCGTATGTCTGCAGTAGCGTCCGTTGGTTCAGCTCCGCACCGCTGAGGGGTTCAAACATTGCAGGCCGTTCCGCCGTGACGAAAATATCCAACGGCGCGAGACTGGCTTCCCGATCCGGTTTCGCGAAATGCACAATTGAATACCGCGCTGGGATCATGTCGCCTGTCACTGACTGTACCATTTGAGGCTGGACCACTCGGTGATAGGCTGCTGGGAGGACACCATTGCTCCATCGCTCCATGGCGTCGCCAAGATTCACCAAAAGTGTTGGATGTGGCGCTTGCACGGGAATGAAGTTCTTCGACACCGGATCTTCAATTTCAAGTCCGCCGACAGTATCTTGCCCTGTGTTTGGTTAGAATGACAACACAATCACATTGCTCCGCTACTCACATAGAAGTGTGATCGACCCCGAATCAGTATGCTCGGAGATCCTTCCAGTGCCTTTGTCATGGCCGAACTCGCCAGCAGCTATTTCGGGATAATGGGCAAGCCGTGCTTCGCTAGCTGTCGGAGGGCTGTGCTGTTTGAAAAAGTCCCCAGGAATGCCGAGCGCTTCTGCTACTGCCTGCAGTATTTCGAGATGTAAAACATGGGATTGTGTGTAGTGCTCCTCCAAGACGGTACGGAACCCTGGTAACAGTTCGTCATCCGGCCAGATGTTTGGATATGTCATGTCTCCTCGATCGCCCCAGTCCCAGGTTTCTTTGACGTCCTTGRGACGACGACCTTGTCGAGCGGCCAGCTCACGCTCGCGGCTCAGACTCGATGTTAATTCCTGACCAACATAGCTGTATCCCCGATGAGGATTCGGAATAGGAGGATGTGGAGCGGTCATCTTGTCCTCGTGTTTGAGCGCAAAGAATTGCTTGCTCTGCATGAATCGTTAACACATTTGTCGATTCGAGTGTCAAGGGCCGTACCAAGTCAAACAATTCCTGGATCTTGGCTTCTGAAATCCCATAGTTCTCCAACTGCACAAATCCCCATCTCTGGAAAGAGTCTACGAGCTGTCTGCATAGGTTCTTGCGCTCCAGAGCGTTTCCATTGGTATATAGTGAGAAGTCCAATGTCGGGATTGGACTGACGTTGGAAATGGACATTTTGTTAATCAAACAGCAGAACCAACGTCCACAACGGTAGATGGGTTGGTTCGCTCTGCTAACATATCTCTAGCCTGGTCGACCGAAGTTGCAAAACGAAGATCAAACTAGCGAATTTCGCCTCCTCCTCCCTAAACAGGACAAGTTCGACCTGGCGATGAAACTAGGCTTTAGGCGTACAGCATGCCGGCCACGGGCTAATTCTTCTCACTCCAAGCCCGAAGTTACTGTAGTGAGGATTTCGATAACGCCGACGGCGGTCGCGATCCTACGGCACCTTTGTGCGTCGGAGTGATGCCACACACCATGCCCTAACTCCGCCTTACCGTACACATCGTGGGGACTCCTCGCATATCCTCAAGTACACCAATAAGTGGTCGTGGGTTGAGATTGCCAACCTGGCCCTTGTTGGTCTAATTTTACCCTCTGCGTGAAGGTGCTGTGCATGTCATTTGTTTCGCCTCTGATCTGAGAAGTGCCTCCCAACACCATTAATTGCGAGGAGCAGCACTAATTGGAGCGCAGTCTAACTTGAACGCAGTTTAACTTTAACGAAAAGTTGTCAGTCACAGTTATTCGAATAAACGGATCAATCAACACATCGGCCCTCTCGCATCATGCCTGACACTGAACAAGAGACCAGAATTCGGGAATGGAATCAATCAGTGCCCGAATCCATCAACGGTTGCGTACACGAACTCATATCAAGTATTGCACATCGACAGCCGGATGCATACGCTATCAACGCGTGGGATGGCGATTTTACATACTCCCAGCTTGACACGCTGTCAAATACCCTTGCATGTCGCCTCGTTCAGCTCGGCGTAACACTACGATCAAACGTTCCGCTGTACTTTGAGAAAAGCAAATGGACTCCTATCGCACAGCTTGCTATCATCAAAACTGGCTCAGCTGCAATAGCCCTCGATGCCAGCCATCCTCTCGAAAGGCTCCGGACTATTGTGAATCAAACCAAACCGAAGATCATCATTTCATCAAAAAAGAATGCAGAGCGTGCAGCGCTTCTCAGCAACGCAGATGTACTGATATTAGACGACGACTTACTCGCCACTGGACCAACATCTGGCAGTCTCCCGAGCGTATCCCCATCCGATATCGTTTACATCTCGTTCACATCCGGAGTAAGTCTAAAACCAGAAAATGAGTGATCTCAAAGCATCTACTAACAGTCCGCCTAACAGACAACTGGCGTACCAAAGGGCGCACAAATAAGCCACTCCAACGTCAGAAGTTCCGTCCACCACCAAGGCAAGCTTCTGGGGTTCAAGAAAGATTCTCGTGTGCTGGACTTTGCGCCATACAGCTTCGATGTGTCCTGGAGTAACTTTTTCCACACGCTATGCGCTGGTGGATGTCTCTGCATCCAAGGTGAGCAGGACATGTTAGAGGACCTTTTCTCTGCCATCGATACTACAAAGACATCATTGATCAATGTCACACCGACGGTCTTACGGACGCTTCTGGCTATTCCGCCTTCACTTAAGACTGTACTTATGAGCGGAGAGATTCCTTATCGGGAGAATATTGCGCGTTTTGCGGGTCAGGTTCGATTGCTGAATACGTAAGTACTCGTGGCGCGGCCAAATTTCGTAATGTCAACATTCACAAGTCCATGGCGGCCAAGAGAGGGTTTATACCAAGGCAGGAGGATACTTTATCCACTTATGATGCTGTCTTCATAATACGACTATCATAATAGCATGAATGGTGGTATAGAGTGGATCTTGCCATGGTGGAGGTGCCCATTTGATTGCATCTGATAACAGCCGATCGTCATCTCAACAGCACTGTCGAATCGAGTAGAATATCGTGCATAGGCTGATCCATTGCGGCCAGGTACGGACCAACCGAAACTACATTCAAGTGCGCCTTTAGCGTCCTGGATTCAACGGCGCAAGATCGTCCCGATGTTGGCAGAGGAGTCGGATTTTGTACTTGGATAGTTGATCCAAATGACGACTCCAAATTGATGGCCATCGGTGAAACCGGAGAGCTACTCCTGGAATCGCCCATGGTGGGTCAAGGCTATCTGGGAGATCCAGCGAAGACTACGGCAGCGTTCATTGACAACCCTGCTTGGTTAGGTCGTAGCGGAAGGCTGTACAAGACTGGAGACCTTTTCAAATACAAGCCGGATGGAAAGTTACTGTTTGTTGGACGAAAAGATGACGACAATCAGCGCAAGATCCGTGGCCAGCGTGTTGAGCTTGGAGATGTGCAGCATCACTGTTCGTTGATTCTTGGCGAGCAGCTGCCAGTTCTTGTGGATGTTGTTAAACCCAAGGGAGCCTCAGACCATACTTTGACTCTATTTGTGCGGGTTTCTGAAGGCGAGCGTGACCGCATCAAGCCACTGTTGGATGCAATGCGCCAAAAGTTACCAGACGTTTTGCCAGGCTTCATGATCCCCCAGCTGATGATTCCCATAAACGAGATCCCCAAAGCTTCTACTGGAAAGACTGATAGACGGAAACTGAGAGATATGGCTGCATCCATGTCTTTTGAAGAGCTGCTCGAGCAGCAGTACACAATCTTGCCACGGTCTGCTCGCCATCAACCTGCAACAGAGATCGAGGAAAAGTTGCTACAGATTTGGGCAACTGTTCTGGGAACCAGTGCTCTGAATATCAGCACGACTGATAGCTTCCTCGGCCTTGGAGGCGACTCAATATCTGCCATGCGAATGGTTGCTGCAGCAAGACGGGAGAATCTCGCCATCACCTTCGCAAACGCCTTCCGGACTGGATCTTTATCGCAACTGGCAGAAACCGCCCATATAACGTGCAACTCCACCGGAGACGAGTCTCTCATTGCGCCATTCTCCCTGTTGAGCGGATCAGCCACCGAGGATGAAGTCCGCACGGAAGCGGCGAGACTATGCGGCATCGAGTTTACGCATGTGGAGGACGTCTTTCCATGCACGCCAATTCAGGAAGGGATTCTAGCTTCGACAATTCATGATGCGAGCGGTTATGTGCTGAAGACGGCATACACTCTACCAGAGTCAGTCGATCTGGAAAGATTCCGACAAGCTTGGGAGACGGTGTTGAATCGCCAGCCCGTACTTCGCACAAGGATAATATCTCTGGTCGGCGAGGGTCTAGTGCAAGTCGTGGTCAACTCAAGCCTCTCGCAAATTGGATCAGCAGTTTGTGAGAACCCCATTGGGCTGGGAACTCCGCTCTGCCGAATTGACACTTCTAACCTGGAAGGGAAAAGAATATTCGTCCTGGAATTGCATCATTCCATTTTCGATGGATGGAGTCGTCCGCTCATTCTTGATGCCGTCGATGCGGTTTATCGTTCCGACACTCCAATTGTACCGTCAGTTCCATACCAGAGATTTGTTCGCCATGTGCTTGCCGCAAGATCAGAACAATCTGCAGACTTCTGGCGAAAGCAACTGAGTGGTGTGGATGCTACGATGTTCCCGCCAAAAGCTTCTCCGGGAACGAAGATGGATTTGGAGCATGCAATCTCCGATATGGCCTGGCCCAAGAGCACCACTACCCCTTCCACAATCATAAGAGGCGCCTTGGCGATCTTGATAGCATCATACACGAATTCAGACGATGTTCTCTATGGCGCCACGACTAGTGGTAGGCAGGTCGCATTGCCAGGCATTGAAAATATGCTTGGTATTACGGCAGCTACCAACCCGGTAAGGGTGAAGATTAATTGGGACTGTATATTGCTTGAGTTGCTGGAGCAAATGCAGACTCAGATGGTTGAAATTGGCGAGCATGAGCAGTACGGGTTGCAGCACATACACCGAGCTGTTGGAAGCGAAGAAGCGAGCCAGTTTCAGCTTTTGCTCGTCGTACAGCCGCGGCAACAGGTAGAGGAAGGGCAGAGCGGATTGTTTCGATCCCCCCGAACACTTTCAGTGCATGGAGATGAAAGCACTGCACAAGGTGTCTTCAATTCTTACGCTATGATGATACAATGCTTTTACGACGAAAGTGGAGTTTCTCTGGACATCAACTTCGACTCGGCTTGTATCACCGAGACACAGTGTACAAGATTCACTCAACAGCTCGAGCATCTTCTGCGGCAGATGTGCTCTGGAATGTGCAATCAGAAAAGAATAAGAGATTTGACACTGGTCGGCCCGCATGATATGCAGCAGATTCTCAGCTGGAATAGTGCGCCAACGAAACTCGCGTCAAGAACCATCATGAGCACTCTCATTGAGAATGCCTCAAAAGACCCAGATAGAGTTGCAATCTCTGGATCGATCGAAGTAACATACAAAGAGCTGACAACTCTTGCAGCAGCATTCGCAAGAAGCCTGCTTCGTCTAGGTGTGACGGCTGGCGAGATTGTTCCCATTTGCTTGGATAAGTCCGCCTATTTCCCAGTGGCCATGTTGGGAATTATGCAGGCCGGTGTTGTGGCGCTGCCCATGGCCTCATCGACGTCCTCTGAGCGTGCCGGTACCATCGTCACCTCCCTGAAGCCAAGGATTGCCATCACGAATCTCGCTTTGTTTGATGGTTTGCTTGAGACTGTCTCTATTGCGACACTACAAGAGGCCTCTGAAGTGGTGCATGATGATCAGATCCAATTACCAGAGATAGAGCTTTCGGCGCCTGCTCTGTGTTTATTCACTTCTGGAAGCACTGGGAAGCCGAAAGGCATACGATGGAGTCACTTGACCTTGTCCAGCAACGCATACGCCGCAGCCGAATCATTCGGTCTAAGATCGCAAAGCAAGATCTTTCAATTTGCTGCGTACGGTATGTTATTGCATGAGGCGATCCTGTCCAGTGCTCGCTAATTATATCCTTCTGGGCCAGATTTCGATGTAGCTCACGTCGAGACTTTCGCCGCTTTGTCGATTGGAGCGTGTCTTTACATCCCTACTGAATTCGACAGAATCAATCACCTCACTAATGCGATCAATGAGTCGGGAGCCAACTGGCTGTGTCTTACTCCCTCTGTCTCCGRGCTACTTGATCCTGTTCCGAACATCCGCACGTTGGTATTTGCCGGAGAGAAGCTTACGACTGAGACATCAGCGAAATGGATCGATCGCGTCGACTCGCTCTTCAATTGGTACGGACCCGCAGAGGCATCAGTTGCGACTTTCACTTGTGTCAAAGGTGCAACTCCCGCAGGTATTGGCCGCAGCTCAAACTATGGCCGTGCTTGGCTTGTTGATCCACGGAATCCAGGCTTGCTCGCACCAATTGGTAGTGTTGGGGAGATTTGTGTTGAAGGCGGTGTCCTATCCGATGGATACATTGGAGAGGATGCGGATCAGAGCGCCTTTATCCAGTCCGAGCTCATCCCCGGCGAGGTCACTAAGCTTTATCGCACTGGAGACTATGGAATGTACGATGWGGCTGGCAATATTATCTTCCGAGGCCGCAAAGAAGATTCGCTACAGAAGTTGAGAGGACAGCGGATCCGTATTGATGAAGTGGAAGCACAAGCACAATCGATTGTCAATGATATTTTCGAGGCTCGAGTGGTGGTCGACATCATCACACCACTCAACAGCGACTCCGCGATGCTTGTTCTTTTCGTCGGTCCAGCGAGCTCCTCGTCAGAAGCAGACATCTTCGAAATCTTGAAGACTGCATTCCCAGCAGAACGGCTTGAGGAGTGTCTTTCGACAACATTGCCATCATATCAGATTCCTAGGCTCTACTATCCACTCGTGGACATCCCCATCGGACCAACGGGAAAGACTGATAGGAGGAAACTCCGTAAGCTTGGGAGTTCCTCAACACTTGGGGAATTGCTGAAAATGCAACCCAATCGAACCGAAGCCAGAGCTCCTTCAACGGCGGCCGAGCGATGGCTGCAGCATCTATGGTCGATCGTGATTGGCATCGACCAAGAAGCGATCTCTGCAAATGATCACTTCTTCCGTCTTGGCGGAGATTCGATTTCTGCCATTCGCCTTGTTTCAATGGCGAGGGACCACGGTCTACGTCTTAAACTCACTGCTGCCATGATTTTTCAGTTTCCAAAGCTGTGCGATCTGGCAATGGCTGCCCAGCCGGGATCTGAAGCGATTGACACCGACGTGTCTCCTTTCTCTCTTCTTCCGAAAGACACGTGCGCTACTGATGCCCGTGAATATGCCGCTGGGGCTTGTCAAGTTCTACCCTCCCAAATTATCGACATATACCCCACATCTTCACTCCAGGCGGGTCTTCTTTCCATGACTGCCAAGAACGCCGGCCAGTATATATCACGCAGCATTCTGGAACTTCAGACCAATATAGACCCCGATCGTTTAAAGGCTGCATGGCTAGCTACAGTTGATAGGCTGCCAATCCTACGGACAAGGATCATAGACTATGCTGGTGACTTGGTGCAGGTCGTGCTCACGACTCTGCCCATGTACGATGCGGACGATGTTCAGGAATACCTGCTTCTCGATGAGAGCAGATCGATGGGCCTAGGAACCGAGCTATGTCGCGCTGCTGTCGTGGGGCAACAGTACTTTGTGCTCACCATACACCATTGTTTATACGACGGAAGCTCTCTGCCCATGATTCTCGACACGTTACAAGCCTTCTACCAGCAAGTGACACTACCAGAAGTCACTCCGTATCAGAGTTTCATCAAGTATCTCACGCAAAGCGATCCAGACTCCAGTGCAACATACTGGAAGAATCATTTGTCAAACAGCGAGCTTCAGCAATTTCCGGTACTTCCATCGCCAACGTACACGCCCCAAGCAGACCAGCGCCTCACGCATACAGTCGATCTGCCCTGGCCTCGTCTTGGTATCACCCCTTCAACTATTCTCCGCGCTGCGTGGGCCCGGCTTACATCACAGTATACAATGTCTCCTCATGTTGTCTTTGGAGCAACAGTGAGTGGAAGACAGGCTGATGTGATTGGTGTCGATCGAGTCGGAGGCCCGACGGTTTCGACAGTGCCCGTCGCAGTCTCTCTTGACGTGAACGAGGATCTGCAGGAATTTCTACTGCGCATACAACAAGAAGCTGCCGATATGGTTCCTCATGAACAATATGGCTTGCAGAAGATACAAGCGCTCGTAGAAGATAGGCGGCGGTCGCTTTTCCAATCTTTACTGGTCGTACAGCCGATTGCAGAAGGTAGCAGCCTGGATCATGATAGCTACTTGTTCAAGGCACGAACTTGGGCGGCCAGCGTGGAGACCCAAGGCAYGGACCCGTTCAATACCTACGCAATGATGTTGGTTTGCGTGCCRAACAAATCTGGCCTTGAGTTGACTATAAGCTATGACCGAGGGGTCATGCCAACCGCTCAAGTTGAACTTCTAACAGCTCAGTTCGAGACAGTAGTCCGTCAACTTTGTTCAGATCKACCCACCAGGCTAGGTGACATCCAAGTTGCAAGTCCGCAGGATCTCGACTTCTTCTGGACGCAGAACATGACCCCACCGGACGAACCAACCAGTCGAGTGCACGACTTGATCTCTTTACAAGCGTTGAACCGGCCGACAGAGGTAGCCATCGATGCTTGGGATGGCCAATTCACCTATCAAGAAGTGGAAGAACTGTCAACAGTCCTTGCGCGAAAGCTCATTACCCTAGGGGTGACGCCAGGCTCTGTGGTCCTTTTATCCCTGGAGCGAAGTAGATGGACGGCGATTTTGCAGCTTGCCGTCTTGAAAGCTGCGGGTACAATGATGCTGCAGTCCACCTCCGTGCCGATAGAAAGACTCCGTAGAATCCTCAAGAACGTCCCGACAGTACTGGCCATTGCGACGGAGGAGAGGTACAAAGACGTGAGCCCCCTGCTGCGTACTTTCACACCAGAAGAACTTGTGTCTATGAAGGCAATATCCACTCCACGCCTACCACCCGTCAAGATGAATTCTGCTGCCGCGATTCTTGTATCCAGTGGTTCCACGGGCGAGCCCAAGGTAATTCTATGGAGCAATACCACTCTCGCGGCGAATGTCGTAGCCATGAAACATGCCACAGGACTGGATCAGGACTCTCGGCTTTTCTCATTCTGCAGTCACGACTTTGACGTTTGCACAATTGAAATGATGGCGACACTGGTCTATGGTGGTCGACTTTGTATCGCTGCTCAAGAAGAACTACACAATAGCATGAGTTCTGCTATGCGACGTTTCGAAAGCAATTTTGTTATACTAACCCCCTCTGCTTCTAAGCTTCTTCGCCCGGATGAAGTCTCGGACTTGGCTACGATCGTATTCGCTGGGGAGGCTTTGGTTCAAGAGACAGTTGATCTGTGGCAGGGACGAAGAATCGTGAATTGGTATGGTAAGTTGATGCGTGCTGGCTTTTCTTGATCGTTGTGGCGAAGTTCCATTCTATGTTGTTAGTACATGAGCTGATGAGCCACAAACAGGACCATGTGAATGTAGCCCAGGAACATTTTGCACAGTATTCAGTAAATGGCAAAGTGGTGCCATCGGCGAGACCGATTCCAGTTATTCGACACGATGCTGGCTTGTCGACCCTTCGGATCATGAAAGTCTGACATTGGTTGCGCGTGGCGCACCTGGCGAGATTGTCCTCGAAGGCCCTGCTTGCGCTATTGGATATCTTGGACCAGGGGCTCCGGAGAATCGCTTTCTGAGCAGCCCACCGTTTTTGACCCGAGGTCATGAAGGATTTGCGGGAAGACATGGACGGGTCTACCGTACTGGCGACCTTGCTTGCTTCAACTCGGAAGGAATGCTCGTCTTCAAGGGCCGAAAAGACTCTTCGTTGAAGATTAGAGGACAACTCGTTTCTCCAAACGAAGTGGAGCACCATATTCGACGACTGCTTCCTTTGATCGAGGATGTGCAAGTAGTGGTCGATACCGTCTCTCACTCAGGAAGTGAGGTCGTTCATCTCGCGGCATATATCGCCAGCCCATCATTTTCCGCCGGAGATGCCTCACAAGCCGATTTCACGACACTACGTCAGGACCTTGAGGCTGTTCTACCGTCTTTTGCAATTCCAAATTTATACATACCACTCGAAACTCTGCCATTGACTGCGACAGGGAAAGTCAACCGCCTTCGGCTGCGGGAGTTGGGCTGCGCTTTTGAACCCCCGAGAGAAGAGGTGCAACGCCACGAGAGTCCTCGCGATACTGCAGAGCGAGCATTACAATCGCTTTGGGCACAAGTGCTGCGGTTGGAAATTGAGAATATTTCCAGGAATGACAACTTCCTACGCATTGCTGACTCAGTACAAGCCATGCGAATGGTTGGCCTCGCCCAGCGACAAGGTCTTTCTCTGACTGTAGCCGACATATTTCGCTTCCCTCTGCTGAAGGACATGGCGAAATGTATGAAGAGCACGGGTGTGACCGACATTGCGTCGACAGCCCCTTTCGCACTGCTGGATTCGGACATCAACGCCATTGAAGCACGGAGAGATGCGGCGTCAATCTTGGGCGTAGATGCTTCCAGTCTAGAGGATATGTATCCGTGCACTCCACTCCAGGAAGGACTTCTGGCTCTGACGGTGAAGATGCCCGGATTCTACATCGGTCTGAATGTACTCACCATCGCACCTGGAATAGATATTGCTCGATTCAAGACTGCATGGGATGGAGTTGTTGAGGCAACATCTATCCTTCGAACACGAATCATCGACTGTCCCGAGCGTGGACTTTTGCAAGCTGTGGTAAAAGGTGCCACTCAATGGTCCCCTGCCACGACACTTGATCAATTCATACGCGAGGGACAGGAGAATCCGATCGGACTGGGCACTCCACTTGCTCGCTTTGGACTTTTGCGCCCTGACGATGGATCGCAGGGACAGTTGGTGCAATTCTGCCTGGAAATGCACCACAGTATCTACGACGGAACCACTTTGATCATGCTGCGTGAGGCGCTCGAGCAGCGTTATCTTGGCGAAAGAGAGGTGCCGCTAGAACCTTTCGCCTCTTTCATCGCACACATGCTCGCCACTGACAAAGAAGAGGAGACAAGCTTCTGGAAAGATCAATTCCAACACTTGGAGGCACCATCATGGCCAGCATTGCCGAGTGAAGGATACTCCCCTAGACCCGCATCCGGATACACACATACAATCAGTGATATGCCATGGAGGACAGATGGCTGCACCAGTTCCACTTTGATTCGAGMTGCCTTCTCTTTGGTGGCTATGAAGTACACAGACTCCTCTGATTTCGTTTTCGGAACCATAGTCTCGGGCCGTAAAGCAGCAGTCCCCGGCATCGAACGCATTGCTGGACCGACCATTTCGACAATACCTGTGAGGGTCAACTATGAGGCTGGTGAAACGACGATCGGGTCTCTCCTGACAAGTATCCAGAAGAACGAGACAGACTCTATCAAATTCGAGCAAACAGGAATTTCGAGGATCCGCCAAGTGAGCGAGGAAGTGCGACAGGCGTGCCAATTCCAGTCCGCTATTGTCATTCAGCCGGAAGAGATCGATATGTCTGCGAGCTCATGCTTTGTCCCTGAGCTAGAACATTCCAAGGCCGATTCCAACACCTTTTCTGGTTTCAATATCTATGGGTTGATGCTAGTTTGTACCCTACAGAGACAAAAGCCCAACGATGCCGGCGGATTAAGTTTGCAGTTCAGCTTCGATGAGAATATGATTGACTCCGCGACAATCGCGCACTTTTCCCGGCAATTTGAGAAAACCTTACGACAGTTGAACGAACTAGACCTCATATCTAAGGTCTCCGAGGTCGATGTCGTTCCATTGAATGAACTAGAGCAGATCCGGGAATGGAATCAGGAACTTGTCCCAGCAAGCCAGACAGCAGTACATGCCATGATCACCGAAGTTGCGCTGCGCCAGCCTGACGATTTGGCCATCTCTGCCTGGGACGGAGATCTCACATACAGCCAACTGGACCATCTCTCGACTGGTATTGCTCACCGTCTGATTGAGCTCGGGGTTGTGAGGAATACGGTAGTGCCTCTCTGCTTTGAAAAGAGCAAGTTCAACACCGTTGCATGTTTGAGCGTGATGAAAGCTGGTGGCGCTGTCCTTATGCTCGACTGTTCCCAGCCGGAAGCTCGTCTTAAGTCCATTCTTCAGCAGGTCGAGCCTATGGTCATATTGTCGTCTTCAGTCAACGAAGCACTTTGTGCACGACTGTTCTCGAAAGTTGTGGTGCTGGGCGACCTTTATTCTTACACTCATGTGAAAGCGGCTATACTTCCGCGTGTCGAGCCCTCAGACTTGCTGTTCGTTATACCAACGAGTGGATCTACCGGTGAGTCAATTGTATACCAACAGAGTGGATTTTGGACGAACATGGCTGACATATTTTCCTGTAACAGGAGTTCCCAAACTATGCATGCTGAGCCACTCTAACTTCTGCACTGCTTCAGAACAGCAGAGTCACATTTTACAGCTTGGCAAGACATCCCGATTCTACGATTTCTCCAGCTACGCTTTCGATGCAGCGCACTTCACCATGGTTCACTGTTTGACGAACGGCGGCACCCTTTGCGTGCCATCAGAAGAGGAGCGCAGAGATCGACTGACAGAAAGCATTCGCGACTTCCAGTCCACAGAAATTTTCCTCACGCCTACTACAGCGCGCATCATCGATCCGAGTCTGATACCTACGATGCGAAACGTTTACTTTGGCGGGGAACAAGTGTCCAGGGACGATCTGGTACCCTGGGTTTCGTCTACGACGACATGTCATGTCGTCTATGGACCTTGTGAGTGCACGGCATGGGCGACGTCTTGGAAAGTCCCCAATCCTGTACCACGGACCATTTCTCTTGGGAGAGCTGTTGGCCAGACCGCTTGGGTTGTAGACAGATCCGGAAATCGGCTTTCTGGGGTTGGTCACATTGGCGAGCTGTTCCTCGAAGGTAGCCTCGTTGGCTTGGGCTACTATGGAGACCCGGAAAGGACTGCTGGCTCGTTTCTGAATAGCCCCGAATGGCTACAGTCTGGGGGTCCTGGTAATCAAGGACGACTCGGCCAAGTCTACAGGACTGGTGATCTTGTTCGGTTACGATCGAATGGCACCCTTGATTTCATCGGAAGAAAAGATCTCCAGACAAAGATAAGAGGGCAAAGAATCGAGCTTTCGGCAGTGGAACATCACGTTCGAACAATCCTGAGCGAGCACTTCACGATCATTGATCTGGTTGCTGAAGTCATAACACCAAAGGTCACACAACGACCCGTGCTGGTCGCTTTCTTGCAGGTCGATGAAACTCAGCAAGCGGCTCTCGAGAAATTCATGGATGATCTTAACTTCAAGTTGGAGCAGCAAGTTCCAGGATACATGGTTCCTGGTTCATATCTTCTGGTTCCTGATATCCCGCAAACTGCTGGAGGTAAGGCGAATCGGAAAGCTCTGAGAGAGCTAGGTGCGAATCTCTCCCTCGAACAACTCAAGCGCCAGGATGTTCCTACCAGTAAAACGTCGCCTCTCACGCATTCTGAGATGATGCTACAAGGTCTTTGGTCCCAGGTCCTGGGAATGGCCTCGGACGACATCACTTCCAGCAGCAGCTTTATTCGCCTCTCAGGTGACTCGATTTCAGCAATGCAGCTATCTGCTCTCGCTCGCCGTAAAGGATACTCGTTATCTGTAGTGGACATACTCAAAGCCCCAGTGCTTTCAGAAATGGCCCGTGCCATGAAGACTGTGGAAGTCGACACGTCAAGCTCTGACAACATACCAAAGCCCTTCGCGCTCCTCAAGGACCCCTCACGATCGAAGAGCAGCATCAGAGAAGCCGCAGATCTGTGCAATGTCAGCGAAGCGACCATCGAAGATATTTACCCGACTACTGCTGTTCAACAGGGCCTCCTAGCAGTCACATCGCAAAGACCAGGCGATTACGTTGCGCGTATTGCATTGGAGTTGAGAGATGATGTTGATTTATCACGACTTAAGGAAGCTTKGGAAGTCGTCAGTAAAGAATATGCACCCATACTGCGCAACCGGGTGATCCACATCGATGGGGAAGGACTGGTACAGGTCCAGATTACCGAACCACTCTCATGGAGTTACTACAAGAGTGTCGAAGAAGTCCTGGCGGACGATGCTTCTCGCTTGATGGGCCTTGCGCAGCGCCTAACTCGTATGGCTATTCTGGAGGACGCCCAGAGTAAGAAGACGAGCTGTATCCTGACGCAGTCGCATGCTGTACACGATGGAGCGTCCCTGAATCTATTACTCGATCAGGTCGCAACAGTATACGCTGGGGGCCATGAGTTGTCTGGTGTTCGGTCTCCACCATTCCAGGCTTTCATTGCCCAAATCACGAATCTTGATCGCGAGATTTCTGCACAATTCTGGACCGAGCAGTTCCTCGACTGCGAGGCCACACCATTCCCATCGCTTCCAAGCCCTGACCATCATCCCCGAGCCGATTGCGCGGTACAGGCTAGTTTCCGAGACATCMGATGGCCAGAGGATGCAACACCGTCAGCAGCTCTACGATGTGCTTGGGCAATCTTGACAGCAAGATACACAGATGCAAACGATGTCGTCTTTGGGGCTCTTGTCACTGGTAGGCAGGCACCTGTGAGTGGAATTGATCAGATGATCGCGCCATTAATCGCTGCTCTGCCCATAAGAATCCGCTGCGACCCGAACTCTACCGTAGAAGAGCTCCTCAAGAGTATTCAACTTCAGGCCATTCAGATGATCCCGTATGAGCACAGCGACATGTCAGCCGTTCGAGATATCAGCGGGACTATGCAATACAACACTCTGCTAGTCATTCAACCTCCTCGCAGAGTTCAGGATGAATCTACCAAAGCCGAGAGCCTTTTTGCTCGTCGCTCTGAATTACAGTCCTCTCTCAGCGGGCTGGACACTTTTAATCCGCACGCTCTCATGGTTCTGTGCCAGCTCAAAGGCCCAAACCACATTGATTTGGAGTTTAGCTTCGACTCAAACGTTATCGATGCAGCTCAGGTAAAGCGAATGGCAGCTCAACTAGAGACTATCCTGCGACAGATTTCCTCTCAAGGAACACGTCGCGTGGGTGACATCGAAGCAATCAGCTCTCAAGACATCAGGCAACTCTGGAACTGGAACGCCGAAGTGGAACCGCAGGTGAATGAATGTATTCATCAGATGATTACAACCACAGCCCAACGAGATCCAAATGCGGCAGCCATCTGCGCATGGGACGGTGATCTTACATATGAAGAATTGGAGCATTACTCTAATCGCCTCGCCTCGAAACTCATGACTTGTGGGGCTGGACCAGGACATGTCATCCCACTTTGCTTCTCCAAGAGTGTATGGATGCCCGTCTCAGCTCTCGCAGTTTTCAAAGCTGGATCAGCTGCTGTTTCGATGGATGCATCGCAACCTGAGGGTCGTTTACGCGCTATCGTTGAGCAGTTACATCCCTCTATTCTCATTTCTTCGATTTGCCATGAAGATTTGGCGAGGAGATTATCTACTACGGCCCAAGTCATCACTGTCAGTAGGGAAAGTGATTGGAATGCCTCCATCCCGTCTGTCCTCTGGCCGAAAGTATCGCCATTGGATGTCCTGTATATTGTTTTCACAAGTGGATCTACTGGAACTCCCAAGGGTATCGTCACCACCCATGCCAATTTCGCATCGGCTGCTATTCATCAAGATGATGCTTTGCGTGTCAAGAAGGGTACACGAGTTTTTGATTGGGTGAGCCTTAGTTTTGACGTGCAATGGTAAGTCACTATATCGACTCGTATGCGAAAGGAACTAGACTGACCTGTTCTGTTATTATCGTAGGTCGAATTTACTTCACACGCGTGAGTTACATCTCCTTCGAAGTTTCTCCTTTTGCAAGCTAATGAATAGCCAGTCATCCATGGAGCCACACTGTGCATTCCATCAGAACACGAAAGGCGCAACGACATAGCCGCATCTCTCAACCGAATGCAGGCCGATTACGTGTACTTCACACCTTCAGTTGCCGCATCTCTTGATCCATCCACCATGCCCGGAATCAAGACTCTAGCCATGGGTGGAGAACCGATTCGCTCGGCAGAAATCGCCCGCTGGAAACAGACGGAGGCTGTCATAGGGATCTATGGACCCGCAGAAAACGCCCAGGCACTATCTATAGTCGATTTGACTCCTTCAAGCCGGAACGGTCATGTAGGTCATTCATTCGGCGGTAGAACTTGGCTGGTTATTCCTGGCTGCCCTGATCGACTGGCAGCCATAGGAACTGTTGGGGAGCTTATGATTGAGGGGCCGAGTGTAGCAAGAGAGTACTTTGAAGCCAAGGACAAGACAGATGCGGCTTTCATCCATGATCCTCCTTGGCTTCTGCAAGGTGCACCTGATCATCCTGGTCGACGCGGGAGACTCTACAAAACCGGAGATCTGTTGAAGCAGAATTCGGATGGAACGCTCGATTTTGTAGGACGCAAGGATGCGCTCGTGAAACTCAGGGGTCAGCGTATTGAACTCACGGAGGTCGAGTTCCACGTCGCGCAATTTCTCCCGCTGGGAATTGGTGCAGCGGCAGAGATTATCATTCCCGCAGGCACTGAATCTCCACTTCTCGCCATATTCGTCGTCACCAGACCCGAACACCTTGGAGCAACCATCGAAGGTGTCGAGGAGCGACTGGCAGAAATCGTCCCACGATACATGGTACCCGGAGCTTGGATTCCTGTGGATGCGATTCCCATGACGACGACCAGTAAAACCGACAGGCGTGCTCTACGTGAGATTGGAAGTCGATATACTCTCGAGAGCATTGCGAGTTTCCAATCAGCAGGCGGCAGCATCAGTCGTCCTCCGGAATCTAGCATGGAAAAGCGTATGGCGGCTCTCTGGTCCAATGTACTCGGCATCGACATATCATCAATCAGTCGTGGATCTAGCTTCATGAGGATTGGAGGAGAGAGTATCGCTGCGATGCAGCTCGTCGCTGCTGCCAGACGTCAAAATATCCGAATCACAGTTGCTGATGTCTTTTCCAATGCAAAGCTGGAAAATCTTGCATTGGTCGCAAGAGAGATAGGGCATGTGGAGGAAGAACACATTCGCCATCAACCATTCTCGCTTCTACGCCACCCTCATCTGAAGGAATTCTTGGAAGAGTGTGTGCAGCATCTACTACTTCATGATATCGATCAGAAACTAGAAAATGTGCTTCCTGCCACCGACTTTCAAAAACAAGCCATCGAAGACGCTTTGCAGGACCCACCTAGCAGATGGCCGCACTGGATCCTGGATCTCCCATCAAACGTCGACTTTCAACGTTTACGACATGCTTGCGCGAAGCTCGTGCAGCATTTCGAAATACTGCGCACCGTTTTCGTTTCGCTCGATGATCAATACTGGCAGGTCGTCTTATCAGAGCTCTCTCCGCCCTTTGATCTCATCGAGACTGAGGAGGGACAATCAGTCGATGCGGTGAAGTCTGCTTGCGAGCAAGACTTACTTCGTCCACGTAATCTCGGGGCATCCTTTGTCCGGTTCATGGCTGTCAAATGCTCAGATGGCCAGCACAAACTGATTTTCAGACTTTCTCATGCTCAGTTTGATGGTTTCAGTTTCGGACTCGTGCTCCAAACGCTGTCTCAATTCTACACAACAGATAGCCTGCCCAGCCCTCCGTCGTTTGCAGACGTCATGTCTTTCAACAGTTCAAGAAAGCAGGAAACCTACAAATATTGGTCTGCAAAGCTCGACGGTTCGAAATATCCCGGTTGGAGTGCGACGTCCTCCTCTGCGACGAAGAGTGGTTATTCGACTACGGATCGACTTCTAATCTCCAAGAAGATCGCCCCCATGCCAACCATCAGTCAATGTGGAGATATTTCGCCTGCCACAATATTCCACGCTGCCTGCGCTCTGGCATTCTCGCAACATTTCGGCCAACGGGACGTAGTATTTGGACGACTCGTCACAGGGCGATCAATGTTACCGAGCAGTCTGCAGCATACAGTTGGACCTCTACTCACCGAAGTCCCAATCAGACATACAGTCCGCCCAGACGATACACTTCTTGAGATTGCGCAGGATATGCAGGCTCGCTTCATAGAAGATTCCAAGCACGAGGCAGCAGGGATGGTGGAAATCATCCACCGGGCAACCAATTGGCAGGAAGAGGATTTTGGATGGCGGACGGCTTTTCAGCAGGAGCAAGAAGATTCGTTCACTTTTCTGGAGTCTCCTAGCAAAGTATCATTCTTTGAAAGGGATGTTCTTCCACGGAATCGACCGGAGATCTATGCCACTCCCCAACAAAATGGTCAATTGGAGCTTGAATTCGAGGGAAATCTGCAGCTTATTTCGAGAGCTACGGCAGATGCTGTTCTTGGACGATTGCAGAAGATATTGGCCGATTTCGGAAAATGCCGTGATGGTGTAACAGCCGGCCAACGTTGAAGTGATGCAGCGTTGCACTGCGTCAATTCGAGTGGTTGGAGCACCTCCAATTCATCAGAAGGTAGTCAGCGGAGACTCAAAGGCAAAGTCAGTCAGGCCTCTTGCTGCTGACTGAATGATCGTCGGCATGAAGTAAAGTAATGCCCGTCAATCCGGAAGGAAGGAATGAATCACACGCAATGTTACTTCTTCTAGCGGCCGATCATCAGGCTAGAGAACGCTTCAGAAGACAGAAACAATGGCTCTGAGCACCAATGGTTTACTCGTGGCCGAGGACATCTCCAGGCGGAATTAATGATCGAATTCATCTTTGAGGATCAATGAAGTCTTAGTCGATGGCGGAAATAGAACGCGACTCCTTCATCAAGAACTACCTAGATCTTGGCAACCGCCCCTTGCGGAGTTTCATGAAGGTTTGTTCTTGCCCCGATTCCCGAGACCCGGCCAGAGCAGGCCAAAGAATCCCTGCATTTGCGAGTCGTAAGTAGGCAGGTGAAACCTTCATCATCAACAGTGTAGTGCAACATATTTCCGGCTCAACACATCTTCCACTCGATTTTATCCTCGCCAAGTATATCACAAGCTTGACTCACCATCCGAGACGCGATGAAGTTCAGCGGTTCTGTTCTGGCCATTCCGGCTCTCATCTGGCTTGCTGCTGCCGCTCCTCCCACTTTCAAGCCTGCAGTCGAGGCGGATTGGGATGCAGTTGTGGTGGGAGGAGGTCCTGCAGGACTCTCTGCAGCCTCTGCTCTTGGCCGCGTACGAAGAAACGCTCTCCTCATCGATTCCGGCGACTATCGAAACCAAGTCACTCGACGTGTGCACGATGTGATCGGATATGATGGTATGTTCGACTGTCGAATCAGACAGACACAAGATTAAAAAGATAAGCTTGACTGACTGACTACTGTGCAAGGCGTTACTCCAGCATACTTTCGGTGGCGTGCCAGACAACAGATAGCCGAGTATGATACTGTTCACCTCACCAACGGAACTGTGGATAAGATTGAGCCGCAAGCCAACAACAACACCTATTTCAAAGTCACTTCTCACCACGAAAATGGCACCTCGTCAAGTGTGACTGCGAGGAAGATTATCATTGCGACGGGGCTTCGCGACATTTTTCCTTCTACTCCTGGCATTGCGGAGAATTTTGGACAGGGAATCTACTGGTGCCCGTGGTAATTTGACCACTTCTTGTTGTTGTTCGAGACACCGCTAACCAGTGTTTCCTTCAATTTCTAGGTGCGATGGCCATGAACATGCAGACCAGCCGCTGGGCGTCCTTGGTCCCCTGGGTAGCTCGGGAAACACTCCCCTGGAGGTCCTTAGCCTCAACACGGACATTATACTTTTCGTGAACGGAACAAATACTCCGGAACAGCGAGCCATCGTTGWCAAGAAGCTACCAAAGTGGGACAAATGGCTTGATCTTCACAATATCACCATTGAGAACCGTACCATTACCTCTCTTGAACGACTCCGCGATGGCTCAAACTTCAATGAGGATCCCAGCAAAGCGACTCACCCTGAGTATGACTTGTTTCAAGTCAACTTCGAAAATGGACCTCCCACGAACAGAAGTGCTTTCATTACGAATTATCCCAGCGAGCAACGGTCCAAGCTCGGCGAACAGACGGGCGTCGCAGTCTACGGTGGAAAACTCGACGCTGATATGAACAAGGGGATGATTTCAAACGTACCTGGCATTTACGTTGTAGGTGAAGCAAATATTGGATTGGAGTTCTTGCGACTGACAACGACTAGGTCGGAGATTGCAATCTTGACAACAGCACCAACGTTCCCCACGCGATGTGGTCGGGAAAGAGAGCGGTGGTGTCGCTTCATGTCAAGCTCGAGACTGAAAATGCTCTTAGTGAGATTTCTAGTTTATCGCGGAGGGCCGATCTTTCGGAGCGCGCGTTGTGGGCTCAAGTCAATGGACCTGACGACGTTTTGGATGCTGGAGAGTATGAGCAGATGAAGGCTTGAATTGTCACTTTGCACACACTATTCCTATAGCGGACCTACAGACCAACAACTCCTCGCAATTACTTCAAATCGTTACACATCATTCTGAGCATTCAGCACCGGGCTTTATGCTCGACCTATCTCCAGACGTGAAGGGAGTTGCACTCGTCGCGTCGTAATCATCGTCGAATGCCAAATCTCTCCAAAGTCATTTCTCTTCCTGGCCGTTTGGCATGCCATGAACATCGTATAATTGGCCGTTACACTGCAATTTAACATCAGCCATGGAGCGATATACCAGAGACTCACAAAACCATACCCTTAGTAACAGGCGCCCTCCGTTCTCTCCTCCTCCTCCGGACAAGCATCTGCGTAATAGCAGCAGCAAGAAACATGAACTGGCAAGAAAAAATCAGCCTCAACCAACACCCAAAACTCCCAAATCATAACTCACAATCCCCAAAATAGCAACCGCAAAAGCAGTCTTGTAAACTTCACATCCAACATCCTCGTCGTCTCCTCTTCCCCTTCCACCACCACCGCCACCACCATACCTATAATAAGCCTCTCGACCCCCWCCCCTTCCTTCACACTCCCCATCCACAGCACTCCGATTAATAATCGCAACAGCCATCATACCTCCCATGAAAACCACATCCAGAATAATAGAAATTATAGCGAAGAAAGTGATTCCTGCTGTGCAGCAGACGAAGAGAGTTTGGATTGAGGTGTAGAGCATGGCTAGGGCGCCTATTATTAGGGAGGCGAGGTTTTTTTCTGAAGAGGTTTGGAGGAAGGTGAACCCTGCGTTTTGGGGATTTGTTAGTTTCTTTGGGTTTGTGAGGGGGTGAGGAGGAGGGAAGGGAGGGAGGGAAGGAGGGAAGGGAAGGGAAGGAAGGAGCTTACATGCGAAGACACCTGTGATTATTGCTGCGCAGCAGAATGCTGTGAAGTAGGTGAGGATTAGGAGTAGGCGGAGGAAACCGCCTTTGATTGCCATTTTCTTTTTTTTTCGAGAGGTATTGTTATTGATTGATTGGATGTGTTTGGAAGTAATGGGAAGAAGTAGTTGAGATGGGAGGCCGAAGAATAGATTGGGAAAGGCAAGGTAGATGGGAAGAGCAAAGTAGATGGGAAGGAAAGTGGAATACAAACTTGCCTTATGTAAATCACCCCATATAAAAACCACTTCTTGTCTCCAATAATGTAGCGGTGACATGGCATGATGATGATCCCCGCGAAAGCCAAGAGTTGTTGTCGTAATGTTCAGCAGCAGCAGCACAGGGAGAGGGGGGGAGGTCAAAAAAAGTTGACATGCGACGATGACACGCCATAGCTAGGAGCAAGCTTCTTTGCAACTTGCATGAGTGCTGGCTTCCATGCCAATACCTTGAGGTATGTGCGGCCAAGGTTCCTCGCTTCTTTATGGATAGATATATATATGAATGAGATCGTGGCCGGTGATCGAAGATTTCTAGGGATCTCTCTTTATTGTAGTTTTCATCGAAGATGTGCTTGCTGGTGTGATGAAGGCCCAGGTGTAAGATGGTATTGTTGCAGCTAATGTGTTGTCCATTCTATGATCCATGCTGTGCCAGGCTGTGTTTTTTGGTTTATAAAGGTTAAGTTTTCTAAAAGTGAATGCTTGTATCCTTGTAAAGTAAAGTATCCTTGGCTGCTGCTGCTGCTGCTTCGCCACATCTGACGTACATACATCCATGGATTGATTCCCTTGGCCATGATTGAACTTCGTTGATCCAAGCTGATGAAACTCCTTCCATCTAGGAGTTAAAGGTTTCATGTGGATAACTTACAGCAGACAGCTCTTGGCTCAAATTTAACTTTTGTCTGATGAAAGCAAGAGTCTTCCAGCAGAGATACCTTACCTACCGATCTAAGTAATTCACAGAGATCTTGAGAATGACGGCTCTCTTTCCGTGTGTTTCATCTTTTTTCGATTGGATTTTGTTGTAGAGTGACGAATGGTCAGACTTGTCACTCAGTCCAGCTGGCATGGCAAGCTATGTCGGTGTTAATTGTTGGCCAGGTTAGCAATGGATATCCAAGTTGATGCCTGGAGCTTTGCATCGATGAACTTTTGCATCAAGATGACGAAAGTGCTCGGACACATGGAGGACGCGCCAAGACATGTTTCGAGTTTCATTACTATTAAGTAAGTATGCCATTGCCGGTTTCTATAGTCTTACACATTAGTAGTAACTTCGTGCCGCTAATCTCTGTTTATCACACGCAAAGATCTCCTTGGATTCAACATAACACCTGGAAAAGAAAATGTCAGCCATGTTCACCTCGACACCATCAAAAACAGGAAGTAAGGTACTCACCAACAAACGTGGGCTCTCTACCAGCCAAAAGATCCTCATCAGCTCCATCGCTAGCCTCACTATTCCTTCTCAAACTTGCATAACCTCCAGGAGCTCCTGTACCAGTCGTCGCCTTGGCACTGGCTCCACCACTGTCACTTCGATGATGACTTGACCTGCCCTCGCTCGTCGTGGTAGTGGTCAGCCATGGGGAATCATTGTGGCCCTCGCCACGCATATAGCTTGAATCACTGGGAGTCTTCTTTCCAGTCGAGGCATGGGTAGAGAGTAATCCGGGGATGGCGGGCATTTTCTCTCCACGGGCTTGGGCTTGGCTCATTTCTACATGTCTCTTGTAGAGCTGTAATTGCCTTCTGTACACATATGCACAGAATGCAAGGTAGCAAGCGACGATGAAGAGCACGCCAGCAATTGTCCCTGCCACAATAGCGCCGATGTTGGGACCCGAATTACCTCCATTGCCATTATTGCTGTTCGCACCATTGTTCGTCGAGTTGGTTACGGTATACGTGATGGGCTTGCCGGTGGAAAGTGGTCCGGCGGTCGCACTGTTTATCGGTCCGGTAATTGTAGCTCCACCTGTTCTTCCTCCTCCTACAACGCTAATCACGGGATCGGGGACTTGGTAGCCGTACGAGCCTTGCAATCCACCAACTGAGGTCTCGTTGAACCGTTGGGCGGGCTGTTGATTGAGCGGGTTGTTCGATGCGTCGGAGTTGCTGCCATCCGCGGCCAAAGCAGCAGTCGTATCCGGCGAGCTGGTTCCAGAAATTGCAGTGAACTGATTGACCCACTGGAGATTGCTCATGTCATAAACGTAAATTCCTGGCGTCTCACAACTTAATGTATTCGGTCCGGTATAGCCTCCAACCATGATCATCTGACCGTCCCAAGCGTTGCAAGTAGCCCCAGCCCTTCCTTGCGGTACTGATTGTCCAGTCTGGTCGACTTTGATCCAGGCAAAAGCCGGCAAAGTAAGAATCCACATATCATCGTATTGTGTCTGGTTACCGTAGGGAATCAGATTCTGTCCGGCAAACATGTAGATGTTAGTAGATGAGCCATCGGGAGCAGCCACAGCGGCAGCACATGGGTTGACTCTGATGTTTGGAGTCTCGCCGCTGGTCGCTTGCGTATACCACGAGGATTTGGCAATGTCGTAAACATTCACAGTGTTCATCTGAGTGTAGCTTTCGTTCGTACCACCTGCCAGTGCGACGAGAATGCCATCATCTCCAAACCCAGGTACGTAGATGAGCAGTCCGTCGGCACGTTTAGTAAAACCAGCTTCGGCTTGCAGACCTCCCTCTGTGATATTTCTGTAGATTCCTTCGGCTGGAGCATCGCTTGAATGAAGGGCATCAACTTGAGGGTTTGCATACCCCGGGAAGGTGTACTCGAGCAGACTCTGCAGGTAGACTCTGGCGATGCTTTGAGACCAGCCTTCGGTGGTATACCCATCGAGATGGCCACCAAAATAAAAGGCTTTCCCCAGCGACGGCACACTAACTGCAGCACCCTCGGCAGCGCGCTGTACCTTGTCCCCATCGCTAGGAGCACTCACTCCTTTGGATGTGACGGGATCGGAGTGCTCGTTCCAGACAGATTCCGCAATGTCATACTCCCAGAGAGAAAACGCTGAAGGTTCCTCGGGCGGGGAATCGGAGAATTGGCCACCGTAGACGAATAGAGAGTCGTATGAATTCCAAAGTGCACCGAGACTGATGTTTGGTGGGCCAGAGGGTTGAGGAAGGCCAGTCAAGCGTGGAGTACTGATTTGCCAGCCTAAGAAGGTCAGTCAAGGCTCGAAAATGCATGCATGCATTCATCATGATATACTCACTTTCCGTCAGATCCAAGCTCAGGAAGTTATTGTTCCAAGTATCTGTCTTCTGGCTTTCCGTTTCAGTAGCCTGGCCGCCGTATAGGTAAAGAGTGCCGTTCACAACAGTACTCATTTGAGCCCATCTTTTGCACACGGCCGTGGGACTGTCACTCTGTCTTCGATCCAGTACTATACCATTAGGACGCTCGGGAATGAATCCTCCACTAACTGGCCGCATGGGCATGGARGCATGGCCAAAGAAGGAAGTGCTATGCAGGAGTGGCACGATAGCGACCAGCAAGAAGACAATCGCACCCATGCGATACATCATAGACTGGTTGCCCACTGGTAGCGGGGATTGTGATTGTAGAGGATAAATTCGCGTCGAAGTCGCCGCGGTGTGTTGTTGAGGGTTCGGCCGCGTTTTGCCACTTAGATCTGCATCATGCCGTTGAACTATGCGAACATCGTCGACGCTACGGAACCGCACACTTTGAGCTGGTCTTGAAGATGTCGACGAAGAGCGTGAGAATGAGGATTGCGGTGTCGTAGAGGTTGGTGAACAATCAGCGTTGGGCGTGTTCCGAGACCTGTGTGTGCTCTCCATGGTAGGTAGCTCTCTATTCTAGCTATTCCGGAGCTCAATACGAGAAGCTTGACTGGGGGTGGATCCAACGGAGGGGCGACTTCGACCACCACCACCAAGTACTTGACTTGTATCAATCCGACACACTGAACTGCGCCAAAGACGAATTATGCGCTGTTCTTGGATTGACGGGATGAATGGAAAGATGACGATTGGGGAGCAAAGGCAGTAGCGTGCGGCGCGTGCATGCAAGCGAGCTCGACAATAACCAATCCGTCGTAACTTGTGTTGATGTCGTTGCTGCAGGTGCAAGTGTCAAACTTGAAGTACAGTATTACTGCCGTCGGGTGTTGCCAAAGGACAAGAAAAGGGGATTCAAGATGATCCATCTGCATTCCCTGCTCGACTAACCCTCCAGTGAACAGTCATTGGGCTGGCACGGCATCGCCTTCGTCGAGCTTTCCTGTCACGACGACGCACGACACCAAGGCGAAGGCGAAGATCTTTCACACCAAAAATCCTGATGAAACTCCGAAGCGCGGTGGATGACATCAAGCAAAGCCACGGACTTCACGCGAGGTGGACCTTGGGCGAATCATCGGAGAGCTTTTCCCACGGGCCGCGCGCCCCAAGTGGAGACTCTCACCTCCTCAATTTTCACGGCCACATCTCGACGCGACGACGAGGGCAGTGCGAGGTAGAGTATTGCGGTTGCTCGAGGCGTCCACACAATTTGCACGACATTGGCCATTAGAGTGGACTATTTGACGCGTTGGAGAGGAATCGCAACAGCTTGATGATGCTCATTTACAAGCACTAACATGCTGTACAGAGGTGAGCTGAGAGCATAACGTATTGGTTCTGTTCAAGGCAACACCTCTTCACGCAAGAATCAGCGGTTGTACAGTTGAGCAGTAATGATCAGAACTCTTGCTAATTCAAAAATGGTAGCATCGATTTGTATCTTCAAAATATGTACATGAAGAAGGACATTTATCGTCGGGGGCATATCTAAGCTCCACCAACGTATACGGTGAGAAGTTGCGGGTTACCATCTGCCAAAGTACCACTTTGGTCAATTCCACCGCTTGGGTTCACATCGTCATAGCCTATGGGACGATTAGCTGACGTGCATCTTAAGGATTCTAGACAGGGAAGGAACTCACTGAAAGCATAGCCGCGTCCATCAGGCTGGTTCTGGTGGACAAAGGCGCTGTAATAGTTTGCCGGAGTGGTCTTGTAATAAGTCGAAGCAGCAGGACCAGGCTGAAGGTTTCCACCGCCAGACAGAAGAGTTCCACGGTTGAATGCGGCACACAGACGAGGAACAATAGCACGGTGCACACCATTGTCTGATCCGAAAATGGCAAAAGGACCCGAGTTGCATCCGAAGATATCGCCGGCCGTGGGCTTGTTGTAGGAGCGATTGTCTCCATTACATTGCAACGCTCCGCCACGGACACGGCAAGCGACCCGGCCACTACCAGTCTGCGTGTCGATGACGAGGTCATTGTTGGTATAATGATGCCAAACAGCATTTACGTGGTTGGTAAAGTAGTTGGCGAATGCTCCATTGCCACCGACCTGGTAGGGGTAAGGGGCAACAACACGGAGAGGGCCATTGGATCCGGACTGGCAGAGTTGGCCCCAAGGCTGGTTTCCGCCTGCCTGTCGCTTGGCCAGGAGGTTGCACACGTTGCGAACACCATTGACACCAAGACCACGTACGGTGCTATGGCATGTCAGTCTATCACTCAGGATGCGCAATGAAGAAACACTCACTCGGTCACGCCGTTGCCGCGCTTGATGGACATTCCCAAGGCAAGACCGACAAAGTCTACATAAGACAAGTTGGCGTAGAGACCACCAGCATTGTTTGTGAGTTCAACAAAGCCCCAGTTGATGGYCGCGCTGGGATCTTTGGGGTTGGCAAAAGATGGCTGGACTTGACCTGGAGCATTGCCGGCCCAGATCGAATAGAAGTGGAGGTTGCCCTGCGCGAACCATACTCGTGCTGCTGAGATGTAATCTGGCATCACGACCCGGGTGGTGGAGCCCTTGCTATGACCGAGTCAGACAAGAACGAACATCGTCAACAACCACTGGACGGACTTACCCTGTGTTGAGAGGAATGGCGACATTTGCGAACACCTCCCGAGGAGTGTTGTACGAAGCATCTGCAGGCGGATAATAGAATTGTCCATTGGGCTGGACGAAGACAATACGGCCACTTGGATCCAGACCAGTCACGTACGCGTTGACTGAACCACCGATGTTGTTGACCAGGTTCATCGGCAGCCTAGAGTTCGCAGTAATGCTAAAGGTTGTTTCGTTGGAGTGGCTTGGTGTGGCAACAGGGTTGGTGGCGTTCAATGTATTCCCGGCGGTGATGATAATATCCTCGACACTGCCTGGCATAACTGGAACCGATTCCGCGCTCTGGCGTGATACCACCGGGATGGCCGCAACATTGCTAACCAGAGCGGCCGTTGCGACCAAGAGAAGGCTGAAGGATTTGTACATGATTGGAAAGGAATGGAAGTGCCTAAATGGCAAGCGAATGTCTAAACGAAGGAATGTGAAGAAGAACCACCAAACGATTGGTGTGCAAGAGTGTGATCGATTCAACCTATCTGAGGCTGACGAGGGCTGGGGTTATATACCCATCCTTCGACATCTCCCGCTATTTCGCAACCGCCACAACACGGCAGGCTTTCATTGCAAGGACGGGGTGGAGCAAAGGTAGACGGCCACCGTCGAGTTGGCCGCATAGGGGTCCTGTCGTTGGCAGACCATAGAGGTGAAGGAGAGAGATTTGAGTGTCGAGGCAAAAGCACGCTAGGGAGGTGATATAGAGAGTCTTCAGCGTCAACCTAAGATTTCTTGTGCTACCATGCAGAGCTGATTCGATCGCATGCAATCGTACTAACCATTTCCTGGCTTTTCTCCGAAACAACTCAGATCAAGTAGGAAGGAGCAGAAGTGGTTGGCTCCTTCAAATCGGAACTGATGTGGTGAATTTAGCTGTCTGCGATCTGCGATTGGTCAATCTTTCAGCCAACATTCAAACCTTAAAAAAATCTCCCTTCTGGCCCTGAATCTACAAGAACCCGATCTTGTTTTTTTTTTCATCCGTCGCGTGGGCCAATGGATGGCACATTCACTCGGACTAATTCCATATTAATTCCATGTTCGGGACGCTCCGAGATCCAACGTGTTGGTGATCTTGAACATCTTTGCGATATCGAGACTGAATGCCGTTCTTGGATGACTTGGGATGAGGCACACAAACATTGATGGGTATTGACTATCTACTAGAATCTCACGGTCACCTTCCTTGTCAGGTTTTCTCTGACAGCACACTACCACCCTACTCATCGTACTCAATTGTCAGCGTCGTGGGGATGGGCGACTCCTTGCAGTTAGGATCCAAGAACAATTTCATGGGCACACCACCGACTTGACGTTCGGTTGTAGTGAAGCAGCCTCGTTTTCCAGGAGCAGCGCGGACGTTCTTGAGCTTGAAGACTTCCTTGAGAGTAGCAACGAGGGCCGGACCGATCAGTCTCGCACCAATATCAGAGTGGAGGCCTTGGCCGAGCATGGTGTTGTAGGCCTCGACTGGACGGCGTGGGTTCAGCTTCTCGGGGTCTGGGAATGCTATTGGGTCCATGGCACAGCTGGAAGTCGCTGCTAGCACAATCTGGCCTCGTGTGATGGAGACAAGCCCGTTCTCACCATCCTGCACCGTGGTGTCGTTGACCGCGACGTGAGGAAATCCGGGAACAATACCGGCGTGTCTCATGCCTTCAAACACAAAGCCTTGCATCTCCTTATCGGAAGCTGCATCTTCTTTGTGGGCGAGCTCTACGATACGCTCCTTGTACTGTTGGTACTCGGGCTTGAGGAACATCTCGATCAGCAGAGAACCCTGCTGCGAAACGATTCCAGCAATTGGGGCTCCCATTCCAATGCAGTCTGTGGCCAAATCACCAATCGGCTTCTTCGAGTCGTTCAGAGCGTGGTAGAGACGATCGGCTTCCGGACCGACCTCGTATGATGAGCCCTTGGCCATGGCATCAATCAACTTCTCCTTCAATCCTTGTTGCGTCTTGAGGTGAGTCTCGATGATTTGACGGAGCACTGGCTCGACAGCGTTAGATGCCTCACGTAGCTTCCATTCGTTGGCCTTTGAGAATACGAGTCAGCAGGAATCCGAGCCATTGAGCATCAAGCAGCGAGTGACTTACGGGGATGATATTGAAGTTCTGGTAAATGAACAGCACCACAAACATGTCAAACAGCTGAGGCAGTGACAAAAGACCTTTTGGCGAGTCGACTGTCTTCAGTGGRATGGCAAAGCGCAGAGCAAGCCACATGATTGGCGTGACATTGGTGATGTCGCGCACAACGTCCAACGACCTCTTGGATCCGGCGTACTTCAACGAGCTGGATTTGATCAGGTAGGCCGTGTGCTCGCGGAAGAACTTGGCGATGTTGAGCTCGAAGCCGTCTTCGTAGAATACTTTGTTGAGAACGTCTGTCTTTGGGGTCTGGAACTTTGGTTCGAAGTTGACCTGGTCCTGGAAGACGGCTTTGCAAGCCTCTTGAGTGTGCACTGCGGCTACTGTGCCATCGCTTYGGTTGCGCTGTGGTAGGATTAGACCTTGGCTCATTATTCGCTTGGATAGGGGATTAGAGACTAACCTTGAGATCGTACTGATCGATGACTTTGTTGCCTTTGAGGATCTCTGCTACTGCCTTTGGCGTGTAAAATGGTAGCAGAWCGTAGGGAGAAGTTCCGGAAAAAGCAGTTGGGAGACCCGTGAAAAGGATATGAGGAAGCATACCTGTCAGAAACATCTTTTGTCAGCTTTAACAGACTAATCGAAACAGCGCTCAGAAACTTACCGCCATAGCATCCAGCTGGAAGATCTCCCACTTTTGAAATACCCCAATTGGTGAGCGTGGAGCTGTTCAGATCGTAGCTCAAATACCTATCCCCACGAACCAGCGCGACAGCATCATCCAGAATACCACGGCCAGTCGTTTGTCCAGGACAGACTCCACTTCCAGGCATGGCGGGCTTGGTACATTCTGCCATCAATCCCGGGTACAGCTCCAAATTATCAATATGACCATACAAAAGCTCTGCAGAGCGAGCAGTCTCCTTATCCGGATTCCACTCCTCAAAGCTAGCATACTTCTTGAGGTTCAGATACGCACGGAATTCATTCATCGTACAGACGTTGAACGCGTTGCGAGCCTGGAGCTGACCCATGATATCCACGACTTTCAAACTCGCGGGAGTTCCATGCGCGCCGAAAGCGTGTGCGGGCTCATCGACGCAGTTTTTGATGATMTCAGCGAGATCCTCGTCGGCGAAACGACCATCGGGTCCTCTCTGTAGTCCTCCAAAAGTCCATAGACGGGGAGGAGTATCCTTGAGCTTGTGTCCCTGAACGTACATGACCTTCTTGAAGGACTCTACGTTCACGTCGTCGATGGAACCGAGCTCTGGAAGGCTGTCTCGGAGGATATCCTCCATCCATTCGGCATCAGCGGCACTCAGAGCTGCGTGCCAGTGGTACAGCACCGCGAATTCTGTGGATACGACATTCCCTGTAGCTCTTTCGACACGTTGTCCTCCTTTTTTAATCTCAGCTCCGAGGTCCAGTGACCAGGTCGAATTGGCGCGGGGGGTGTTGAGGATGCTGGCGACATAGTCTCTCAGGACGACCGTGGCGAAGAAACCGACGTTGATGTTGCGTGAAAGTTGGAAGATGTCGTTGTCTTGCCTACACGAGCCGGTCAGGGTTTGTGATTCCTTCTCAAATACGTTGGAGACTTACCATTTCTGCTGGTCTTCGCTGAGGCTATCCCAAGGTTTGTATTTGCCCTCTTCGTTGATGCTGAGTAGGGAGTCTGCGATGGAGTTGTGGTTTCTGCTCAGCATGATCATCAAAGCTACAACACCAGGAGGCATCTGCGAATCTCAGCATTAGAAAACATCTTCACAGACAAGCATGTCTACATACCATCATGATTCTCTCCGAAGCAACTGAGTCGGGGTAAATGAGACCATTGTTATATGTCCTAACTCGAGGCTGCTCTTTCTCGGTATTTCCATACAGGGTACTCAGGTCAACGTAGCTGGAGGTATCGTTAATCCAAGGTTGTTCGCGATTGGTCTGGAAACACTCGTGGATGACAATTGTAGCGAAAGAGAAGAACAGTCTGTTCAGCCCAGACGGGTGCTCGCGGAAAGGCCCCGTTCGCTTCAAAAGCTGCTCGAAAACAAGCTCGGGGTCTGGGAGGTTTGGTCCTTTGGGAGTGTTTGGAGGAACGCTTCGAGAGTACGGTGTGCCAGCTTTTCCCATTTCAGGCTGGAATGGGTTGTTGTTCCCACCATCGTGTCGTCTGTATCTTGTCGTGGGACCGGCCAAGGTCGCTGGAGGATGTGGAAGGTCGCCCCAAAGCATTGAGATGAAACCATTCGACACAGTGGAAGACAGTCCTGGGAGGGTTTAGCAATAAGAAGGCCTACAAAGGCTACAAGACATACCGCTGTTCAGAGGAAGCGATTGCAGCATAGCCACCCCGTTCTCTAGCAATAGTTCTTTATCGTCCAGTGGTTCTCCCGACGCAAGATCAACCAAAGCTCCTGCGAGCATCTTGACCTTTCCGGGTCCCAGACCTCGAAGGTCGCTCAACAAAGATGTCTTCTCGCCATTTGATTGACCAGTCGCCTCAGAGTTACTCTTTCGGTCGCTGGAAACGCTGTTAGGTTCAAGTCACATTCAATATGGGTGCATTCTTTACTCACGGCGCAGTAGACGGCTTCCTACGTATTGACCCAATGAAGGACTTGAGTGATCCGCCTGCCATTTTGCTGTAATCAATGTGAAAGCTGTACAGTGAGGAGAAGACGACGACRCAGAAAAATGGGGAGTTCAGGAAAAAGACGTAGATTAAGCGAGAGAAACCACGAGAGATACACACACAGCTTGCATGGTGCATACTCCCGTCGTAAGATGGGATGGATCGGCGCAAAGCACGAGCGCTCGGGTGTTGCTGAAGCATCTCCATGCATAGCACGATCCGAACATGGATGGTAATGTGGCGATGGCAATTGGTCGAGATGGGAGCGCATAACCGTGGCGCCGTCAAGATCGCCATGCGTACATTAGTTCAACGCGGTACTAGGTGTGTGTCTTTGCTCGTTGGGGCGCTAAGCCATGCGAACGGACGTGCGAAGTATGTGGATTTGCACGACACAGAGACAGTGCATCGTCCCCGTTGCAATCGCATGGCGTCACATGCAGGCCCAGACGTCACTCTCGGCGCGATACAAGAAGTAGTTTTCAGGGGGTAGAAATACCGCCCTGGGATCCAGTGTCATGGATTTGGAGGCGTGCATGTAGCTGCAGGTGAGGTCAATCAGGTCAATCCGTCGACCGAATTCCCCCTCGTGTGTGTCGATCGCAGGCTTCCCGATCGGGCGCGGTCCGTAGCCCCGAGCCAATAGCGGACATCTTCAGCACGGATCGGCTCTTGAACCATCCCTGCAATGCCTCAAAGGGGCAAGTGTCTCGCTATGCCTGCAGACAACTAGGAAGCAGCTGCAGCAACGATGAATCGGTAGGAGGGGTTTGTGGGTGGGTCACGACCATTCATCAACTCCCCGTGGATTGAACTTTATTGCAACCAACGGCAGCCGCGGCGTCGGGCGTGTGATGAATGTCCTCCCGTACATCTTTGGTGTGTGGATGAGCTCGCCACGTTCCATGCGTTGCAGGAAGCCGACCATTTTTTTCTTGGAGTTCACGTTCCCCATAGTGCTTCAGCTCTGTTCTTGACAATCTTCTTTCTCCTGCGCCAAGTTTCAGACCCCAGCTCATCATGTCGTCCGAAACTCCTTTCGTGACCCCCGACACTGAGGRGCGGCCCTCAGTTCATGTACCGCCGGCCGAGGTACCCAAGCACATTCGCGCAGTGTGCAACTCAGAGACGTACAAGGTCAAAGCACGAACTCTTATAATATGCCTCGATGGAACTGGCGACAAATTCGATGGCGACAACTCTAACATCGTTCATATTGTCAGTTGTTTGAAGAAAGATGWTCCGTCTCAAGTCGTGTACTACCAATCTGGTATTGGAACATATGACGGTGGTGGTTTGAGCAATGGACTCAACGCTGCAATGGATATGGCCGTTGGAAGTGGTCTGGGAGTCGTAAGTGGCCTGCTAAACCTTTCAAGCCTTCTTCTACATCATTTGTTGCTGACTGCTCCCCACAGCATATCAAAGACGCCTACATGTTCCTGATGCAAGCGTATAATGAAKGGGACAAGATATGTCTGTTCGGCTTCTCTCGAGGCGCTTATACTGCAAGATGTCTAGCGGGTGAGTGGCATTCCCAACTTCGGATTGTGATCAAGCCTTAAAGTACCTGCGTAGGAATGATCCATAAAGTCGGACTTCTCCCTGCACACAACGTCTCACAGGTCCAATTCGCCTACGAGTTCTACAAAGACGACAGCCCAGCAGGATGGAAGTCCAGCCGTGACTTTAAGAAAACGTTCTGTGTTGAGGTCAACGTCCACTTCGTGAGTCTGGTCGGCCTACAATGTTAAACATAGCTCACTGGCTTCAACAGGTCGGTGTCTTCGATTCAGTCGCTTCCGTAGGACTCATCCCTCGAAAGCTCCCCCTGAGCAGCACACCCACCAACAGACCACTATACTTCCGCCACGCAATGGGTCTCGATGAACGAAGAGCCAAGTTCAAGATCTCTCGATTCCAGTACCGCGATAGCGAAACAGATGGTTGGAAAGTTGCTGCTGTACACAACACGCCCAGCAGAGGAATCGCCGCTCTCCACCAGCAACAACGGGGCCAAGCTGCACGAAATAGTCCAGATCTAGGTGCAAACCATGACCATGCCAACGGACATGAACACGAGCGAGTAGCGTCACCGACATCTGAAACTGACGTTCTTGAAGTCTGGTTCACGGGCTGTCACGCAGATTGTGGAGGAGGAGCTGTAAAGAATGAAGTACGCCACAAGCTTTCGCAGATTCCTCTCCGCTGGATGATCCGACAATGTTTCGAGTGCGACACTGGAATCATCTTCAATACACATCGTCTCGCAGAGGAAGGGATGGATGTTCATACCCTGTGGCCGAAATATGTAAGTCTTGGTCGACCTACGGATGATCCTCCAAAGCATTTGAGAGATAAATACAATGCTGGAGAAATTGAACCTCGAATCAAAAGAGCTACTTCTGCTTTGGAAGACCACGGTGCTCACGACAACGATAATGGGGATGAAGGAGTTTATAAGTTGAAGATCTGGCATGATGATGAGAAGGAGCAGCTCAATGAGCATTGGGTGAGTTTGGGACTTGTAATGTAGGTGGTCATAAGATGCTAACGGTTCGCAGGTACCTGAACAAGTAGAAGACTACTTCGATGCTATTTCGCCGCTCAACGACCAGCTTGTAGATGCAAAGGGCTGGTGGGTGCTGGAGTATTGGCCGATCAAAGTCAGAGTTCAACCGAACGATTCTGACAATTGGGTCAAGAAAGTGCGATGTAATATGGGACGCTACCGACCTGTTCAAGAGACGATGMCGAATTTGCACTGGACGGTCGAGCGCCGAATCGAAGAGATGGATTACCAAGTCAAGGCCCGAGTTGGCAAGAATGCCAAGTGGCGAGTGGTTGTCTGATAGATTCAAGGCATCCGTCTCATTTTCGACAACTCTCGTCGACGTTTCTCTTTCAATCGATCTTAATAATACCGATTTTCTGAGTTGCATTTCAACTCCCATGATGACTGTGTCAATGTTGTCTTGGATGAGAACATCAAAGTCGTTCGGCATTAATTTCGTAAAGATTACTCACTGTATCCTCAAGCCTCCTCACAGCACAATCATACCCACGCCAGAGACCACAGCCACCCACGTTATGATCCCGACAGTGAAATATCCGACATCTACTCCGGCAACCGTGCTAATACTATTCGCGGCGCCGTTCTTTGTCTGCGTGGACCCACTTCCCCCTGATCCGCCTGCTCCACCTCCTCCACTGGTACTGAAACCTACAGAGCTGAGAGCAGCCACACAATTTCCCGTAGGCGTGGCGACAGCCTGTGTGGCGGCCGAGCCCGAAAAATCGCAGGCACTAGGGTTCTGACCTTGTGCTTGGTAGTACTCGTTCAACACATACCCCAGCTGCTGGTTTGAATCGCACATTCCAAAAGGTCCGTACTGTCCGGTTGAGCCATTCGCAGCGATGCCATCGCAGATGCCGTCTTCCAATCCACAGACTACACCAAACAGGTCGCCATAGTCTTCAGACGTGACGTCGTTGGAGATTGTGCACTCCAGGGCGCTGAACATGCAGTTGCAGAGTTCCACATCCGGAGACGGCGGGAGAGGAGATGCCGCAGCGCTGAAGTTGGCATCTTGAGTTGGACAGGCTTGTGGGGAGTTCGTGGGAGAAAATGATGCGGAGTTCGGACCGGTGGGCGATACGGTTGCGATTTGGGAGCTGAGATTGTCAAAATCCTGTAGAGTGGAAACGGTGTTGCCGTCGACAGAGACGAGACCTTGAAATCTGTCAGCACGTTTCTACTGCTCGACTTGCARGCGTTGTATGTGCCGTAGTCAACCTGCTTACCGTAATCGTTGACCTCCTGGAAGTATAGATAGACAATTCCTCCGCTCCAAACGCCCTCCATATCCGGGCCATATAACACGGGAGTGTCTCCAAACATTCTCGGCTGAGGGTTGTTGCATCCGTACTCCGCCAGAAACACAGGCACGGAGTAGCTTTTGAACTCTTCGGTTCTATCAGCGTATCCAGACTCCTCAAATGTAGAGTCTCCACACCACGAGTAGACGTTGTATCCCCAAAAGTCGATCGCGTCATCTTGATTATCGCCGCAGTTCATGTAGTCCGCGAGAGGGACACGGATGTACGGATTGTCGTTCGTAGCGTAGCCTACGCCAATGGAGCGGTATTTCTTGGACTTGATGTAGGATTTCATGTCGCTGTCATATTGTCAGAGAAAGCATACTTCGCAACGACATCTGGCTACTAACCGAACCGCAGCCTTGACGAACGGAGCAGCATCGGTGCTGTTGGGCGCAAACGCAACCTCGTTGCCGGCGAAGAAACCCAGGACATTCGAGTAGTTGGCCATTGCATCGATCACGCTAACAAAGTAGTCAGCAAATAGTACCAATTCTACATCCACCACCTGACTTGCCTTGTGTAGCGAGAGTAAAGATCGAGGTTCCAGTGAGGATCAATCTGGTTGATCGATTCTTGAGGAGAAGACAAGTCGGCCAGAACGTATATGCCAGCATTGGCAAACATGGTCATGCATTCTGTATGATCCTTTGAAACGCATCAGTCTGAGGGGAAGCTTCCTCATAGCATCTTCTCACCTTGGTCGGATCAATAGCATAGACGCGCACGGTATTCGTCCTCAGCTGCGTCAAGTATGGAAGATCCCTGGCGCATGCACTCCCGTCCGCGAGCGGATCATTGTAACCAGTAGTGTTAACTCCTCTGCTTGGAGTAAAGTCTTGCTGATATGCTACGCCTCGGATGAAGAACTGCGTGCCGTTGCTCGAATAGAAAAACTTGGAGCCCTTGATGACTATCGGGTCGACCTGCTGTGCTGTCGCGCACTGCAGCCAGCCTGCAACAGCCAGAACTGAAAATGCCGCACCTCTCAACATTCTTGCTTGGGAAGCTCTGTGTGTGAGAAGTTGAGATACTAAAAATGGGAATGGGGAGTGTGTGTTCTGGTGGCGTGCATTGCTTTTGAAAAGCGATAACTCACGGATGCATCGGCATGCATGTGGCAGCTAGCTGCGAACTCATAGCTTCCTTCTGGCTAGATAGCTGCCTGTTTGGAATGACCTCAGGAACAATGATGAACTCAACTATTCCCGACGCTCCTCTACTGGTCAGACTCACCGCTGTGCCGCGTGGTGCCTCCGGACCATATTAATTCCGCGTGTGCTTGTGAAATCGTGACAACGCGTCAGCCTCGTGAGATGAACGATGAGATCGACTCATGGATTGTGATGAGGTGGGATGGAGGAGTTGCGTGGCGTGGCGTGGCGGCGTGAGTTGATTTTGACCGAGGTATAGAATCCTGAGGCATCAACAATTTATGATGCCATCCACATCAGTTTAGAATGACTTCTTTTTCAGCTTCACGGCATCGACGACTTCTCGACAGCAACCTACAAGACACTTGCATGCTGCTGTGTAGCAATGTGCGCTCGATACCGGAGGCTCAAYGATCAGCGCAACACAGCTCGCACGAGTGGAAGGACAAGCCAAACGTCCGACTATCCATGCGGGGTTCTTGAGGTAGGGCAATGAAGGGGAGGACGCTCTGGAGATTCTTCTATCTGCAGCACTTTGCATGCAAGAATCTTTGAACCAGAAATCATGTCAATCATCGAAAGAACAAATCCATTGAATCTGCAATTCTGCGTGTGCGTCGTGCTTAATTGCAGCTGCCCTCTGGGCATTACAATCTCCAAAACCCTCCTCAAAGCAAACGCCTTGGTACTAGGTGTCGACTCTCGCCCAAAGGATGAGTCTTTGAACGCCGGGCTAGGAACCCATTTCCAGTACGAGCAGAATTCTCCCGGAGACGTTTCGAGTGAGCAAATTATGAAGATTGTGGAGGACAGATATGACCAGCAACGAATGGATGTCGTGATCAACATCGTGGAAGCTGGGCAGGAGGAGGGCGTGAAGGATGCTGTGGAATTGATGGAGGGTCTGGCCAAGGTAATTGCGGATGGAGCAAGAGGTAAAGGAGCTCTCGTCACTGTTATGGGTGATGCTCATGACCCGGAAGCTGCTCATGTGCAGAACGTGGTCGGTTGCACTGGCTGTCTTGAGATGGAACTTCTTTTTCTGACTTGCTGTATAGATCGACTTCTCCAAAGACCTGGCGTCAAAATTCGGGAAGAGAGGAGTAAGGTGCAATATTGTCTTGGGTGCTGGTGAGTCCTGCGATGGTCTATCAATGAACGTGTGGCTGACATGTTTAGTTGCGATTGGAAGAGACAAAACATCATACGAGGCCGCCAAGGAGAATATGCATGCGCTGATGAAGACTGAGAGGTAGGTGTTTCTTTTGTGGTTTCCTCTTGGTGCACCAGCAACTCGACTGACCGTGTCCAAAGGATTGCAAATGATGTGTCTTCGGTCGATCAGGCGAAGCAGCCAGTCGCAGAGCTATACGACGTTGGAAATGTCACCCTGTTCTTGGCGGGCGACATGGGCGAGAATATTTCTGGTGCGATAGTGGCTCGGGACGGCTCATACCACGAAATATAGCTGTTTGATTGCTCGAAGTAGCAAGCTTGGCAGCTTCTACGAGACCAATGGGCTGTGGCGAATAGAAGGCATCCATTATCATAAACGAAGTTGGCATTGTAGGGGTGTAAATTTAGTTGGCCCGGTTCCGTGGTCGATAGTAAGGCAACCGGCAGAGTATGAGTGGCTGAAGCCGTCGACATGATTGCCATCACGAACGTCCCTCGGATATTCTTTGGTGATGTCTTTTGCTTTTAGCACGAGGGAATCTGCATTTCAGATGCCGCGGGGTGTTGTAACACATAGACTCTGTGGGAGAGTCATGCACCGACACGTGGAAGTGGAAGCAAGTCCTGTGAATGTTCGRCTCCCCTGTCTGTACCAAACATCCCTCATTCTGGGCGAGGACCCAGGTGTAGGACTGCCTTACAGCACTCCTAGCGGTCCCGCGCCCTCCCGCTCTTGGGCGACGGCTTTGCTGGCGATACGACGACTTCCTCAAGGGTTGTGAATTGTGAAAGAGACAACAATGCCCGCGTGTCAGTCGGTGTGACCGGAAGGTACGTCATCGTCGAAAGTTCTATGCGATGACTGCCGCTATGCCACTTCTCGTCCAGCAAAGGTTTCTTTGGCCGCAAGTTTCTTTGTTCAAGTCCCAGAGCTACGGTCGGCTGATGGCATAGCAGAGATGCAGAGTTCGATGATGCGCGGTGATCCGAGGCCGAGACCACCGCCGTGGCTACGTCATTGCTCACACTCGAACGACACAACCACCATTTCCCGCTCCTCTACAATCTTCTGCTTTGGTATCTAACTGACTCGTCCTGCCATACCCCGGACGGCTTAATACTCTATCAACCACCAACAAACTTCTTCAAAGCGCCAAAATGTACGTATGCCACCAAGACCATCTTGTTACTCCTCCCATACTAACGCGGGCCTTGTCATAGGAACATCGGTCGCTCGCACTCGATTCGCTCCAAGAAGGGCTCCAACAATGACAACGCCCCCAAGCACCGCTTCGCCATGTCTTCGTTCCGTGGGCTAGGAGCTCCTGAGCTGTCGAAGAAGCTGCGATCGCTCATCAAGACACAAAACCACGCCATTGGCGCTTACGAGCAAGCCGGGCGTGAGTCTCAGTCCCTTGCATCGCAATTGAGCGAGTGGGGTGAGAGCACCGAGGACGAGGCTGTCAGTGACATCTCCGACAAGCTGGGAGTACTACTCGCCGAAATCGCCGAGCAGGAGGATCTCTTTGCGCAAAACTTGGAGGAGTCGCGCGGTGTGCTCAAGCAAATCCGCAATACCGAGGCCAGTGTTGCACCTACCCGCAACCAAAAGCAGAAGATCCAGGACGAGATCCAAAAGCTCAAGTACAAGGAGCCCGAGTCCACCAAGCTTGTCACTCTCGAGCAGGAGCTTGTCCGCGCCGAGGCTCAATCCCTTGTTGCTGACGCTCAGCTCACAAATGTCACACGCCAAAAGTTCAAGGAGGCCTATGACTTGCACACTGCCGCCGTCATCGAGCGTGCCGAGAAGCAAATCATTCTCGCCCAGCAGGCAAGACGACTGATCAACATGCTGGACGACACTCCAATTGTGCCTGGCCAGGATCGCGCGGCTTTCACCGGTGCTGAGGGTGGCAAGGACATTCTGAACGATGCTGAGACTGCCTTGAGAGGCTGGTCGCTCGATGTGGAGCCAATCAACTCTAATGCTGGCAAAATCGGCTCTAATGCCATGGGCGAGCCGCAGCAGGAGCGCATCGAAGCCCCAACTTCCGATCACCAGCGTGTCGAGGCCCTTGAGGCCCAGCAGCAGGCAGAGCTGAACAGCTCGAACCCACCATACCCAACCGCCGAGACGACACAGAACGCTGCTCTAGCTTCGTAGAAAGGATCTTGGAGGACTTAATGTGTTGGATTGTTTTGAAGAAAATTGCTATGCGGGCGGGACAGGACGCGATGACAGAACATGTTTTATGCAGTGCTTACGACAGACATTGATTAATATACCCCGTGATTTTGCGGCATCTGGCCAAACTAGTGTGGGCGACATGTCGACAACAGTCGTTGACCGTAGTATCCAGCTTCCTTCACACTACCCCAACCCCAACCCTAGCGCTTCTAAGTAGTGCCTCTCCTTGATCTCACGTGATTGATCTCACGTGATAGAGCTGACACTGCCGAATCCGAGTCCGAAGTCCGACGACCACACCTCAAGGTATGACCTCTACCTCCCTGTCCTTCTTTGCGTAGTACCATGTCCAAGAGTTCCATCACAGGCATGGTGCTCCGGCTCAAATCCACGCTTCCATGGAGAAGGATCCACGCGCCTTCTACACAATGGCGAGGTCACGCCACTGTGTGCAAAAGAAGAAACTACACACCGGATGAAGACGAAATGATTGTGAAATTTCTCAAGGCAGGGCACAGCTACTCAAACATCGCTGATGCATTGGACCGCCATCCCTCCTCTGTTCAATCTCGTTTTTWCAATTACTTACGACACCGAGAAGATGCGCAGTGCCTGAGAAGCCCCCCCAGAAAACCATCCAGTGAGATGCGAAATGCGGAAATACAGCGCTTGAAGGAGCAGGAAGGGCTCTCAATATCCGAGATAGCGAGGCGATTAGGTCTCTGTGAGAGAACGGTGTATTATGGCTATGGGATGGTGCGCGCCCCCAAGGGGACGACGTATTGGAATTATTCAGAGGCAGAGGTGGAAACCATTGCTTCCGGGCTCCGCCAAGGAAGCTCCGTCCTGGAGATCTCAAAGAGTCTCGGGTGTGGCCGGACAAGCCATGGTGTGGCTCAGTGCATCAGAGGAAACCCGTATTTACGAACTTTGAGGCCGCCTGCCAGCTGGAGATTCACGCCGGCAGAGGACCAGGCGATCAGGGCTGGCATGATCGATGGAACATCCTTGTCGAAATTGGCCAAACAGCTTCAGCGGCCGAGATCCTCGATCGCGAGCCGCTTGCGTCTTCTCGAAGCAGAGATGCTGAAGGAACCAGAAGAAGCTGCGCCGGGCATAAATTTACCCACCCGCAAAGCCTCATTACGAGAATACTCGCCAAAACACGAGGCTTTGCTTGAACAATGGCAAGCACGCAATGTAAGAAGTGTCAAAACGATGAGACCTTGGCGTCCCGAAGAAGTAACTCTTCTGCAAGCGGGGCGTGCGAAAGATGGACTTTCTTGGGATGATCTGGCCAAGCTTTTACCCGGGAGAACAGCCGGTGCTATCTTCACCAAATACAGTAGGCTCAATCCCAAAGACCCCAGTGCAGGTCCGAAGAAGGGCCACGCGCCGCCTGCTCCCGCTCGACCTTGAAGATGGGTGTAAGGCTCAGCATCAAGACAATAATATTCGTAACGATGCAATGAGGTGACGGGATCGTCACTTTCGTGTCCAAGGCAACGCATTCATCACTTGATGGTGAGGAATCGGTCCATCCACGAATATTGTTTGCATCCCATCAGCTTTGGATTCCGAGCCAGGTGATTGAACTGGAACTGCTAACATGCGTCAGTAATGTAACGCTCGTGTTGGTGCTACAGGCTTGACGGGCTGTTGCCCGATCACGCTACTGCCCGCTGGGACGTGGCTCACACGTAAAGTATTCATATTGAGACCAGGCCTGGAGACGCTGCCTTTATGACCACTTTTCGTTCCCGCGTGCCTAGCGTTGGAGATGAGAACGAGACATTGAGAAAGTCTGGCCAACACAATTTGGCGGCTTGGACGAGAGGACATCATGAGTGGGTGTTGTTCCGCCCCGTYTTTCCTCCAAGCAAGTCTTCCGCTCCACCCGCGTTCGTCTGGTATGATCTCTTGTAATKCGGGATTATTGTCATCACAAGCTGCAATCAGTGAGTCGTTTCCGGAAAGATCTTGGAGTAGTCATACCCCTTTGACCGCTCGATGGCGTTTGCTACTCAGAATGGGCCTCGCTCGTCTTCACAGAGACAATCATGCGGGCTGGATATCCAGCACCCAGATCGGCAAGCCACTGTCAATGTCAAGGAAGCTGGACTGATGTCTTCAAATGGATATCTCTATTTCTAAATCAAGCCCGAGGAGAGACTATCGTTACAATGACTTGTCCTGTAGACACGAGGATGCCCTGATCAGCCAGGCAACAATGCAACCAGTACTCTACAGCTCATCGTGCTTTGGCGACGGCCTTCCACTGTCTTTGTGGAGATCCACGCCGTTCTTCTTCCTCCACTTCTCCCACGTCGCACTAAAGTCCTTCTTCATGCCGCTCTCCATCTGATCGGGCAGCACAACCACGTACTCGACGTGGAGTGCTCCATACTCGGGACCCTGTCCTTCTTGCCACTTCCACACCGGCATTCCCTCGCCGGGGATGACTTCCACCGTGCCCGGCTGCACGACCTCTCCCTTCTTCCGACTTAATTGCACAACGTGCCCGTCCAGATGCGTGACGTTTCTCGTCCAGTCTCCCATCCACGCCTCTCGCAGGCTCAATACTTCTCTCCAGAACAAGTTATCGCCCTTTCTCCTAAAGAACTCTCCATCCGTCCTCTCATTCGGGTCCGCGGCCAAAGCCGGCTCGCTCGGCACAATCTCCACCCAAAGATCCCCCGCCACAAAGTCCGGGCTCTCATCGCCCTCATTCTCATACTGCACTCTCACACCCTTCGGCATGCCCTTCTCCACACTGATATCAAAACTCTCCACACTCCGCACCACCCTCTCCCCATGACACTTCTTACACTTGTGTTTGACCGTACTGCCCTTTCCCCCACACTTATCACACTGCATCTGCATTTGCTGATAGATTCCCGGCGCCAACATTTGTTTCTGAATCACCATCCCTTGTCCTCCACACTTGTTACACGTATCCCTCTCCCCATCCTCACTTCCACTGCCCTCGCACGTCTCACAGATGATTTGCTTCTCCACTTTAAACTCATGATCGGCTCCCGTGTAGAAATCCTTCAGAGGCATGTTGACGCGTACATTCATCTCGGGACCTCTGCGTTGTCCTCCATGTCCCGAGTGGAAATGTCCCCCACCACCGAAAAATTGACTGAACATGTCGAAAGGATTACGTCCTCCTCCTCCACCCGCCCCGCGCTCCTTGTGTTGTTTGACTCCGGCGGCGCCATGGGCATTGTATATTTTGCGGAGTTCGGGATCGGAGAGGATTTCGTAGGCTTCGCTGACTTGGGTGAATTTGTCCTGGGCGGTTTCGTCGTTGGGGTTCTTGTCCGGGTGATACTTTTTGGAGAGGCGGCGATAGGACTTTTTGAGGTCGCGTTCCGACGCGGATTTGTCGAGCTCGAGGAGCTGGAGGTGGGGAGGTGTGTTAGTTGGGGGAGATGCTGTTGGAGGTTGGACGTATGGCGTACTTTGTAGTAATCTTCCGCTGCGAGAGCGATGAGTGGGAGGAGGCAGAGGAATGCCAGGGTGGAAAAGAGCCGCATTGTGGTGGTGGTGGTGTTGGGGAATGATTTGTAGCGAGTGTTCAAGCCAGCATGTCCCGGCGATGCAATCGTTCGTTCGTGGATCTCGTTGGAGAAGATGGGTTGGAGGGATCTATGCGCTCATTTTGCTTTCGATTGTGCAAAACTCCCCAAAGGTGGTCGTGGAATGAAATGGCAAAGTAAAGTGGAAGAAGTACCAAGTGTCGTGGTCAATAATGGAATTGCAGTAAATGTTTCCCCAATCCTAGGCCGGTGACGATGCGGACAAGTGGCACTCGAAAGATTGCCGGCCGAAAAGGCTAATGAGAGCCTCTTCCGCCTCAAGGTATCTTATCTTTGGCCCAAACACACGCTTTCGAGGCTCATGATGCCGATAGAAGATGCGGTCCTGCACAGAGTCTTCCATCTTGCTGGACATGCGTGGCAAATGGATAAGGAAAGGGTGCAGGAAAGCTATCATTAAATGGTCCATCCTGCTGGCCGCAACCCATCTTCCAGACACTTGCAGTAGGTACATCACATGGCACGGATCACATACATGATGCACCATTCCATTCCTCCTTCACGATACTCCTACTCCTACAGCCTTCTGATGCTGTCAAGAGCGCTCTACCGCCTTGACGCCTTCTCCGCCAGACCAGCTGAAGACCCGGMCAGGTTTATCACGCCTCTTGAGGCCTCTACAGTTTACCCGCATTTCGATGCATGGAGACACAAGACTAAGGTAACTTGATCATGAGAGAGACTACTGACCAGAGCAGAAAGCGCATCTTCCTATTTCGACATGGTCGTGTTCGAAGGACTTCCGGCTTGGATCATCGCAGCCGCTTAATAATAATAAATTGACGCGCTGTGTTTGAGCCGAAACCTTCCATCGTAGCTGAACCTCCTCCCTTTGACTCCTCATTGAGACATCGTAAGTAGAGCCGCACCTTTGACCCGGGGAGCATCCGGCGAGACTGGCCAGTTCAATTCTTCACCACGTCTTCTAGACATAGATAACATGCCGGAGCTCACCTGGGTCGCCGAGGTGCCAACCAATTCATCCTCCCTGTTCGTTACCGCCCGTGGCGTGGGCAGAACAAAAGATGAGCACAAAAAAGTCCGCAAGCATGCCGCTCAGATGAGCGCAGCTAAACGTCTGGCCACGATCAAGCAAAAAGAGCGCGATGTCATCATGGAACTGGTGCGGCAACAGTCTTCCACCGCGCTCGAACGTCCAAAGGCCAAACGTCACGCAACGGAAGAGGGTCCGCCTCCATGGTTCATTTCAAGACTGCTCGCGGAATCATCATGGTATGAGACCGCCGTGCAGATGAACAGTCTGGGCCAGAAATCTACAAGAAACATCCTCCACGGCGCTCTCACCCACAACACTTCATTGTGGCAATGCGCGGTCATGGCGGCGGGGACTCACACCAACACGTGCGGTCTACCCCCTTCAGCGCTCCACAGCATGGGTACCGGCCTCATCCACTTGCGAAGTGCTTCCCTGCAAGCGGTCAACTCCGCCATCCAGGCATCTGTTCGAGACAGCCTTACTTGCGTTGCCGTCGCGCTGATGGCAGGTTGGGAACGAGGCTGCCGTTATGGGGAGAACAGTGCGTACGAGATGCACATGGCCGCGTGGCGTCGTATGAAGTTTCCACCAAATGCACTGGAAGAACAAAACATTGACACTCTGATGGACGCCGTCATGGGTGCGTGCCATGCAATTTCATCCTCAATCCCTGTGCGTGCTACATTGCTAATGATCAAAAGAGCTCTTCAAAGAGAATCTCGACGAGATTTCCATCGTGAGAACCACCGCATCATCCTCGCGTCCGCAGTATCCCGCCCATCTCCCAATCGGATTTCGAGTCTTTAGCTTGGCTCGTCCGGAAACCAGATCATTGCTCGACATTGTTTCGAGGATCGCGGAAAACGATCCGACKGTCCTGGGATCGCTTTGGGGCATTCGTGAGTTTTGTGTCCAGGCGATTGCATGGGGCGCCTCGCACTCCGTCTCCATCGGTCTGGAGGTCTGTCCGGCTCACGAAGAAGGATGGGATTATCCGGAGCTCCAGGCGCTCTATCACATTAGAGCAACGTGCATATCCCTCAACGCTGTCCTACATACAGTGGCCATGGACACACATAAAGTGCATTGGAGTGAGTGAAGCTCGTTCTTTCCATCCCAGCAGTTTCACTGACAGTCTTGCTCCTTACCAGGCATGGACCATGCCGATGCCTTGGCCGCGCACGTTTCATCATGCCGGCATCTCAATACAGGAGCGCTGATGGGGACCAAGTATGAAGCAATTGGTCTCTGGAGTCGATTCATGATGTGTGCGATTAGTAGAGATCCCGATCGAGACCATTTGTTGTATCGATGGATGCGTCTGTGTGGCGTCGAAGCCTGGTTGGATCTGGAGGCTTTGTTGGCGAGGCATATCGACCTACATCAATTCCTGGGAAGCAGGACTCATGACTTGTTTCGCATCGTCACGGGGAGAGCCGGTGATTTGAAACTTCATGGTTGGGAATGAAGCCTCTTGCTTTTTGCGAGCATTCCTTCTGGACTGGAGATTTGTCCTAGCTCGGAGAAGGAAGCCTAGGTGGCGGTCTCTCCCGGATTGAGGAATGGAACGAGTAGTGAGCCTAGTCGACTTCGTTATCCTGCGTGCCATCGCTGCTAACATTGGCAGACCTGCTATGTTTGCGGCAGGTCATCCAGGGTTATGTCCCGACGACCTCCTTCGGGTGCGAGCCGTTGACTAACTCGGCGAAGAATCGGTGCCGACGTATCTCTAAATCGGCTCCGTCATTGGACTATCTGCATCGCATGGCAATTTTGAACTGCAAGAATGCTGTCGGAATTTCCTCTCGCGGGTTCAATAAGCGACGACTCATGAGAAGGGCCCACAACTGGGCGGGATACTGCCGGGAACGAAGGGAGCCCCTGGGCAATCAACGCCACGGGACTGTTGTGCGTGACGTTGATAGCACCACGAAGCGACATCCCGGGAAGAAAGCCCAGGAGCCAAAGACAGTATCAACAGATGTCGTATGTATCAACTCGATACTTCGACGTCGACGCTGTCTTTCTTTCCAGATGCTGTGGGCATGGTTGACAGTTTATCTGCGGAGCCTAGCACTGTAGCGACGCGGCAAATGCGGACAAAGCGGGAACTGGTGAGGGCGCGCAGATATCAAAGTTGTCATTGGCGGGATTCACCACCAATTTCATCGAGAAATCAAGATCTCGAATGCTTGAAATCAGTGCCATTCATCTCCATGTACACATTTCCCACCACCTTACAACATACGCTTTTCATCTGATGTGGATGAGATGTAAGGACGGGGCGGACCGCCCAGCTTTATATTTGAGCATTAGGCAGAATACGGAAAATGAAAAAAAGCCAAACCTACACCGAAACACTGACACTGTAGACTAGCCTTCACTCGAACTAACCAGCGGTACATTAGGTTTAGCAAGTACATTCGAATGCTCCACAGATCTGATCTCCCACATGATATTAGAAGCCACGGAACCAAGACACTCCTACTATCAAATGAGTCCACACTCATGGCCGAGGCACTTCTGTTATACCTTGGCTGGTCCAGAATACCAGTGGTTTCACAACATCCCTCACCGAATACTTCTCATCGATACCTTCTTCAGAACGATAGCTGAAGTCGGTCTCGAGCCATGCTACCCGGAACAGAGAGGAAGAAGCAGAAGACTACACAACCACAGGCGGAGGAATCATGGCACCATTCTCCAATCATGTCCGAGACTGTTGATCATTCAGAGGGCAACTTCATCTGGATTGACGATACACGTACGTCCTCAGCATCGGGTGGTCGTCGTGGCGTGAGAAGAAGCGTGCGAGATCACGATATAGTAAGGAGACATGCCGCAACGGTCTCAGCGGCAGCACGCCTGGCTACTATTCGAAAGAGAACAGCGTCTTCGCCAGAGAAATCTCAAGCTGTTGCTCRCGAATCCCAGTCTGAGGATGCTCAGCCGTGGTATATCCTTCGACTGATCGAGGGACATTCATGGTACAGAGAAGCTATGCAGTTCAATTCCGTCAATCAGAAGTCGTGAGCACCACGGAATCATCGCGGACACTTTCTATAGCTGACAATTTCTCGAGCACGCGAGCACTCCTCTGGAACTCAATCACCCAACATCCCGCCCTCTGGCAATCCGCATATCTAGTTTCCGGCACATACAGCAACAGCTGCGGACAGCCCGCGTCTACAATCCATGGAATTGGCAGCGGGCTCATATACCTCAGGGGTAAAGCATTGGAAGCAATCCACGCTTCCGTAGCATGCGGAACCAAAGACCATCTAACATGCATAGCAATCGCCATGCTCGCAGCTTGGGAAAAGAGATTCGGCGATGTGGAAACCTATCACGTCCACATGAACGCATGGAAACGCTCCCCACTACCTCCTTCCGCGCAAGAGGAAAACGATATCGAGGCACTGCTGCATGCCGTATGGCTTAGCATCCGAGAGAATCTCCAAGAACGTGCCGATGAACTACATACCGCTGCTGGAACAAAACACCAATATCACTACCCCGATCATCTCCCGCTTGGATTCCGTAAATTCCCTCTCCATCGCCCCGAAACCCGCTCTCTCCTACAATTACTCGCGCAATTCGTCCACAGCAACCCAGAAGCACCCAACAGCGTCGCACGCTCCCGAGCCCTACGAATTGAAAACATGGCATGGAGTCCCAGCCACACACTCTCCCATAACCCCGGGGACATGTCCTGTGTGGCATACGAAGAAAGGTGGGATGGTCAGGATCTCTGGGCTCTATATCACATTCGAGCCGCTCTGGTTTCCCTGATTGGCCGCTTTGGAATCGCAGCTCACAATAACGCGCATCAAATTCATTGGAGTGGGGATATTGCTCCGGGATTGGAACTTCACGCTAATAATTGTCGATATTTGCAGACGGAGGAGCTTATGGGGGGGAAGTATCGGGAAATTGGATTGTGGGCGCAGTTTACTATTTGTGCGATTTCGAGGGTGGGGAGTAGGGATGAGTTGTTGGGGAGGTGGATTAGGTGTTGTGGGGTGGGGAGTTGGGGGAGGATGAGGGAGCTTTTGGAGAGGCATGACCATCCGGAAGCGATTCTTGGGAGGAGGACGGAGAGGCTTTATTGTTTGCTTATGGGGGGTTGAAGGATTGCAACATACCAATGGGCGCTTTTCAAAGAGGATGGTGCTTTACGCATCGATATCATGACCGGAGGACACCTACGCACACCTTACGACGGGACTTGGAAGCATACAGCTAGCATGGTACGAGCTTACGGGGTTCAGTATCTCGAAACATGGGAGCAAGAGCCGCGGTCTGGAGAACCTGAGCGAAGTATGATCTTCAGCAAAAGCTGTGAAGAAGGCGCATGGAAGAACACGTCGCGAGGTGCGTTCAGTCGACTATACTTCTGCGTAAATGCTACCCCATCTGTACTACTAGTCGAAGTAGTGCGGAATTCCTCACCACGAAAATCGACCACTCGACTCCGGCTCACTAGCTGCTCAATCGAATACGCGGATCTGATACTTCCGTCATTCAACAGAGGATTTGCTTCCTTATGATCTCCCTCCGCCGTCGGCTCTCAATCGAAGAGTTATGTACACGTTTGTTAAAGCCTGGGAAGCCGTTTGGTTTGGCGGTCGTGGTACCGAATTCTGTTCTTTGRGGCAGAGTTAGCAAGAGATCGGGAGAGAGACAAGAAATAGGGGCTGGATTGGATTCACCTCGACTTATCTGTGGGCGGTGATGATGTACGCCAGGGCCACTGGTGTGGAAGTAATGGTACCATGAGCTATAGTAGTATGAGATTTGACGTCATGTCTTTTCTTGGGAGGAGGAAGAAGAGAGATCTTTAGGGGTATCAAATCTGATGATGGCTGGAGTGCAATTGCTGACGTTCTGCTGCTTTGCGATTGTGATGCTGAATTGCAGACGTGAGTTCAGTGTGGCAACAAGAGGATATATTTGCAAGGACAGCTTCCTACGTCGTACCGCCATCAATACATGGCAAGATTTATCAAGAGATGGTATGGTGTGATGTCGAGAAAGTACGGCTGGAAAAGGAAGATTCACTTGAACTAGGTTTCACATTCATTTCTTATCTCGGTGAGGTCCGTTGGACGGTGAGGAGACTGATGACAGGGACGGAAGATGGACTTCAGGTAGCTTTTTGAAGAATTGCTTCAATTTGTCTTTAATAATGGAGTTGTGACTTCTTTGCAGCTAAAGTGTTCTACACTGTAAGGTAGTATCAGAAGTGTCCAAAATCCCACGCTCACGTCCCACGACTTTGTGGCATTGAACATCACCACAGAGGTCTGCACCGATAACACCTTACTTATCAACAACAAACAACTTTCACAGAATCTACGATCAGAAATGCTCCGTTGTACCAATATGTTGTTCATTGGGACTCTCCTGTCCCTCATCGGCAGTACCTGGGCGAAAAATGCGCAGCTTCGCCAATTACCGCCGCTGAGGGAACAGGCAAAGATACAAGATGCCTGGCTCYAGGAGCGACTAGGGAACATTCCCTCAATACTACAAACACACGGAGTAGATGCTTGGCTCGTAAGCATCCAGTCCCGAAAACATTGGATTGTGCATAGATAGACAGCTAAGCAAATCCAGATCTCTCAAAAGGAATACGCCGAAGACACAACATTCTGGTCCATGATAAGAGCCATCCAATTCGCCGCCAGAAGACGCACTCTCTCCATCTTCTTCGCCGATACAGAGAAGAAGAAGAAGGAATCTTGCAGACCACGGACTTGGATCGATAATACTCCCGCCCTCTGGAACCAGCTGCAAGAAGTATTGAACGAGTGTAATCCGAATTCCATAGCCATTAACGTGGATTCCGAAATTGCTTTCGCAAGCGGTCTGCATGCTGGAGAGTACGAAGAAATCCTCTCAGAGCTTGATAAACCATGGCGAGATCGCTTAGTCGCAGCGCCAAAAGTTGCCGTGGAGTATATTGCAACAATGCCCGAATCTCGACTAGACTGGTATCGGAAATTCCAGGAGACTGCTTGGGCCGTCATCTCCGAGGGTTTCAGCCGTGAAGTAATCGTTCCTGAAGTCACAACGACCGAGGATGTGGAGTGGTGGTTTCGAGAAAAGTTACAATCCCTCAACTACACGACTTGGTTTCACCCAAGCGTGACTATCCTCCCGGGCGACGTCACACCTAACATGACGATGGAAGAAGAACTTCCTATCTTTCAGCAAGCTATCCAGTATGGGGATTTACTCCATGTAGATTTCGGTCTCACGGCAATGGGTCTCAATACCGATACCCAGCATCTAGCATACATTCTCCCACCAGGCCATACCGAATCTGACATCCCTCAAGGTCTCCTCGAAGGTCTGCGGAAAGGTAACCGGCTTCAGGATATCGTCAAAAGAAACATGGTACCAGGTCTCACGGGAAACCAAGTCCTTGTAAATGCAAGAAAGGAAATGTATGAAGCGGGTATCGAGGGACGGATTTATTCGCATCCGATCGGGGATTGGGGACATAGTGCTGGAGGTGTAATTGGTATGACGAATTTGCAAGATGGAGTTCCTGTACTGGGGGACTTGTCCGTACTTGAGAATATGTATTATAGTATTGAGCTCTCTGTGGAGCATTTTGTGCCGGAAAGGAATGAGACTTTGGTGTTTCCTTTGGAGGAGGATGTTTATTGGGATGTTGAGACGGGGTCTTTTGAGTGGGTTTATGGAAGGCAGGGGGAGTTTCACTTGGTTAGATCAGAGGAGATGTCGTCGGGCTTGACGGTACAAGGGTAGGTAGGGTATGAATAAGATGAGGTGTAGGTGCCGACCAGCGCACACTCAATGATGTTGATCTTTCACACGTACTCCCACCAACCACCGTGAGTGCATAGATCATTGATGGTTTCAAAAATGAACATGACGTCGAAAACAGCCCAAAAGCGAGTGATATTCCCCTACATCACATCGTTGCATCATTCTCGTATCAACATATCTACCTCCCAATACCCCTACTCGCCAACCGGACAGTGATCATAATACCCATTAACATTATTCCCCCACCACGAAGGAAAAGGTATCGAAGGACCCCCCGCCCCAAACACGGCAAAAGATAAGATGAACAGCACGGAAAGACTGCCACCATCAAAAGCACCCGTGACCAGATAGGAGTAGTCCCGGAAGATCCTAGGACGATAGTTTCGAAGGTAGAATTGCACGAAGAATCCAGCGATCATCCAGCTGAGCAGGATACAAGTCTGCGATTGATTGTAGGGGATGTAGCCCATGTACTGAAGGAGCTGGGGGAGATYGAGATCGGAAAGGTTGAAGCGGCCAACGGAGGGTTTGAGCTGGATTTTGATAGTTAGTGGAAAGCTCAGCAGGTTCTCGAGGAGGTAATGTCACTGACCCAATAGAGAGCACGGTGGATGGCAACAAGACCAAATCCAATCAGGAGACCCCATGGGACCAAGCCGTACATCTTGCCTGATCGGTAGAGAAATTCGGCGAGTGCCCAGGATGTGGCGTTGGTGTTGTATGACTGGATGGTTGCGCCACTCCATGAGGCGTTTCCATTGGTGTTGATTAGGACGTCACGATTGCTCTTGACGATGCTTATCATGACAGCATAGTTGACAAAAGCGCCGACTACGGTGCCGTACCTGTTGGCAATGTTAGCGATACCTTGTCGGGACGATTCAAGAAGAACGGAGGCAATTTTTGCGCATGATGCAGGCTGGTGTCATATCAGAAGGCGCTTGAGGTGGATTTCACTTACATCTGCGTGAGGAACATGATACGCGCAGGAATCTTGAGGTACTCGCCCATCTTCAAATCGTTTGAAAGTTGGACCGTGCCCGAAATGGTGTTGTGTGACCAGGCTGCGAAATACATATTGCCGACTGGTCGTCCGGGTAGAATGAGGCCAGCCATGAGCTTCGAGAGGTTGTTCGTCGCGATTCCGTTACCGAATCGGGAGTAAAGGATGGTACTCTATTCTCACATTAGAACTCTCCAAAACTGTGCCACCTCAGGTCGGAACTGGTGAGGAGATACTCACAAAAGGGGCAATGATTGATCCGAGAAGCAGAGATACAATGTACGCCCACCATGGTAGCGTGATGTTCTCTTTTACKACAACGAWGAGGCCAAAGACAAAGCTCAAGATGAGCAAGCAGACGTACCACCACCACGGTACTTCCTTGTAAGTCTTGTCCATGTGGTCGTGATGAAGATCGTTGAACACGCCTTTTTTGGCGCTCTTGAATGTCCTGACGATGTCACCTCCCCAAAAGAAGATGCAATGAGCGATCAAGGCACCGATCTAACTTTCAGTCAGTTATCAAAGGACATAAAATATGTGAGATGACGAAGACTTACCGCAACATTGGCCATCAGCATCGAGTACGCAAATGTTCCTGATAAGCGGGGAATTCCCGTCTCCAGCAGTGCTTCCCTGTCGAGTACTCCCTCGGTGAAGACGCTTGATATGGGATAAGCGGTGCCGTTTTGCGTGAGGAGTTTTGTAGACATGAATGGCAGTGAGCTGGCTCCCCACACGTTACCGTAGTAGATTCCCAACATGATGAAGCCACAGATGATCAGCCCTCCACCCTGGTGTACTTGGAACACCAGCGGAAGTGACGTCTGAAATGAAGTGATCTGAAGAGCGTGTCAGTCTCAAGGTCCTGTTGTCCCACAAGATCGTCTTACATATTGCCAGTCGAATGACAAGCTGAACCATCCCAAGCCCTCATTGTTGGACGCCCCACCAAACAAGTTCGTCAAGATCGAGGCCTTCTTGCCGGTAGCTTTGGAAGCAGCCAGACAAGGAATAGACACCGAATTGAGCCACGGAAACATGTAAGCCGGGAACCACTCCCAGACACACATACTGGCGTACGCGTACCAAAAATACCGAAGTGGTTTCGAGTTCTTCACCTGTTGCCAGTGGAGTCCCTGGAGAGACTTTACAACCGGGAGAGTGCTCCAATATACGGCATCCACGTGCCAGACCGTGATTGGACGTAACAGCCCTGCAAGACCGTAGCCGAACAATCCGATGGACAGAGTACTCAATATGACTGTTGTAGGAGACAACGGGACATTGTAGAATAGGTCTTGTGCGGCAAAGACCTGGGAGCTTGGGGCGGCATTAGAAGCGGCCTAGGATGATGTCAGCGCACGGTTTGGAGTGAATGGAATGGCACGGAGGAGTGTTTAACGTACAGTGGCAGTGATGACACACACGGCGTGCTCTTTCAGTCCAAACTTTCCATGATTAAAGAAAGAGATGGCTCGAATCCAGCGAGGGACTTCACCCTGCCCGCCTCGTAACCTCCAGCGAGCTTCAAGTTTGTCGCCGCGAGGAAGGAAATGCGCGTATGCTTGTCCAGCGAAATAGGCGATAAGAACCAGGAACGTCCCCTGAATGGTCACCAGCGTCGGTTTGAACTAGACTTTCCGTCAATATAAGCTCTTCTAGCCCGATGTCAGGTGAATTGGATATACCTGGTAGATCTGATACATCGTGGCTTGGAATCCTGTAAGTCCGGTCGCCAATAACATGCCACGAAAGGTCAAAGCTGGATCACCATCATCCCGTAGAGGCAAAAGATGTTTCGCAGCATCAGCTCCCGTGATGATAATCACCTCGTTCTCATCATCGCGAATGCTGCCTTCGTCAGACGTAGGAACTTCATCAGCATTGATCTCCAAATTTGCTTTCTTCTCGTCCTCGTTGCCGGCTGACCGAAGGCTAGGCTGATGGCTGGTGGAGATGTCGTGTGAAGAAACCACCGCTTCTTTTGCGTCTCCGAGCGGTTCGGAATGCATAGTTGCGCGTGAAGGAGTGAGATGCTCTGTGATACAAGGACCACCAGAGTGCTTTAACCATTCATCCCTCGCGATACAGTGCCTGGCCCATGTCGCAAATCACTCCTTATCGCTCGCCGTCTTAGCCATGATATCCACAACGAGGCAACCTGCTTCATGTAGCACTCAGTAGCCACGATGCAACCCAAAATCCCACACCGTCGCACTGTGGCACAGAGAGAATGTTGATCTATCCCGTTAGGGAACAGAACGATAGCCAAGTCAGACGGGGTCCAATACAATCTGCTTCGTTCCTCTCGCATCCGCCTCTCTGAGCGGCCCCACCGGATGCGTGAGGATATCAGTGTAGGCGAAAGATATCTAGCATGCTTGGCGCCATGCCAAGCTACTACACGCGCGACCACTTGGAACTTGGTCGAGGCGAGCAGAAGCCATCTCGCCGGCATGCATAGCAATCCCGAGGTCTCTTTGGGGAGTAGAACACCGGTAACGCCAGCGGGCATGGCAGAATATACCGTCGGAGGTCGTAGTATGCACGCATGGCGAAGGCCACTCGTTTCAATATCTGTCACTTGACAGTCGACAGCAAAGAGGTGGTAGATCAGGCCAAGCACACCACAATCGGCATCTTATCCGTGCTTGCATCTTTCAAGCCTTGTGGGCGTGTAGCGTAGTACGCCCAGCGGTAGAAGCAATCGGTGAGGTCCACCGTCCAGACTCCAGAGCTCCACTACCAACTTACCCKAAGTCGTTCCTTATCTGCTCCAAAGCGAGTGGTCCGACCTGATCTTCATCACTCGGCCGAACGGTTCCGCTCCACCCTGCGTGCTGTGGATACAGCGGTTTCGCACCTCGGTTCTGTCTTCCCATGACAGGAGGGGAATTCTCAACAGCCTTGGGGCGGGTCGCGTTGCTCAAAGACGCCTAGGAGCCAGAGATTGGAAACACCATCTTCTAGTGAGATGTCACTTAATACAACGAAATAGTCTGTGCCGCAGAGTAAGCATGTCGAGACCATTCGTGAATGTGTTCGAATGATATAGTAAGTGAGGTGTGAAGGAGAAGGTTTCTGCCATCGCATAGAATTATCATCCTTCAGCATTCAGCTGCCAAGAACTCCGAGCTCCGCATACATGTCATTGAGTGAGGAGACGAAGCACAGCATTTGCATTTGCAGCATAACGTTAGCATGCGATGATGTTCTGAAGAATAGCATGGTTCTCAGCTAACGCAACGGAAACGAACAACAAATGACATCTGCCATTCTCTAATGATTCTACTGTACTTGATCGCGTCGAGAGACCCAAGTTGTTCGAAAGGAGGGAAGCGCTCAAGTCAATTTAGAGAAAGTCGATGTAGCCCTATCCTATCTAAGTGACGGATCCAAGTTCGAATCGACTTCCGTGACAGTGACCGTAGTCTTTGCATCTGCTCTCCCCTCCTGAGTCTCCCCCGAAACTCTCCCATCGGCTCCGCCTTCAACGACAGTAGCTGGAGCATGATCCGACATCACTGCGTCCCCATCCGCATCCACCGCTGCCAACTGAGCGTCCAAATCCGCATGAGCGTGGGCAATCATCTGGATCCGATAAGCGGCATTCGCGGCGCTTTCAGGATCATCGTCGTCAGCATCCGGCAAAACGCCAAGTTGTGAAGCTGTAGGGACAATATCARATGAGCCGCTGGGATTAGATGGCATCTCCGAATCCGGTGCACTGTGTACACCCGACGCATCCTTGACATCAGATGGGTCCGTCGCGGACGGCTGCGAAGGCGTGCGAACCTTTTCACTGTGCTCGGGCTCATCTCCGGAAAAATTGTTCTTGTAATTCCCATCGTATGCTTCAACCACTTCAACTCGATCGAGACGCAGAGCTTCTTCTGAATGTTCTCGTCGAAGTTTGCCTCTGGCTTCTCTCAAATGGACTCCGCCGGCGACTGCTCGACTTTGCTTCTCCTTATTCCTTATGTGTCGATCGTATTGATCGCTGAAGTTTGGTTCACGTGCTTTGAGCGGTGGCGCTGGCAATGTACTAAATGGCGGGTAAACAGGCCGTGGGMCAAACACTGGAGGTCCTGACGGTGCTGGCTCATGCATCGAAGCGGCCGATTCCCTCATAGAAGAGTATAACATAGCATTTAATGTGTGCATTGGGGGGATGGGCTCCGATGGGTTGTTCAGCGCCCATGTCTCCTCGAGGGCTTGGTCCGTCATTGCAAGTTCAGGTGGATAAGATGGATATGGGGGAATTTCGACGCCCGAAGTGATCGGTTGTATGTCTTCATGCGGAGAGGTTGGAGATACCGGACAGAAGGTGCAACAATTGACAACAGATGATAGCGAGAATGGGAGTGAGGGTTGTGTTGATGGTCCCGCGGAAGGTCCTGCAGGGGATGATTCCGCGGATGATATTGCATTGCTACTGGGTACGGGTTTCCTCTTAATTGCAAGCTGATGAGCGACGGATAGCGGCGCATTGCCGCTTGACTGCTGTCCGATATGTGCAGTCGAGGTGGACTGTTCCGCACTCGGGGTGGGCGGTAGCGGCGAAGACGTCTCCGTTGTGCCTGATGCCGAGGGCATACTTTGAGATGCTGATGTTGTCGCAGATGATCCTGCTGGTAGGCCTGCGGACGATGACTCCCCGGCCGATGAACCAGCCAGAATAGCTCCTCCACTGATGCTTGTGCGATGGTTTTGTGAGGCTTTCGTACTTGGCTGCAGTCTGATGGGTTCAAGCTTGCTTGATTGAACTCGAGGTAATTGTTCCAATGGAGATAATGCCACAGGTGGTCCGGCATTTAATGGCATCGCTTTTGACCGTGATGTAGACAACAAGCTGTAGTGATCTTCCACGACTTCTTCGGCACGGTAATCATCTTGCACGAACCGATGGGTAACACGATTCTATCCGAGCGACGATCGTGGTTCGAATATTGTTGAGTCTGCGATGGAAGCTTGCTGAGGATAGAGCGCCATGATTCCCGCCGCGTGAGATTTTGGATAGGGCTGAAGTCGGCTGGCTAGCCAACACTGCAGAAATACTTTGAAGAATCCGATACTCGTGGCCGTCTAAGCCTTGATGAATGAAGCCATCTAACCCTGCAAACCGTAGGACTGACGCAAGTTCATGATCTGCTGACGAGCCTCGGCGGGAAGACCATTGATCTGATCTTGAGTGAGCGCCATGACCTGTGCGCGCAGGCGTGCGGCCTCGCCGGGATCCACGGCAGGTGGTGGTGCTTGCTGCTGAGGTGGTGCCTGGTATGGGTTCTGCTGCACGGGAGTTGTCTGCGCGTACTGTTGCTGTGGGGGCGGCTGGGCATACGGGGCATACTGCTGTGGAGGTGGTTGGTATTGCTGTGGAGGGTAGCCCATTGGTGGCTGCGGGTATTGCTGCAAGGGTGGCTGCTGTGGTGGTGCTTGTGGTGGAGGGGCTTGCGCGKGCGGAGGCAAGCTCTCAATCAACTGGCCAACAATGTTTGGGTCGACCAGACCGAGGAGCAGCATAGCCTGGAAGACGGCGTATCCCAGCTGAGGTGCGGACTGGAGCAGGGCATTGGCCTGTGCGGGGTTGGTGGCTGTCAGACCCTTGAGCTGACTGATGAAGTCGAGCAGTTGCGGCGTGGGCATCGCTTGCAATGTACGGCTGATAGCATCGACGGCAGTTACGCCAGGTGGTAGCTCGGCGCCTGGCGGGAGCGGAGGCAGGGCGGACACGGGCGGCGGGGGCCCTGCGTTCATGAAGTGGGAAGGCGGCAGTGGTACCCGATTGCTCTCTCCCGGCTGATTCTGGTTTTGATTGCTCGTGCCGCGGTTGTCGTTGCTGTAATCGACGCGCAAAGTCCGTCCTTGAATCTCGTGATCGTTCAGGTTGCGAACGGCGGACGCGGCCGAGTCGGTGTCGCTGTACTCGAGGAAGCCAAACCCCTTGGGCTGACCCGTCTCCTTGTCATACACCAGGCGGAATCCCACGACTTGACCGGTGCGCCCGAAGATGTCCATGATCTGCTCCTCGCTGACTCCATATGGAATGTTGCCGATGAACACGACGCGGCCGCCCTTTTCGCGCTGCGCCATGTTGGGCGGTGTGAGGGGGGAGTAGTGGAGAGAGTGTGTCCAGTGAGGTGATGTGCGATTGAGGGTGAATTGAATGACCGGCGCGATGTGAGCGGGCGGTGGAAATGATGTTGGTGGTGTTGATGTTTGGAGGTGAAAGTTGAGAAGCTTCCATTGGATGTTACCTAGCTTTGACGCAGGAGCCACTAGTTTGCGGAGGCAGGTCCGGTCCGCCGCGCTTGGCCCTATTCATCCCAAGGCCTCAAGGCAACGAGAATCTCACATTCTCCATCACTAATCAAAGGTACTTTACACATGAAAGGGGAAGGAAAATCAGGGAGGCGTATTGATTCCGACCAAGGCATGGAACTGCGTCCGCAGTTTAAAGGTCACAGCATGCAGGTGGCCACCAAACCAAACGTGCCCTGTCTGGAAGGGGCGCTTTCTACCTTACGATGCACTGCTACGGACACATCAGAAAGGTCGACGTCGCAGCAGACGGCAGTGGAATGAATGCAGAAGTGAGGGAGGGTATCCTGTCCGCTTCAATCCCCAACGCCCACGGTTATATTGAGCGAAGTCCTTTGAGCTCATTGATTTATTGCTCCCAGCGTCAAGTGCAGGTGCTTCCCACTTCCGAATTTATTCTAGCTTGTGATAGGGTATACTCGAGGATAACATGGTGAAGAAAGACAACGGCAGCTTTTGCAACCTCTACGGCAGACCAAACGACGCCCTGAGGCCAAGCCACCTATCATGTGTGAGWGACCGCGTTGCCGGGAATCCGTGTGGCTTGCGAACCAGGTTTTGGGTGAGATTTTGATCGTGTGCTCAGTTTCCGCATTCGATTGGCACCCGGACAGCAAAGACGGAGCTACTTTATGTGTATTGCGCTCAACCGGGCGATGGAAACTTTGACCAGGTCATGATGATCTKGCCACGCGATTGACCGCCAGATCGAACCAGGCATCAATCATGAATGCAACATCTTGAGGATGAAAGTTGTTGGCCGGCGATTGAATGTGATGTAATCGCGACGAAAGTGACAAGCCACAGCAGAGTTCCCCAGCAGCCAGCGCGCGGGATCCACTGCAGAAAGCCGACTTTACCTACTTTATCTCTGTCTCCAATCTGCCACTTCCCGCTCCCTCCTCTACTTCCTCGTCGCTCGTTCTTCCATGTCGCCCGCACCCAAACATCGATAATTCCATGTATGCTGTCCGGTGGAGCAATACCTTAGTTCTACGACAAGCTCTGCATTAGAAATCCCTCACAATGGCCTCCAGCTCGCGAGACGCCCTCGCTCGGATCTCAGGGCCGGACTCGATGGCCAAACCGGGATCCGCTGCGAACGGCCCACCCGTCGACACCGACATCCCCCTCAAGAAGAAGAAGAAGCACAGGGCGGGCAAAAAGCGGCGCAATCGTCGCCAGAGCTTTGCGGCCCCGTCGGACGCGCCAACCGAGGAGGAGGCGGCGGGCGAGCGGCCGAGTCTGTTGGATATGCAGCGAACGTCGGCGAGTCAGCAGGCATCCTTCTATCGCCTGTCCGACAACCGAAGCAACACCAGTCTGGAGAGTGAGGCATTGTTGGATCATCGCGATCATGGATCCGCGAGATCCAGACGGGAGACGCTCAAGTCCGGATTTGCACGGGTCGCTCTGCCATTCTCCGCACGACATGGCAGTACTCCAAATCCACATCGCTCTTCTGATGCCTCAACATCTGGTGCCGGCGTAGGTGTCACCAGGTCCTCGGCTAGACACCGGGGGCAAGGAACAGCGGTGGCGATTAGCGAGGACGAGGAGGACGGCGATCCAAACGATCAGACGCCTCTGTTGAGTAGGTCAACGCGTACTCTGCGCCCAGGAGACTCGCGACGCAACAGCGCGTCTGCCTATGGTAGCCGGGGTGGGCATATGCGCAAGGCGTCGAAATCCTCCCAAGCCAGCTCCCGTCCTCGAGGACTGGAGATGCTCACGCACGCACGGAATGCTCCAGCGGAGGAGACGCGCGATGTGAACAATCCTCCGTCTATGCCAGGTTCGCCGATGGTGGGAGCAGTGGAGGATCCATTCATGGCGGGACTCGGCTCAATGGGCTCAGAGCGAGGACGAGACACGCTCATCAGCATCGACGACGACTCGACCAGCTCAAGGCGAGCGAGTCGTAGGAGACCTACGGTGGCGGAGCTGGCCGAGAGGGATGTCTGCTTTCCGGCAGATGGGGACTCCGAGGCGTGTGAGGGAGAGGATGAAGCTCATCACGACGAAGCCCACCACTCCTCCTCGCGTCGTCATAGGACACGGAGGCGAGCTTGGCCGGACCTGGAGGTGCTGGAGGAATGGTCGCGCGAAGAAAAAGAGGAACGCACCCACCAGGACTTCCTCCGCGCAAAGAAAATCTCCGAGCCCGTCATGGTTGGCGGTCGTCTACGCCCTGCAAAGACCGTCTGGCATCGAGGAGTGGAGGACGAGCCCTTCCGCTTTACTTACTTCAATGAAACTCTGGACGGTACCATTCACGCCAGAACCATTGCAGACCTGCAGGACGACATGACCTTCAAGGAGCTCTTCCTCCCCGATCCAGTCGRGCTGAGTGATGATAGTGACGACGAGGACACTCCCGAAGAAAACTCCATCATGCGGCCTTCCATCCAAGCCCATCATCGTGCCTCCAGCGACAGCAGGGCCAACAATGCAGAGGTCATGTCCACCAACGGCGACATTCCCCCTTCAATCCGTGCCGGCTCCATTGCAGGGACCACCAAGAACGAATCAGCTCCTGTTTCTGGACGAGACACTCCAAAGCAAACGTCACATCAACAGAAGCAATCTCGTCCAACATTCTGGCTTGATGTCCTGAAACCGACAGAGACCGAAATGAAGGTTTTGTCGAAGGCGTTTGGAATCCATCAATTGACCGCTGAAGACATCCTCATGGATGAACCCCGCGAGAAGGTCGAGCTCTTCCAATCCTACTACTTTGTCAACTACCGAACCTTCGAACAGGACAAGGACTCCGAAGATTACATGGAGCCCATCAACATGTACGTGATTGTGTTCCGGGACGGAGTCATCTCATTCCATCACTCAATGTCACCCCATCCCGCGAATGTGCGAAGGCGAATCCGTCAATTGAACGATTACATGTCTCCCACCGCCGACTGGGTCAGTTACGCCATCATCGACGACATCACTGATGTTTACGGTCCATTGGTTTCGGAGATTGAGCAAGAAGTCGACATCATCGACGAAGATATCCTTTACATGCACACCACTGCCGCCGACGCTGCAGATCAAACAGGAGTAAAACAAAAGCCCGTCCCGAAGCAGATCAAAGACTCTCGTCTTGGAACCAAGAAGACGGAGCGGTCCAGCTCTGTGGTCAGAAAGGATGACGAGGAAAAGCCTGCGGAGAGCGGAGGCGATTTGCTGAGGCGAGTCGGCGAGAGCCGCAAGAAAGTCATGGGACTGTATAGACTCTTGGGCAACAAGGCAGATGTCATCAAAGGATTCGCCAAGAGATGTAATGAGCATTGGGAGGTTGCGCCGAGGAGTGAGATTGGGTTGTACTTGGGTGATATCCAGGATCATATTGTCACCATGACGGGTAACCTGGCGCATTACGAATCGTAAGTTCTCGCTAGCCAAGCCGAGCAACTTGTACGACGATACCGATATACTGACTCTGAGATCTTCAGGTTATTGTCGCGAGCCCATGGCAACTACGTTGCACAGATCAACATCCGAATGAACGAGCGAGCGGAACAGAACGCTGATGTCCTCGGGAAATTGACAGTATTGGGAACGATTGTGTTGCCGATGAACATTATTACGGGAATGTGGGGTATGAACGTGTGGGTTCCTGGACAGGACATCGAGGGAGATTTGACGTGGTTCTTTTGTATTACCGCTGGACTCGGCATGTTTGCTATCGTGTGTTATGTGGTGGCGAAGAAGGTTTATGGCATTGTTTGAGGGCAGGAAGAGCAGAAGCAGAGGAGACAACGTTCGCAGGAGATCACAAGGACGATGAATGACACCTACTTATAGAGTGAGACTTGGGGGAAGTCTATACATGTGGGCGACGAGCCAAGACAGCTGTCGCTTTCGAATTAATTTTGGGKTATGCATTCTGGGTCGGAAAGGGGGCATCTGTACAAAAGATTGAAAACCTGGTTCTGATGGAACACAGAACGTTCGACGCGCTTCGAGCGCGAGTCTACGATCACAGAATGAAGGAGAAGGAAACGCATGCTTGACCATTGTCCGCTTCTCCGGAGATTACTAGGCGGATCTATTCTCAAAGAATGATCTTCACGAGGACTTCGCAGAATTGATGCAGCCTGGTCGAGACTCTCCTCATCGATTCCATCTACATGTGACAAACATCTAAACCAGATAAGAACTRCTCGTCGTTGGCCTCTTCATCCTTTTCCCTTCCCATTCCACTCCCTCCTCTACACTCATACACCCCATGCAGACACAAATTGCACTTTTACACCATTATCACCCCTTCACCAAGCGTGGCATACACATCAATCATTCCAACAACGGCAGGACAATCTCCTTTAACACATGAACATGGCGAAGCCTGGAGATGAGAACAGTGTTCGATTTGTTCGATATCGACGAGAAGCTATGTGATTCAGGGAAGTCGTCGTGGACGATCGCTGTCCGCTCCCTGCTTCGCCAAGCAAATTGCATGTGAATGAACTCGGAGAGACCGTGCATTGTAAACCCGCACTTTTGTTCTCGCCTGTGGGAAACATTTACTTCAGAAGACATCTCCAGAATTTGGAGACATACTCTATACACAACAACAACAAAAACACGACAAGATGCAGCGCAGAATCGAGAGCTGKAAGAGGGATGTGGAGCGTGCGAGGGCGGCTGGTATGTACCTCACGACCACTCAACGAGAAGAGATTAGCTACTAATACGCGACAGAAGAGCTTGAGAAGAAACAGGAGAAGGCTCTCGCCGCGGAGAAAATGCTTGCCGCCAACATTGAAGCCGCTATGGACATCGTCGTTCAACGGAGAAAGGAGAGGGCAGAGGCCAGCAAGCGTGCGGCAGAGGTGGAGAGGCTGAGAGAGGAAAAGCGAGAGCGGGAGAGCAAGATATGGTCGTTGGAGACGTACTTGATGTTGTTCTTCGCGGTGGTCATCATTCTCGCTATAAGAGCGAAGATTGTGGCGGTTTGTGAGAGGATTTCACAGGCGTGGAAGTGGGCTTTTGGACAGTGAGAGTTGWTGGAAAACTCCCTATGTACTTACTGCACAAGGCACATCGTACTCYCCACCACCTTCAGTGCTGAATAGCACGACTGACATGTTCTTTCTTTCATCCTCTGTCACGTCTGCGACATACTTTCGTAGTGCTGCCAGCGTGGCGGCGCCGCAAGGTCCAGCATCCACGTTCAAAGCTCGTAGATCAAGGACACTTTGATGAGACTCAGCATCAGAGACCGTCACAGCAGCGTGGAGCGTATCGCGGAGTATTGGCCAGGCCACGACAGAGGTCGTGCCGCAACACATACCCGCCATAATTGTCTCGCCCGTCTCAATCGGTGTTGGAGCACCACAATGCAGCGACTCCTTCAGCGAAGCAGCGACAGTGGGCTCCACGGCAATAACACGATTACCTTCAGCCTGGTAATGTGCCGCGACCGAATGTGCCCAAGAACCTACACCGACCGAAACAATGAATGTGTTGGGTTTAACACCATACTCAGCAGCTTGCCGGTCCGTCTCCGTCAACATGGTTCCATATCCCTCAGTCACCCACTAGACCCCCGTCAGTACATCCAACAGCACGGGCAGACACATGACATATCTCACCTTTGGAATCTCCTCATATCCCTCCCAACTAGTATCCATAACCATCAACGCCCGCTCAACATCCCTCTCCGCTTCATGTCGCGTCGCAGCAATAGCATCATCATAACTTCCTCGCTCCAAAACWACAATCYCCGCGCCCTCACCACGTAACAAATTCTGGGTGAAAACACTCATGAAACCAGGAACATAAACGCGAACCTCAACTCCCAAAATCTTTCCCATTCTCGCTACGGCCCTTCCCCAGTTCCCCTCGGAGCACGTCACGAGTCGAATGTCATCCTTTCTCAGAGCGACGCGGACATTTTCTAGTGAGGAGTCGACGGGAAGGGAGAAGCGCTGGCAGACAGATTTATGAATTGCCCAGCTTGCCCCTAAGATTTTGAAGGCTGGGAGGCCGAAGCGCGTGGATTCATCTTTGAGGAGGAGGGACGCGATGCCTAGTTCTGAGGCTATGGTTGGGAGATTGTGGAGGGGAGTGGAGTTATAGGAGGGGAGTCTTTTGTGGAAGGCTTCGATTTCAGGGTTTATAATGGGGAGTCGATCACTTGGAGAGGATGTTTTGTGGGGGTTCAGGAGGATCCATAGGCGGGTGTGATCTTGCTTAGAGGCGAGATGTCGGACTTGATAGGTGGCCATAGTGTGGAGGATAGGAGAGATCTGACTCTTTGGGGAATGAGGACTACTTCCTTCGCTTTCGTTGAGATGGGAGCTTCGCGCACTACGCCCTACCAAATGCCTACTGTCGGTACAGTATGCACAAGGATGATGACACTGCTGCAGCTGCAGCATCAAGGTGAAGTGGAGCGGGGTGTGGAGATTCGGCCAGTTCACTCGGTCGCCGAGCAGACTCGCCGAGACACGCTCGATGCCAAATCACTTTGTTGCCCGTCTATCAGCAGCAGCAGCATCAGCGGCCAAGCGGCGGGGCATGTCAAAGACTACATAGTCTCGTGTTTCCTTTGATAGTCGATGATTGATGATATAAAAGTAAGCTCACCGCGATCTTAGCCGATCAATACATCCCCACCACCGCCACACCTCTTCCATACCGTATCCTCTCTTTTGGTCTACACATTCACAAAAAGAGAAAGTCTCTTTCAGCAGCCCATCATGGCGTCCCCAAAAGAGGCCTCCTCCCGCGGGATTCGCATAGCCATTGATCGCGGTGGCACATTCACCGACTGCGTAGGCAACCCGGGCTCAGGCAAAATGGAAGACGACGTCGTGATCAAGCTCCTCTCCGTCGACCCCGAAAACTACGACGATGCGCCGCTCGAGGGAATCCGTAGATTACTCTCGAAATTCAGCGGGAAAGAAATCCCGCGCGGACAACCTCTGGATACTAGCCAGATTGAGAGTATACGAATGGGAACCACAGTCGCCACGAACGCGTTGTTGGAGAGGAAAGGCGAGGATATCGCCATGGTGGTGACAAAAGGGTTCAAGGATTGTCTAGAGATTGGGAATCAGAGCAGGCCGAATATCTTCGATTTAGCAATTCGGAAGCCAGAGGTGTTGTACAAGAGAGTGGTGGAGATTGAAGAGCGAGTCACATTGGAGGACTACGCAGAAGATCCAGAACGTACAACTACGGATGCGCCGACTATCTCGGAAGCAGCAGAGGGTGCTGAGCTTGTCAAAGGGTTGAGCGGAGAGGCTGTGAGGGTCTTGCAACGTCCTGATGAGAGCAAGATTCGGAAACAGTTGCAAGAGGTGTTTGATTCAGGATTGAAGAGCATCGCAGTATGTCTGATGCATGGATACACATATCCCCACCACGAAGCGGCGGTGGGTAGAATTGCACGAGAAATTGGTTTCGAGCATGTCAGTCTGAGCCATGAGCTCATGCCTATGATCAAGCTCGTTCCTAGGGCGACTTCTGCTTGTGCGGATGCATACCTGACACCTGCTATTCGAAAGTACATTGATGGCTTCCAAAAGGGCTTCGAGGGCGGCCTAGGAAGTGAGAGCGTCAAGAAGGAGTCGGGTGCAAAGGGTGCCAGATGCGAGTTCATGCAAAGTGATGGAGGACTTGTGGATGTCGATGGCTTCAGCGGGCTGAAAGCCATACTGTCTGGTCCCGCTGGTGGCGTCGTTGGATACGCACTCACGAGCTACGACCCTGAAACTAAAACACCGGTCATTGGATTCGATATGGGAGGAACCAGCACAGATGTCAGCCGATATGGAAGCGGACGATATGACCACGTATTTGAGACGACAACAGCTGGTGTTACAATCCAAAGCCCCCAGCTGGATATCAACACAGTCGCTGCAGGCGGTGGCTCCCGACTCTTCTTCCGCAATGGTCTATTCGTTGTCGGTCCTGAGAGTGCAAGCGCTCATCCAGGTCCTGCATGCTACCGTAAGGATGGTCCTCTGACAATCACGGATGCCAACTTGTTCCTCGGCCGATTACTGCCCGAGTTCTTCCCTAAGATTTTTGGCAAGAATGAAGATGAAGGCCTCGATGAGAAAGCCAGCGAGAAGCTTTTCAAAGAACTCACTGAGCAAATCAACAAAGAGGAAGCTGAATCTGGCAAGGAAAAGCAGATGACCGCAGATGAGGTCGCGTATGGCTTCATCAAGATTGCCAATGAGACCATGACGAGACCAATTCGATCATTGACAGAAGCGAGAGGTCATGATACGAGCAAGCATCGGCTGGCAACATTCGGTGGAGCAGGTGGTCAGCATGCGGTTGCCATCGCACAGGCACTGGGTATTAGTCAGATTCTTATCCATCGATACTCTTCGGTCCTCTCGGCATATGGCATGGCACTTGCAGATGTTGTGGATGAGAGGCAAGAGCCCGAGTCGAAGATTTGGTCAGATACTGACCCAGAAGTGCGAAAGTACCTGCAAGGGAAAATGGAGGAGCTCAAGAAGAAGTCAACCACGGTACTGAAGGATCAGGGCTTCAGCGATGGTGAGATTCACTTTGAAGAGTATCTCAACATGCGATACCGTGGAACTGAGTCTGCATTGATGATTGTGAGGCCATCTCAGGAGGAAATGGAGGAGTATGGCGGCGACGATTGGGCTTTTGGCAAGGCGTTTATCAAGAACCACGAGCAAGAATTTGGCTTCACCCTTCCAGACCGCGACATCATCATTGACGATGTTCGTGCTCGTGGCATTGGCAAGACTTTTGAAGGATTGGAGAAGACGGTCGATCAGCAACTCAAGGAGATCACGCCCAAAGACAYTGGCAAAGAGGACAAAGTGCACGGCAAACAATCCGTATACTTTGAAGGCGGTCGACAGGAAACTTCAGTCTACAAACTGGAAGATCTCGACGTGGGCGACCGTGTTAGAGGTCCGGCTATCATCGCAGATGGCACGCAGACCATCGTCGTCACTCCAGAAGCTTCCGCTTTGGTGATCAACACTCACGTGGTCATCAACATTGGCGAGACCAACAGCCAAGATAAGAAGGTCACCACCAAGGAGGTCGATCCAATCATGCTTTCCATCTTTGCTCATCGCTTCATGGCCATTGCAGAGCAGATGGGACGCGCTCTCCAGAAGACCAGTGTTTCGACGAATGTCAAAGAGCGACTTGATTACTCCTGCGCGCTGTTTGATGCTGATGGTGGCCTTGTAGCCAACGCTCCTCACCTCCCCGTTCATCTGGGCAGCATGTCCACTTGTGTGAGAAAGCAGGCCGAAATCTGGCGTGGCAAGCTCAAGAAGGGAGATGTTCTTGTCTCCAATCATCCCATGTTTGGCGGCACTCATCTGCCGGATATCACTGTCATCACCCCGGCGTTCTCAGGAGACCAGATTGTCTTCTACGTTGCGTCGCGAGCCCATCACGCAGACATTGGTGGAATCCTTCCTGGCTCTATGCCACCGCATTCAAAGGAGCTGTTCCAAGAAGGAGCTGCTATCAAGTCGGAAAAGCTCGTCTCTGAAGGCCACTTCAATGAGGAACGCATAATCGAACTCCTCCAAGACGAGCCGGCAAAACATCCTGGCTGCAGCGGAACAAGATGTCTCGCCGACAACCTCAACGACCTGAAAGCACAAATCGCCGCCAACCAAAAAGGCATCAACCTCATCTCAACCCTCATCGAAGACTACGGTGAGGATGTGGTACAATTCTACATGCACAACATTCAAGACAACGCCGAGCTCAGCGTCCGCAACCTGCTGAAGAGCGTCAGCTCCCGCTTCTCAGGCCAAGATCTCAGCGCAACCGACTACATGGACGATGGCTCTCCCATCAAGTTGAAAATCACAATCGATGCCGAAAAGGGRGAAGCAGTCTTTGACTTCACCGGCACTGGTCCTGAAGTGTATGCCAATTGGAATGCTCCAGAGGCAGTGACATACTCCGCCATCATCTACTGCCTCCGCTGTCTCATCAGCGAAGACATTCCCCTCAATCAAGGTTGCTTGAAACCAGTCACCGTCATAATCCCTCCGAAATCTTTCCTCTCGCCTTCTGGAGGCGCCGCGGTTGTGGGAGGGAATGTCCTCACCTCCCAGCGCGTGACGGATGTCGTGCTCAAGGCTTTCCAGGCTTGTGCCGCGAGTCAGGGAGACACGAACAATTTGACATTTGGGTTTGGAGGAAATGTCACGGGGGAGAAAGTTGTAAAGGGGTTTGGATATTATGAGACGATTGCTGGCGGGAGTGGTGCAGGGCCTACGTGGGATGGGACGAATGGTGTGCATACGCATATGACGAACACGAGGATTACGGACGCGGAGGTGTTTGAGAGGAGGTATCYGGTCTTGTTGAGGGAGTTTTCGTTGAGGGAGGGGAGTCATGGAAAAGGGCAACATAAAGGTGGGGATGGTGTTGTGAGGGATATTGAGTTCCGGCGGGCGGTGCAGGTTAGTATATTGAGTGAGAGGAGGGTTTATAGACCTTATGGGTTGGAAGGTGGGGAGGATGCGCAGTGCGGGAGGAATATATGGGTTAGAAAAGTGCAGAAGGTGGAAGGGAGTGAGGAAACTGGGCCGAATGAGAAGGAGGGTAATGGGGAGAAGAAGGACGAGGAGCAGGAGTGGCGGTATGTTTCTCTAGGAGCGAAGAACACGGCTGCCATGCAAGCTGGCGAGCGTATTATTGTGGAGACGCCTGGTGGAGGGGGATGGGGTCCTGTTGGAAAGGAATCTGCGAAGAAGGAGAAGGATGACCCAAGGAAGAATTGGACGGGTGGATCAGTCGCGAGTCGACAGGCCGAGGCCGAAGCATCTGCTTGAATAGATATATGATTACAACATGACGAATGAGACGAGTAGATTAATCACCCCAATCCCCTTCAATACTCCGGCCACTCTCTATCAACGAGCTGCTTCCACGCTCTAAAACCCCCCTCAATGTCCTTGGCCATGATATTCCCCCGCCCATCATGCGCCAAATCCGCAATAGCTTTCACAGCCAACTGCGAATCATTCCCATACCTACACACCACATACAACTCACTTCCCTCCTGCGCAGGAAGTGCCCCAGCTTGATACGCCTTCTCCACCCAACTCTCCGAATTCCCCGTCCAAGGCACATTAAGAGACCCTCGCAAAGCACACATGGCATACTGCGTTTCATCCCGCACATCAATTAACACATTACTCCCATCCCTAGGTAATCTCGCGAACTGCGGTGCCGAAACTCTCCTCTCGGGAGGGAGGAGTGATACGGGATGTGTGATGCCGCAAAAAGCCGCGTAATCGAGAGATCCATCGGTGAGATTACTCGCTGAGATGGTTGATGTTGCTGAACAAGTAGAGCATGTTGCGTATCGATTTCGCATGCGGACTGAGCGGAAGGGAGGATGGCTGTAAGCTGAGAACATCAGGAGGGTGGGTTTGGGAGGTGGGAGAGGTTCTTCTTCCATGAGAATTTCTAGCTCGGAGGGAGGAGGGTGGGGTTTGGTGGTTAGGACTTTGATGGCTTCGAGGGCTTGGAGGACGCCCATGACGCCTACTACGGGGCCGATTATTCCGCCTTCGCCGCAGGAGAGCACAGCTTCGGGGGGTGGTGGTCGGGGGAAGACGCAGCGGTAGCAGGGTCCGCCGGATTTGTCGCCGGCTGGTCGGGGTGGGTTGTTGAGGACTATGAGTTGGCCTTCGGTGCGGAGGGCGGAGGCTGAGACGAGGGTCTTGCCGGCTAGCACGCAGGCATCGGAGATGAGGTAGCGGGAGGTCGGGTGGTCGGTGCAGTCTAGGACGAGATCGTAGTTGGAGAAGACTTCCAGGGCGATGGATGGAGAGAGATGTGTGGAGTGGCGGTTGTACTTGACCAAGGGATTGAGACTGAGAAGCAGTCAGAATGGGGATCATGTTTTCGTTGGATGGATTGAATATGATGGTCTACATACTCTGAAAGATAGGCATATGCGCTCTCCACCTTACTCAGTCCATCCCTCGAAGTGCCATGAGCGACTTGACGATGCAGATTCGACACCTCGACTACATCGCCATCCATCAAGCCCAGCGTTCCTACGCCTGCGCCAGCCAGATATGCGGCCGCGGGACATCCCAGTCCTCCTACTCCCACGATCAAGACTCTTGCATTCTTCAATCGTAGCTGACCATGCAGCCCAATCTCCGACATGATCATTTGCCTTCCATATCTCTTGTACTCCTCTCCGCTCAATGGCCAGCGTGGATCCGCAACAGGCTCAGCTGGATTGACAAACCCTCTCTGACCCGGATCCTGTCGTATTGCCACGGAATCCTCCAGGCCCGCAAAGAAAGATGGACTCAAGGCAGCGGCCGTCTCACTGATCCATTCCGCAGGCATCCCGCCTTGGAAAGCTTGCTCCAATTGCTCGCTGGCTGCTCGGTGTCGTCGTGCGGTCTCCATGAATGTCTCGGCTTCGGATAGCTGCGATTTTAGTGACTGAAGCTGGGACTCGGTCGCTACAATTTGCTTCCTCAGCATCATTACTTGGTCCTCCATTGTGTTGAAGGCCATATCGGCGGTGGATAGAGATGTGATGTCGTGGTGGGTTCACTTTTCGTTACATGGAGGGATTCACGCAGTCATGGCTGACTAAAAATGTGGGGGTCTAGTGGGGATCAAATTCTTGGCATGTGAAAGCAAAGGCGGCCTCCGTTATTGCTGTAGACATGTCTACCACCGCCGTCATCTCAATGGGAAAATGCACGTGTATGTATGTTAGGTTGCAAGAGAGAAGCTTGTGGGTGGTAAGATTTGCGTAATAGGACCCTGCTTCGAACATGTTGTAAGAAGCGAAGGAGAAGTCGAAAAACGGTGGCTGTTTTGCAGTGAACCCGTGTGCTCGAGGACGACTAAGCAGGCATTCATGACATGAGATAAAGACAGCTGAGCAGGTACAGTAAATGCACAGACGTTGGAGGCTGATGTGGCTGTGGCTTCCGGAAGAAGTCCCACGCTTTGTGGAACTACATATTCTGGCCATGAAAGAGAGAGTCAAAGGCACCAACGACAACGACAACACGACTGGACAAGATATCATTCCAAGAGACAAAAGACTCTTCGCAAGGACTGCTTCTTTTCATTCTTGTAACTGCCTGCTTGCGAGTGTTGTCGTCGTCTCGTTACAAGGAGAGCCGGCTACCTTCAACCTCAGCAGCATTTGCCCTCTACGACGCTCGTGCCCGCTGCAAGAGAGGGAGATGACATCTTCCCCGCATCGCACAAAGCTGGTAGAGGTCTCCTGAAGAGGCATCCCGTAGATTGGCGACGAACATGCCATCACGCGCCGTCTCAAGCACACTGCTGTCGCTCTGCATACCGTCCCTTCGATTTCGTGCAGCTTGCAGCACTAACACCCCCAAGTTCTTAAAACAACCAGAACTCTAAGATATACTCTCGCTTGTTGCGACCGTATTCAAGCAGCCATCCCAGATCTAGAAGCGCCACGCATCGGCTGCTTCATACCTGTTCCTGAGCCGATAAGTCGGCAAGAGGAAGAACTGTTCCGCTCAGGAGGAATTACTCGCGAGTCTTCTGTACACGATTGAGAATGGAGGGGGTTGTCCCGCTGACCTCGAATGCTGCAACTGCATACAGAACTGAGACTGTCTTGACCGCCTAACTCGAACTCGAGGTCTCAGCTGGTTTCGGCAAGCTGCAGCTTTGTCTCGGAAGAACAACCGTTTTAAGGTGGAGCTGCACGAAATCCCGATGGCTTGCATGACGAGCTCGTGCCGGCTGAGATGCCTCGCAATGCCTCACGATGCCTCAGAATGCCTCAATGCCTCAGAATGCTGTCTGCGGGAGGATATTGAGAGCGTTGCTGTTGAAAAGGTGAAAAATGAAAAGTGAGAAGGCATAATTTCRTCTTTCCACACTTCGCCAAACTCTCGAAAGCACAGCATACCCATCTCTGATCGTTGATCAAATCCTCCTTCGCTACCGTTCAAAAAAGAGCCGCACTCAAGCTCCCCGGATCTCGCTGCTCGTGGCCAAAGCACAGCCTGCGCCAAGCATATCCAAACTCCTTCCTGGTATCGTAAAGCAATCAAACTCCAGCGCATCTCGGACGCGTAGTAACACAAACAAGGACATCGATCACTATAGAGCAACAGCTCTGTAGCATGCATTCGATGGAGCCTTCCCCTTCGGTTTCGGGATGCCATGAGGCGACGGCATCGAGCTCAGTGTATATCGTTTACGATTGGTAAGAGAGCTCGTGTCTTTGCAACATCCTGTGAAACCATCAGCGATTGAAAGGCCTGTGGAGGAGTAGTGACACTCACCGCAGCGCTCTCCCAGTGACTCCCGACGATATATCTTCAGCGGGCATTTCTTCTGTTGGTCGGTGTATTTCGAACCTGGAATGTGTCAGTTGCAGCACATGTTACACACACAAGTGGGCTGCTTACACCAACACAGAACGCAGAAGCGTAGATGGCCGCACTGGTAACGAACTTTGACATGCTGGCACATTGTACTAGCAAAGGTGGAAGGTGTAACATGCGTTGTTGAAATCCAGTCAGTGATGATGAGGTGGGGGAGATCTTTGGAACGACGGGAGAAGGCCGTTGCGTGATGGCCTCCTCTATCTAGTTCTACGCCGGCCGCTTCCTTTAGTTCGAGTCTGATCCATGAAGGCTCATCTGGGGTTGTTCTCTAATCAACCTTGGCGACCACACGAGGTGGGTCCACGGCAATGGTGGGTTCGGACGGATACTCCTCCGCAGAACCTCACGATGCTGCGCCTTTCCCGGCTTCCAGGAACGAGGGCTCCAGTGACTTGGTGGCTAACTGTGCGATCGCAATAATGCTACAGAAGCTGTTGCAAAGTCCATATCCTCGAGCAATTGGGGCTTCCCTGGCTCCATCGCCACGGATGCAATCTCGAACACGTTGTTGTTCTTCATCAAAGTGCCGGTCCGAGCGTGAACAAAACCGGGCCTTGGTATGAAGTCTCGCATCTCGCTCCAAGGATGAGAGCCAATCAAAGACCCTCGTCTGGCACCGGTGGTGAATAATTCAAATACCGCCATCGTTTTCAGCCTTCCCCTGGTGATGTTCGCTTCGCTTCCTCTCCTCCTTTCAATTCGATTGGCTTTCAAGAAACCGCCTGCATCTCCCCTTTAGGTCTTTTACCCCGATTCTCCACAATTGCCGGGCAGATTTCCTTTTCCCAAGGTACCGGTTCGGTAAGCTTGTGAAGACTGCGCTAAGCCACAAACAAGCACCCGGGCGTCGATCGAGCCTAAAATGAGCCGCCACGCAGATTTGATGTCACAGTCTGTTTCGTGGTCTGCTATTTGTCTCCTCTTCGCAAAGGATCAATTGTTCCTTGGTTTGCATTTCTCAAGTCGGCTGACTTGCCCTCAGCGATGTATCAATCCTGCTACCTCCGTCGCAACCTCGGTTGAACACAGATATAAACGACTGCATCGCAAGATCCATCGGTTCCGACGTGATTGGAGGACTGGAGCTCTGTCCGGATCCGTACCTTGGATCATATCCATCACGCGGGCCGAGGCGTGGAGAAGATGATCCACAGATTTAGCGATCACACCCAAGACAATGGTACGCGGAGCGGACATGGCCGCGCTCCCCACGTTGGTTGCAGACGGGTCATGGGAGTTCTGGATCTCGTCTACTGCGCACGCATGGCACCACGAGCTGGAGTCACACTCAGATCGTTGTCATCACACCGCCAAACCTAGCGTCCACGCCTTCACACGATGTAAAATAGATGGCTTGCTCCCCTATCTATGCTGGTTGTGAAGATGGAAGCGAGGACACCTGGATTGAATTGCTGAGTGCATTTCCAAACTCGGTGAATGCTCCCTGGYGATCACTTCCACAGGAATAAATGGCCCGGATGTGATGCCCTCAACTTCTGCTCCGCGGAGGCTATCGGGATGATGGGTAGTTGGGTACTGCTCTGCTCTCACTAATGCAAACCTCGATTGCGAATTACAACCCACAACCTCCCTCTCGATGATCAGGAATCGTGCATGAGATGATCCCGGTGCCTAGCACGCAATGGTTGCGTTGCCGGTTTACGGGATTGTGCATCCTACCAGTCAACATCACCACCATGTCGTCCGCGGGCCGCTCCTGAGCTGATGTGCTGGTTGATGTTACGAATTCAGCTTTTGTGACAGGCGAGATACATATGCACAGCGCGGTGTTCGCATACCGGAGTGCTCGGCTAGGCGTAGGTGCGGCCTCCTGGTGGACCRGCGTCGGGAGGGCTGCACTTTCTGGGTGAACATGCAATCGGGGCTAGGGGGCAGCGAGTGCTTGACTTTCCAGAATGTTAGGTCTTTGGAAGCTGGATTGGGAGACATATGATGCTCTCTCGACGATACTCTACTGTGTGACCGTACTACTGATGTGGGGATTTGTGACTAGATCTAGGAGTATGGAGCTCTGGAGCTCTATACCACTTTACGTCATGTTCTCTGCCACTCATCCGAGGTCGTCCACCCGATTGACAAGTGCCAACACCAACGTTCATCGAGAACTCGCATAGTCTCGCACATTTGCGGCATAAACCCCTGATCTGTGATTCCAAGAACCCCGGCACATTACCAATTATCTCCAACGATAAACGAGTCTTTGCATGGTCGCGCCAGCCAAGAAAGGAGGATCGAGATGAAAGGCTACCTAGAAAACGTTGCCATCATCGGTGCAGGCCTTGGGGTGAGCTCTCTCGTGCAACTTTTACGAATCGGGCTTTGACCAATTCGCAACATCAGGGCTGTGCACTCGCCCTAGCACTTTCCGAAAAGGATGTTCCAGTCACGATCTTCGAGTCCCGACCAGAGATCTCCGGCGTCATTCCGTCAGGGGTCATCCTCACGCCAAATGGTCTCCGGGTGTTGGACTACCTTGGAGTACTGCCTCGCATCAAAGATCGCTGTTACATAAGCGCTTATCGTGTCTTTAAGAATGACAATGATGAGACGACAAAGAAAGTACGAATTGGTGGACCAGAGGTTTACGGTTATGACAATCACCGCATTTGGAGAGGTCTGCTGCTAGACGAGATGCGGAAAATGCTGGCAGAGCGGTCCGTCAACATTGTGTTCAATTCAAAGTTTCAGGGCGTTGTATCTGATACTGCAGACGGCGTTTCGTTCCTGGTTGATGAGAGTGTCCACCACGCTTCTCTCCTTGTAGGTCTGGACGGGATATACTCCAGCGTCAGAAACTACCTTGCCCCTGAAATTCGCCCAGAGTACACTGGGCTTGTGGGCATTCTCAGCCATATCAAGCATTCTTCCGTGGATTGGCCCTGTCAAGATTACGAGAAGAATGCTACTATACAAAGTAAACCAGGCGCGCTATTCTGGATAGCAGAAGACCCCACAGAGGATCCCGTCCTCATGATAGGAAAGCAAATTCACTACCCCGAGCAGTCGAGATCAGATTTGGAAAGCCTTCAGTCAGATCGTGAGAAGCTCAAGATGTTCTATAAGCAAGACTATGATGAATACGGCCCGACAGCGAGAAAGATCATCGATAGCGTGTGCGCCTCTCCGGAAACGCTGTACATTTGGCCATTTTTGAAGATGCCTAGACTACCAAAATGGTACAGCGATACCGGGCGAATCATTTTGGCAGGCGATGGAGCTCATGCTCTCCCGCCATCTTCAGGCCAAGGTGTTAATCAAGCTTTGGAGGATATTTACTCACTGAACTTGCTTTTGAGCTCTGTGGAGGTATCTGGACGCAGCGAACCAAGGCAGTCGCATATGCTTGACGCTCTAGCTTTTTGGCAGCAAATACGACAGGAAAGAATTGATGCCGTGTTCGATTGGACGATGAATGGCTCTAATGTTTCGAGATTGCCGGAGGCTGAGAGGCAGCGGCTGGTCGCGGAAGGAAAAGTAAAGGAGAATCAAGGAGACGATATGAGTTGGCTTTACAAGCCTGTTCTGGAAGAGCGCATCAAAGCTTGGATTGATGGTAGAAAATTGGATCATGTGTAAGTCGTATATTCTTATTCTTTATATGTACAGCTTGAAGCGAAGGAGAGAGTAGCACACGCAGAAGAGAGTCCGTCGCGAAACTGTTAAATGTGCCTCGCTATGTCGACATCCAAGCATCCCAATGAGCAGTCGGCTTTCCGAGAGGTCTACTAATGTTCTGTGCATACTGGCCGCCATAATTGCCTGATGAAAAGTTAGCAACACCCAACACGTCGTCGTGTTCCTCTCTCWCTCTAACATACCCGGAGACTTGTAATTGCAAACAGTGAAATGTTTTGGGACGTTTGCACCCACACCCTTGAGACCATTTATACAGCTCGTAGTAGCGCATCCAATCCTCGTGGTACCTTTCCAGATGATCTGACTGAAGTGGCCCCATGCACCGAAATTAGCATAGGAGGGCTGAGCTTGGCCGTATAGGTCTTTGAATGCTGGAGCCTCGCTGTTGTAGAAGAGATCGGAGATGATGTAAGAAATGTTGGCCGCCTCGATCCCTGCAGCGATGTTTTGCCCGTAGCCTCCGCCATCGACCGTCCTGGTCAACGTGTCAGCTTTGTATGCACAGGGGAGGTATCTTTTGTCACATACATGTTGTGGGCAAAAGTGCATGTTCGAGCTATCTTTTTCGCTGTTTCCGTGAGATCCAAATCCCAGGTCACATTGGGGGCAGAATGATTGGCGCGGTGGAGATTGTGCTGGAATACCGCTATGTTTTTACTAGTGAGTCGATGAGTATATATACTTGGATCACAAATTGGATCTATTCTCTCAACTTACTAGCCCAAGACCGCTCGTTCTTCGAGAGGTACCGCGAATACTGTTGCCAGGAGGCCAAGAAAGGTAAGAATCGATAGCATAATGGATGTAAATGGGGGAGACCGATAACTGTCTGATCTTATGACTTCTCACAAACAGCTTCTCACGAGTAGATATAATCAAAACCACCAGTGACATTCCCAATCGGGCGATTCTCTCCAGGTTCTAGGCTAGTAGCGCCTCCGGTCAAAGAAACGTCCTCTTCGCGTCTATAACAAAGAACTCATGACGATCGGCCGCGGACCAGAGAAGTCCGGTCGAGAGCACAGTTTTGTCTAAATAACACTGTGACAACTCAAGGCTGCAAACGTCCACGATGCGTAGCCCATGGCGTAAGGGCAAACTCAATGCGGCGCCTCAATTGGCGAGGTGAAAGCAATGAAGTCCACCGATCGTTCAAGAGAATATACTCCTGACGTGAAAGGGGCGGCCCTTTGGACAATAGCCCTCTGGGGATCTGAGTCAAAACCAAACGATCGTGTTGCCATCCTCGTGAAGTGGGTTGTTGACAGCTTGGATCTGAAACGACTCGGTATCACAAGCCTCGTTTTTTGAAAGACAGTATGCTGTGCGACTTTGTGGGGCATTGTCTTGACAGTTGCAGCCTCCATACTCTTCATTATTCATGGTGAAATCATTCGTGTTGAATTTTTGCGGATGATGATCACTCCGAGGTTCAGTACTGCCGAATAGCTTCTTTCTTGCTACTGGGTATGGATGGGATTTGTCAACAGCAGAGCATGGAGACTTCAGGGAGATCTGACATCTGACAGGTATGACGTGTTGGGGGTCGGCCTCCATACAAGCCACCAARGTTTCAGTTGTATCACACGGATCGGTGAGGGCTGCCAGGAAACAGTCAAGGATGTGAGATCCTTTGTGCCATAAAGGTGGCAAGCGACCGGTCAAGCTAAGTCTCTCACAGGTAGTGCTTTTTGAGCGAGCGGCTGTCTGTAATGCGGCGCAATTGTATTTTCATGTTGTGGAACGCAGAGTCTACTAGGTTAGATCCTATACTGGGTTCATGGACAATCATAATCATTCACTCAACTGTCCATGAAATTCTTCATGTGATTGATTACATAACGCAATCCGACGGTCCGGTTTCCTCCTACGAGGTCGCTCCTTGCTTTGAATAGCACCTCTGATAACCAATACTGTTCCAACAGCTCCGGAGCAACGAGTCCTGCGAGAGAGCCACACTTCAAAGGTCAAAGGAAGGCTTCGAGACGTTCTTTTCAACATGTCGCCTGACCCTCTGTCAGCAATCATTTGTATGCTGCTCCCATTTCGCCTACAGCCCACCTGTCAAAGTCTCGTTAACAAGATGGGAGTCTCGACTGTTGTTATGACTTCGACATAATGCATCCATCAATCGATGATGCGGATGTGCTCCCATCACTGGAACAGCAAGACAAAAGTATAGAGTGGCATCCTCATATTATTGAGCAGAAGTGAATGTACACTCCACACTGCCATCGACAGTCTCCGAATTACTATGCATAGACGGCGATACCCGACAAGACGCACAAGGTGCAAACACTCAGACCCGCCATCAAATCATCCTGAGCCGATCAATCGGCGGGTATTCGTTCCCAAAACCAGAGAACGCCTTCTACTCGCAGCCCCTTTTTTCGCAGTATTAGACCGACTCCAGCTCGCGATTCGTTATTTTTGGTTCTCGCCTCGATCTTCGTCTGAACTTGAGCTTTCGGATTTCTTCGCCATCTCCTCGGGCGAAAGATGGATTTCTGTGTTGGCACTTCTTTCACTCCTCGGCCGTGATGCCAGCCTCTTCGAATTCTCGCCATCGCCATCAGCGACCTCGGAGACGACGGTATTGACCAGTTTGTTGGCCTGCAGCTGTAAGTCTGGAATCGCCCTAGCAGGCTGGTGTAGATAGCTCTCCAACATCTGCTTCAAGGTATCCACCCTGACTGGTTTCGCAAGGTAATTGTTCATACCAGCTTCTAGACACTTTTCCCGATCGCCACGGATCGCACTGGCGGTCATTGCAATAACCAGAACATCTCTGACCTTGGGGTCAGAGCGCTTTCGAATCTCTCGGGTGGCATTGTAGCCGTCCAAGACTGGCATTTGGACGTCCATCAACACGAGATGGAAGGGATTCCCATCGGCGTTGGCTCGATCGAGCGCGTTCACCGCTTGCTGTCCATCTCCATAGGCCTCGCATTGGAATCCCAGCTTCTTCACGAAGGATATGGCGATTTTCTGGTTGATGGTATTGTCTTCCGCGATGCACACTTTGAGCTTGTCGCGCGGGACGCCTTGTAGACTGATGATGGCCCTCGCACCAGGCCCATCGTCAATGGCTGGCGGCGAGAAAATTGACATGGGATCTGCCTCTCTGCCATTCGACGGCGTTGCGGCCATGTTATCGGATTCTGATCTGATGACCTTCTTGAGCGGCAAGCTGAACGCCACTGTCGTACCAACACCTGGCTGGCTATCCAGCCAGATCTCGCCATGCATGATATTCTCAAGGATCGATTTGCAAATCGACAGTCCCAGTCCGGTCCCGCCGTAGCTCCTCGCAGTGCTGGAGTCCGCCTGCGAGAATGGTTGGAATAGTTTCTTCTGCTGCTCCTCATCGATTCCGATCCCAGTGTCAGTAACAGATACAGTGACTCTGACGCCTTCCATATCCTCGCTGTCGACCTTGGCACGGACTGTGACACTCCCCTTGGCGGTAAACTTGTATGCATTGCTCATCAAGTTCATTAGTATCTGATGTAAACGGACTGGGTCTCCCATAACCACCAGATTGGGGTCCAGGTCAAGTGCTGTAATTGTCTCCAAATTCCGCTCGATGTTGGTATAACTCAGAGCTCGGACAACCTCATTGATGGTTTCGGTCAAACTCAGCGGAACGGAGAAGACCTGCATTTTGCCTGCTTCGAGCTTCGAAAAATCAAGTATGTCTAGTTTATAAGGATCAGCATGCAAACAGACGGCGGGAACAGGCGAAAAGATCCGAAGTCTTTTCCACAAGCCGGCAATGTGTCCAAACCGCATAGAGACTGCTGTGCTTACCATTGATTACACTGAGAAGCTGTCATTTGAAGTTTGGTTAGCGATGGCTTATACAGCATCAAAGTTGATCGAGCGCAGCCTCGCAAAGATCTCCAGGCTCTCTCGGAGGTGTAACTTACGGTATCGGCGCATACGCGAATGGAATCCGCGTGCTCTGCTTGTTCCTTACTCAATTGTGTGGACTTCAACATCTCTGACATTCCGATCACACCATTCAACGGGGTGCGGAGTTCATGGCTCACGTTTGCCAGAAACATGGACTTTGCCTTTGCAGCCTCCTCTTTTAGGCGAACCATCTCCATAGCCTTGACCTCGGCAGCCCTGGCTCTCTGCTGTTCCTCTCTTGCCTGTGTGACAGCTTGCCGCTGGACTTCTAGCATCGTGGTATTCGCTGCTTCAGCGGCGTGAAAGCGCTTGAAGAGCAGAGCATTCGCGATGGATATCCCGATCTGGTTCATCATCAATTGCGCAAGTGTGAGAGTGCGTCGGGTGAATGTGTTTGGTGGTGCTTGACAGTAAAGGCTTCCCAGAAGATTGTTGTCGCCATGGAGGATAGGGATTGCAATCATCGAGGCGCCCTCGGGATTCTGTTCGAGCCAAGAGGCAGAGACGTTGGAGAATCGCTCGTCATCAATGACGTTCCGCAGGAACACTTGTTCCTTGAAGCGGAGGACGTAGAGAGTGACCTGCTGAGCGACCACGTCCTCAATCTCGATGACTGGTATGCAATTCTCGGGAACCTCGACTCCGTCCGGCGTTCCGGTCGCAGCTACGCACCAGCCTTGATCGTTGGACACCACGATGCCAATAATATCTGCTCCGGTAAGGTCGATGATGATTCTTGTGAACTGCTTCAACAGTTTATCGACATCCAGCTCCGAGGACAAGAGCTGAGAGCTCTGTAGGATCCCAGTAAGATCGATGATGTCGAGTCCAGCAGCATTCAAGGGCTGCCCAGCTTGGGCATTTCCCGTTCCTGCGGAAGTTGCGGGCTGCGGATCGAGCCACTCGACCGTACGATCCGCTGAAGTCTGGGGAATATGATGCTCTGCATAACTCTCCAGCTTGTCCGGCGACGGCGAAGATCCGGCATTTGACTCCATGGTTTGCGTCTCAGCGTCCACAGATGTGAGACTTCTTGTCCCGTATAGCAGAAACCCATGCTTGTCCGTGAGCTGCTCCGCCTTTCCAAAAGCACCCACTCGGCGGTACGCAGATATCGCGTCCAACATGATGCCTCTGGCAGGTCTCGCGGCACCCCTCCGCACCAGCCAATCGCCGTACAACTCCAAGCTGAGCGCTTCGTCAAGGTTGTCTGACATCAAGTTGGCGTGACTGACAGCGCTCTCGTAGTTTTCAAGCATTTCTTCCCACCGTCCTTCAATGTCCGCCAACTCAGCGGTCATCAGTTTCAGAAAGACCACATAATTTACGTCGTTGACGCTTGCGACAATTTCGATCCGCGTGCGGTGTTCCGCGACTTGAGCAAGCAAAGACTCACGATCCGAACCATCAGGATCCTCTCGTATGCATGATAGGATGCTCATAGAAGTGTAGAACATGGTCGAGTACGCGTAGCGCATCGAAAGCAACCCTCCCATCATAGGCAGCAATCTTTGTCCCAGCTCCATTGCTTGCCTGTGATGTCCGAATGTGTAAAGAGCCATCAACTGATAGCTGTAGTAGAGGCTCAGGGGCCGCTCTGGATGCGACGCACCTGCCTTGATGTATTGGATGTACTTCTCGCTCGAATGAGAGTCGTCATCAAAGATGCCAGAGTCGGACTTGTACCTAGAAAGAAAAGGGCAAACGGGTCAGCGGTTTTTCAGACGTCGCAAGCGCTCGGGGTACACAGATCATTCGCCCACTCTCCATGATCTTAGCAGTTTGAGAGTGCGTGGAGGTCTCTTCGTTGGCCATGTCTCTTCCCTGCGTGGGATAATTCTTGAAAGTCACTGCACTTACGATGTCTTGCCGGCCAGAGCTCGACAGCATTGCCGCACACCCATCAAAATCACGCCGCCTCTCAGATTCGTCTGCCATTCAGGGAACTCATCTGCTACAGATGTGATGAAAGCGGTTGTTTCGGCAACGTTCTCGGAAGACCACAGGCGATATGCGGCCATGATACCGACATTCAAGAGGTGTAAGATCTTGTCGCCCGCAGCGGAAGCTGCCTCGAGTCCCCTGTTTAGGATTTCAAAATTCTCCCGGATATCTACCTGTACATGTCCAAGGAAAAGTGCGTGCAGCGTCAGCCCGCGTCCAGCAGTGTACGATTCGCTCTCGTAGTGGTTGAGAATTCGCAAGGCGGTATTGCCAAACTCCATCGCCGTTTGGACCATGCTGAAGCGCCAGATGGCGACGGCCGCGAGGTTTACAAGGCCGAGCCCTACCTGTGGAAACATGCCCCGCTCCAGATACAGTTCAATTATAGCTAGAGATGATCGGTAGAACAGGAGATGGTCTGTCCAGTAAGCAGAAGACTGCAACTCTGTAAGAAGTGCGCCCAAAGTGCCGAGCTCCTTGCCGACACTTTGGACGCTCTGGTCCTCAAGCAAAGGTGGGTTAGACTCCAACCGTAGCACAAGGTGGTGAAAGTCTTCATCACATCGATCCCACGTGCTCTCTGCGATCTCGAGGCCCAATCCAGACAGGGCGTTTTTCAAAGATTCAAACGCCTTCTCACTGTTCCCACGCTGAGCATACATGCGTGAGAAAATGATGGCAGCGGGAGCCTTGTCGATAGTATTTCGAGCGTGCGCGTTGACTTCGTCCAGCAATTTCGCGGCCTCGTCGTGTTGCTGCGAGTACCAGAAGGCCTCTGCAGCTCTTGTTTTCAATGTCAAAGTTTCCTGGTAGGAGGCGTCGCCTGTGGCGTCGTCTTTCCAGGGGCTCTGTGGCAAAAGCTCGAGACAGTGCTTGAAGTAGTACAGCTCGGAGGTTCTCGCGCCAGACTCCCTAGCCGTCTCGGCAGCCTGATAGAGAAGTGCGCGGTAGTCTTTCTTATTCTTGACTCTCCGCTTCAAAGCACCGATCCCTAGACAAGTGTGCCTCGCTTGTTCAAACAGGCGCTTGCTTGGATGTTGTACTGGGTCGTATGAATCATGCTTTAACAAGCTTGCGGCGACGACAAAGTGCCTAAAAGACAGGGAGATCAGCGATGTCTTAGACTGTGTGGATTGGCTCAGCGCTCTCCGAGACCTTCGCGGTTCACACGCGTGCCGGGGCCTTCCCATCGGCATAGTATCTAGGAGCTGGCCTCGGGTGCCTCTCGCCTTCACTTTACTTACATTTCCTCTTTAACGTACTTGCTGGCAAGAATGTCTGCCGCCGCAATGTACCTATCGTGTGAGAATTTGAATCGTGTCTCGTCGTCTGTCGGCATTAGGACATAGGATGCGAGTGCGATTTGAAGCCCGGCCACAGCATCTGTGGAGTAAGGCGGTACAAGCGGCTGCGGGACAAGTCGTGAGCAGGCGCAGCTCATGGCACTCTTGATCAGGCTGAAATCGAAGCTGTTTCCAATGATCGATCCCCAAGCGAGTACCGTCTGAGCGTCGACGGGTAATGTGTGCATGCGTCGCAGGATGAAGTCGTTGGTGGAGAACTTGCCGTCGTCGGGGCTGCTGAATTGGTCGAACATTCTGTCCAATGAAAACTCCCACTGCCCGTGCTTGTGGCAAAAGTATACGGCCCTTGAACGGTAAGCCGWGTCCAGCAATTCCCTCACGAAGAATGGATTTCCCTGTGTCTTCTCTTGTATCACAGCGACCAAAGGCGATATGTAATTCTTGTCACGATTAAGCGTCGCAGAAACAAATTCCGCCGTATCCTCGTCAGTGAATGCCCCGACCGTGACTTTCGTGGCTTTACTTTGCTGCATCAAGCTGCTCATCGCCGGGGTAAGCATGCCTTCCGCGCGGTAGGTCACGATGAGTACGATCGGGACGCGCGCCTTGATAATGACCTCAATAAGATCCAGCGACTCTTCGTCAGCATACTGCAGATCATCCAGACAGAAACACACGAATCTTTGAATTGCGAGTAACCTCAGTACATCGAGGAAGATACTGGTGAAACGAGAGGTCTTGTTGCTGCCTCCTGAGCGCAGCCAATCCTGCGTGCTCGCAGCGTTGCAAGCCTTGCGACTTGGCATGACGCCCATGGAACCAGCGGGCGACGCTGGACCGGCTGCGCTGACTCGGCCATTCGTGGTTGGATCCAGCAACCAGACGGGTAGCTCGAGGTAAGAATGCAACATTCCCCACATGGGTCGAACWAAAGTCCGGATGTTCTCGTGAAAGGTTGTGTTGACGTTGTTCTCCGAGAAGATCTGCCGGAACAGCGCGGACATGACCTTTGTCACAGGCTCGAACGGCGAGTTCCTGACTTGATCAAACTTGGCGGAGGTGAAGTAGCCACGCGCCCGTATCGTACTTTGGATAGAGTGTACAAGAGCGGACTTTCCAAATCCCGTGGCTCCACAGATGGCGATGACCTCTGTACGACCCTTGTATTTAATTCGCTGAGCTGTCCTGAGTCGAGAGCTGGGCTCGCCGCCGCTTCGCTCACTGCCCAGCTGATAATTCGACACCGTCTGATGTAGACTGTTGGAAGAAGGGAAGTTGAAGCTGACAGAAGCACGACTGTCTGTTGACGAGTGTCTGGCAGAGACACCATTGCTAAGTGGCGTCGACTCGTCTTCGTCGTCAGCAATCGATGGAGTAGAGGATGGAGAGCTGCCGTCCTGCGAATATTCCATTCGTTGGCGAACATCGAGTGGAGAGACCTGTCGGTCCAGGACAGGGTGACCGCTTTCTTCGGAGCCATGCTTGGGAGTGGACACTGTACTCTCGCTCGATGCGTCTTCCATGCCAAAAGCTTCCGGCCGCTCTCCGGACATGGCCGATGAGGTTGAGCTCAAACTCAGCAGTGTGCCACGGGTGATTTGCGTTGCCTTCGCTGCCTTTTTGGCGGCCTTTTCAATGATTGACAGAATCGTTTGGCGCTGCAGGTCGCGGCCAACTAGTCCAGAAGGCATCACGAAAAAAGATGATACATCCATTTGCGCGATCTGGAAGTTGGCGAGAGCCGCTCGATCTCCATCTGTTAGTATTCTTTTCAGCTGATTGAGATCATTCTTCACGCCAGTGCAGGAGTTGTAACGATCGTCCATGTTCCTCGCAGTCATCTTCTGTATAACTTTGGCGAGAGGCTCTGGTACGTCTGATCGAACCGAGGAGCATAATGGGATGCGTCTCGACAGCACATTCTGCATGATATCAAGAGGAGTGTTGCCAGTGAAGGGTGCTCGCCCCGCAAGCATTGTCCAAAGAAGGATGCCAAGTGAATAGATGTCGGTCCGCGCGTCAGGTTCTGCAGGCAGTCTTCCAGTTTGTTCCGGGGCGATGTAAAGAAGGCGATTCTGTATTCCTCTCTCCGACATCAACGTAGACCAGTTGGCGGATGACAGCCCGTGCTCGAAGCTCCTAACACCCGAGCCAAAGTTGATCATACGCACCTCGCCCGTCTGCTTGCTGAAGTGGAAGGCGTCTCCGCGCAACTCCCCGTGCACCATCTCATTATTGTGGTGGAGAGCTTCCAAGCATGCAGCAGCTCCAATGGCGAAATTCAGAAATGTGAGGAGCTCCACAGGCTTCGTCTTGCCCTCGTCATGCTCGTTCTGGGGCGACCCTGGCGTGCCCCAGTAGTGATTCGGACCAAACTCCACAAGCTCTCGTAGATAGTTCTTCGCATCCCTCCCAGGTGCCTCGACAATGGATGCACATGCCGGGGCATCGCCTGGCTGTCGCGCGGGCAGCCGGAAGAACTCCAGCGGCCGAACAAACTTTTTCCGGTGTTCTTCCCGCGTGTACAGCTGTTGAGCCAGTTTGAACTCGCGCTCCAGACGTAGCACTTGCTTGGACACGCGTGCTATGACCCAGAGGTCCTTGTTGTCTTCTCCTTCGACTGCCGAGCCATAGTCGGAACGGGTGCGCGCGCTGGATGTTTCAGAGGAAGTGCTGTTGTTTCGATCGAACGCAGGTCTTTTGACGGTACGCTTACGGCGACCTATGAAGTGATAGTTGTTGTAGGAGCTGTGGAAAGGCGGTTCCTTGTCATTAAATTCATAGCCCGGGACATCTTCGCGTAGTCGTTCGAAGAACCGCTTGAAGCGCGGTGTGTCCACTGCCTTTGCCGTCGCCGCCCCAGCAAAATCCTCCCTCTGCCTCTCCCGCTCCCGCTTTCTCTGCGGTAAATCGTCCTCCATCGTCCGCTCGCGGCGTATTCGGTAGGATGTGTCCTTATGTCATGTTGACAGGCCGCGATCGCGGTGTCGGTACGGATGGAGGGTCTTTGGACCGGATGGTTCTGTTCCCCGACCGGCCCACGCGATACGAATGAGATGGAGTGTGGATGGTCCTCGTAAGGTAGATGGAGAGCGCGCAACTCCGACCGAAACGGCAGCTAGAACGATGTTGTGAATAATAAGCTTTAGCCGTCCCGTTGTCTAGAATTCAAGATCCAGCGATCCAATCGTCACAGCAGTGCAGTACCTAGTAGATGATCCAGGAAGTGGCCGGCTAGAAAGGTGTGGGGTGCTGTGTCGTTCTTGCAACTGCACCGTGCATCGACTCGCCGTGTGTAAGTTACCTTACTTTACTTGGCCGCCGACTTGCTTGGGGCCGACGTCGTTGTCCGGGTCCTGCATGCTCGCCCATCTGCAAGGATCACCTCCCCACGCACACGCGAAAGTTGGGTCGATCACACACATCACAGCTGACAGAGCCAAGAGCTTCAACAGCGGAGCGGGGTCCGCTGTCCTCCACATTTACACAAGCAGAAGCTCAAGCACGAGCACAAGGTGCTACATACTGCAAATTGTCACCAACCCGGCACACAATTGAAAGGCTGCACACAACCTCGCCGTTTCCAAGACCGGCATGAACGCAAACACCCCTACACCGCCCAGAGTATAGGTAGATTCACGGAGAGCAATACCTCGTTGCGCGGTGGCCATGGATGCGGAAGACAGGGATATTGCTGAGAAGCATGAGGGCAGACAAAGGAGTGAGGAGCGGGAGAATGAGGACGCGGATTCGAACGCGAGTCCTGTACAGAGGCAGAGGCCACGCCCACTGCCAGCAGACCTGCCGCGCTCCCTGGACGATCGCAAGTCATATACCGCATATGTGCAGCCGGAAACTGAGTACTACGATGCGTGGCAGGGTGCGTGTCCTTGCGATCCACCTGCGATGACGGAGATGCATATTAATGGTATGTAAAACAGGACAGTCGCAATTTCTCACTGCACCAACCATAGCGACGCCCCTCAACTTCAACCTCTCGCTTCACGAGCCAGACGACGAGGGTGCATTCGGAAATGATGATGCGCGGGTCGCACATATGCTGGTCTCCACCAGTCGGGCACAGGGTGACGCTGGCGAAGCAGAAGAGGACGAAATTCTGCAAGATGAGAAGCTGTCGCGTGAGCAGAAAGCTGCATCGCTCCAGGACTTTCTGTTCATGGCTGCTAGTAATGGCGACGCACAGAGGGTAACACGACTGGTGCGGGGGGGCCCGTCTGATTTGATCGAGATTGACGGCGTGGATACGGAAGGAACGCCGCCATTGGTGTATGCCAGTTGCTTTGGACATCGTGAGGTAGTTCAGGCATTGCTGGATGCCGGCGCAAGTGTCGACATGCAGGATCGAAATCAGTGGACAGCCTTGATGTGGGCCATGACGAATCGCCACAAGGACATTGCGAAGTTGCTGCTTGACCATGGAGCTTCGACGGAGGTGAAGTCATCGAGCGGTAGAACCGCCTTGGATTTCGTTCCACCAGACAGCGAATTGCAGCAGTTCCTCCAACACAGTGGGTACAGTATTGGGAGTGCAGGCGTGGGAGGTGTGGGAATAACTGATGACTACTACAACTCCGGGTTCTCGCAGGACAAGTTCGAGGAGGAGCTTGCGGAGAGCGAGATGAGGCGGAGGATGATGATGGAGAGCGCAATCAATCTGGAGGTCGATCTGGGGAACCTGGGACTGGATGAACAGCCCGACTCACCGGAAGAGTATGAGGACGCGCAAGAATTTGTCTGGGATCGCTGTCTGAATGATCAAATGTTCGTTTTCATGGAGACAGACATTGAGCGGATTTTGGATGTTGTCATAACCAAGATGACACCGCAGAGAACGCCTTCCCAAAAGCCCGTGCCTGCGAACATTGTCTTCCTCGGAGCTCGCTACGCTCATTACCACGCGGACGCTGACCTCCTCACTGAATGGCTCGAGTCTGCTCAGGACAAGATTTATGCCGTGGTCGATCGGCACCAATGGGACATGACCATTCTGGCATTCTGGGTGTCGAACGCAACCTTGCTTCTCTACTACCTCAAGAAAGACACCGGTCTGACCCAAGAGACGACCCAGTTTCAGGCGCAAATGGCGGAGTTGATTCATGAAATCTACATACTGATCATCCGCGACGCAGAGAGACGTATGGACAAGGTGCTCGATGCCGCAATGCTCGACCATGAGACTATTCCGGGCTTCGAGGATACGGTATTCCAAAATGAATGGAAGTTCCTCCGAAGCAAAACCAAGGTCAAACCCGAGCCTGCTGACAAGCGCTTCCGTCCGCCATCTCCCAAGCGCAAAGCCCAAATCTCGCCTCGCAACATCACTTCACTTCTCTCATCCACTCTCTTCGTGCTGGACCTCTACGATGTGCACTCTGTAATCACGGTCCAGATCCTCTCGCAACTCTACTACTGGCTCGGCGCCGAGATCTTCAACAGGATAATGTCCAACAAGCGCTATCTCGCACGCACCAAAGCCATGCAGATTCGCATGAACATCTCCACTCTCGAAGATTGGGCGCGGACCAACAGTCGGCAACCTGAGCACTTCGAGAACGGCGCGATGACAGCAACTGGCGAGGCTACTGTTGATTCCGCGAGACGACACATGGCGCCCGTAGTGCAACTTCTGCAATGGTTGCAATGTTTCTCACACCTTGGAGAGGATCGAGATGCGATGGAGACGACCATACAGCAACTACCAAGTCTCAGCACGAAGCAGTTGCTACATGCTGTGAAGCATTACAGGGCGGAAGTCGGAGAGAAGACTCTGTCCCGACCCGCGCTAAGACATATTCAAGAAGTAAAGAGCAGACCCAAGACCATTCAAGCTGCCGAGACATCTACGATCCCGAAGACGCCCTTCGATGGAAAGCCGCTGCCGAGTTTGCCTCCAACACCACAGTTGGAGAAGGAGGAAGACGATGTTCCTCCTGAGAGCAATCTCATGAACCCGGCGCTTCTGCTTCCTTTTCACTTACCTACCAGCACCGACATGCTGGTCAGCTTCGGTGCCGGCTTTGGAGGAGTTAACAAGGAAAGGGAGAGACGATACATTCCAAGTGTGCCGCCGGAGTTCCTCAACAAGCTGGATCCGTCGCCGCAAGCAGGTGGTGCGCAAAGACGGAGTGTGTACGAGGATGCCAGATGGGACGATAGTTCTTAGCGCGAATGAGGTTCCTCCGCGGAACTTTGCTGGGGGATAGTATAGCACGGTCACTCATGCTTAGATCGACTCACAGGCAGGCTGTGATGAATCATGGATCTCTCCAGCGGGATCTTATCGGAACTGCGGTTTCCATCCTTGGACTTCACGAAGCAATGAACGACCTTCACCCGATGACCCTATACGGGCCGCGTGACTACGTATTGCAGGAGAGAACCTAAGGCTACCTTGACCCAGCCCAGAAGTGTGATGGGTTGCTTCCCGAAAATAGACGTGGTATCTGCATTGGAAGCTCACGTCCGCACCGCTCTCGTGTTACTCTTTATGCACGTGCTTCAATTTGAAAAGTGTCGCGACGACCCAAATGCTCACATCGCATAGGACATGTTGCTTCCAAGAGCTGAAGAGATGCTCACGGTGATGATTGATGTTATCAATTTTTCTGACTGCGAGTACGCACTTGCTTGACGGCATGCAAACGAGATCAGCATGTGCACAATTGCTTTGAACATAAGATGAGGTCCCTGCGACCTCTTGTGAGTAGTCAAGGTCCGGTAAAGTTGACGATCCCCGGCTCTCCATGCAGAGAATCCACGGCCAAGCTCGCGAACAGGTAGCTACAGGCATAAAAGAAAGCAGCCTCGCGGAGAGTCAAATTTCTTATCGAACAACGTCTTCTTGAGGGTAGGATTTCTAATGCAGAAACGCACCACTCTTTGACTGCTCCAGGTAGGGCGGTAACCTTTATTCTCGCCGGTCCTTGATTTTATCGAAACGGATCAAGTGATGTTATCAACCCAGCGACTTCGGCCATATCAATTCGATATTTCGGAGCTCGCCTAGCCTTGGCAGCGTGACAGCGTGGTTGGTGGGGCATGTAATCGCCTGTGGCCGCCGACGACGCCGACGGCAGGCACGGCGGGCACGGCGGGCTCTGGAAAACATTCATCCAATCCTCGAATATATGATGCTTTCCTCACTGGAGTCACGTCCCTTCCAAAGCCTTCGAGACATTTTGCAGACGACATGGAGGCCCAAGTCCTTTCTCCGGAGACCGTACAAGACGTCTTTAAATCAACCGTGACTTCGGTACCAGCTGATAAAATCGACTCAACGTTCAAGTCAAGCAGCACGGGTAGGAATCATCAGATCACGAAACACACGCATGAACAGAAGGGATCATACTGACGCAAGCTCCCATAAGACCTGATCAACAAAGCCCTCGGGTCTCGTATTCTCTCCTTTTCTGATGAATGGTTCGCCGCCGCAGAGAATCTTACAACACCAACTCCACCAATTCGTAAACCAGGCGTCTTCACTTACGCAGGAGCGTGGTACGATGGCTGGGAGACTCGTCGCCACAACCCAGAGCCCTTTGACTGGGTTGTCATCCGTTTGGGTGTGGCATCAGGTCGCGTAAAGGGTGTAGAGGTCGACACGGCTTTCTTCAATGGCAATCAAGCACCAGAGGTCGCCGTTCAGGGATGTTTCATCTCGGACGACAGGGAAGAAGAGGTCAAAAGTCCGAACTTTAACGAATGGGAGACGATCCTCGAGAAGCAGGAATGCGGACCCAGCCAGCGTCATGGATGGGCACTCCCACGCGAGACGGAGAAAGCGTACACGCACGTGRGACTGCAGATGTTTCCCGATGGAGGCATCGCGCGGTTCCGGCTGTTCGGTACGGTGGTGGCTGTTCTACCGCAGGATGTCAACGAAGTCTTCGATCTTGCTGCTACTGTCAATGGAGGTGTCGCAGTGTCATGTTCTGATCAGCACTTTGGAACGAAAGACAACTTGCTGCTTCCTGGCAGGGGTGCTGATATGGGTGACGGCTGGGAGACGGCAAGGTCGAGAGGCGAGCATATTGACTGGACCATCATCAAGCTGGGTGTGCCTGGCGTGATTGAGAAGCTGGTTGTCGACACTGCCCACTTCCGAGGTAACTTTCCTCAGAAAGTACAGATTTTCGCCGCGCCAGCACAAGATGGTGTTCCACGACATGAAGATTCAATATGGACGGAGGTGCTGCAGCCGCAGAAGACCGGGCCGGACAAGGAGCACGAGTACTCAGGCGAGGTGCTCAAGGAGGTTTCAGGAAAGACCTATGGCTTCGTCAAGCTGGTAATCATTCCCGATGGTGGTGTGAAGCGAGTACGTGTTTTTGGACGTAGGGCGTAGATGTGGAGTGGGAACGAGCGTTGCCAAAAGCATGGCAAAACGTGGCAGGACTTGGAAGGCTCTTGGAAGGCGTCAACGATCCCGCGTGTGTAACGGTGTYCCATGCCGCAAATTGCTTCCAGTGTAGCGAGTTAAACGATCGAACCCAAACGGAATTGATCAGCAATGTTCTACATGCAAGCCATCACGCTTCGAGGTCGATCTGGAATCTGGATCCACGCTAAACATACCGATTCACGTGTGGTGGCGTTTTGAACCGTGCCGTGGCTTCTAGCGGCCTATCACGGCGATCACCCACCTGTTCGGTGATTGGAAAAAGAAACACACCTCACGCTACGGCGGAGGTTGCCATCGTGGTTATAATGCCTTGAGTGCCCGCCGGCACCGATGCTCTCCCCCGCTGTCAATACCTTCGTCCATACCTTGACCATTACGGTCTGAGTCGCGCCTACGCCAAGATGCGATAGACTCCAAAGAGGCTTCTGCACGTCTACCATCTACGTGTGAGAAGTGGCATCAGGACTGATTAGCTCCTCCACCGGTCTGACGGATCATTCACTTCACCATGGGCCTGGAACCGCTTGGTAGAAATTGGGGCTCCATTGTCAACTGGGATGACTTGGCGAAGGCATATGCAGGCTTCATCGTTGCATGGACTGTTGTACTGTACGCGGGTGTCGTCTGGCTTGTCATGAACCGGAATCTTCCTCACATCAAGATACGGAATGTACCTATAGCAGTGACAAGCGTCACCTGCCTCCACCTCTACCTCATCAAGATCGTGCTGGCGTATACCACGAATGGAAATTTCCCTTGTGCATTAGAATTCTGGATTATGTCGATCTATCTACCGTTCGGCATTGCCCTGTTTCAAGCGAATCTGGTCCAACTTCACAGCATTAGCGATCAACAACAGAAAATGTTGAAATCCTCCACTTCGTCATCACACTCTGCTGTACAACACAATTCTCGGGGTCTCTGGCAGAAATGGAAGGCTCTGCCACAACTTCAAAAGTCGTACACATACATCGGCATCGGAATGCTTATCCAGGTCATCGTGACTGCTGTTGTTTATGCTGGGACTCCGGAGCTACAAGGAGACTGGCAGAGCTTTGGAAACGTCACTCATGCCAAAGGACAGGCACTATGTCGAAAGTCACCAGCATGGGTACCGAGTGCCTTCTGGCAATTGGCTTGGTCTTGGTTGTTCGGTCTATGGACGCTGTACAGGATCCGCAACATCCACGACACACACTACTGGCGTTTGGGAACATGGCTCAGTGTGATATCGGGACTACCGGGTACACCTTTATGGATCGCCGCTGTATTCTGCATACAGTTCAAGCCTGTCAACATCCGATGGGTACCTCCAATGTGGCTTGCACCTGGCATCATCGCCATGCAAGTGGTCACTGTATTCTTCCCCATCTATGAAGCATACGTCTCTCGCGTGCACATGCGTACTACTCTGAACCTCCTGAAGCAGTGGGAAGAAAAGGAATCTCAAGATGCAGCACCAAGTCTCACTTCCACAGGGACTGGCAATGCTAGTGTCGCAACGAAAAACTCCAAAGTATACTYGATGGCAGCACTAGAAACGGCTCTGGTGGTCAATCCCCTGCCGCTCCTTCACTTCGCAGCGCACAAGGACTTCACCGCCGAGAACATCATCTTCTTGATGCGCGTGCACGAGTGGCGACGAGCATATGGTACAGCGCCGCGGCAGGCGAACAGTATCGCTCTGACTGCCGAAGCACAGACTTTGCTCTTCCGCATGGGGGTTGTCATCTACACCACCTGCGTCCTTGACACAACTTCAGAGTTTCCAATCAACATCGACCACAGTGTTCGATCGGGACTCGATGCATTGTTCGGTCCTGCTGTTCCGGGAAGCAATCAGCGTATGAGCGATAGTCGGAGTCCCTGGGAGATTGACATGAACGAGCTGGAGAAGGACCCGATCCAAGTGGAAGTGCAGCGCATTACACTTTCGCGCGAGACTAGTGACGAGTCTATCCAGAGTATATGGACGCCCAAGGCCAACTCCGTGGAAAGACACGTGAGCAGCGATGATGATGAGAGACCCATGTTTGCGCCCCATCCTGCTACTGCCCCGCTGGGCACCGTCCGGGCACGAATCGGGGCTGGATTGGACGGGACTGTGTTTGATGATGCCGAGGCGAGCATCAAATACTTGGTCTTGACAAACACTTGGAGAAAATTTGCCCAGGAGGGACTGTTCGGTACGGAGCATGGTATGGTCTGAAGCACTTTTTGGCTTAGGCATGCATTCATCAATCCTTGCTCAACCATGCACCCGCGTACGCCTCTCATCGATGCAGCTCGAGCATGAGGCTGTTTCCACGGAAATCTACCCGCGAGAGAAAGCTTGTAATGTGCATGGATTGGATCTAGAACTCTGCTTCTATCAACAATTGGGCTACTGCCAGATGAGCCCGCCGCACTTCGAAATCGACACGCAATACAGTAGACGCCAAGGTTCAGAGGGCGACAGAGCGCTCCTCTACGTGTCTCCCGGGATCCAACGCCTCGAATTGCGGAGACTGTAGATCCGAAGTTCATCACGAGCTCAAGAGAGAGAAACACCATCCTAGAAGTACCCATGGGCAAGGCGGGATCGTGGGCAGCGGCGTTCATTCCTTTCACGGGAAACCGCCTCCATGACTTGCGAGCAACGATGAAGGTCAACGAGATTATATGAATTTATGAGATTTGTGTGGCGCTTCGTTGATCGACTCAGTGTTCTGGTCTGATGCTTCGTTGGTCAACTCAGCGCTCTGGTTTGATGCCTTGATGAGGGAGTTTGGTGCTTCTGTCATTTTTGGGGACACCGACTCGGTTCTTTGACGTGAGAGGATGCTTGAGTGTGGTCGACTTGACCTAGTAGCATGAGGATATCGTCTTAGGGATGCCTACCTGAGTTGCTAGAGGACTGGTGGTGATTTCGATATTGTCCCTCGGCCGGATGAAGTCCTTCGTGTGAATGTGACCGATTGATTTGCCGGCATCTGTCTGGTATTGTGGATCGACATTGTAGGGTTTGAGGTTGATGGATGGTTGAAGGACATAGAAGGTTGCAGAAATGTAGATGTGGGAGCATTTTCATATGATCGAAAGGGGTCGACGCTCATGATGGATCACTTCTTCGCCCGTAATCGTTCCCTATAGCGCTCATGATCGCCCACTTACTTGCTCATGATGCGCCGCTTGCTTGCTGAACCTCGACCTCTCATCCATGACTTTCCGCTCACTCATGTTCATTTAGCTCCYCCATGTTGAAGACGATATCTTCACACGTCAGCTGGAAATCGAGAGCGCTTAGGTGACCTGTCTGACTGACACAACGATCACTCTCCAGACCTAGCAATCTTCAAACCCAACAAGCAAAAGGTGACCGGACTAGAGCGGATATCCGATGAGAAGTGCACGGCCTACAGCGATAAAGTATGACCGCCATTTGAGATGGTGTCGCTTATAGCTCATCCWGTAGGTCCTGGCAAACTCCTATACGATACGCACATCCACTTCCCATTTTCTGCTTCACGGTAGTCCCAAAGCCCGATGCTGTATCGTACAACACCAGGTGTGAAGTTGACATTGTGAATGTTGGCATACACTTGCGCTTCTCCTGGCTTATCACTCATGTGCACTGCGGTCGACACGACCAGAATGTGGTARTCAGGATTCGAATCATAGACTTCGCTGAAGGCGTTTATAAAGTCYGTCAAGTCAAGTTTGACTGGTATTGTTGCAAATGTAGGTCCAGATAAGAAGCTGGGGGACAGATGTGTCCATGGATAGGACTGCGTGTCCCAGTATCGCGTGTTGCACGCGAGAACCATGTCTGTGGACAGCGTCACTAGATGCCTTTCGGTGAGCGCTGTTGACGTTGTCGATGTAGTCGGAGTGACACTGCCAGTTGAAGACATGGCAACTGAGCTCGCGTTAGAAGAAAACTAAACGGGATTTTTTGATGAAAACAGCAGACGAGGTTGCGGGAATCAGCTGAAGAGCTGAGGAGCGCGGTGTGATCGTTACATTGCATCGTTTATGTTGGGTCGCATCGACTTCAGCCATCTCGATTGCTCGACACATGGTCAGACCGGTGTAGAATGATCTGAGCAGGCGTGGAGACACATGCTGATAGGGTTAGGGTTGGGGTAGTTTGATCATGCGATAACCCCGACAGACCTCTGTCGGCATGCCAGGCCTTTGGAAAGGATGATTAAGAAGCTTTTCCTTTCAATAGACTCTACATGGTAACCACGTAAAGTAGATATTGGTTTATAGTGCGACTGATCATGGATAACGTTTCTTTGCCTCACTCGACGTACTTGTCCGACAACCCGTCAGACATGTCAATGTTCAACAGCAAAAAGCATATAAATTATCCTTATGGATGAATGATTCGACATGGTCGAGAGCTTTTGCCTCGTTCATCACGGCCTGCCTTGCATGTGACTGCAAGGTTACACGGACCTCCGGCAAGGGAAGCTCATAATCAAAATCGCAAAGCATGCTTCGATGCAGAGGATCGTATGAATCGAGCTTGCCGTGCTCACTTGTAGATCATCGACGGGCCACGCTCACGAACAGGCAGTTATGATAGGCAGACGAATGTGTCTCATGGAGAGCAGGATGTGCCTTCGACCGAGGCTCGCAGGGACACGTTCATCGTGCTGTCGTCGTTATCAAAGAAATTGATAGTCCTTGGGTTCAATATGTAAGGTAGTGCGGCAACATCCAAACTCGAACTTCGTTGTCTGCATCTCGTCCCAGCCCGCTCATCCCTCAGAGTCTGTTACCCGCGAGTATATGGTTGATGGGTGGAGTCAAGAGTTGCCCAGCGACACTTCGATCATCATCAATTCACAGCACTGGATTGGCGGAGCAAAGGGGCAGACCTCAGAAATCGCTCGAGGCAGAAGTACATTCATTCACAGTGGTCTGATCCCTGCTCAGGCGACTTACTTTGCGTCCAGAGTGCGCCTCCCAAGGGCCTAGGACACGGCGAAGAGATGAAACAAAGGATGCAGCAAGGAGCCCGCGACTTACCTGTGTGCGAGGAAGGTTTTGATAATCACCCCTACTGTCAGCAAGGAACGGTTCCCCAGTTTGAAATGTGATACGTCGTACCTTGTCTGCTCGCGGTCCACAATTCTCATTCGCTTGGGCAGGCATTCGAGATGCATGCATATACATGTCAGTCCACCAATCTCACAACTGCTGGTTCACTTGCTCCTCGCCAAGGTCCACATGTTCTCCATCTTTGTCCGTGATAGCACATCCTTCGCCTCTCCATCAGTCTCGCAAGCCCGACTTCCCCACCTCTTGAAAGCTCTTTGCCCTGCCTCACCCTCCCAGACGAGCACGCACCGATTCTCACTGAGGTCTTTCAGTTCGCCTCTCTGATCCAGCGGGTGACACCATTCCGCTGCTTTGCTTCCACTTCCCCGCGTCCCCAACGTAGCATTGGCATTACTTCCATCGGTAGTTCCCACAAAGGTCGTGCCTCCACCAGAATTATCCACAGGAGGCGTGTTCTCCGTCCACTTCACCCTGTTTAGCATCAACTTCTTATACGCCTTGATGGAATGCGCGCCACCTTCAACGATGATCAGATTCATGTCGGGATTCAGGATCACAATCCCGGTCAAGAGTGACTGCTTTGCGTTGACATCGACTTGGTATCTGTGCTTCCCGGAGCTGAGATCATCGACGCGGAAGACCACAATCTTGATGCCCTWTGCCTCGTCTCCCGCCTGTTGCCTCGCGAGCTTCGCAAGTTTTTCTTCGTGCGTAAGTGCGCGTTCYGCGTTCGCCTGCTCGTGATCATGCGCGCGTTGTGCAATTTCTCGGTTTACACGCGCTTCAACGGCTGTGGGATCTTTCACGGCTTGTTCACCCAAAACTCGCATCATGTTGCTTTTCTTGACCTTGGGGGGCGGAGGCTCGACGAGTCCGAGACGAATCTTGGCCTGTTCCTCCTTCATCTCTGCCATGCGGCGTTGCCGACGGAGCTTCTTCTGCTCCTTGACAGTCAGCATAAGTGGCTTCGGCTCAGGCATAAACTTTTCCTGAGGCGGGGCGAGCATGACAGGATGCTGAATCAGGACGGTGATGATGCTGTCTTCCGATGTGATTTTGTTGCGGTCAGGTGCATCCCAGTTCTCATACGAGGGCTGCGCGAGTAAKCCCTCGTCCCACCATTCAATATCAGGAGGGGCAGGGACGAGGAACGCCTTGTCACTGGCTTCCTCTATTTCTTTGCTGCGTGATTCAGCAGCCATGCGGCGCTTCATCTCCTCCAAAGCGGCTTGCGTACGCAAGGCAGCGGCCTGCTTGATGTACTTGCCCTTCTCACTGAACACCAGCGGCTTGCTTTTGCGCTGCTCATACTTGCGACCGGTGGGCTGATGAGTCGGATTGGCAGAGGCATCGGGCGCCGTCGTTGGATCATCCTCCCACACGGTGTATGGGTTGATTCGCGGTTTGTCGGGCYGTTGGTTGCCTTTGGTCGTGCTGAACTTCGGACCTTGCTGTTGTGCACCACGGCTTCCTGTAGGATCGCTCCCGACGAGCGATGGATGGAGGCCGATGCCCAACCCACCACGAGCACCACGCCCATCCTGTCGAGGCGGCGGCGCAGGTGCTACGGGAGCGGGAGTGGGCGTGGTGGTGGTATTCCGACTTTTGGCCAGTTCCGCTGCCTTGGCCACGGCCTCCGCCCGCCAGCGCTCCTGCTCCGACGGTTCTCGCGGCGGAGGTGGTGCGGCCTGCTGTTTCGCTGCCATCTTCGCCTTGAACTCGTCGATCTTCCGTTGCGTCTCCGCCTTCTTAGCAGCCACATCATCCATCGGAGCTGCAGGAGCGGCAAGCGGTGGGGCATTTCCAGGCTTCTTCACGGCCATTTTCGCCTTCAGCGCTGCAATCTTCGCGGCCGTGGCTGCTTTCTTGCTCTCCAAATCGGACACGGGCATCGGCGACCCATCCGCTGCACGCTGGCGCTTGGCCCCATCATCTTCGTCCGGCGACTCATGTGGTCGTTTCCCCGTCATGTTTGTGTTGTTGTCGGTCGTGCTGTTTGCGAATGGTGGGTTGAGATGAATTGGATGGACGGCGGACGCGAAAGAGGGAAAGTGCTGACTCGCATAAATAAGGTTTGAGACTAGCGTCGCTTTGCTGGAGAAATATTTTGACCGGGAGCATCAGCTTCACATTTACATCCTGAGTCCATGTCCGCATTCTCTCCGCCGCGATGAATCCTTCGCAGGTTGTCGCTTCGCAATTGGAAGGCGTCAACTTTGGCTGTCTAACGACTGCCGACATTAAAGCAATTTCCGCCCGGCGCATCACCAACAGCACTACATTCGATACTCTTCTGAACCCAGTCCCCGGCGGGTTGTACTCAGCCGAGTTGGGCCAATTTGGTGACAATGCTTGCGCAACGTGTGGTCTGAAGAGCCCACAATGTCCTGGCCATCCGGGTCACATCGAACTGCCCGTTCCGTGTTACCATCCGACTTTCATGGACCAGGTGCTGAAGCTTTTACGAGCAACATGCATATATTGTGGGAAGCTCAAGATGAAGCGAGTGTTGGTKGCCCGATTCGTTGCAAAATTGAAACTGGTGCGATATGGCTTACTGAAGGAACTGGCCGAGCTGGACGAGGTGCAGGCAAAGGCGGGACAACAAGCTACTCCCGCCGACGGATCATCTGATGAAGAGTCCGAGGGTGACGCCGATGTCAAGGCGATTACACAACAGTTCGAAAGGTTTGTGAAGAGGGCCATCAAGCGGGCAAAGGAGAATGGGGAGCTTTCAGAGATGAAAACGGAGACAACGAATAATGCCCGCAAAGCCATCATTCGGGAGTTCATGTCGATTGTCGACAAGGGTAAGAAGTGCGGCAGCTGTAACSGTATCAACCACCAGTATCGAAAAGATCGCTACGTCAAGATCTTCAGAAAGCCGTTGTTGGAGAAGGAGCATACTGCCATGGTGCAAGCGGGCATGAAAGCCAAGGATCCAGTGATTGAGTTGCGTCGGAAGATGAAGGTTGAGATCAATCGGAAGAGAAAGCAGGATGAGGATGAAGCCGTGGCAGATCTGGACAGGAGTTCAGATGAAGAGGGCGATGATGTGGATATGGATGAAGGAGAGGATTCATCAGAAGGCGAGCCTGAGATTGCAGGCGGAATGGTGGACGATGTCACAACGGAGAAGCGCTCCTCTAGTACCAAGACTGCGCGGCAGGAGACATATCTCAATCCGAGCCGGGTCTACGCACAACTGGTACAACTATTCGAACGAGATGGCGAAGTGCTAAGTCTCATATACGGCGCAGATCGGAAAGGAAGCATGGGGATATCCGCGGACATGTTCTTCTTACACGCTCTAGTGGTTCCACCGAACAAGTATCGTCCGGAGGCAAAAACCGGGAATGATGAGATCGCAGAGGCGCAAGAGAACTCGCTTTACAAGAACATTCTCAATGCATGTGACACCCTACAGGACATCCAGCGCGAGCTTAGCGCAAAGGAGCCCCCAGCCGTAACACGGTACCGAGCACGAACGTATGCAGACTTCGAAACAACATGGCTTGTCTTACAGGAAGCGGTAAACAGTCTCATTGACAAGAACCTTTCGCCTCTCCAGGGACGAGCTGGCGCCAGGAGCGCGGATGGCGTCAAGCAGAAGCTGGAAAAGAAGGAAGGAATGTTTCGAAAATATATGATGGGCAAGCGTGTCAATTTCGCCGCCCGTACTGTGATTTCCCCCGATCCCAACATCGAGACCAACGAAATCGGAGTACCACCAGTATTTGCGGTGAAGTTGACTTACCCAGAGCCTGTCACACAATGGAACATCGAAGACATGCAAGAGGCTGTCCGAAACGGACCTCACATCTGGCCAGGAGCGATATCCATTGAAAGCGAAAACGGATCTGTCATGAAGCTAGACGGGAAGACTGCAGAAGAGCGGACAGCGTTAGCAAACCAACTCCTCGCGCCATCTGCAAGCGGCAGCACGCGGGGGGCACGCCCAAAGAAGGTGCATCGACATTTGAACAATGGCGACATTGTCATCATGAACCGCCAACCCACCCTTCACAAGCCGTCCATGATGTGTCATCGCGCTCGAGTACTACCCGGAGAGAAGACCTTGCGTATGCACTACGCTAATTGCAACACTTACAACGCCGATTTCGATGGTGACGAGATGAACATGCAYTTCCCTCAGAACGAGTTGGCCCGCGCGGAAGCGTTGTCAATCGCCGACACAGATCACCAGTACCTCTCGGGAACTGCAGGTAACCCATTGCGAGGTCTGATTCAGGACCACATATCCATGTGTGTGTGGTTGACCAACCGTGACATGTTTTTTGAGCGAGGAGACTATATGAATTTGCTCTATTCGGCACTTCGGCCTGAAAGCGGGCACTGCACTACTGGAAGGCTGGAAATATTACCTCCTACAATCTTCAAGCCGAAGCCTCTGTGGACAGGAAAGCAAGTCATCAGCTCTGTGTTGAAAAATTTGACTCCCCAGGGTGCGCTTGGTCTGACGATGGAGGGCAAAAGCACGACGGCCAAGACTATGTGGGGAGTCGGCGGAAAGGAGGAGGCGGATGTCATCTTCAAGGATGGAGAGCTCTTACAGGGAATTCTTGACAAGAAGCAGATTGGTCCCTCATCTGGAGGTCTGGTCAATGCCGTCTACGAAGCCTACGGGCACACGATTGCTGGAAAGCTGCTGAGTGTGCTTGGCCGACTGCTGACGAAGCTCTTGCATATGCGGGCATTTTCCTGCGGTGTTGAGGATCTTATCTTTACTCGCAAAGGAGAGGAAGATCGACACCGGGCTCTTGCTGGCGCGCAGTCTGTGGGCTTGGATGTTGCTGCGAAGTACGTGTCGCTCCAGGACCAGAAACCGAAGAGTGACAATCACGAGCTCCTCCGGCGATTGGAAGATGTGATCCGTGATGACTCCAAGCAGCACGGTTTGGACCAGCTCACCAACAACGCCACAAAGGATCTCAGTAGTGATGTCTCCAATCAGTGCATGCCTGCCGGTCTTTCAAAGCCATTCCCCAAAAATCAGATGCAGACCATGACAACTTCCGGCGCAAAAGGTTCAAAGGTCAACGTCAACCTAATTTCCTGCAATCTTGGTCAGCAAGTGTTGGAAGGACGAAGAGTGCCGGTGATGGTCAGTGGGAAGACACTTCCCTGCTTCAAGCCTTTCGAGTCGAGTGTCCGTGCTGGTGGATACATTGTAGATCGCTTCTTGACGGGCATCCGACCGCAGGAGTATTTCTTCCACGCCATGGCTGGTCGTGAAGGACTGATTGACACCGCCGTGAAGACTTCACGTTCTGGATACCTACAACGCTGCCTGATCAAGGGAATGGAAGGGCTGAAGGTCGAGTATGACACCACTGTCCGCAACACAGAAGATGGTAGTGTGGTACAGTTTCTTTACGGTGAAGATGGCCTGGACGTCGGCAAAGCAAAGTACCTCTCCGAATTCAAATTCGCCGCCGAGAACTACATCTCGCTCTACAACTCCTTTGACATGGGCCAGGACCTTGGTAAACTGATCAGCGAGGAAGCGAGAGAACACAACAGGGTCGCGGAGAAGCAATACCGCAAGAGGGGAGATCTAGGTGCTTCTGATCCTGCGATATCGGTTTATGCCCCCGCGCGTCACGCCGGGAGTATGAGCGAGAAAATGATGATCAAAGCCAAGAAATGGGTAGATGCCAACGAGGACAGACTCATTAAGGATAAGAAGAAGAACATTGATGGACCCGGAGCCATCTCGAAGAAAAATTTCAACGGTATTCTGGAGATGCGATATCTCAAATCGATTGTTGAGACAGGCGAAGCTGTTGGTGTTGTCGCCGGGCAATCCGTCGGCGAGCCCAGTACTCAAATGACGCTGAACACTTTCCATTTGGCTRGTCACGCTGCGAAGAACGTCACGCTCGGTATCCCTCGCCTCCGAGAAATCGTCATGACTGCCGCGCCCAATCTTGCGACACCGACAATGACTCTTCGTCTGAATGACGATATGAACGCAGAAGATGCAAAGAAATTTGCCAAGGGCATCACCAAGTTGAGTCTCGCGGAGATTGTGGACAAAGTCACCGTCACCGAGACTACAGGTAAAGGAGTTGCGTACTCGGAGGCGAAGAAGTATGAGGTTGAGCTTGAATTTTTCCCAGCTGCAGAGTACCAGAAGGAACATGCGATTACGATTTCGGATGTTGCGGCAACGATCGAACATCGCCTGCTTCCCCGTCTCCAAGCGTCGATTCGCAAGGAGCTTAAAAAGCGTGGCGATGCAAAGACTCTCAAGGCCGCTGCCAAAGATGATGCGAGACCTGATATCGGCAAGTCTGCGGGAACCATCGAGCAGGAAAGTTCTCGTCCCGAAGGCATGCGTGCGGGAGGCGATGATGATTCTGATAGTGAAGATGAGGACGACGCCACGCGCGATAAGGCCAAGAGCAACAAGCAACAGGCCGGTTACGAGGCTTTCGAAGATGATGAGGAAGACAAGATCAAGAAACGCAACGCCACGCCTGAACCCGAGGACGAACCCCAAGATGAAGCGTACGGTGGCTCTCCGCGCTCCACTGACGATTCAGAGGACGAGGAAGATGAGAACAAAGCCCGGAAATCGTCAGCGAAAGACCGCGCAATGCGGATCAAGAGTGACTCGAAGACCAACGACGTTGTGTCCTTTTCCTTCGACGATAAACACGGCGCCAGCTGTTCCTTTACGCTCGAATACGACTCTGCAACCGCAAAGATCCTGCTTCTCAACCTCCTCGAATCCGCCCTTCGCGCTGCTTTGATACAATCCGTCCCTGGAATATCTTTGTGCATGTTAGACGAAGATGCTACCTACAAGGACCGCGATCATAACCCCGACAAGCACTTGATCCTCGCTGCCTCTGGCGTGAACATTCCAGCCATGTGGGACTACCAGCACATCATTCACCCTCACTATTTGTACACGAATTCAGTTCACGATGTACTGATTCATTATGGCGTCGAAGCCGCTCGCGCGACGATTGTGAGGGAGTTGCAGGGAGTCTTTGGAGGTCACGGAATCAGCGTGGACCCCAGACATCTAATGTTGATTGCGGACTACATGACGAGAGATGGAGTTTATCAGGCATTTTCACGAATGGGATACAGAGGAAACCCCTCACCGTTCATGAAGATGAGTTTCGAGACGACGGTGAATTTCCTGAGGGACGCTGTGCTGGAGGGCGAAGGCGAGGACCTGAGAGGTCCCAGTGCCAGAATCGTGGCAGGCAGAGTTGGAGGAGTGGGCACTGGCGGATTTGAAGTTTTGATGCCTCTGCAGGCTGAGGAGGGAGATGTGAGAGTAAGAGGCGAAGGGTTGATTGAAGAAGATGAAGATGTTGAAATGGAGGACTGACTGTAAGGGATATCGGTGAATATGCATCCACTGGGCGTTCTGGAGCAATTCGTGTACGGGAGCATGAAATGATCTTGTCTGGGCTATGAATGGAAGTGAAACTAGAAGGGTTGAATTAAAAGATATGGAGCTGTTCGTTGCATAATTCTGACGTTCAACATTCTTCGCTCTTTGCATCGCCGCCATTTGTAATCGAGGCTGAGCCCGTATAACGGTGGTGGAAGGCAAAGCCAACGTGGCAGTAACGTTGAATGTTCCAGAGCGCAGCAAAGTTGGTATCGGTGAATGGACGTCGATGGGACGCCGTGTATCGTTCGCAGTCGGTGGGGAACATTCATCAGCAGACGGTGACATCAATCGATCCATGGGTTCACAGCAGAGACACATGGAAGACCTCAGCGTCTCGAGCAGAAGCGGGAGGGGAACTTCGCGGGAAGCACTTGAGACTTGACGCCCAATTCATATCCTGGCGACGTTGTGGTCCGTAGCATCATCAGGATTGGCTAACGATGCAATGTTGTGTAAACATCAACAATACTCCGATATGCAGGGAATGTTTTGGACTCTGGGGGTCGGTGCGGTGCGATGCAGGTCATTTCCTCGGGTCCTCGCATCTGCTTCCGAACCATGGCAGCAACCTAACTCGTAACCACAACCTTGAAGACTCAAGAGCATGGAGTCGCACTCCAGCAAGTCCGGATCGACGTTTAGCAGTTCCATGGGGACGCACTCCGGATCGGCGTTTCGTTTGAGAGATCCATGGTAGCCTTCGTCGCGTCTGACTGTTTGTGAAAACAACAACAAACAAACACCGCGACGGGTACTGACGTTTTTGATCGAAGAACTAGAGAATCAGGGGTCAAAAGGGGCGCCGTCTTCACCTGATCTGAATCCTGGTGGAGCATCGAACGATGAAGAATGTAGTTCATTCTGCAGTCGCTGTTATCGCGTGGTTTAAATTGATAGATGACATCGTTCGCGTCAACCGACGCGTCTTCCGTCGATATGGACGCGACGACAACATCAAGTCTGCGCGGGAATCATGAGGACGTCGGTGGCTGAAGGCTCTTTCCAGTGTAGAGTTCGTTCTAAATTAGTGGCTTCAACCTCCAGACGACATTGTGGATGTGGAATCGAAGATGGACCTTGGTCCGGATCGCGAGATCGCAAATGTGCGAGAGCTCCAATACTCCATGAGTCCAAATTGTGGCCTGCTGAAAGAAAGTCGGCCAATCAAGATGGAGTGTGCAGCACAATTGTGATGATTGAGAATCACAAAGTGTCGCATACGACACTGTATGCCGTGGCAAAGCTTCTTTGGTGGCAGCTTTCGTTTCTGATGGTTTCGCATCAGCTCGACTCGAGAACGGCACAAGTACTATGTGTTATTGATCTTGGAATTACTCTCGCAGCTGGCAGTCCGGAAATGTCTCAACCATCGCGTGTGACGCCCGTGGGACAGAGACTCGAACTGGCGAGTCTGGTCGGCGTGAAGGCTTCGAAAGCACCAAAGCAAGCTTCTGTGGTGAAGCCCCAACTTCAACATCGCCATTGCACGTCAGTCGGCACTTGAAATCGCGATGCAACACGAGCCTGCCGGTACGACGTCTTAGCAGGCCCCTCAGAGCTACCAAGCAGCAGGTTCATGACACTGTACTTTATCAACTTGGGTAGCTAGAAGTGCATCAAACCAACTTCAGCATTGCTGTTGGTTTTGGACATGCGGTTGTCATGATTCATTTGCCTCGTCACACCAAATTGATGTAAGGACCATTGAGAAGTTTCGTATAGTCAACAATCCTGGGCTCACATGTTTGTTTCCCGACTGGCAACGCATCATCGAACGCAACGCGTTTCTCCTGTATCGCAGCTACCTATTAACAATCAATGGGTTGATTCTGTCGTGCACGAGCTTACCTGGACCTGCTGCGGGATCAGATGGACTCCGCGTGGTGTGGTGGAAGCTTGAATCGCGGCAATGTGAAACGCTGCGGTGATTCTGCAATCGCCAGAAATAAAATGCACGTGCTAGGCACAGCCCTGGAGCAAGGCCTCATTCCACGGCATCGCAGACCGTTGCAAGCGTTTCACCGCATCCGACGAGATTCTCGCCCTTCCGGGAGCTGAACAAGGAACAGAGGGAGAATAGACGGTGATGGCGGGCGCTTTCCAGGCGTCGAACGGCGAAGCTCATGGCGTTTGTTGGCAGTTGTTTTGCGGTGAGAGGGGAGCGRAGCTGAGCTGCATTTGACGCGGCTTCAGCGCTTGCCGATGCTCCATGCTATCTATAATGGTGCCGCAGACCTCTACCTGACCTCATTGAAACATCGAGAGCCCCACAGATAACAGACTGCAGCCAAGGTCCGCTGTTGTACAGAGGACTGGCCTCGTGCGAAGACGACGTTCGTCGACGGTCTGCAAGCACACGTTGATCTGCGAGGCCTCGAGCTTGGTCCACAGGGTGGTCCATCAACGTACCCAGGGTCCTCATTGGTGTCAGCGATTAAATCGTTAGCGTACCACACCATGATTGGGCGACGCGAGAAAAGGAAAACGCGTGAATCTGGTGTGCGTGGATCTGGTAAACGCGTGGGATACTGTCAGCTGCTTCCGCCCCATTTTTGCCAATAGATCATAGGATCGATGGACTTTGTTGCGCCCTGATCACGCAGCACGACGCACGGTGAGGAGGATGGAGTTTTCGGCATTTGGCACCAAACAGCAGGAGTGCGTTGGTGCTGCAGTAGAGCGCAGTAGAGCGCCGCGGGAAGCCAGAAAGCGGGTCTGCACAGTTCCCTGGTCGAGGTCGGAGGGGAGGGACCGGGCGCACATTGAGAAGGTTGGAGCCTCTGGTGCTTGTAGCTCGCTCGCTCGATGCTGTGACCAGAACCAGCCGTGATGATGCGGCTCGAGCGGTGGCCATGTTCACAGACCGGCAATCTCAGCGACGGGGAACTTTATCGTGGCATGTGAGGGCCCTGGAGGGCGTCCAATATTGGCGATCGCGATGTCTGATCCATAGTGGGAAAAGAGGAAAGCATGGACGAAAAAAGAAAGTTCGGCTAGAAAGTAGGCCCGTCCACCCATCTTTCGCTGGTCCCCGACCACCGATTCCTCCACCTCGCTCCAGTTCCGTGCCCACACAGCCAAACCTCAGGGCGCAACACAGCTACTGCCCCAGAACGCCCACCGCACCGCCGTTACCACACATATGGGGAGGCGCAACACCTAGACGGCTCGTGGACCAGCAGGGGCCCGTCACATCCGAACAGCGCACACCTCGTATCGCGACGGCAGTCCGCAGCGCCAGCGCCAGCAGTACCACACGCCCCACTGGTTTACCCACATCGCCAGCGCAAACGCAAACGACAGCAACCATAACAACGCGTCCCCAGCTGCGATCCGTCTAGCCTCCAATACTAGCACGCCACGCTACATCTCGCCCACGCCGCCGCCATGTCGCCCACACACCGTCCGTCCTTCTCCATCGCAATGCCTACCAGCCCCGTCTTCCTCGCCGCCGACGCCGACCAGATGCCGCACACTCCCGAGGCGCGCCAGCAGTCGTGCCAGTCGACAGCAGAACCTCCGCCGCCGCCGCGACCGGTCCCATTCAAGGTCAAGAGGAAGCGGCCGAGTGCGCAATTCAACCTACACCACCTCGACACGTCCGTCATCCCTACGATTGAGATGTCCGAAGCGCCCTCTCAATTGTCCAGTCCAACATTCCAACACTCGGTCTCCGCGCGCTTCCTCTCTCCAATCATGTCCGCGACGCATTCGCGCACCCTCACGCCACCGACAACCCCAGCGCCGAAGCTCTACCCGAGTTTCAGCCAACTCGAAAGTCCGGCCGATGAGTGGGACATGATCAATAACAGGAAGCCGACCTTCCAACGCGCCAACTCTGTTTGCTCGTCCTTCTCCGACTCGTCCATATCCTCGTGTGGCAGCTCCGCTTTCTCCGCGCCCATCAATGGCTACGACAGCCCTCTCTCTGAAGCCAACGATCCATTCATGGACGACGACCCGCCCAAGCAAGCACGCATACTGCAGTCGCCCATGCGCCAGGACGCTGCGCCCAAGAACAAGCGAGTCAAGACTCGTCGCGATGTGAGGTGGACGCAACAAATGGACGATCACCTCTGGATGACCTTCTCGGCTTACCTCTCCGACCCTACCCTWACACCATTCAAGATGCTACCTGGCAGCACCCCACCCATGGGAGTGTGCGACCAGGTCGCGACCAAGGCCAAGCGTACATGGCGTGCGCGCAAGGCTGGTCCATCAACTCCTGGCGCGATGGACATGCTCTTCGACTCCCACGATCACATTCAGCTTGATGGCTCGCCCGACACGATCCGACCCACCTCGCTCCAGATCTCGCAGTCGAAATGGCCAAAGAATGCTGCAACAAGGCGTCGTCTTCGCGAGCTTTGTGCACGTCGTCCGTCCATTTCGGCCCACTATCAGCGCATGTTGCGCACTCGAAGCCCGTCTCCATTTGAAACGTCCAGCCCCGGTACCCAGCAGCCCGAGCCAACGTCATTCTCTGGAATCGATATGATCATGTCGCTCGTGACATCCACTGCGCCTTCGATGCAACCAAATGGCCCGTTGGCACAGCTCACATCCCAAGTTGCGACACCGCAGCCACCTCCAACTCCCAAGCCGCGGCGCCTGTCTAGACCTGCTCGTCCAGAGGGCTGGTTCGATCGTATCCCTCGCTCCAAGGCTCATCAGAAGAGCGCGTCTCTTCAGTCCGAGCTCAACCTTAACCTCGAAGCTGCAGCCTCACAGGGTGCCAGCTCTTTGGCATCTCCTTTTGATGGTGACTCGTCTTCCAGCCGCACGCACCTTCTCCATAGCATGGCCAACACCAGGTCGCTTGGCCGTACAGAGTTCAACGGCAAGTCTCTTGACTCACCGTTGGAGTTCAGGACCGGAGCGCCCACAGATCGTCGCTCCCGCAAACGGCGCTTCCGATCGGATGAGGAAAAGCCGCGGCGTGGTGCCCTGGAGGATGTGTTTGGCCCTCCCTCTGCTGAAAGCGATGTCGGTCGCAGCCGCGGCTTCACTGTTGGCGCCATCTGCGCGACTGACAACTTGACCAAGATGTTCACCCCGCGACTTCCCACCTTCGACCAACCCATGGCTGAGGCTCCAACAATGGCAGAGCTGGGCAGTCGTTCCGCTCCTCGTCGCCTAGCTGAGCCGGTACCCCGTCTTGGTTCTCCCTTCATGGAGACACCGCCACCATGCCGCCAACACAACACCTTCCCTCGCACCAGCCTGCTACCTTCGGCAGGGGACCAGGAGCCATTCCATCAACGCCTTGTCCAGCTTGTGGCGGAGCACCATAACGGCGGTGCCTCCTCTCGTTGAATCCTACGGTGTTTCTCTTCGAACAACAGTTTTCCATGGACTTTTCCATCTTCCAAAGGGCGTACCGGCGTAGAGCAGCATCCACAGCATCTTTGCAGCATTTTAGGGCAACGCAATTGCATCTCGAGGTCGACAGCAGTCGATCATCATGATAATGAAATCACGACCACCTCCATGCATCTTCGCTTTTCCGGGAGCAGGAGCCTCGACATCCGCTTGCAACATCGCTTGGTATATCCTTGCTCACATGTGCAATCGAGTCATCTCTTCCTGGATCTCTTTCATTTGTTTATATTTGGGCTCGGTGTGCGGTTCGTCAAGAGGGGGACGGGTCTACGACTTCGATTAGAGACAACGGTAGTGAGCGAGAACACCGTGGAAGATACATACTCGACTTGTTGCTCTTTCGGATTCTGTATTTAGTTGACTTGTTTGTTCTTTCTCTTACAATGTGTTTACGAAGTGAGGATGATGAATCTGGGACTTTGGGTCTGCCGGCGTCTGGGTCAGCAATTTTGGAAGTCATGCAAATGGGTGAAGCAGGATAGTGCCAGTATTGAAGAGCTATCTCCCCACTTACTTGTCATCTGAGTTTTCTCAGCACTAGCCACTGTGAGGTATTGCCATTGTATAACCTTGCCGGCGAGTCAGCCATGTGCTGGCTGGCATTGCTGGTCCGCAAGTTGAAGTGTTATTTTCTTGCGTAGCTGGTAGCCCTGGTAGCCCCCGTGCTTCCCGCCGCCAGACCCGCACCACCTCGCATCATCATGCCCAGGCTTGCGAGGATACACGCAGTACATTTCGCCAAGTATCYCAAGCATTAGCAAGCTCGAGGGACGCAGCGTGGATTGCCGTCTCGAGGAGAGAGGTGGAAAAGACTGCACTTCCACCGGTACATGTATCTACCTACATTGTGAAAATCACGCCTCGGTACGCAAAGGGGAAAGGGCGAAGCGAGCAACAGCCCGACAGCAACATCACGATCYTCAGGCCACTGAGCTGAWGATAGAGTTCGCCTGCCGGTATCTCACACCATGTCTCACACTCCGGCGGACATGTACAGCCTGCCTAGCAGTCTGCGGGTCATCTCCCTCAATTGCTGGGGCCTCAAATTCATCTCCAAATACAGACATGAGCGTCTCCTGGAAATCGGCAAACAGCTGGCTCACGCTTCCCCCACGCCACAGATTGTAGGCCTACAAGAATGCTGGACCCAGCAAGATTATCTCGCCATCCGCGAGCTGACCAAAGACATTTTACCCCATGGCAAATTCTACTTCAGCGGCATCTTCGGTGGCGGGCTGGCGATCTTGTCGAAATGGCCCATTGAGGAGAGTTCAATGTACCGCTATCCGCTGAATGGACGACCTGCTGCGTTCTTTCGTGGGGACTGGTATGTGGGAAAGGGTGTTGCATGTGCGCGAATCAGAATCGGTCCGGGAGTGAAGGATGTGGTGGAAGTTTTCAACACCCATTTACACGCACCGTATGAGAAGGAGCCGAATGATTCCTACATCTGCCATCGCACGGCCCAAGCGTGGGAGATTGCGAAGCTGATGCGTCATGCTGTCGAGCGTGGTCATATGGTGCTCGGACTGGGAGATTTCAACATGGTTCCGTTGAGTTTGGCGCACAGATTGGTAGAGGCGCATGGTGCCGTGAGGGATGTGTGGAGAATTATATATCCCGACTCGGCGTTGGGGAGTGCTGAAGGAGAGGCGGAGCGGGCTCGAGGAAGGGCTTGTCCGACCAGCAAGCAATGTCTCGAAGAACATGGTACGACCTGTGATCATCGCTTCAACACATGGCGATGGAGCAAAGAAATGCGCAAGAACTTGGAAAATGGCAAAGATTCGATCATCGATCCAGAAGGTCTTGATTCAAAAGCGAAAAGACTGGACTATGTCTTCTTCGCCGACAATGCGGAGCACAGTGGCCAAAGCTGGAGCGTCGACCAAGTGGAAGTCGGTTTCACTATGCGACATCCCACGTTAAGATGCTCTTTGAGTGATCACTTTTCGATCGAAACGACCCTCACTCGCAAGCCCGCTACAGCACCGGACTTGACAAAGCAAGCCTMATCGAAGATCCGCCACCTCGACCATGACACATATGTCGTGATACAGAACATGATAGACAAGTACGACATTCGCGAACGCAAGCAACGCCGCCTACGACTCACTCACTTTGGAGTTGAGCTTCTCGTCTCGATTGGCTGTCTCATCGCCGTATGGTGGTCGCCACGAAACTACGTTTCATTCATATTGATGCTCATCAGTACTCTTGGTTTGAGCTGTGGCGTGCTCGACGGCTTGATGGGTGGACTGTTCGTTGGCTCCGAGATACGTGCGCTGAAGGAATTTGAGTATGAGATCCAAGTTGCGGCTGAGAAGGCCAGAGCGTTGTATGGAAATTATTCGGAGGATGAAGGCAATGTTGAACAAGCAACGGAGAGTGCACTTCGCAGTCGCGATGGTATGACAAACAATGGCAAGGTACAATTATAGATTGAGATTACATATACTACTCTGTGAGCCAAACGAGTGGCTCACATTCTGTCTACTCCCCTAATTCGTCGCTGAAATCGACGTCAAGGCCGATCAAGCGCCTTCGTTTGTTTCCATCGTAAATCTCAAGGCAAATCTCATAGACTGTGGCATGTCCTAGATTACGAGCTCCGAGGTCGTGTATTAGATGTATTGCGTCGTCCAATCGTAAAATCGTAAACCTGATCATATTAAACGCTCTCAAGCGCAATGCTGCGCGCCTCGATATCTGAATCTTCCAACGCTGCGATCCACAGACAACGACTAAGTGCCTCGGGTTCCGGATGGAATGTATATCTGGAACTRGCCTCGGTAAGTCTCAGTAGGTTCTTTACGATGTTCGCTGCCGTCTGATAACGTTCAAAGTTGATCAGAGGTTCTTTTCCAGGAGCGGGCGAGTTGATGCGGGCAGACTTGAGTGCGTTGAACATCAAGTCATGGGTGTAGAGGCCGATGAAAGGAATGATCCCGTTGCTAGGCATAGCTGTCTCCATCTCTGCGCGGAGGTTGTTGAAGTTGCGCAATGGGCGGCAGAGTTGTTCGAGCTGCTCTAGCATTTGCTTCTCCCTTAGTGCAATGAGCGACCAGGTCTTGGTGAGGCGAGCGAGATCGCTGGATAGGAGTGCAAGAGTAATTTGGTACAAGGATGCATAATTGTGGAGCCGGTGGCAATGGCTGGCGATGTGAATGAATTTGGTAATCGTTCTCGCACGCTCACTTGGCAGATCAGTGAGGACGACTTCGGAGACACACCATTTGACGACCAGGTTGAAGCGCGCGATGACAATGTCGATTCCGTTGGCATTCTCTTTGTTGAGGTAATCCACCCAATTTCGAGCATGAGAAGGGCTTTGTTGCCAGTTCAGGCTGATCAAGTCTTTCCAATCCACCTCATCAAGCGCGTCTTTCTCGATGATTGTGAGCTGCTCAGCAATGACCTCGGACTCAAACGCCAAGACAAAAGGCATGTGCGAGCCGCTCTCTATTGAGTCGGGTGAGTTGCGGCCCCTCAGTTGACTTTCAGACCCCTCACGGACGGGGAATGGCTGATTCGCGGCTTGCTCTTGCAGCTTCGGATGGCTAATCTTCTCCTTGAGAGTCTGATTGGGACGTCGTAGAGGAATCCGCGGGAGCAGCTGTCTACGATCTGGAGACTGTGCATCAGCCCCTGCGGTTGAGGGCGGAGTCGTCGTTTGCTGGAATGGGCGATGCTCCTTTGTTCCATCGTTGGCGTTGTCTTCATAGTAGAAAGTTCGAACGCCCGTCTCGTCCTCGTGCTGATCTGCGATTTCCGTAGAGATATCGCTAATTGTTTCGTTATCATCCCACAAATATGCTCCTTGATTATAGCCAGACCATGGTCCCGCTCGGAAGCTCGGGTAATGGCTCATCGAGCCGTCGTCGACAACACTTGCCGGCTTTTGTATGAAAGAGAACGAATCTGGAGTCGAGGTCGCGGAGTAGCGATCGTATTTTGGGCGCAGGCTGGATCTTGCGGGAACAGCAAGTGACAGTTCTGAAGACGATGCAGTAACCCGTTTACGCAATGGTGCATAGGGCGTCAAGTAGGCCACCTTCGAGTCCACGGAATGTGCACCCGACTCTGACACACGAAATATGCTGGCACCCTGCGTCTCGGTCATGGGGCTGGTGATGTTCTCAAGTACAGGAGTCGATCCCTCTAAGAGGATACTTGCGTAGGGTAAGTCTGGACTTGGTCCCTCTTCAAAAGCCGGAGACGAACTGTATATACTTCTCTCATCGCCTGGGCTCTCTTTGCTGGTTCGGCCCGAAAAAGTGCTGAAAGGCGGGCTAGGTATCTTGCCTTCTAACTTGAGAAGGGCGTCCTCGATACCGCCACGCGTTTCCTCGTCGGGTATTCCTTTCAATCTCCGGGCCTCCTCTTCGAATGACGCGCGGAGTATGGGCTGCGAGGAGTGTGTCTGAAGCAGGGAAACCGACTTTTCGTTGCGAAGTACACCATTTGGCAAGCGGGTTCCACCCTCACTTTCAGACATCATTACAGATGCTGAGAGTGACCTTGATATTGTGCCTTCAGAGTGTGGTCGTGTCCTGATGCTGTTTCCATGGCCGGCAGCCCTCAAATCTTTCCCGCCTGGCTGTCTTCGCAACTGCGGGGGAAGAGCAGGCATATGCAAAGCAGATGGGTGTGCTGTTGATGACGGCCCACTCACCAGGGAAGCACGGCCATCGTCAATGGCACTCCACCTGTGTGATTTGGACGGCAGGTCGTGGAATCGAGAGTCGGGAGAGCGAATGTAACCGATGTGCATGCTGTGTGCTGTCTCCCGAGGGGGCCCCATGTCGACACCCAGGCCCTTATCATCTCGACAGCGGAACAATGGGATTGGTGCCATCTCTGACGACATTGTACTAAGCGATGGCAAGTCCGTGGGCATTGCCGGGAGCTCAGGCGCACCCGTGGCGTCGACGATGACGATCGATCGACTGCCAGTCGTTACATGGCTGTTCAACCTGGCGAAGTCCCTAGAATCGGGTTCGTAGGACTCGTGCATCTTACGTGGAACCACCTTGTTGGTCTGGAATGACTGGGAGCCATCTCGTCGTTCCTGCGGTGGTGCGGAAGTCGGGTTAGGCATGGATACTATTTTGGACAATCGTGTCTCTTCACGCGCGCCTTTGTACGAGGTTTCAATCCTTGCACCCAAAACGTCAACTCGCGGTGGCCCGCCGAGCTGCTGCCAATCAGGCTGAGGCTTTGGTTCTAATCTCTGAGAGCGATCAGAACCTCGTGAATTCCCTCGCGATCTTGACGAACCGGCCGAGTGAAGGGTCCTGTTGGGTGAAGTGCTGCTACTCGTCTTGCGACTACTCAACGCACGACGAACCTCGCCAACGAACTTTTTCACGCCAATGTGGTTGTGCCTCTCCCCAAGATAGCCTTCGGTGCCTGCGAATCGTGTTTCATTCAGCTCGGGGCCAGGCGTCACAGGAATGTTGCTGTCCACTTCTGGTGGTGAGGGTTGCAGCAGGATACCTCGTACGAGGCCACCAGTGATGGCAAACGACGGCAAATCTTTCAGCTCGATGTTGTCAGCCTTTGGAGACGACAGTGGCGTTCGTTTATCGCGCAACGCGTCAGAAAAGCTGCCGCTTCTTTTGTGCTGATGTGTTSGCCTGACAGCTTTTGCAAGCCTTGACTGTGGCATGGCTGGTACAGCCGGCTTCTCTGCCTTCTCTCGTGCTCGTGCTGTTGGGCGAAGAAGAATGTTTCTCAGAAATGGAACAGAGCAAGATAGAACCTCCATGCTCTGCTCGCTCAAGGGAGATGCGGGTATGCTTGCAGTACGATTGGTAATGACCGTTTCACGTGGGCCCGGGGAAGCCTGCGCTTTCTCATCTATCGGTTGCGTTTGCGGAGTAGTGATGTCGTTCAAGGCTCCAAATTGACGCTCGTACATGTCTGGCAGATCTATCGTGGTCAACTCGAATATGGAGCCGCGCTCGGTGGTGGGCCGGATCGTCAAAGGCAAGCTGACATCGGAGGATTGTGCAGATGGTGCTACTTGAGGATGGCCACCTGGGACGATATCTGCATCCGGGTCCGACTCCAATGCATCGGGCACAGGCCAGTAAAGCGCACAAGTCCTTCGCCAGCATTTCTTCAACTCCCCCACAATATTGATATCTGCATTCCCGCGATCAGGACGCTCGCGTAGAAACTTCACCAGATCGTTGACCATATCACAGAAGCTCTGCCGGAATAGGTCATTTTTCATGAAATCGTCGAGGAAGTAGTTTAGGATCCAATGACGAAGGGCTACAAACGTCCGAACTCTGGCAATCCGGCCGGCGTCGTTTCCATCGCCAAACGCCCATCGCATACGGGCGAAGAGATATTCAAGCACATCTTGGCACGTCATGAAGCTGCGGAACGTGAGGAAGAAGTCGGCCAGGAGTTCGTAATCGAGAAAGTCGGGAGATGTAATCTGTGCGATGAGCCTGGCGGGCGTCGCTGCAACGATCTTGCCATTTGTTGGATGATGGCGCACGACTGCAGGATCATTCAAGTTTCTCTCCAACTTTTCGAACAATCTGGCTGATATGGGCCCCGCTACTGATGTTCGTGCTGACGCAACAGCAGACCGCGAGACTCCGGAGGCGAGACTCGACGTATAAGGGCGAGACGGATTCATGTAGATGGGAGCTAGACTGCCGTGGTTCCCAGGTGGGACGGGGAATAACGTCTCGTACTCCTCCTTGGATAGTATAGACGACGGAACCCCGTCCACGGTAGATACGGTGTAAATGGAGTTGTGGAGATACGCCGTACCATAATCGCTGAATCGCGGGGTTCCCAATCGATAGTGTGGAATTTGTAAGTCTAGCAAGTGCTTGGGAAGCAGGTCGGTAGAGCTTCTACGTCGTCGTCGCTTCTCCTCGGCGGTCGGCGCAAGATGGTGGAGATCATTCGGGTTGTAGATTGTCCCCCGCGTCGAGCATGAGTGCGATCTTGTTCTGCGAAGGTCTTCTGGTGCAAAAATCATCGAAGAGACGTCTCCGTCTCTTGGTTCAATCACACTCTGGCCTCGGTCACCGCGTGGAGTCCATGTTCCAGAGATGTTGCTCGCACGCGGATCCCCGTAAAAGGATGTCCTCTCGAGGATTGTCGCGGGTGGTGTTGCAGGAGCATGGCTCACGGCGGTGGATGGGCCCATGCGACTTGGCTTGAGGTATAGCACGCCGCCTGCTCCGACATTGACCACGGCAAAGTGCCTTGGGGTGGCCTCGTCGTCCACAATCTGTAGCCGCCCATTGGTCGGAGTGTCGACTCGCCGGTGTCCGTCATTGCCATCGCCCACCCGAATCTTGGCTCCCACGGGCGACTGCTGGCGTTGTCGGTCCGCCTCACTTTGAGCATGGCGATGACGCCGGAGATGTATGGGCGGTCTTGCAGGCATGGCTCCGTCCTTCAATCGCCTGCGAGGGAGAAGACGGCGATCGGGCATGACGAGCCATTGGCTTTATTGCATTCAAGCGAACCGCGACGTGCTCGCGCTGTACGTCAGCGGACAACCACACGACGCCTCGATCAGCGCCTGTCGAGTCAGTGACTGGGTTTGATTGTCAATCTGAAGTCATGGGCCCGCTTTGCCTCTCGCGCCTACAGATTGCTTCTGGACCTCCGCACGAGTATCACCAGCTGTCTGCACTACTCCATCAACCGCCACTCTGCGCAACCCGCAGCAGATCTTGATCGCCATTTTGCGCAATGTGTAGGTGTGTGACAAGCAAAACCATCAGCGCGGGCCTGCAGCCGCGGCACGGGCGATCGACCCCGCGCCATGGCCTTGACTACTTTGGTCTTAGCGTAGTGCATGCGGCTGTAGAGCGACGATCTTCCAGAGATGTTCCATCGGACTGGTGTAACCATATGTGTATCGTGTATTGAATGCGCCCAAGTTTCAGATGAGAAAAGTCTATATCGCACTTCCTTGATCTACAGTATCATCGCAGGCCATATAGGCACGATAGCACCGTCAACAATCAACGACATTCCACCACTGGCATAATAGCACCGATTGGCGCCCGCAAAAGGCAAGGATGCATGTGAGATTTGGGTTCGGGATTCGAAGGCTGAGAACGAACCAACCACTGGCGTCATGGGTTGCCTTTTTGGACCCCTGCATGGATGGCGAGAATGGCGAAATGGCACGCCTTTTCGTCGAGCGGTACATCGCCTTTGCATAGCGACTGTCCCCAATCATCTCCAGATGCAGACAAAGGACGTCTGATTCGTCCCTCGTAACGAGCATGCGTGTGCTCCAACGAGTTCCTCGCGGTCTTGCACCAATCGCCGGGTCWCCACGTTGTCATACGTAGACCTAGCCGGATCTTAGTGGCTCGGGCCTCCATTATAATGCGCGTGTTCGTAGTGAATATGGCAAAGATGATTTATCGCCCAGGGATCCGGTTTCATTCGTCTGAAATCGGCAGCTTGCAACCACGAGACTGATCTTGGTCGATGCGTTACAAGCAAGGAAGTGCCAACTTCACTTCCCTCGTGGAGCACTCCCTGCGCGTGGGCGAACAATTCGATGCCGGCTGAGCAATTGCGAAACCATGAAGTGGCTCACGTCCTCATCACTCCAGTAAGAGAGATGACTGGCGATGGCAGCAATCAAGTTGATGTCAAAGGCGCCCTCCTGTATTGAAAAATCAACACGGCCAGTTTCTGCAGCACAACGTTAGCTTTTGGTCCAGCATTGACAGGCATCTTGATCAAATTGTATACGTCGCCCCTCCACAGCACGTAATACGCTACCATCAAGGATGTTTGATCCACGTGACACTTACGATTGAGTCGCCGCACTTTGCCCTCCTCTTTCCGCAGCCGTCTTCCACGCTCCTCTGCCTCAGCCCATTCTGAACTTCCCTTGACTGCTCCTGCACCGAGATCCCGTACCYCGGCATCACTATGTGCTAGTTTCCGCTGTCTTTCAAAGTCGCCCGAGAGAGTCTCGAGCTCGTTTTCGATCAAGGTAGGAGGATGCTGCTTCTTTTCGCTGGCTGTTTGAGCCTCCGTAGCAACGCGGTCAACACGACCCATCTTGGCAATCTCTGTACCATCTGCAGGCACCGGAGGCGCGACCGGAATTACACCTGCAGATATGTTTGTGCCAGCCCCTCCCGAGGTGCCGGAACTGTTTGTTCCTGATGGCATCGAGAGAGGTCCACTGCTTTTCGTCGCATTTCCAGTCGTCCTTGCCGTATCTTCTCCGTACCCAAGGCCTCGAGTGAGTAGGCTGGAGGCGACGCTAGACCACATGCTGCTAACACTCTTACCCACGCGGGCCCCTATGCCCGTGAAGCCTTGGCCGACAGGTGCTCCAAATATGCCCCGTTTGGTGTATGGGAGTGGTTGCGGTTTGAGAGAAGCCATCGCTGGCGATATTAAAGGCTCAAGGCGATAAGAGATTGGATCYGTCGGGTGGAAGATCTGGCAGGTCAGTCATGCCAAGTGCATGCAATCGCAAGCTACTTACATTGAAAATTTGCGCGCACTTTGGCCTCGAAACGGGATTCTCTCCGTGCACATGGCCAGGAGTAGGGGCAATGGGCTTTTTGCTTGGCGGACCGAACATTGGATCCTCCATACTTTCGAGGTCACTGGCGTCTCGAGAATGTTGACTCGATTCCCGCGCAGCAATCGTTCGTCCGCCTAACATCTGGAACAATCCGATTGGAGATCCGAGTGCATAAAAGTCCTCGACGGGGAAATCGAGCCTCAGACTCTGGTCGCCTCTGCGTTTGGCCTTGGGATGATGATCTTGTTTACAAAGGATGTCGAACATGATAGCCGAGCCTAGACTATGGCCGATGAGACTGACCTTGCCGCTGAAGGTGGGATTGCGTTGCATGAACAAGTGGTATATCCGATTGAGCTCATTCAACACGATGCCCGAGATGTGATCTTTGTAAGCCGGTGAGTCGTACAGCAGTATGTCCAAGGCAAGATCAGTGATGAGGTTCCGTACAGCGGGCACCCCGTCCACAGATATGTCCTACAGATCCGTTAGTAAATACACCGCATGAGAAATACCTTGAACATACTTCAAGGCTGGGATAGTCCTCGTCATCAGCATCCGTGTCGGCAATGTCGTGCTCCTTGCGATTATGCCGCAGACTTTGCTTTGGGAAATCCAAAAGATGTCGCCAACAGATGGGCAGCACTTGCWCTCGACTGTTGACGGTATCACTGTCACCCAGCTCAGCATTCAACGCTCTGAGATCGGGCGAATCCGCATAGACCGATTTCAAAGTCTTGCGCAAAGTATTGACATCGTGAACAAAATTGACGCTCTCTAGTCGCAAGCCCAGACGCTGACCTATGCCGTGGGTAACTAGGATGAGATGTTCGATCGGACGGTTTTGTTGATCGCCCTCAGTCTCCCGGTAGTCATCCTCCATCTCACGCTCGTCGCGCTTTCGGGCTTCCTCGTCCTGCTCCGCACGGTCTTGCGTCGACTTTGGGTCTTCTAGCAGTGCCGACATCTGTCGTTGAAGTGTCTGTCTCTTCTGTTCGGACATACTGGGTCTCTCCGCCTGAACCTCCTCAACATCTTCCTCTTTACCCTCGCCCTTCTTTGCTAAGTTCTTACCCTCCACCGTTTTATCGTCTTTCGATTCCACTTTCTTCGATGTATTGACATATCCTCGCGTGATGCGCAACCCAGCAAAGTGGCCTCCACCGGCGAAACGTTGATACATCGAATAGTTCATCCGAGACAAGAAGTCGTCTGTTAGAAGCCACGCTGTGGTTCCGTCCTGATAAGTGACGACAGAGTTCATATGCGCACCGAACAATCGATACGTGTTCTTGGGATGATTATCTGATCCGGGATCAAGCCCTCCCGGCTGCACAGTGTGACTGGCCTCCTCGGCTGCCTGCCGGAGGTCTGGCTGAGAAGGCTTAGATGGGAGTTGTGGAGAAGTTGGAATGTCCACATCTTGCCCTGAAGCCCAAGAGGCTGGCCGTGTGCGTAGTTGTGACGCTGACGGCGGCTTGGTGGTGGTTGTGGTGGTGGTGGTGGGTTTTGTTTGAGGTTGGGTGGTCGTCGCAGTAGGCAGCCGCCAGGCTTTGACTTTGAGGTATCCTTCCTCCAACTGGGCGGCGAGATTCTCGTCGCAAGGCTTTTGGATGTTGCCTTCTTGGTAGAACCAGGTACCTCGTCGGACATCGTACACAGGTCCTAACCAATAGGCTGGCGCTAGTTCACGCTTCTCCACGTCGACATCGAATAGATAGTCTWCGTTGACTGGTACTGTTATACTGCCAGGGTTCTGCTCGCCTCGGAGACTGATGTTGGGATTTTTGTGTGACCTTGACTGGGAGATATCGCCGCCTTGTAGCTCGTGCTGGGATCTAACTTCAGTGTCCTCCTGCTCCAACAACTTCTGAAATGAAGCCTCGATCGCTTTCGAATCGTTTGTCGAGAATGCAGAGTACTTTTTCGGTATTCCTGCGGACTTTTCCTCCTTGATTGTGCCAGCTGGATTTGGCCTTCGTTTGGGTATGTCGACGGCATGAAACCACTGCGGTCTAAGCGGTGGACAGTCTCGAGGATACGTCCTAGAGCTGAGCCTGTTCCGGTGGCTCACCACATGATCAGCGCCCTTGTTCTGGTGAAGCAATGCTGGCTCCGGTTCCAGCTCTCCATTCTTGCTCTTGACTGGCGGTAGGGTGGGACTTCTACTCCAGCTCGCGGGAGAGAGCTTGCTCAAGTATGATTTGCCGCTGTCCTGRGCCGCCATCCTCGTGTCGATGTCTGGACCTTTCCATCGAGACTCCAAACCCTTCAATAATGCTGCTGGTCCCTTGGGGAGCTTTGCCTCGAGGTCGATTCGCGGGATGTGATTCTTAACGAGTCGTGTCCAAGAGGACAGACGCGGTGGTCGTGCCAGCTTATAAACAGATCGACAGCTTTATCTGCCGGCCGTCGTTTCGAGCCTAAGTGACAGGGAAGAGAGGTTAGGTCCTGTAATCATATATAACAGACCACCGAAACGAGCAAGAAATGGGTTCAACTAAACATAGAGGCTATAGACATAGCAAGGGATGCGATGAAATAGAACCAAGGTCACGATACTCTCTCACATGCGTTTGGCATCTGACGTCGATCCGCAGACGATGATCCATCATCCCTGCAAGGAAAGTTGAGGCAGCAGCCGTCGTCTGTGCCTGAAGATCATTTTTTCTTTCCATCGAAACTCCCCACACGCAACGTACGTCTGATTTTCTCCATCATCATCCTTATCATCACACTGCAATGACTTCGACGCTAAAACGTCCGGCAGCATCACATCAATATGGCGAGCAAAACACCAGAGCATCTTCACATTGAGGAGCTCGTGAAGACCAAGATCCCCGCCAGCCCCATCTATGCATTTCTCCTCTCTGACATCTCGATCATTGCGGCCGACAAAGGCCGCGTGGTGGCTCGACTGCAGCTGACCGATTCGCATATGAATGCGTCGAAGAGTCTTCACGGAGCCGTCTCGGCTGCGATTGTTGACTGGGCTGGCGGCATGGCCATCTCCACGTACGACCTGAGGCCTTCCTCGGGTCCGTCTTTGGACATTCATGTGACCTATCAGTCGGGTGCGAAGGTTGGCGAAGAGATTGAGATTGAAGGGATTGCAGAAAGAGTCGGCGGCTCTATTGGTTTCACCAAAATCACCATCTACAAGGTAGAGAACGGAGCCCGCGGGACCATAGTCTCAGCAGGCACACACACCAAGTATGTGAAGGGCTCAGCACCTCCAAAGACTTGATTCTTCTCCCAAGCACAAACAGCCTATCTTCTTTGCGTCTGGCATGGTACATTCTCTTTGAATGACTGGACTCACTCGGATATGGCAAGATCAACGTCTGCAAGCTTTAGAACTCATTTGTGAGCGTTCACGCGCGGTGATCATTTGAGAATTAGAAAAGACTACAATCATATAACCTCAGAAAATGTTCCCTATTGCACCACGCATCCTCCCATTGGATACCAACCGTTCTTCATTTGCTGATTCCAAGATGTCTTCTTTCCACAACTCTGCTCAATTAGGCCCACTACATTGCTATTGCCTGATTAGTGTAGCCGAGTGGTGGTCAGTGATTCCGATGCCTGGCTCTTCCACAGAAGGGGAGTGCGCAGGATGTTCATCGCGCTTTGGTGGTCGCGATATCTGCTGTGCGCGGTGGAGCTGCCATTCTTGCTGGTGCTTGAATACTAGGAACTTACTTCGGAAGTGTAGCGATGAAGGTCGGACAGACCAAATCGGATATCGACAGCGAAAATAACAAGCGGAGACGAATCTGCTATGCCTACGTATTGTGCAGCGCATACCATGCCAATATGACGAGTGATTGAAACAATCCCAGACCACAGAATTATCGAGTGCATGTTCGAAGGACATTGCAGTGTTTTTGTGCGTCAGAGGTGGTTGTCTTCTCAGCATCATGGCACTCGTGCATTGACAAGTATTTGATCCTCGCGAATTGTGACGAAGGTGCGGGCATATGATCCTTAGGAATGATACCCGCTGTAAAGACATGCCGTACTGTGTGCTGTGTCGTAAGAACCCAAGAGCTGAAGTGAAGTGGTCACATGCAGGAAAGATACATGTATTTGGGATGATGCGAGCACTCGGCACAGAGGGAAGTCGCGCTAGTTCAAAAATTGCCAAGCACCGTCCCACGACACCTTCAATTCCTTTCTCTTCCCGCGACAACGACGATCATCAGTCCCAATCCACCCACCACATCCACCGGAGCATCAGCCAAGATGGTAAGAGACACTCCTCAGTGTTCTACGAGTCCTTCGCGAGCCAGCCTCCAATGTGCACCAGTCCGGCGATGGAGATGAAATACCCCTCGCGCTTGAATCGATTTGCGACAAGAGATGGATGAGTGACACATGAAGATCCGCCATGCGGTCACAATGCCATCTAGTCAGCACGGCACTCGAACAGCTTGTCGCTCACTTCGTTGTGGTGGCGCTATCCAAGAGCATGGAAAATTCGGATATGAGTTCGCAAATTGAGGATGCCGCAGGCGGACACACACATACATCTCCATCTCCACGCTGGTGACAGCAATGGACTTTGGCGACTCGGATCTTTTGAAGATCTCGAGCTTTCGCGATGGACTCTGGCGACTCGGGCCTGTAAATCTACGGACCTCGAGCTAACTTATGCCACCAGGTGAACGTACCAAAGACTCGCCGCACCTACTGCAAGGGCAAGGACTGCAAGAAGCACACCCAGCACAAGGTCACCCAGTACAAGGCTGGCAAGGTATGGCAATTGTCATCACCTTTCTCAGCAGCACATGCTGATGTAGTACCCAGGCCTCCCTCTTCGCCCAGGGAAAGCGTCGTTACGACCGTAAGCAGTCCGGTTACGGTGGTCAGACTAAGCCTGTCTTCCACAAGAAGGCCAAGACCACCAAGAAGGTCGTCCTCCGGTTAGAATGCACCCAGTGCAAGACCAAGGCACAGCTCGCGCTCAAGCGTTGCAAGCACTTCGAGTTGGGGTACGTGGATGCGAATATTTCAGTCGTCGGAGAGTGCATACTGACATCATCTCCAGTGGTGACAAGAAGACCAAGGGCGCTGCGCTTGTCTTCTAGACGATCATGTCTTGTTGATGGCGCATGGGATTTGGGAAGAGTGGCTAGGCTGTTAGCATCAACACGGGAGCGAGAAAACCTCTCATCCAGTTGCAATTCACGACGTTCCGGATTCTGTTCAAGTGGCATGACCGCTCTTCATCCTTGTCCATCTCAATGTGAATTCTCGATTGATACGCTGCCACAATCTGCTCTGTTCCGATCCATTGAAGCCCATAATCTTCACCCCATCTTCGTTCCGACGTCTAAATACTCCTGTCGGTAGATGCTCGCCTCTCCATCCCTCTCAAAAAACTCCATCTGCGGCGGAGCCGTCCACGTCTTCTCCGATTTTGGGAACATGGTAGCGTAATATGGCTTCGTCATCTGTTCATTCTCAAACCAAGTTCGATCCTTCGCCCAGACTTCCACAAAGCGAAATGTTCCAGGTTCCTTGGGATCTTGACAGATGTCGAAGAGAAGGCATTCTTTCTCCTGCGCGCAGGCACTCCAGACTGGTCGATGCGCTTCTTTCCACTCTTCGATCTTGTTGGGATCGACCTTGAACTGTAAGAGGGAAAGAATTAGTCTAGTCACTGCTCTTTCGGCTTTGCTTTTGTGAAACTTGCGGTGATGAACACTGTCAGTTGCGGCATTATGGTGCTGACCTGGCTCTGATTTGGGGTATTATACGAGTTCTGAAATTGTTCGTTCTAAAGTGAGATATATCCAAGCTACCTTATGCAAGAGAATGGTGCGAGCTTTTGAGTGCTGATGACATCGCCCCTCGCTCGGATATAAGCCTATTGTTGTTCTAGATTCCGTGATATCATAAGACCGCTCGTTGACAATGCCCAGGACATTGTGACTCGTCAAGATTGCGGTGTTGTTCTTGCAACAACAGCTCTGAAGATCCACGACAGGAAGATCAATCCGTACTGCCTTTACGTTTCCTGTGCTGTACACAGCTGCTTCCAACCTCGCAATCGATTCGCTCCTCCTCGTCGGCATGATGACACACCTCAACACACCTACTAGCCGGAGGAAGCAGCCTGGCTCATGTTCAGGAGCCGAATCAATTGGAGATCGAGGATTGAATTGTGCCAACGACACGCGCCCAACCCAACCAGCCATTCATATCAAAGGCCATCTCATGTTTCGCCCATCAACATATCCTCCCATTCTGGCTACATGAGTTGGCAAATCGACACATCGCGTGCGGCCAWCTCAGCAGGCAGTCACCTTAGAATGTCAGCCCTGATCTGCTGTTGCGTCTCGCGAGTAGGCTAGGTGTTCCTGCTGCGATTATAACCTAAGCCGGGCTACCTTTGATAGACAATATCTGGGATCACCAATATTCGTCGACGAGTGACCTCATGTTTGACGTTGCACCCACGCTGCGAGCTCCGCAAAATTGGGATCTATCTCCGAGACCAGTGGTACAAGCTCGTCCACAAGCTGCTTACGATAGCCCGTAGCCCACCAATTGCTCTCGAGCTCGCGGAAGGTGACACTCCACAACAAGACAATAGCGCTCGCCAATGGTTCCTGGTTGCTCAAAGCATCCATGAAGGGCGATCCTACAAAGAGGAGCCATGCCAGAATCCTGTTCGGTTCATCTCGATGCACAACGAATACTTCCTGGAGCAAGTCAATGGCGGCAATGTACTCAGTACCAGGTTCGTGTTCGCCGGCAGTGTTTATGTCTGGAGCTGCACACATCAGGTTTGCGTCTTGAGGGGGGGTCTTAGGCTTGCGATGTCCACACTCGTTTGCTCTGCGGCGCAAAAGTTCAAAGAATTCCTCAGCCCGTGGAGACAACATCTCCAGGTTGTTATGCTTACACCCATATGGTGGAAAGAGGGTGGCATAGGTATCAGCGTCGACCAAATCCGCCGCGGCTCTCAACACATAAATCGTGCCTCTCCACAAGTGAGCTAGTTGATGTGCAGTTTCCGTTGGTCTCAAACTGGTCCGCGTAGTCGAATCCACAGCTCGCACCGCCAAAGCCAGCATCCCAAGGGCTGCCGAGCAATGGAACATAGCTTGACACTCCGCGGCACYCAAGATCGGAAGTTGCTGGCGACAGTATGCCAGTGCCTGCGACTGATACCTCGAAGCCTGCGAGTAAAGATCAAACGCGTCAGCAATGTCTCAGACAACATGAGCTGGCTCAGCACTCTCGGAGATATTGTCAATCGATGGCCGCGTGGAGTATGTCCATTCGCGTTGTCTTCGAGAGAAAGTCTCAAGACAGTCTGCTGCCTCTCGCCGTACTCACTTCCACGATACGTTCTTGAGCCTCGCCAGGCTTGAGATATGCGATGTGCAGAGATGTGAATGCAAAAAGGGCGTCGAGAAGAAACGGGTGCTCCAGCCCGAGACGTGGCATCACGGCGAGTGCATTGTGTACAGATGGAGCTTGTATTGAAATGCTCTCGTAAGTCGAGATGCTGTACTGATGCATGAGTTCGAGCTCTTTGGTGTGTGCCTGGCGTTGTTGGGCGTATCCGGTCTGGCCAGGTCCGCTTGCACCCAGAGAAGGGCGAAGAGTTGGGTTTTCGTACGAGCATGGCTCCTTTCTCCGAGTGCAATTGGAGCACAAAGGTCGGATCTCGTCGCACTAGGTGAGTATCGTGTCAGTGTTGGCGAACTTGTTATAGGACAACCTTAATGCTAGGTGACCATATGTTTCAGCACGGATCTTAGTATCGCCCGTCAGACGAGCATACAAAGGGTGACTCTCTGCTCCAAAGRGTGGCCAGCTTACCTTGACACGACGCGCTTTGCATTGACTATAACGATATGTGTTCAGCGCTGGAGACGACTTGGGCTGGCCGATTGTTCACGTACTCGCAGCCAAAGCGGGACTTGGCATGGCTTCTCCTCTCTCTATCCGTCCTATTTGGCATACTTCGAGGACGCTCTGTCGAATGCACACTATGGCTGTGGTGAAGTGGCTCTTTCTCGCCCTTTCAGCGAGACAGAATTGTGGGAGTGAGACAAGAACTGTCAATCAAGGAACGAATCCCATGATTTTGCAATTGAGATACTTGAAATGAAAAATGTAGTGTGTAACACGAGAGGGGAAAAAACAGCTCCAGAAAGCATCACGAGCCCAGTATAGAAGTGGATGTTGATGTTGATTGACATGGAATTGGAGGCAGGATCTACCTTAGCCACAAAGTTTAGCGCTTGAATTTAGTTATGCAGCGCTAGTAAAAATAGTTCTTAGCGTTTGCCCATGATGCACTTTGATGGTCTACTTTATCTCATTTGGTTCCTCCAACCAAGATGTCCGTGTGCGCCAAATGCAACAAGCCGCTCGAGGTCGAGGTCGACAACTTCGACAGCGATGATGAGGATGTTGAGATGAGTGGCGGCAGCTCATCTGCACAACAAGCTTCACATACCGTGCCGGACGATGTTCACTTGCCTTGCGGAGATCACTTCCATTGGGTAAGGTTTCCTGTGGCAGTCGTCGACAAGGACCCCTCCAGACTGACATTCTTTCGAATAGGAATGCCTCCTCGATTCCTACGAGCTCTCCACTTGTCCCAAATGCTCGACCGACATTTCCTCGATGCCAGCTTCAGGATCTGCCTCCAGCGCCATTCCTCAGATCCTCGTCGATCTCAACAACGAGGGTGGTTTGCAGAAATCGCTTGACATCTTCCCAATCCTACAGGAAGAAACATATCTTCGCGCATACCCAGAGGAGCGGAAATGTCGAGCCTTTTTGGAGTTCTGCCGTGAAGGCGACCATCAAGCCATTGCCGATTTGCTGCTGAGCTGCGGCGAAGAGGACGAGGAGGACATGGAGGAATCAGGACCGAGCAAGTCAGCTGACGAGATCTTGCGCTATCAAGACACATTCGGAGATATGCAGTCTGGCCTGCATGCGGCCGCCGCCAATGGGCATCGCGAAGTCGCATGGCTGCTGCTACTATTGGCGAGTGAATATCCCGAGTTGGAATTTCCTGCTCTCGTATACCAGGAGGCGGCGACTCTTGGGGTCATGCGCGAGGATCAGACTGGTAAAGTTGACATTCGAAGCCTGCGAGACGAGCAGGGTAGAACCGCAGAGGACATCGCAAAAGAGGCCGGGACTATCTGGAACGGATGGATTGGCAATGGAAGACTGGCAATATGACACCTTTTTTCCGACCTGGAAGACTTGCCAGCCACAACGGCTGCTTTCATACGCCCAAACGGCCCAGCGCAAAGGCTTGCTGAAATGGAATGCACATGATCATCTCATGTTTGAACTGAGCAACACGGCATCTACGCATAGCAGCGTTCCGTAACGCTGCAGATATACCAAGTCTTCTATGCGCGAGAAGGCAGCCTTGTCAGCGACGAACGAGGTTCTAGGGATATAAGATGGTAACCTGGTTCCATCTGGGGATCTACCACGGAAGTCATTCGGCCGCGTCCACCAGAACACTGTCATGAGTGTAAAAGATCTCTGGAGTGTCATCCTGAAATTTGACGGGGCTTTGGTGTAGTGGTCACATTCGTAGGGGCTTCGATGCTGTTATCTCTCTCTACAGCGTCGGGGTGGGACACCTCCTTTCGTCCCAGTACCAGCAACTACGTGAGGCAGGATCGAAACCTGCAGGCTCCAATTGCTTTCGCTGTTCGTCTTCTTTTGATCTTCTCATGGTGCATGGGATAGATCGTCTCAAACTTGTTTGTCTGGCAATTGGAAAATCATTGGTGAAGATTGCTCTATGCGACTCATCGATTACAACGCTCTTGAACGGGCAGACTTGTTAACAAACCTGGCATGTCATGTCGAGAGTCGATTGTGCCTTGAAACAGTGCTACCTTGAATATTACGTTTCTTGTTCATATATCGTTACGAAATGTCGGCAGGCCGGCAACCATCGATTATACTTTTATTTTTGGTGTCTGCCTACAAAGCTAGGTAGAAGTCATGTCCGCGTAATGCACGGATCACGTAATGCACATTAACTTCCTTTATTACTACCAACCTTTAAAATTGAATATTATTACAACTAACGGTCTAATTTATATGTATAATAGCTTAAAATTATCGTAATAACTAGTTCTTTAATGTCTAAATAGCACGTAATTATTACTTAAGTATGCGCCTCGTATTTAGACGGGGGGCTAGAATAGCCGGAAAGCTACCCTCTAGCAGTTAGAGGGCTATAACTAACGACTTATTTATAACTAGAGCCTTCTTGTTACGTAGCTTCCTAGCTAGCTTACGTACGGAGGCTTAAAGAGTCTCGTTTACCTGTTTTTAAATAGCTAGGGCCTCTACCTATCTCTCCTTCTTAGCCTCTTTTTTAGCCTTTAACCGAGCTCGCTCCTCCTTAGCCTATCTAGCCTATTTATCCTTTAACTACTTAGCAACCTTTATAGATATTACTCTCTAAGCCTYCTTAGCCTTTTTATCTACTTTAGCTTATTCTTTAGCTATAAGAGCTGCTTTACTAGCCTTAATTTTGCTTAGTAAGAAGAACTAAGTAGGTTAGTCCTTTAGTATATTAAATAACGCTTTACTACGTTACCTCTTCTTTTTTTTATAGCCGAATATATCCTTTAGGCCCTTATTCTTATTCTTAAGGAGTTAGTTCTAAGTTTAAAGATATAGGATAGTGTTTTGTAGCTTCTAAACCTTATAGCTATCCGACTCTTATACAGCCTTACGAACGAGGGTTTTAAGCTTCCGCTAGTTACTATCCGAGACTATAGAGGTTTCTAATATTCGTAATTACGGCCGTAAGAATAGCTATAAGAGTAGCTATAGTTTAGAGGGCTCCTTAACCTTTAACTTATCTAAAACCTCGGAGGGATTAAATAGCTTAAGTCTAGTCTTGCGCTAGCCTAAAGCGATGTTCTTTACTATAAAAGCCTTTAAAAACGCCTTATTAAATATCCTAAAGAAGTTACGCTTTAATACGCTTAATAGGCCTAAGCTATAATATAATAACCTCTCTAACTCTTAGCTATAGTAGATACTAAGGGTAGCGAATAATAAGACATCTAACGGCTATAACCGGTACGTTAAATATAGTAGATAGATAGCTAATATAATTCGGTTAGTAAGGTAGTACTTAAAGAAGGCTATATTAAGATAACTACCGTGTCTATCTATATATAAGAGCCGCTACTTACGTAGTCTAGCCTTGTCCTTTATAAAGCGGTTAAATACTTACTTTAACTACTATAAACTAAGGTTATTATCTGTCTAGCCGTTTAGTAATAAAGCTATAAAGCAACCGGAGTAATCTAGCTCTATATCCTGCACCTATAAACTCTAAAGATTACTAGTAATAGCTTTATAAATTAAGGCTAGTAGTAGTAAGGTTAAATCTATATATATATATATAATGTAGGTAATCTACTTACGGTTACTATCCTATAGAGGTCTAAGTATAAGCTTTTGTTCGTAGTGCGTCTTCGTAAATATCCTTTTTGCCTTCTAAACTACTCTAACTATAAATCCCTTCTTATCTATATTATACGTGTTTTATAGTAATATCCTATACTTCTTAACCTTCTCTTAAATAAGTTCGAAGTACTATTAATACGACGTATAGCTATCTGCCTTTTTCCTTAACTTATCTAACGGATTAAGGTATCTTAAATCGAGCTCTTTATAACGATTAACGAACTATCCGGTCTACGAACGAGCTAGTAAGTAGCCTAAGATATCGAAAGTAAGGTTCCGAGTTATTAAGGGAGTAGGAGGGATGCTATATAATATAAGTTTGTTAATATATCGATAGAGGGTGCGTTCCTATTAATGCGATAATATAGACTAGTTTTCGGCTTTCTCGGCTATCGAATTAGTAACTCTATTAAAGCGACGACTAAGCGTGCTACGGCTCTTAGAAATTAATTCTAAGACGCGCGAAATGTTCGGCTAGTTAGAGAGTCTTAGTTCCTGCAGCGCAGCGTCCATTTTAGTGTTGTAGTTATGTAGTTATCACGCGTTAAAGATGTAAGAGTTTTATCGTTTAGAGGATCAAGTGTGCATTACGTGATCCGTGCRTCACGCGGACATGACTTCTAGTTAGGCCCAACCTTGCGTGTATCGTCTACTTCATTGTACAACTCACCAACTCGCTCCCTTGCTAAAGGTACAGGGCGCTCTACAACCATCAAAATTTATCATGACGACGGAATATGCGATGATGGCGTCCAAATCCATCCGTCTCACTGCGACAATGTCTCACCCGCGCCACCAGTCGAAGCCTCACGCCTCGTGGCCTCACAGTGATTCGCGATCTCGGATATCTAGACCCAACTCAATTGTTCGCCGTTGACGAGAGAGGTGTTTATTTCTCATTCTATTCTCTCGCGTCACCTCATCTCGCACCTCTAAAAATCACCAAGCAGCATGCTAGGAGCTTTCCTCGGCCACATCCTGCTCGTCGCAGGCGCCGGTCTAGTCGCCGCGCAAGGCACCTCAATCATATACCCAACAACCGCAGCTCCAACAGCAACCATAGCCCCAGGCCTCCACAACTACGAATACGCAGGTTGCTGGAACGAGACGACCAATGTCCCCAATTCGGGCGGACTGCGTGCTTTGAACAATGGCAACACGGTGAGYCTTGTCCTCATCAACTTACTCGGCTTTTGGGAAGCATGTGCTGACGGTGTGTCAACTGCAGTCCACGACCAACGACATGACCATCGCCGAATGCCTCGATTACTGTGACAATGCCTCAATGAAGTACGCCGGCCTTGAATATGGGCGTGAGTGCTATTGTGCGCCATACCTCTCCGTCCTCTCCGAGAAGCTGAATGAAACTGCTCGTTGCAACTTTGCTTGTAATGGGAATGGGTCCGAGATTTGCGGAGGCCAGAATGCGCTCACGCTTTACAACCGCACGTCTGATGGGATGAGTATGGCCTGGGGTTCATCCCCAGGTGGAGGAGCTGTGTATGGCGTTGCAGCCTTGGTTTCGCTTGCGTTTGCTGCCTATTTGTGAGATTCCAGGAGCTGGCGTTCAATTGAAAGATGGCATCTGGACACGGCTTGGAGCGAGTGAGGAGCGTTGATTGAGGTACAATAATGATCTACCAAAGAAGAAGAACTTAGGTAGGTTCGACAACATAGAGGATGGAACAACGCCATCATCTCCTCGAAAACTGGCCATCGCAGCCAACCGGGAGGATTGTAGGTCTCGAGAATCCTGTTCTTCTCACTCTGCCATCTTCCTTCAAGATGATGTGCTTAGGTCGCCTGTAAGTATACCCGAAGAAGGCACCCTTTTTCCTCAGCTCCATTACTGTCTTTGCCACGCTTGGATCACGAAGCGCTTTATCTCGGGCTCGCTTCTTCTCCTTTCTCGGCTTCGCTGCGGCTGACGGCGTGTCTACACACTTGCCATTCTTCGCTCGCAGCTTGGCCACCTCTTCCTTTCGAGCACATCTCCATTCCTCATATCTTTCGCCGTAGTGCTGCTTGACGCGATCCAATTCACCATACGCACAACCTTGGAGACCCAGCTCGAATTGCTCCAGCCATTCCCTTTCTGCCTTCCGCCGTTCTAGCTCAAGTCTGTGAGATGATGATCCTGATGCCTCCTGTGAGGCACCCTCGCCAGCATCTTCCTGGAGGCTTAGTGTACTAGACAACTCATCTGTGATGATGTCCTTCTCGTCCTCAAAGTACTTTGTAATGGACTGATTCTCTCGGACACGAGGCACCCACGGAGGCGGCATGAGGTGTATGCGGGTCCACGGGATACCGCGAAAGAAATCATGTGATTTGATGTCCTCCGCTCCATTTGGATAGACATGCGAAGCTAGAGGACTGACGTGCGCGGATGCTGTGGAAAGGCGTCTGGGTATTCTACCTTCAGCATACCGGTACCTGCGGGAACTAAGTCGATTTTCCTTGTCGGTCAATATCCCTTGCAACAGATCGACAGCAGTTTCGCTGGGCGGCGGGAGCTGCACGGGCTTCGACGATGATGGTCGTGCCCAACGACCTTGGTCGGGAAATGTCAGAGTATCTTTGTGCGCAACGATGCTGTCTTTGGTGCGTTGGCGGTTTTCGCAGTAAAAGGGGGTCCTGCCGTAGAGACATTCGTAGAGAATGATGCCGATACTCCACCAGTCGCAACGACCATCGTACTGCTGTCCCAAGATGACTTCAGGGGCCATATACTGACTTGTGCCGACGATGCTGCGAGCTAGCTTGCGCTTCTCAACTCGATTTCGCCAATTGAGAAGGCCTTCACGTTGTGCTGCTTCCTCGGCATCTTGCTTGCGGTCCTTGTTCACGGGTCGTCCGACATGTGCCTCTCCGTCTTGTTGGAGATCGATTTCGTCGGCGACGTCTTGCTCATCACCTCTAATGCCAATCCCCAGTTTCTCTAGCAAGGTCTCGCGCTGGCCATTGTAGTATGCTTGACTGTGCGCCCAATGGCCATTGAATGCGAGACCAAAGTCAGAGATCTTGAGATGCCCTGAGGAGCTAATTAGAAAATTGTCCGGCTTGATGTCCCTGTGAATCCACTCCATCCTGTGGGCTTCTTCGATGCAAAGTATCATCTCTGCCACGTACTACCGGGCAACCAATTCATCCAAGACGTCCTCGCGAAGTAGCATGCCCAAGAAATCGCCTCCTATCATGTACTCCATAACCAGATAGAGATTAGTGTTGTCTTGGAAGCTTGCTAGGAGTGGCACGACCCAAGTTGAGCCTTCTGCTGCCACCAAAAAGTCTCGCTCTGCGCGAAGATGGCCTTCTTGACAGGACCGTAGCATCTCAGACTTGCGAATGACTTTCATTGCAAACACGTCCGAGATCGGCTTGCCACTAGGGAGGGTACGTTTGGCTTTGCCGTCCGAGTTGGCGATGTCCGTCATCGAGCTGTCGTTGTCCACGCTCGCCTCCGGAACATCAGAGCTCGGCTTGGGAGTATTGGATCTGTGGCGCTCGGTGACCAGGCGAACAACACCAAAGCTGCCTCTACCCAGCACTCGGATCATGTCAAACCCTGCGATCGAAATGCCTTTCGTCTCCCGTYGAGTAAGCGCTGTGGACTTCAACAGCCGCAGTTGTCGCAAGTGATCACTCTCACACCTGACCCAGAGCTGTCGGGTGGAATGTCGCTCGTCGTGAGACATACCGAGATCGCGCATGCGCTGCTCCAGCTTCTTGCGGCGAATGGAGCGCGGAGAGCTTCCGCTCATGAGTAAGTTGTTGAAGTGGAGCTCCAAGGCACATTTCGCGGCGGCAGCGTTTTCAGCCGTCGCAATGGACGGAACAATGCCCTCAACGGTGGCATCTTGCACAGGAATCAGCAGGAATCGACGGCTGTCTTCCTCTATTGGAGGCAATGCACTTTCCTCCCAATGACCAAAGCCTTTGCTCGAATGCCGTACGTCTTCTGGAGTCGCTCGAGCGTATCGGGAAGCAAGGGAGTGCGGAGACCCAAACGAGGTCGCAGCAGTAGACGCGGTACTCACTGGTGACCAGAAGGAGTTGGCGTCGCGGCCAGATGTTGTTGAAGACGAACCGGGAGAAGAGACAATGTTCTTCTGAATTGAGTCTGGAAATGCCTCGACATTAGTGCTGACGAACGGCGCAAGAGGCTTGGCCCGAGCATTGGAGCGATGTACTACAGTATCTAGAGCGGGCGTGCCGTTGAACTTCGCAACCAGAGACTCCATGGAAATCTTGTGAGACTGCATGCTGGTATCGGACTCGTGCGATCCACCTGCAGGCGTTGCGTGAACTCGACGATATTTAATCCCGGGTCCGTCGACCTGCATATCATCCAACCCGAGAAAGCGGACTGAGCGCTTGCTTCCAGGCACCTGGCGACCGCCGCTTCCATGAGTTCCCAACTGTTCTTGACTGGCGAATGGTCTACTGCTTGTGTCTCCATGGAACATCGCCGAGGAAAGCGGAGCGGCAGTGCGGTGTTTCGGTAGAGCAAAGTTCATGATACACTCTGACGAGTGCGGCGTTGGTTCTGGCGATGCACCGTCCATCGTGCTGCTCGATGGCGAGGCTTGCGCCGCTTTTGGGACAACTGGGGAGGCCATTAGCAGCGCGACATCGATTGGGATGTTTGTTAATATACCCCTCGAAGACCTGGTGGGCAACAGACGGTCAAAGTATCGCGAGACCTTGTGTCGACACCTCGCAAGCCGAGATTTCGACGGTCCAAGAGAAGTGGTATCGCCCGAGGCAAAGTCTTTTTGCGGATGCTTATCAAACAGTTTGGACAGCTTGCTCCTGAGTGAAGGCGACATGTGCTTTTTGGAAGATCCTTCCTGTCTGGCCTTCTTCCGCCTCAAGGCCTGGTTGTGGAGGAAGGCTTCCATGATATGATGAGCAATAGTATGTGTGATAAGAGTGCATAAGGGATCTATGAGCTCGAAGTCGAATTTAAGAGCCGTTTAGAAGGAGAGAAGAAAGTGGAGAGTGAGACAGATGGTTCAACAATGAAGGCACGAGCACTGTTGCTCCTTACCTTCGTGCTCCGTACTTCACCATGACAGTTTCCCCCATCGGGTCTGTAGCAAGGGAGGCAGGACCTCGATGATGAGGTCGATATTGATTTCACTCGCGGAAGTAGGTACCTTTGCTCATATGCTCGAGCGTAGAGCGTCTCGGCCCATTGGAGTGATGTGTGCAGCCTACGAAATCGACTGCAGCTCACTTTTGCAAGGTCCTCGATGTATCCAGTCTAGAGCAACATGCCAAGGGCGTTGATCCGCTTTTGGCCAATTCCACTCCGGTGCGTAAGAAGCCTGCACCTCGTTTACTTGTCGGCCAGTATAGGTGATGAAAGTGTATCCTCCATCGCGACTTTAGCATCTATCGAGGTCTGTCGAGGAACCGTAACCTCTTGTACCGAATGCTGTGTATCCGCGTCATTACGTAGACCAAAAATCGTTGATCAGGGTCGTAGTACAGACGTGAGTGTTTCCATGGATGTCAGCGAATTTTGTTTGAGAGCGAAGTTCCAATTGCCTCATCCGCTGGGGTCCCTGGACAGCACGAGCAAATAGATCGGCCACGTTCCTGATCATCTGACATCCGAAATCCGACCTGTTCTACAGAGAAACTTAAAACGCCTTTGTCATTTGCCTCGAACTCCACTTCCTTTCATCAGACAACCAACCAACCAACCCTCGAACATCACTTCCGCCTACGACATCCTACACCGATCACAGCGCCTACACCGCTCGTCCGCCACTCCGACATCACTCCACGAGACCCTTACGCATCCCAAAAAACTCAAACCCGGCGACAATACGACGCAATGGCGATGTTAGACAATAATTACCCGAGTAGAAGTAGTAGTAACTACGCGCGCAAGACCTCCTCGGAGTCTGCCCGCCGCTCCAACACTCAGGCCAGCGCCTATGCCGTCGATGCCAACACCATGGCATTGACCGGCTTCTCCTTCACTACCTTGTGAGTCTTCTCCCACCAACACTCGACACCTGCAACCCCGCAGAGGTACTGACATTTGCACAGTGGGGGACGTGGGCCGGCGTGGTGGGTTTGAGGCGCCTTTGGGCGGCATACCATCACCACCGTCGTCTCCGAGCGCTAGACGCCCGAGCCTTCAAGCTCGCAAGCGCAGCGGAGACGCCGCACTTCACATCAAGGAAGAGTGTGAGAGACTCTTCTGCGAGACGCTGAGGACTGTATTCTTGGTTGAGAAGAATACTGGTCTTGAGACCTCGCTATTGATGGATTTGCGAAAAGTTAACACAACCTGCAACGTGCCGATTCCTCAGAGCACCATTCTGCAGCATGGACAGCCAACTCCCTCATCATCACCAGACGGGTATGATTATCCGCATCCGGGTGGCGTACTCAAAGAGTACTTGGAGGTCTATGAGTATGCGGGTGGGGCGCGCTTCCGAGGCTTTGTGGCTGAGAAGGGAGACATGCGCACCATGTTCATCTTCTTCGATCAAGAGGTCATTGAAATGGATCTGAAACAAGGGTATGTCCAATCAACCTCACACAGGTGTCAATCGCGTACTGAATGTTTCTCCACTAGGCTTGTATCACTGCTCGAACTAGCCAGCAGCGAGCACTTTGGTTGCGATCAGCTCGTCGTTGGCATCGACCGCGAGGCTGATGAGGACAAGGTCAAGGACCTGTCTCGCGACTTGGGCTGGGTGGGCTTCGAGCTCTCAATGCTGGATCCCTGGACAAATGGAGAAGGCTGCGTAAGCGAGCGATTCATTCTGCTCGCCATGGACGTCTGACAGCGTTTGGTGCATGGGAGGTGACGAATTTGTCGTCGCTTAGGCTGTTTATTTGCATGTGCCTGTGTTTTTCCCGCGCGCAAGGATCGTTTGTCTGGTTCCGAACAGCACAACGGACAAGCTTATCAGCGAAACCCCTCAAGGCATGAGCTCCCGGGTTTTTGCAGCTTTCCCAAGGTATGCTGGTGCATTTCCCCACTTCTAGCGAGATTGTTGTTATCTTTTAGAACAGTGTCAGCCTTCACATGATGAAATAGTACTCCGCAACTCCGCAACTCCCTGTTGCATCATTGATCCACCTCATGGAAGTGTTTGCGCAATGGCAGTAGGTAGATCGACGCGCACATCACCGCAACCAAGGCATCAGTGCTGCGTGCACGAGATCTGCTACCCGGCCTGGTTTTAGATGAGGTTAAAGTAAGGTTCACCATCGGAAGGCACTGGACTCCCGACACGACGTGWCACTTTTGCGGGTGTAGGAAGTTGGCTACAAGCGTTTGTCATCGAATCATGTCGTGGAGACCCTCACACTCTGCGTGAAAATGAATGGAACCTCACATCTCCAGAGTAAACTTTTTCAAACACAAGCTACCGATTCTAAACGCTAGCTCATTCAATCATTCATCAGACATCTCGAGGCATGAAGGATCGCGGTCCGGGAACTCGGAGGTATCCGAATCATTCACCACGCCCATATGCATCCATAATCGTATGCTCCACTGCTTTTCTTCGAAGCTGGAGCCAAGTATCACTGGGGTAGAATCTGTCCTCCAAGACCTAGGCTCTCGCCCGCAAAGACGGAGTCCCATTAGGGCCGCTCAATTTCCCCAAGGTGAGAAAACAAAAGACAGGGTGCAACGCAAAAAAGGCATCAATCAAGTAAAGGGAATTCGGTCCAAATCTCAAACTGGGAATCTTTTTGTCGTTGGCGCAAATCGTCGGAGGAGAGATTAACATCTGCGGCCGCCAGTCGCGGCAGAATGGTAAAACAACGCTGGTTTATGAGGGTAGTCCATGATCGGGCGTCGTTCGTTCATCATCAAAGTCCGGTTTAAGTCGTGGTCGTGAATCGTAAGGTCGGATTGAAAGTACAATAAGGAGACAATAACAAAGGGAATCTGGAACTCTTGGGTGTTTCTGTCATCATGTGTCTCTCTGGATCGGAGGTCGAGAAGACCCACAAAGTCCTCTCGAGCAGCACGGAGCTGCTGCGTTTGCATCGAAGCCTCATCGTCTCATGCCGCCAGCTTTGACGGACTGGGGCTGACTAATGGGTCGAGCAGACACAGGATCAGTGCGCTGTCTCTTGAGCGCGGAATCACCATTGGCGCTGAGCGGCCTGCCGTATGGATCTTCCTGGTCGTCTACTTCGCGAACACGCTTCTGACCAGCGTTCATGCTGTTGCCGTTCGTCGAAGGATATCCTGGAGATGGCTGGTAGGTCGACTGGTAGCCAGAGTCGTGGCCATTTGGGGCTCCAGCGCGAGCATCGCTACTCATCACATAGTTAAGGTTGCTGGTCGGTAGCTGACTCGTCCGCTGCGGAGTCGTGTTGTAGCCAGTGTAGGTCGCAGTAGTGCGTGGAGTGGCCCTTCCAGCGCCATTCTGGTGCGGCGAGTGCGTCATCTCCGCGCCTATTTGTGACGAATCCTGGTGGACAGTCCCTGGTGCAGGGTTAGGATTGTAGCTGTACGAGGGCCGTCTGGCKCCATAAGACGCACTGGAGTGGGTATATTCACCCTCATGTTCGCCTGCGGTGTCCTGTTGACCGCCGTAACCATCATGAGACTTGCTCTCAGAATGCTCATTCTCTGCACCCGCACGGGCAGGAGGGCCCATGTCAGTCTTGACGTCGCCTGGGCTCGTCTGCATCTGACCATAGCGATTCATGCTCGGCTGTTGGGAGTATTGCTGACTGTACGGAGCAGGTGCGGAGTACATTTGACGATGACCGTCGTACTGTGGCTGACTCGTCTGGTATTGCATGCTCTGAGCATTGCCTGGTGGTGTAGTGGCTGGGGTCGTTGGTATAGATCTTGCGGAAATTCCAGTATCAATAGAGAGAGGCTGACCTGAGTGGATTGCACCATTCTGCCCGCTGTACTCATAGCCTCCTTGCCSGATTAAGCTTGATGCGCTTGTCGGTGGTGTTGGAAAGGTGTGAGCTCGATCAAGTCCAGGCCTACCAGAACCTGGGTGCGGCGCGATTGAGTGCGGTGGTTGCTGGACATTTGCACCGATGGGAGTTCCCATAGAATGATGGTGGGTCAATGTTGGCGGCTGCGAGCTCTGAGGCGTCCGCATGTACTCTTGCGACTCTGGGCGGCGCGTAGCGGCGGACATGGCAGCATTCCCGATGCTGCCTCGAGCTTGGTTGCTAGGATGATAGAGCAAAGCGCCAATGTTGTGAACAAACAGCGGATAGAGCAGCTCGGTGATTTTCTCCTTGTTGGCAAAATCAAGGGCGCGTTCAAAGGGTATCCTGCCAGGGTTAGTCTCTGTTGAACGATTTCGCGACTGAGGTACTCACCAGACGCCTTTGAGGTGCATGGGGCCAATCTTTACAACATGGCGCGTCTTCTCGCTCTTGAGAATCCCGTCTCGACGACCACGCGTCATGCCAGCAACATTAAGAAGCTTGGTCCCATTGATCATGGAGTTGTCCTCGCGTCTAGCGACGCACACACCGTTCGCTTCCACTTGAAAGCACAAGCTACCTTCGTCCTCCCACAGCGTCGCCGTTACTCGAGGCTTCATTCCGTGCGGTGCCATTTGACCAGTCTGGTCGAAGCTCTGATATGACTGGCTGGCGGGAGGAGGAGGAGGAGGCGCATTTGAAGCCATGGTCGATAGAGGCACTGACGACTGCGGAACCATCTGCTGGCCCATCGAGGAAGTGACCGGGTGGGGAGCGGACATTGGAGGCATGGTCTGGTGGTAAGAGTATTGGGGATACGACTGCGGCGGATAGCTGTGTGTTGCGGGCTGCAGTGGTTGTTGCTGTCCATACGAGTATTGCGGCATGACGGGCTGTGGTGCGGGCGGCGGCGCGTGTTGGGCGTCCATATAGGACGGCTGTTGCTGGTTCATACCTGAGTATGCCTGAGAATGGTACGGATGCGCGTGCGAGTGCGACGGTAAGTCCCTAGGCGAGGGTGTCTGCAAATCGTGGTGTTGCTTGCCGTCCACCGACGATGCGTACGAGGTGTTCGAGTCGTATGATTGATTGGCGACCGAGGACGCGCTGAAAGACCCTGCCCGGGGAGAGGAGCCTACTGAGGACGAGCTTGTCTGGTGCTGCTGTTGATGGGTGTCCTGCGAGAATGCCAAGCGATCTCCGTACGAGCTCTGCGGCGCGAACGAACTTGGAGGCCACTGGTTGTCTATTCCCCGGGCGTGGAACTGGGACAAAGGCGGGAGCGCCAGCTTAACGGTTGAAGGCGGACGAAAGAGGCTCGACGTCAAGTCGAGCTCTGTACCTCCGGAGACTGGCAATACGGGAGGCGCGGGCGGCGCGATCGTTTGATTGCAGAAGAGACGCGTTCAAGGCTCGATGTCAATCAGAACTCTGGGTCCCAACTTGCACGTGGAGGATCGTTATGTGTCTCGTGTGCGTCGTCAGGTCTGTCTAGTGACAATCCAGAAGCGTTCCAGTCGTAATGGCCGGATAAATGTCGTTGATATGCTCGCTACTAACAATGACGCTCAAGGTGGAAGCAATAAGCACCTCAGTGACAGACGCAAACCAACAAGTCGTTAATGCAAGGAGTCGTAACGGTCGTTAAGGTCGTAACAGTTCGTGGGTCGTGATCAATGGCAGACGAACTGATTCACACGAACCTGGCACAGCAAGTCAGCAAGGTGTACAATGTAGATGAGATGCGATCATCAAGTGTCGTGTGGATGCGGCGGGAGCTCTGCACGACGGCGACTAGACGAAGCGCAGCCAACGCACCAGGTGCTTTAGGAGAATGCAATGCTGCATGTGAGGCAAGCAGCGTTCGCAACAGGTGGGGGGAGCTTGGAGTAGAAAGACGACTTGGAGGCTGGGTGCGCTACGCTAAGAAGCACGGCCGGGAAGCTACTGTGGCCCGTGGCAGACTAGCAGCAACCAGCGCTGGATGAACGCTAGGCTGGATTGGAGAGGGCAAGGCGAGAGGAGGTGGGAGGAGTGGAGCAGCTCGGCAGGCAGAGAGAAGAAATATAGCCCGTACCTTTCCAACTGAGTGAGCGTGGTGGGGTGCTGGGGTGCTGGAGTGCTGGCAACGGGGGTTGGTGAGGCCGAGAGGTGTTGAGGTGGTAAGGTGGGTGGTAGGTAGGTGGTGAGGTGAGTCGAGTCGTTTGCAGCGGCTTCAGGTACAGCGCGTGTTGTGAGCGAGCCGACCAGGCACGCGATTGCGCTGTGCTGCACTGTGATCGTGGAGAGCGGCGAGAAGAGCAGCGACGTCTGCTGCAGCGTCCCAGGATTGGGCGGGCGGGGTGGCTGCTGCGCCGCTGCAAGTGTCGGGTCGGCGCGTTTTGCAAGGAGAGAACTCGTGGAGCGTGGTGGGCGCAGACTCACAGCAGGGCAAAACAAGCTGCAGCGGGCTGGCGAGGTCGGGCAAGTCGGTCGATAGTGTCGGACGCACGCAGGTCCTAAAAGCAACGCGGAACGGCGAGAAAAAAAACTGGGCTTGTTCGGTTTGGATGAGACGACACCGAGTGGAGCTCTGGAGCGCAGGGCCGCAGAGTGCAGGGATGAAGAAAGCTCTAGCCGCGGGTGGGGAGCTGGAAAAGGTGAAGCAGCTTTGTGGCTGGAAGTTCGTTCGCCCGGTGTGAAGGAATGCGAATGCGCAGGTGATCGTCGCTCCGCTGCTGGGGCGGCAGAGCCAGGATGCCGACGCTGATGGTGATGCTAAGTTACCTGCTCCTGTCACTGCAACGACGATTCAGGCTTGCTGGAGCGGATGGGATCCTTTGGGCTGTTCTGCCTTCCCGGGCTGCGTGCTGATTTGCCGTCGGCCACGGTTGCCTTGTTTCGCCAGGGCGATTGGTCGCGGAGGACCCTATACTGCTAGACGATCACCGCGTGTGGGTCTCCAACTCGTGCAAAATGGTGCGACGTGGACTGGAAGACTGAACCGCCACTCCGAGCCACGAGTTTGAGAAGGATGATGGAAAATACAAACGGGCGGAAGCGCCAGCGCCAGCCTGGGATGTTGCGATGATCGCCTCGACACACGCTCTCGCCACGAAAACGACTTGCGGCTACGACGCTCTATTCCGACCATCAGAGGGCCGTTGCGCAGCTTGCGCTACCCTACGATCGCGCTTGAAATCCCTAGGGATGGAGGCAGCAGTACCGGCGGATCGCGGGCTATTCCCAGCAACAGTCCCAACGTTGGGTCGGTCCTGTACGAGCGCAATTCTCTTCCTGTTGACTCCTGCCTTTGATCGCCATTGTGCTCTATTGTTATTGTCACGAGACGGACGGCACCATGGCACGGGCCTGATTGCGCATCCACGTTTTGTGTTTCGCCGCGACTCGCGATGCTCGAGGATCTGAAAGCCACGACACAGTCAAAGATAATTGGCTCGTCAATCCTGGTATCGGACCGTCATCCTCACTTCGCGAGCCGCCCTCGTCACACACTGGCGAGCGTCGCTGTGCCGTAAACGACTCGTTGAACCGAAAGACCTGCTCTCCTTCCCAATGTGGCACTGCACGCGCAGGCCAGACTCAAGGTACCCACCGAAGCCTGCTGCATGGGCGACTTAGGTACTGTGCAATAGAGACACCAACAAGCCTGGCCTGTCATCAATGTAATGCTTCTTGCAAAACACAAGACAGATTGCATCGCACGGCACTCCGCTATCTCGCTATCGACCACGTCCGTGCCGATCCCACAATGCAACGGCACGGGAACTAATGCATGTGATCCCTCTGCCGCAACGCTTTGGCTCTTGGATGGGACGACACTCCACGCCGAGGATGTCTTGTCTCTTGTCCTTGATGACCCTCAGCGTCAAAAACCTGTTGGGCTTTGGTGAAGCGCCGCTGGCCAGTCGAGCCAGCGCATACTCCGAAGTGGAGCTCGCTTCGGAAGAGCAAAACCGCGATCACCATTAAAATCCCCGCCTCGTCCACACTCCAAACGCCGCCTCGAATTGGAAGCGGACACGTCAGCGGGCTAGGCAACCTTAAAAACGCCATACATTCACGCAGTGTCCCACAAGCATTCCAGGATCTCAGCACCCGTAGGCTCTCCTTCCTATAGTTGTGGCCCCTTCCCGATTAGGGGCCCTGGGAACTGTGAAACAGCTGCCACGGCGATTTTACAGGGCGTGCAAATCCGTTGACGTGGTACAAGCCGCCCTTGTGTGAGCACGAGGTCCCAGCGTTCTAAAAAGTCGACGTTGAATCTGTCGATCGTGGCGGGGCACTTCACACCGCTACTCCCCACGCAAACCGCGTCCCAGATGATGGATTGTTGTGCATGACAGCCTCGACGTCTCCATTTTCGTTTATCAGAGCCTTGTGTCTACCTCCGGCCGCGCACCCGCTCAGTCGGTGAGCGTGACTCGATGATGAGGCCCGCCATTGACTTGCTTTGATACAGTAGCGCCCGTCATATCAACTGCTACGCTTGCGGCCAATGACCATATACTTGCCAAAGGAAAGGGACTGCTACTCCCGGTGAATCACAGCACAGGCGCTGCACGCACCCGCCGCACGGCACAAATCTCGTCCATCACGGCAGGAAGCGCTGCATTAGCCACGCAGGGTATCAGAAGCAGAGGTCGGCAACGCATCCTGTAAGGCTGCCCTCCGCAGCGTGCCGAACCATCTGCTGATGCGAACGACTACATGCGTTGTCTTATTATTAAAGGGCTGCACGAAGAAGTGGAGGAAGATTTTCTTCTTCCATCGCGTTGTGAACTCGCAACTTCCGCGGTAACGCAGACATTTTGCATTGGTGCCACATAATCGATATTCGGGGCAATGTCCAAATTGACTCGTCTTCCGACAGTCGATGCTTTGTACAGCTAGGCTTGACTCCGGACTGACAACACAACAAAAAACAGCATCTGCCTCGGTGAAAATGGGCCAGCCAAAGAGAGACCGCAACCCGAGTCAATCTACGGAGTCTACGTCCGGTAGAACATCTCGTTGCTTCGAAACCTAGCGGCCGCTTCGCACAAGAGAGATTCACAGACACAATCGAATAGTGATCTGGTCACTGACACGAGTGTGCGCTCGGGACTGACTCGTCGGTCACCGTCTTTGTGCCCTGCGCCCGCCTTACAACAAAGTACCTCGAGGAAAGAAAGTCCACGGCGCACGGCGTCAATTGGAAAACGGCAGGATTGTGAAACAATTTGCCTGACTCGCGGCAGCAAATCGCCTGGCACGAGAAAACCAAACACCACTACTATCTGCCGCGTTAAGCAATGTCGACATTTGGTGAGAGCTGATCCGAGCCAGTGATTCTTGCGACCAACATCCGCATTGGGTGGCGGCTTCCATTCGCTTTGAATTTCTGCACGTTGTTCGTGGCTCGATATTTAGCGACAGTGCATCATGTCCCTTATTGTCGGAATGAGCCCCACGATGAGTGCCACAAATCCCGATTCAATGAATTGTACACCTGACGCTTAATRCCACAGGCTACAAAGCGAGTCTGCAAGATGAAAGATCTGCTGCCGGCAGAAAAGACAGCTGCAGAGACAGCTGCACAATCACGGCAGTTCAATCGCCAACTACTGCAGGTCCGATCTGCCTGAAACGTGCGGTTTATGYCGAATGCACGTATGCCCAAGGAGACGGAGATGTAGGTCGCTCCATCAAGATTCTTGACACCTCAAATAGTGTGTTTCACATTATTGCATTGTGCATATGTCGAGGGAACATGCACTCCTGTCCATCATGAGCGGGATTTCTACACCTCGAGCACTTCTCCTGCGCGAGCGAACCTAACAGCCGACGACTCAGCGGTTCATGCAGGTCTGTTCAGCCGGATTAGAGATATGAACAACACTCCTTTAGGCGACATTACCACACACCGCTCCAATGCGGCATTCCATGTTTCTTTCCCCTGCGACGATGGTGGAAAGTATGCGGTCTGAGTGCACGCTCCTCCTGTGTGGAATATTACCATGGTCGGACACCGTTTCTTGTCACCATGGATCCAGAAATGCGGGTGGCTGCAACGAGGCATAGCCGCGCCGCTGGCAGGCGTTACATGGCAGCACGACCCGGACATGGCTGACCCAACGTACATCAGCCTTCGTGGAACTGGTGACACGCGCCCCCCCGAATTCTAGTCTCGTTGATACGAGGGCATATCACAGGCAAGTCGAAAGTCGAGAGTAGCACTACGTGTGGAGTTCCGTCCTCATCTCATTCATTCAGTGCAAAATTCAAAATTCGCGGCGGGGATGTTCACTTGACGGCCAAAGATCCAGTTCCGCTGTACAGCATCTTAACGCATCAGAGTACCTTAGAATATGCTGAAAGCGGACCGATGCCCCATGCATGTTGCTCTCATCTGGATTGGCCGGGGGACATTGCTATGCTACAGTCCTCTCGGCTGCCCATTTCACTCCGATGCGTCGAGATGCTGTGAGTTTGCGAGAATTGATTCGCTGCCAGTGCAGCAATACCAGCACACTCGAAAGAGCTGTGGTTCAAAAAGCGTCCGATGCAGAACGCAGCCAATTGCAATGTGCACCGAAGAATTTCAGTATTGAGAACAGTCATCAGAGCATGCTTCTTTCGTCAATCGTACACTCGCCCGTTGATACCGCCCGATATCCCCGTGCAGTTGGGGTATTGTGGTATGGAAAAAAGCAGGAAGAAGCAAATGTAGGGCATCGCGCGTGACAGTCTCTTGTGCCCAGCGCCGCCCTCAGCTCTTTGAAACCCGAACACATCGATCTTGCGAAGCGGTCAATAGTACGACCGGCTCTCTTCCCAACGGCTCGTAGGCAGATCGCTCCTCTTGTTGACCAAGGCAGTCTCGTCCTCATCGCGCGGCTCCAGCAGGCGCTGACCGTCCTGCATCAAGCTCGTACGTCCACTCTTCCTACGATTGCCAATCTCGACACCCTGTGGACTCTCCAGCATGCCCACTGCCCCAACCCACTCCCAGACTCTGCCCACATCGCCCGTCCTGCCTTCTCTCACCATGGGCCGCACGTTCGCGTTCCCTTCGACCTTTTTTTGGACCTTCTCCCAAAGCTTCTTCCTCCGACTCGCGCTGAACTCATCGCGCAGCACGTCGTCGCGCAGTTGTGCCATTGAGATGTAGTTTTCTTGGTATATCTCCGGGTCTTGCGCGTGCAGAGTCGCTTGGATGCCGAGCTTCTCAAGGGCAAGGCTAGCAAGCTGCTTTGCCTTGCGTTCCGTCTCTCGTCCAGAAGTGATGCGATGACGACCATAGGCTCCCGAGGATAGCAGAATCAGGAACGCTACAAGTTGCCAAAAATACCGTCTAAGAGTTTGTCGGAGGTGTCGGCGGATGGCGCAGGAGAGTGGGACGGACGCCATGCTGGTGGATGCGAGTGTTGCGTGTCCGGTGCTGCGGTCGCGGCGAATCTGTCAGTAGGGATTCAAATGTAAGCCAAGGAGATAGACACTCGTGATATGGTATTCTGGGAAACTTACCCATCTGACCCGCTGACGATTTCGTCGGTGTTGGTAATTTCGCCTATAGCGCTGGACCAGAGATCCTCAAATTCCTCATTGCTCATACCCTTGCGACGCTTCGTGTTGATGGCTTCCTTGAGCGCCGTCTCCTTCAGTTCCGGCGCTGCAGCCTCGCCACACTCGTACTTCGCGTTTTGCTCACGCAGTGCTTCAACAGCGCGTTCCTTGACGGCATTGACTTTGCGGGCCTTGGCGCTGTCTGGCTCACAGGTGGGTGGAATGGGGATGAGGCCGTTGAGAGACAGCGGATGTTGGGTGAGCACGAATCCACTCTCGCATTCGGTGTGCAGCAGCTCGTTGCAGAAGGCGTGGGGTGGACATGGTTCACATGCTGGACGAATGCTTTCGGCCCACYCGGGGATGTTGATACCACCAACCTCGAGTGAGGGGTGGCCGACTCCGCAATACCCAACCTCGAGCTTCTCCTGCCGCCATAGCGCTGCTGGTCCGGCAAATAGTGCCGTAAGAACAACGAAGATGCTCAATTTGGCGTTGACCCCTGGCTTGGCCTGTTGTCGCCGCACGGGAACGAGCTGGCCCGTCTCCTCTGCTTCATTGAGCTCTRATTGCTCATCTGGCGTAAACTCCTCGCCCTGTTGCACGTCATCATTTCTTACTGGAACATGGAATGTGCGTCGAGTAGGAACAACAGCTCCGTCTGTCTGTGGGCGGGCCTGGATAAGGCCATCGGTGCGTCTCCGTAGCTCTCGGTTGCGCCTCTCCAGATCTCGTGCGGTACTCGCGGTGGTGCGTCGACGATCATGATCGATGGTCCGCGGCTCTGGAGGACTGTTCCCTGACCTCTGGAACACATTGTTGCTGGAGAATGGCGAGTCTTCTGCCGGCTCGGATTTCGCTGCCGGTGTTGCCATGGATCTACGGGGAGCTGTGCGCTTCGGTGTAGGCTCTTCATCCTCTTCCTTGAGCGGCTCCGGCTGCCGGGCATGCTTGCTCGAAGCTCGAGCCACTGACTGCGGTGGTTCGGTGCTGTGTCTGATGGAGCGCGGAGTGGGCTCAGGGACCTCTAGCGGCTCCTCTGTACGGGATCTCGTGCTTCGCCGGGTGCTGCGGATCGAGGCGGGTGTTGGCGCACTCTCGCTCATGTCGTCGTCGTCTTCTGCATCGCGAGCACCAGTTCCTCTCCGACCAGTGGTAATGTCTTCGATTCCTCTGCTGGTGCGCTTCACTCTTGCATTCTGTGCACGGATCTTGCGCGCCTGTGGCAGGACGCTGGTGTTGAAGATTTCGATCAGTGCGGCCTTCTTTGCGGACGCCGGGTAGGAGATATTGTGGGCAACGAGGATGGCGCGCAGACGCGGGATCGTCACTGATGAGGGATCCCAACCTGGTTCGAGATAGTCTTGGTCGTCCATACTGACGAGTGTGGTGATAGCGGGCGCAAATCGAAGCGCAAGGCCCGTGTTTGTTAGAGACGGTCGTCGATGCAGGGACACGAGCTACGAGCTACGCTGTCGATGATTCGGAGGCGTAGACCGTGGTAGAGATGTGAAACGCAGCGCTCGGGGCAACAGTTGTTGTCACAAGAAAGTTGTTGATGAGAAGAAGAAGATCCCGTTGCCAGGTCGCAACAAGGCCTTGCCAATTCTGGTCACACATCGACGTCACTTTCCTTCACCTCACTTACTCATCCTTGTACTGTTCACCTAGAATGCCGACTTTCACATGCATGAGACATCTTGATCTTGCCCTATCTCCATGTTCTACGATTCTCCCCATCGACGCGTCGCAGGTAGMCTAGGTGAGCTGGATATGTAGAGACCGGCTGCTGTCTACGGTGTTGACAGTTCTGCCAACAGGACCATCCATATGCCTTCGTCCTGTTCGCAATACTCGTGACAAGGCTTCTAGTATTACGTCTTTTTGCTTCGGGGATTTCACAGAGGTGCAGATTCCACTCACTCATCATGCTGCCCGGAATCGATACTCGCAAAACCATAAAAAAACCTGTGGCGGAAGAAGGCCTTGTTGATCCAGATTGGCTCTGAGAGACGCTGCAAGTTCCCTAACGTTAGTCCGACGTCACTGCATACAGCGTCTTCTTACATTCTAGGCTAGACGTGACCATAATGACCTACGTTAGCAACAATTTCGCAAGTAGACATTGCTTCGCCGCCACTGCACCAGCGTTAGGCTGATCGAGAGGACTTTCGGGGTTTGAAAACGCTGTGATGCAAAGAGCGCCGTAGGTATATCCACATTTGAACGCATCGATTGAAAGCGAGGCCTCGTAGAGCATCAACATGCGAAGAGTTAATGTCATCCTTACTGTACACTAAGTACCTCGATACCAGCTTCGGCTCATCGTTGCTCATTCGGCTCGTTTCTCGACGTGGATACCCCAACCCTAACCCTAGATGATGCGGCAAAATATCCATCCAAGTACGGAAAACGTGKCGTGGTAGCATGTAGCTGGATTCAAGTTCGAATGCATATATCATGTAAACATATTTGGACCTGCTACTGTCGTCGTTGATGTTTGCTCGCCATGTCCATGAGCAAGGCGAAACCATGCCGACATATCGCATGTCTGTCTGCTTCCTTGCTTTACCCGTCGACTGCTTTCCCTCCGTAGCCATTTAAAAAAGACCCCCTGACGCCAACGCTTCTCCAGAAAACACTCAACACACCACAACCTAGGAATTCATCTTCGGCTTAGCCTTACTGTCCTTCTTCGCTTTGGCATCTTCCTTCTTCTGCTTCTTGGCAGCCTCGACCTTGGCGTCGTTCTTTCGCTTCAAGCTTGCCTTCTGCTCGTCCGTCTTCTCCTGAACCTTGAAGAAGCCCTCCAAGCGTGACTGCTGTCCTGACTTGAGATTCTTCTTCAGCCGCGCTGCACCATTACGGACACGTTCCTCGGAGAACCCCTTCTCCTCTACCAGAAACTTGACTAGTCCCTCCTCGTCTGGTKCTTCCCACTTGAACTCGCAATCCGGATGATCAGCGGGTCGTACGTCCGGCTCGACGAAGAGTTGGCGAGCGTCCTTGTAAGGCCAGTCCTCGGGTATGGTGATCTTGCCAGCCTTTTGGATATGTGCCACGACATTCTCGAGCGTCTTGTGCTCCTTGATCAGCGCCAAAGCGGTCTTTGGGCCGACCCCCTTGAGAGGATCGAGGTAGTCGCAGCCGAGCAAGATGCAGAAGTCAATAAATTGAGCCTGGTCCATGCCGAATCCTTCCAGCACGCGATCGAGGTGGATTTCCTGGACTGGCTCCTYCTTTGACTCTGGAGATGTGAGTTTGCGTACCAGCACGCTCGCCGCGAAAGTCAATGTATCCATGTCTTCAGATGCAGCAGCGAAGACTTTGCCTTCGCGAGCCAGGACAGCACACTGTGCCTCAGCTTCGGTTGGCGCGATGATGTAGGGCACTCCCATGAGCTTCAGCAATCTCTGTGACTCCGCATTGTGCTCTCTCGTGACCTTGACAGATCGTCTGCTGAACTTTTCCACATCTTCTGCAGTGCCCGTCTCCTTCGCCTCCTCCTCTGCTGCCTGTGCTTCAGACTTGCGCTGAAATCGTTTCGCTAGCTCGCCTGACTTGAGCTTCGGCGGTGCACCGTCGAAGACATAGACAGRTTTGATACCATTCTCAATGAGACGAAGGGTGCGGTAGTAGATGCCAATCAGGTGAGACGTCGTTTCGCCAGAGTCGTTCATGAGCTGCTCGCCGCTGCTCCGTACGGCGACGAGGAACGAGTAGAGGTACATTGAGGCATCAATGGCGATCTTGCGGCCGAATTGCGTCTTGATCTCGCCTTCTTTGGTGGCATCGGGGCAGTTTTCCTTGATGAGCGGGTAGAGGCCTAGATTTGTCAGTTGTTAAATATCATGCATGTTTTGATAACACACCTTTGATTCCCATCTTTGCGGTKTGTGGATGGGGTTATGGGAGGTATTGTAGTGATCGGTGAAGTCGAACGGAGCAGGAGTGAAGACGAAGATGGATGGAGATGGGAGAACGTGTCGTGGATCGCGAGTTTGACGCGACGGGAATTTCATGCTGTAGGCAGGCACCTTCCGCCTGCCCACCAGACTTTTACTGTATTTTGCTTGTGCTCGATGAAATTCTCAATGCCATCACAAGATGCCCTGGAATAGGGAAACATGTCGCACACTTGTCGTTCCATCAACCCAATGCATCTTGCAGAAAAACCATGATGCTGCCCTCGTGCCCCATCTCGCACGAGATGGCGGTACCCACCGAGCGCCGAGGCATGAAGGTTAAGTAACCTTCCATTTGCCTCTGGCTAGAACTCAAGGAACGCTTTTTCCTCCTCGGGTTCCCAGTACCTCACGACACATTTAGCCATTTCTTCTCTTTGCAAATGACAATGTACAAATCCATCACCTCCCGAGCCGCAAGGCAGTTCGTCCAGCCCGCACGCATTGGCCGTCGCTATGCGTCAACGCCTGCGGCTTTTGATTGGAAAGACCCGCTCGGGGCGAACAATTTGTACACAGAGGAGGAGCTGGCAATTGCAGAGACTGCCGAGTCATATTGCCAGGAGCGGATGCTGCCTAGGGTACTCGGTGTGCGAGCCTTGATCTTATAAAGACTAAGTGATATTTGCTAACGCCGATGAAGAGGCATTCAGAAATGAGAGCTACGACAAGAAGATTCTCGAGGAGATGGGAGAGCTAGGTCTGCTCGGTGCCACTATTCAGGGATATGGCTGTGCTGGCGTATCGTCAGTTGCCTCTGGTCTCATCACCCGCGCCGTTGAGCGTGTAGATTCGGGTTACAGATCAGGTATGAGTGTGCAGTCGTCTCTCGCTATGGGTGGTATCGAGGAGTTTGGAACTGAGGAGCAAAAGGAGAAGTTCTTGCCGGGCATGGCAAAGGGCAAGATCTTGGGATGCTTTGGTTTGACAGAACCCAACCATGGCTCCGACCCTGGCAGCATGGAGAGTGTCGCAAAGCCGCATCCCACAAAGGAGGGCTACTACGCCCTCTCAGGCAGTAAGACATGGATCACAAACAGCCCCATCGCCGATGTCTTCCTCGTCTGGGCCAAGCTGCAGGAGACAGGCAAGATCCGAGGTTTCATTGTGGAGCGCAGCCAGGCCACGCCTGGAACCCTAGAGACACCAAAGATCTCCAACAAGAACGGTCTGCGAGCAAGTGTCACGGGTATGATTCAAATGGACGAGATGCCTGTACCAAAGGAGATGATGCTGCCTGAGATTGAGGGTCTGCGAGGACCATTCTCGTGTTTGAACAGCGCGAGATACGGTATTGCTTGGGGTGTGATTGGTGCACTCGAGGATGCCATTTCGAGAGCACGCGAATACTCGCTGGAGCGGAAGCAATTCAAGAACAACCCAATTGCCAAGTATCAGCTCGTGCAGAAGAAACTCGCAGATGCCACTACTGACGCCGCGTATGGTATTCTTGCCGCCTACCAGGTTGGAAGACTGAAGGATGAGGGCAAGGCTGCGCCGGAGATGATCTCCATGATCAAGCGCCAGAACTGCGACAGAGCCCTTATCGGTGCTCGAAATCTTCAGGAGATCTTTGGTGGTAATGCGGCGAGCGACGAGTACCACATCGGTCGACACGTGTCGAACCTGTTTGTGACGCAGACGTACGAGGGCCAGAGTGACATCCATTGTAAGTCGAACAGCTTCTTTATTGCCACATCTGATTGCTTACATGTCATCAGCATTAATTCTTGGACGAGCAATTACTGGTCTTCAAGCATTTTGTTAAGCTCTGAAACTCCGCATTGGGTGGGGCATGGCAGGTGGATGAAACACTTGATGGACAGCAAGGTCTTCGGAATGTTGTGTGATTWGCAGAGGGCCGTATATAGCACAGACCTTATGGTCGCACTGCATGTGTCGTGCATCTGAGAGAGCCAGGCGCGCGGCAAAGGCAGAAGAACAATCCTGCATCATCGGTGAACTTACTTCACCGATGAGATGAAATGAAATCAAACGAACCGCACGCATGTGCAGAAGAAGTTGTGCAGAATCACGGAAAGAACTCGTGATTGCATCTTGACGGTATAAAGAAACTCTTTCCGTTCGCATCTCTTTGATTCCCTCCAAAGCAGTGACGGTTTCCAATTCTTCCGTCGAAACATTTCGAGACTGCCGTGGATGACTGAGCCGCCATCGCCACGCTTTCTCTTTTACCTTAACTTCTGACATCGACAACGTCCCCGCTACATCACACTGGCATCCACACACCACTCGCGCAACAGCATCTCAAAACACTCGATTTCGACAGACCAGACGCTCTACCGACCATAGCACAGACAGACAGCGTCGTCATGGCGTTGAAGAGAATCAACAGTATGTTTCCCGGCGCAGTCCTTGCTCCTGTGACACCCCACTAACCGCCATGATAGAGGAACTCACAGACTTGGGCCGGTATGCAGCACGCGCACGGTACTGACCGTCCGCCGAGTAGCACTGACATTCCCAACAGTGACCCGCCGTCGTCATGTAGCGCAGGCCCGATCGGAGACGACCTGGTAAGGCCCTCCTCTCCGCTCCGCTCCCCCTCACCTCCGTGGACCCCGCGCAGGTCGTGGGGTCTTGCGCGCCGTGCCTTGCACAAGCATCATACTGACACGTCTCGTCACCAACAGTTCCACTGGCAAGCGACCATCATGGGCCCCGGCGACTCTCCCTACTCCGGCGGCGTATTCTTCCTCGCGATCCACTTCCCCACCGACTACCCCTTCAAGCCACCAAAGGTCAACTTCACCACCCGAATCTACCACCCCAACATCAACAGCAACGGCAGCATTTGTCTGGACATCCTGAGGGACCAATGGAGCCCGGCGTTGACCATTAGCAAAGGTGAGATATCCCAGCGGCATCGGGGTTGTAGGCGGGCAAGCCCACGGGAGAATGTATAGCGCAAGGCAATCGGCATCAACAGCACTAACACACATCTTCTGTAGTTCTCCTTTCCATCTGCTCTATGCTCACAGACCCGAACCCCGACGATCCGCTGGTGCCTGAGATTGCGCACGTCTACAAGACGGACCGCTCCCGGTACGAGGCCACCGCGAGGGAGTGGACTAGGAAATACGCCATCTAGGCCGCCTCTACACATCAGGACGGCTCGAAGGAGAGCAAGCGGACTAGATCACGACGGAAACGGCAGGACCCTGGGCGCTTGTCACGAGACACAAGCGTCCGAAGGATAGCATCATCTGAACACGGACATGAGGGAATGCAGGATGCATGTGTGGACAGGCTCATTTGCAAGGTCTAAAGTGCTTGCCGCGGAGGCGTAGCTTAGGTGGCGAAGAGCATTTCGCCTGTTTCCACGGCTCCGGTTACTACACGGTGTGGGATGGTTTTGACGAGCAAGACACCACACCTTTTACTGCATTGCACCAGGCACATTTGCATTCTCTGCTATGATATATCACACTGCGTTTCGTTGCGTTACTGGTCAGCTGTCAAGAGTCTGAGAAACTCGGGCTCAAGGTGCGTCCGCTATCTGATGGTGACTTGCAATTGTACTTCTTCTCCTTGATCTATACTGCCCGTCTCGATCTCGTCTGTTTCTCTATGTCGCACCTCTTTCCACATCATCAACATATCCGTCATCAGTATCATCTACGCTAAACATCTGTCACCGCTTGGATTCAAGATCAGTGTTGAGGTGATATCTCGACGAGGCTATCTCTACAAGCAGGCTGGTCAAATCTAGGATCCATGTACGATCTTGAAGACAAAGATTACATGCTTTACGTCGAAACTTGGAAACCCCCCGGATTCACGTCGGACAAGTGCTGGTTGACATCTTGTAGGGTGCCTTTGAAGCGGCTCGACCCATCTGAGTGGGATTTGCGGTCTGCAGGAATACAGCTGAGCGAGGTTCTTCATGACTCCAGTTGAGAGCAATGTGCAAAGGACGTTGGTCCACTTGCTAGACAATTCTACTCCGATACATAAGAAGGTGTATGTCTTGCTAACGTACCTAGGAGGATGCTGCGATGCCTCAAACCGTACCTTTGCCACGATTTTGGCCAAATCGGCTAAACAGCGCCTCAATTGCGCCGCACTGGCACCAATACGAAGGATCAGCAGARCATGTTAATCAGACCTACAAGGATACGATGCTACATAAAATTAGCCGTCGACGTCAAACAGGATGTAGATTCTCCGACATTGTCCACATGCCGCGTCGCCAGTTCTAGGCTTGCGACCTGCACTCACATACCATGTACTGGCCATACTCCAGGATGCGGGCGACGAAGAGGGCAGAGACGCGGCCATGGAAGACTGGATTCTGGCGGCGAATACCTTGGGATGGACTGCTTTCGCTCGTTCTGGGATTTGGGTGCGGCATTGCAGCACTTAGCATCGTCCTGATATCCGAAGGAAAGACTCTGGCTTACTGGCGTGTAGCTGGATACCAGGTCCAGCCGACTGTGATTCTATCAGTGATAATAACAGTCTGCAACATGTTATTGACCTACGCCTTCTCAACTGGTTTGACGATTTTCTGGTGGACATCCTTCTTGCGGAAAACAACACTTCGGGACTTACATTCGATATATCAATCAGGAACTGGCTTTCTCACCATATTCTCCCACATACCTGCACTGAACTCAGCAACAGTAGCAAGCTTCTTCATGCTCATTCTCCTGATGGATGGTCCCCTATTCCAGAGAGCCATCAGCATCACGTCAATAACGCAGACACCCTTGAAAGACTTGGACATACATGTATCACCTGGTCCATTGATGTACGGATCTACCGGCATCATGCCCGATCATCAAAGCTCATTCACATCACAATTGTATCATCCGCAATGTGCGTCTCCCTTGCTCCTGTGGCGGTAGTTGGCTAACGCATGACGTCTCCTTCCAGTTGCGCTGATACTCCAGGCGTACAACCAGCGAAGTCCCATCACGATATCGGAATCTGATTGCGAAGGCACGTGCGATTTCGATGTACTTGCAGCCGGCTGGGATGTTGAATGCCAGAATCGCACCTCCGCATACCGTTTGATGGATGGAAATGACTACTTCAACAAGGACACCACGATTCCTCAGGACCAGCCCATGTTCACAACCAATGTGACGTATGATCAAGAAGTCGACAGCGGATTAGGATTGCAGCATCAGATCGGAATCAGTACAATGTACAAGTCGACGCCGGGTACCAACGGCACGATGCAATGGCRCAACTGTACGCTGAGGRAGGCTTTGGTACGCTATCCCATGCGTATAACTAATAACACTGTCTCGCTGCTGGGCATGTCTCCATCTGAGAATCGAACGGAACAATTGATTCGCCGTGGCTATGAGTCCGCAGGGCAGTCGAGTGCGTTGAATTTGACCTCTTTTTACCTTGTCTTCAGTTGGCTGAGTCGATGTGCAGATACACCATCCACACTAGGAGGACTAGCCCGTGCTATTCACGCCCAGTACACATCAAATGCCACCATGAGTTGGATTGGTGGCTGGAGCGCTGTCCGTACCAGTGACACAGTCGCGAGCCTGTACTTGCGAACACCCAATATCACAGCAATGACCACCAACGATATCACATGGGCCGATCCGATAGACGATGCGATCGCTATGCTTCAGGAGCTGACATTGCGAACCGCGATAGGAACGACAATCCAACCACCAGAATTGGCGGGATATGCCTTCTCAGGTCCAGACTATCCCACCGCAACGCAGCCAGAAGTCATTGTACCGGACCTATCAAACGTCAATCGCACCCTCCATCAGAAAGTCACAGCCCACATGAAACAGCCAGAGACCGTCTATCAAGCTCACAGTGATTGGTTAGGAGGTGGTTTCGCGGTCATCGTAGTGGCGTGTCTATCGATCATACCAACATACAGAGGCTGGTGGAACCTCCCCAGGAATGTCAGCATGAGTCCGTTGGAGGTTGCAAGGGCATTCGATGCTCCGCTACTGAGGAACGCAGATCCCAATGGAGAAGTCAGTGATCTTTTGCGAGCCAGTGGCTCCAAAAGCGTGCGCTACGAGGGTGGCGTAGCAGCACCGATCACGATAGACGAAGAACATGCGAGTAAAGAGCCTGGTTTGGCACGCCCTTTTTCTGGTTCTGCGAATTCGAGTTCAACAGGTCTGGTGCCTTTGAAGCTCTTGCAGCAAGGCGGCGCAGCATTTCCAGCACGAGACGTAGGGCCGAGATTTGATAAATTGTGAAGCATTATTTTAGCAGTGCCAGGAGCTACTCACACCAACCTCCCTTGAAAAGTATGTTCAGGTGCCTGCCAACCTCAAACCGTACTCTGGTTTGAACCATTCCACAAGGAGATCCTGAAGCACAGCACTAGCCTCTGCTTTAGCTGCCTCCGATGAGGAAGCCTTGGCTTCGATGTAGAGTTTAATCTTCGGCTCTGTCCCCGATCCTCGAACTGTGAAGACTACATGCTCTAGCTCGCAGGTGATCATCTGTGCAGTCGGATCCACGGGAAGGATGGGCTTGTGGTCTTTCGTGCCGCTGTCATAGCCAATGGTCAAGTCGCGCCACCGCAGAATAGCTCTGTCTCCGATCTTGTCGGGCCACGAGCCTTTATTGGACACTCTGATATCCTTGAAGGCTCGGTTCGTGACATCTGGGGAAGGAGAAATGAGGTACGTGTTTGCGTCTTCAAAGTAGCCGTAGGTCTGGTACAGTTGCTGGAGCTTCTGCCACGGACTCATGCCTTGCTTCTTCCAACGTTGCCAGGCTGTGAGGAACACGCCCGCCGCGGCGATTCCGTCCTTGTCCCACACCACAGTCGGGAACATGAATCCGATTGCTTCCTCGAAGGCGAAAGCAGGATCAAGGCCTTGTTTCTTGAGGTCTTGAGCCACATTGCCCAACCATTTGAAGCCGGTCAGCGTATCCTGAAAGTGAAAACCTTCGGCTGATGCCATGCTGGATAGCATTCGGGAAGACACGGTGGAGGCGAGCATTGCCAATTTGCTCTTGTCACCTGTGTAAGTCTCGAAGACATGAGATGCGAACAGTATACCAAGTTGGTTTCCGGTGAACTGGTGGTAAACTCCCTTGCTAAGACGCTGAGCAGCGGAGAATCGGTCTGCATCTGGATCATTGGCAATGATGATGTCCGTGTTGTTCTTGTTGGCCTCCTTCATTGCCAGATCCAGTGCTCCCTTTTCTTCGGGATTTGGAAACGGAACAGTTGGAAATTCGGGGTCGGGCTGCGCTTGTTCTTTGACCTCCCGCATATTGGGTCCTCTAAACCACAATGCGAAGGCGATCTGTTTCATCCAAGTCAGACCCACGCCATGCATGGCAGTGTATGTGAAAGGCATCGCTTGTTCCACTGAGGGCAGTGGCCATACGAGCTCCGTGACTAGATCATAACAGGAACGTTAGCGTTGCTCTCTTTAGTGTTTAAACTGCAAACCAGCTCAAAGTGAAACGTATCCACCAGTCAACAGGTATTATGAAGCCTCTGATCATCAAGGGATGGCCGCGAAAGCCTTTGAAACGACACGGAGCTGGAACTTGCCTTGATTAACATATGACTTGGCAGCCTCTGCAAAAACATTCCGAACGCTTGAATGATTGTCCACGAGTGTAGTGTCCCACGTCAATACTTCGCTGACATTGTCGATCGCCGCAGCGATCCCACTGTCGTGAGGTGGTATGATCTGGCTTCCATTGTTCCAGTATACTTTGTAGCCATTGTCATTCTTCGGATTATGGCTTGCAGTCACCATGACACCAGCAGCTGCTTCATACTTGTTGACAGAGAAGGGCACCATAGGGGTGTGTACCAGCTGTCCGAACCACAGCACTTTGAGACCCTTCTCCAGGAAAGCAGCTGCGGCCAGACGAGCGAACTTCTCGGAATTGTGTCGAGCGTCGAAGCCAATCACGATGCTTGGGGCTCCATCGCCCGATCCTGCTCCAGACTGGCTCAGAATGTAGTCTGCCAGGCCCTGAGATGCTTGTAGCACAGTAAGAGCATTCATGTGAGCAAATCCAGCCTTCATCGAGGATCGTAAGCCCGCCGTACCAAAGGCAATGCGCTTGCGTAGCCGATTCTCAAGCTCATCATTGCTGTTGCTTTTAACCAGTGCCTCAATCTCCGCTCTGGTCTGTTCGTCTTTGTCCTGCGCCAACCATAGTTTTGCAAGTGTTCCGATACTTGGCTCCATGACGGCGGACGGAGCACCTGTTGCGTCCTCTTCGCCAGATAGACAGGGTTGGTGGGGTCTTTGATTCTGTAAGGTCTTCTTGGGATATGGAATGTTGGGAGAAACGGTGTAGTGCCCGTTTGCCTCCCGATTGCGACCTCACCTCACCGCGAAATGGCTTTCAAGACATGGTAGGCATCTTGAAATCAACAGTTCAGTGAGCCTCGTGGCGATTCCGCTACCAACGTGGCTTACCTCCCAGAAGACAAGGGCGAGTGATTCGCGTGTAGTGGACCGAAAGTTGCGGATGCTTTCCAGAGGCCCTCAACCACTACGAAGGTTTCGGGTCGGATAGTCGGACTTTGGCTTGTGAACACAAAACTAGCGCACGTGCAAGCATGTTGCTCTCCTCCCGGCGATCTACAGCATGATCGTAGTGGTGGCATCATCATTAGCCACAAACCTAGTCTCAAGTCTGAGTTGGCGGGCATCACCGTAGACTCAGCGACCGTGCTGTAATGTATACCATTGCACCGTGCTGCAGGCGAAGATACCTTCCGGAGGAGCCGACATTGCACGGACAGAATTTTCGGATGAATCGGCGGAAGGGAGCAGAAGAGACGCGGGACGTTAGCGAGTTTAGTTCTTAGCGGTTTGGCCTCAACATCAACGACAGTGCCTTGGACAGGGCTTTCCTCGTTCTTTCGTACCGCGACTTGCCATTCCCTTCATCATCTCCCCCCCTCATCAGTCCTGATCATTGATCATGCTGGAAGAGATGCCACGAGCTTACAGGGGAGATACCGGCGGAACGACGGGTCAAGGGTACGCAATCTCAATGCCCTGTGTCCACTCCACTGTCCACGCCATACCTGGACCAGGGAAGACACGCGTTGTAGGCATGCATGCTTACGATCGTGAGTATAAGCAGCGTTAGAGTTGTAAGAGTTGTCATTTCATAGCAATGTTATCCCACCAGTCCATTCATCTTTGCTTTCACGTCCATCTCGTACAGCCGGCCAGAAAGATTGCAGTCCACAGCGATGCTGCCGCAATTCCGTGTGTTCTTGCTGGTCGCAGCAGCAATGTTGCCCACGCTCTTGCTCCTGAGCTTCTATCGAACCCCACTGGAAGTGCTACAAGGCATCAGCTTGAGTCGTGAAAACCCTATAGCTACCGGGAATGATCAATCGTATCCCTCTCAGACGGAGGCGCCTAAAAGTCCTCCATCTATGGCTTCGAGTCCGAAAAACGAGTCGAGCGAATCGAACGAATTAAACGAACCGAACGAAATGAGAAATTCGACCGAGTCGAGCGAATCGAACATATTGCAGGCACCGGATGCCTACATCCCTCGAACGATGCTAGTCATCGCTACGATAGCAGCCACAAACAACTCCTGGGTGGAAGAGGAGCTTGGAGACCTCCTCGAGGGTGACCTTCAGACGGCTTTCTACGTGACGAATAATCTTTCCGCTCCACTACATACTCCGGCCAACAAAGGCAACGAGGCTATGGCCTATCTCACATATATCATAGACTCCTATGACAATTTGCCGGAGATTTCGATTTTTCTCCACGCGCATCCAGAGGCCTGGCACAACAATTACCTCCTGGGAATGTCCTCTTCCATGATGATACGACATCTGAACCATGAAAAGGTCGAAAGAGATGGATACATGAACCTTCGATGCCATTGGAATCCGGGGTGCCCTCGTCATCTCAACCCGATGGCTACAGTCGTTGACGAGGATAAGATGGAAGAGGTCGAGATCAAAGGTGCATGGAAGGCGATGTTTCCACATGATGAGCTTCCAGAAGCGCTGGCCCAACCCTGTTGCTCTCAATTTGCAGCAACTCGCGCGCGCATCCGTAGCGTGCCGCTGGAGAGATATATCCATTTTCGCAACTGGCTGCTGGAGTCGGGATTAGGCGATTTTCTCTCTGGGAGGATTTTTGAATATTTTTGGCAGTACATACTGAACTCCACCCCCATTTTCTGCCCGGATCAGAGGATTTGCTATTGCGATGGTTATAATATTTGCTTCGAGAACGTCGAAGACTACGAAACCTACTTTTTGCTAGCGACAAAGTGGCAGAAGCTGCAGAAGCAGCTGACCGCCTGGAAAGAGTGGAACAGGATCAATCGTCGCGAGGAGGTCGTTGATCAGGACACTGGTGGGTTTGTACAAATCGACCCGATGTTCCAGAACGTGGGAGAGTTGGCCAAGGCTGCGGTGGAGGATGGGCTGGACCCAAATGTTGTCAGCCAGTGGAACCGTGGCGACTGGCTTACCTACAACGTTGAAAAGCYCGAGGGGCAGATGTCAGCGCTTAGGGAGCAGGCTCTTGCTGCGGGACGAGATCCTGCACGAAAAGCTATCGCTCTGAATGCTGCTCAGGAGACCCCATTGAAAGTGCCAGAGGGAGTGCCAGAGGGCAAGTTGCCATGGTGGGTATGATCGCTACTGGCAGAAGGCGGAAGACATCACAGAATCGAAGATGACGAATGCAACGGCGTGGCATGTGTCATTGAGAAGCTTCTGCTACGGCTGATATCTCGCCACGCTCCAGCGAGTCCACGCCGCCCTCTCCAGYCAAGCCACAGCGAACCGCTCTTCTTGCATCGCTCATTCCATCAGTCTGAAGTACTCCTGGGTGGTTTAGTTGTCACCCACTGCCTTCGAGAGACCTCAGCGTTGTGTGCTATCGCAGTCCTGGTTAGCATGAGTCACTTGCCGCACAGCGGCTAGAGATCAAAGACTCACCAATCACGCGCCTTCTTCCTCTGGCTGCTCTGGCTGCTGATACTGCGGGAGTTGGTCCAGCACAGCGGTCAAGACAAAGCTGCCCTCGCCGAACTCCGTGCGAGCCTGCATCTCGAACTGGCGGAAGTTAGGCATGGCATCTCTTCGCGACAAGCTCAGCCGTGGTGTCGAGGAGGACGTCGAGGGCGGATTCTGCGTCGTCGCTAACGGCGCCCTTGATATGAGCTTGGGGGATTCCGCCCGGCAGCTTGATGAACACCCAGGCGGTGTACTTGCCGTCGGCGTCGCGGGAGAGGTTGATGTCCATGCCCTCTCCTAGAAAACTTGGTCAGTGGTGCCTCTGTGTGCATGATGCGTTGCGCAATTTACCCTCGACCTTGACGGCGTCACGGAGGAGGTATACGTTCAAGGCGATCTGAGAGCGAAGGACGGTTCCGTCCATTGTGGCGTGAGTATGTGTTGATGAATTGATTGTTGTGTATTGGGATATATCTTGATGTTGGTGTCAGCGGAAGTGAGGACTGGTCAGTGAATGGAATGGAGAGCTCCTTGCTTGCCAGCTGTATTGATCTGCACAAGTTCGCGATGACGCCCGAAGATACAGACAAATACATTAGCATCACGCTGCTGCTACGGAAAGTTTACGAAGATGGAAGAGATCGAGAATACTTACGTGTGAAAACACTTACATGTAAAGAACAGCCGCAACGCCCAGGAACGCCATCATGATCATATGTCGCTTCTGTTCAGAACTCCATGCTATCTTCATCTCTGCCTCGCTTGCCTTTGCCCTCCTCCTTGATCAAGGCCGCTACATGGCCTCTGAAGTATTCAATGTACGGCTTCAAGCTCGTCTTTTGCCAATCCTGCACTTTGGACTTCTCCTCGTCGCTCATGTCAGCTCCTTTCTTCGTCTCCCACTCATCAATCTCCCCAAGCAATTGCGTCACGGTGGGGACAGTGAATGGGTCAAATTCCTCCAGACGCCTCATATCGATTGGCACACATACGCGTCCTGTGCCGGGATGGATGACAAATGGCGACTTGAGCAAATGATTGAGCTTCTTGGAGACCTCAGCATCAAGACGGGGGTACGTGTATTCCAGTCTGATGTCCTGCTTCGTCTCCACCAGCTGCTTTGGATTGAGAGTAGAGAGATTGCCAGCTTCCGCAACGGAGTCGATGTCTGCCCACTTTTGGGATGAGCTCCGAGCAGAAGTGTCCCACTTCTTCTTCAGAGCATCTGTCAGGGTACTGTCCGGCAGGAGATTGATGAGCTTCTCCGCCTGCGCGTCAGATTCCCAAGGATCTTGCTCGGCAAGCACGTCGGACGAGAAATATGGCGTCAATATCTTCAAGCTTCGCTCGATGTGCGGGTGCAGAGGACGTCTGAAGGCGTTTCTTTTCCCATTCTCATTCCCGCGTATGGCTTCCAGGTAGTTGGCAACAGCCCTTCGTTTGGAATCGTCCATCTCACGCGCACGCTTGTCACTGACCCAAGCGTGAGCGCCTCTTCGTCCCGAGTACACCCACATGATGTGCTGAAAGCCAAAGTCCTCTCTCAATGCAGTGTCAACGACCTTGATAGCCATGACAATGAACTGCCAGCATTTGATGCAAATCTTCGCTCCTTGGCAGCACGTTCGGATGGAGTCGTAATCTGTCATGTCGATATCAAACACCAGCTCCTTCATCACGGGCTTGAAAGCGGAAGCTTTCTTCAACGTCTTGCGGTCCTTCGGATTTATCGAGTACTGTGGTCCTATTTCGAAACGTTCGGGCGCCATCTGTACGCACTGTTTCCGTAACAAGTCGGCAGTTGGAAACGACAAATACCGGATGACTTTGTTGTCAGGCAACCAGAAAGAGAACTCGCGATTCTGGAAGTCTGGCTGTGGCGTTGCGGAATGATTCAGCCATTGAAATAGCTGACGAAAGGGACACAACCGTTGATAGAATTGACGGAGTATCTCTGGGGAGGAAAACTTGGCCGATGGTGCTGATTGCGGCTTCGGTTGTGAGCTGTCGGCCAGGTGAGTTGCAGCGCTCGAGGAGAACTCGTCGTCGTCGTCATCATCATCGTCAAACATGTCGTCGAGGCCCTTTGTAGTGGATTTCTCACGTTCCGTAGGCGAGTCGTCCATGGCAATGTCTTGGGACTCGCTCATGTGGTCCTGGGAGGCTGCATCTGGGAGAACAGTGTCTTCCTGGCTTCTGCTCAAGTCTTGTGCGGACGATACTGCATGAGGCATTGCCGGTATGGTGTTATGATTTAATTGGGTATGGTGTGTGGGACGGAAGTGAAGTTGGAGTTGTCGACAAATCGCGGAGAGAAGTGCCTGCCTGCTTACGCGACGCGTTTTCGCGTCTTCGGAACTCTCGGCCGCCTAGGGTCTAACCCTATCCCAACGTCTTGTCTTCTCGGACTCTTCCTCCCAACCTCCAACAAACCATGTGAGCATCAGAGAGTGGCCATTTTCTATCATTGTTGCCAGCTGGGCAAGGGCGGGGGCGATGACGGCGAAAAGGGAGTGGGTTGACGGCGACGGCTACATCTCCGACGATTCGAGCTTTTGTGGTACGTCTGTCAATATCACAACCCGCGTCCGCCATGTCTTCTAATAGACTTGCCCAGGAGACGAGGATACGAAGTCACAGTATGAGAACCTTCAGAACAGATGCTTGGGATACCATCCTCCCGTCGATGTTCCGCCATACAAAAGACTCAAGCAGCTCGAACCTAAATACGACACTGCCATCCACGAAGGGCAACCTGCCGTGAAATGTGAGCACAATACCGGCYATGATGTCTTGAGCTTCTTGAAGAACCGTCCACAGCTCGCCAATCTGGACAAGGCCCACGCCAGGTCTGTCGAGCCCAAGAAGCTTGAGAAGCCTCGCACGATGAATGGCAAAGAAGCCATAGATCTCGTCAAAGTCAATCGTTTCAAGGATCATCCAGCTGCCTGGCAACAGAGCGAAAGTGTCGAGGATTTTCTGCGCCGACTTCCCGTCCAAGACCCCGCCACTGCTCGAGTTGGTCCTTGGCTCTGGATCGGCAGTCCTACTGTCCCATACGCTCAATCATAGCGAAAGCCTGAAGACACTGACACCTTTGTTGATGCTGGTCATGAGTTGCTGCAAGCTTTCGAGATTCAGCGAGGCAATATCGAAGGCAACAATCCAGGCAAAGTTGCTGCCACTATAACAAGAAAGCTGGCGCCTTGTCGCGATCAACTCGAGAGCGATCTCTTATCACTTGCAGTGAAGATGGGAATGACGAGCGGCAAATGGATGCTGTTCTCGAATCCATCTGATCTAGCTCGCGTTTGGCGAATCGTTGCTACTGCGACTGCAGATGGCAAGCTTGGCCCTGTCTCAAAGGTTGGTACCCTGGGTCCTGCCGAGCCGAGCACACTCGTCTGCATATACACTTACGACTTCAGTGACTTCGAAGACGTTCGTCGCGTTCTTCAAGAGATTGTTGACCTTGGGCTTTGTCACGCCGATGGCAAGCCGCTGTACTACAAGTGCGATGCATACACCCACTTGGCCATGTCGTCTGGCAATCCATACAAGCTAAGAGCCAGTCTGTATTCGAGTAAGGAGATCTTGCACAATGATGTGAAAGCGCTGGAGGGTGGTCCAGTAGCGAGAATGAAGAAACCCACCGACAAGAAGATGACCGACTTCTTCCAGATGTTCGCAGGCGATGGCGCTTTGTAGATTCATGCGGCCCTAAATGTGTGGCTTTGGTCTGGAGCAGCTGACGGTGTTCTACGCACGACTGTTTTTACCAATCAATATGTTGAGTCATTAGCTTGTCACTGGTGGAAAGTGGCTGAGACAAATGCAGAACCGGTTTACATTTCACAGCCACAGACGAGAACGAAGCGGACCAAAATTCGTCGTAGGCCAACGAGCCATCCCGAGGGCAGGGGAAACTGGGGTTTAGTTGAATCTTCAGGCACATACGAAAGACTAACAGCCATTTGTGAAAGCACCTTGCTCAGTGATGATTCAATTGGCCACGTCCAGCATCTGACCACGTTGAGAGGTCTCCCCTCTTTACATTAGATGCAACTGCGGTCGACTGCATCGTCACAAACGAAATCGGTCTGTTCGACCTAYTGAAGAATACAACTGAGCGGAAGGTTGGTACCACATACAGAATCCTACCACTCGGGAAGGTCTGCCAGCTCTTTCACTGCAAGTGCGGTCCATTGCGTCGTCTCAGTTGCGAGATCGAGATGAGCGGTAAGCTTGTATGATTCGTATAGCGGCGGAGACCTTCGGCTGAGGGTCCATGGCTGTAGGATCCGTACAGCGATGGAAACCTTCGAGAATAGTCACATGCTCATATGCAGTTTGTACTCACAGCCGTGCAGAGTTCACCAGCGCTCCGCGAACGTTGGTATGAGCACGCTTGTGACAATACAACCACAGTAGCTTCATCGGCGTTGTCCTGACTCCAAAGGCCTCGTTCGAAGCTCTCGGGAACGCACTAGATGAACTGTGAAGTTGAAGATCTTAGGTTGAGTTTCTGCAGATACAACACGTCTAACCCTATAGACTATAGTAGCCTTAAAGCGATCGATAGCTTACCCTCGCGGTGCGATTTCGCGCACCACTAGCGCCAGATAACGGCATTCTTTTAAGGTCTTCACGGTCTCCACGGTCTTCAAGATATGCAACGGAGTTCCGTAACCTGCACCTGCGCATCTCTGATAGCGTGTCTCTGGAGTATGAGATTGACTTAATGGGGATACATCCGAAGGACTGAAGGAGAATTTGACTCACAGCATCAATATTATTTGAGAGTCGCTTTCATTCAGGCCTGACCTGCATAAACTCTGTCGATCACATGTGTCGAAGAGATGTTGCAGATCGCAGGACATAGGTTCTCCAGACTCCTGGAGTCCGCTCCGGGGAGGGGTACCAATCATCGATCATTCTACAGATCCCGCGGACGCAGCAGGCTACCAAACTTAAATTGCATGCCACAGCTCTCTCTACGGCATAGTTGCAGCCGATCAAACAGGACGCTGGCTTCGAAGTATACTTATGTAGCGAGTGGATGACGGCGGCGTAAGGAACCCTTTCCGCCGATCGGGTGACGACCCAAAGAAGCGAAGAATCATACCTAGATAGACGATTTCAGCAACGTGAGGTCGAGAGGGGCGGGAACCGTTAACGCTAATGTTGAGAATGTTCAAAGGCGTGCCGTGCCCTACTTGCCAGACTACGCACTAGACGATCTGCATCGTGGGTGTGACTCTCGCACCATGCGACCCCATGGCAAGCTAAGCCGTCAACGCTATGTAGTATTAGGGACATTTTTCTATCCGCGCGAAGAGGGGTACTTGGCTGCTGGCGGTGCTTCTGCTGATCACGGTAGAGGTCAAGTGTGCCGACGGTAATCACGGGAAGCGAGAGTCGAGACTTACAGTACATTGAATCTTCGGTATCGGCCGCCGAGTGATCCGGCCGACTGTTGTCTGCGGCGCACAAAGCGGGTGTCGCAGCCTGGAGAACGACATTAATGGCGGATAAGGATCTATCGCATCGAGACTGCAGTCGTGCAGTCGAGACTGTTGACGTACATGTGCCAACGTTGTCGAGATAAATTCGGCCTTGCGTCCTAGGCTGCAGGTGGTCAATCGCCATACCGTACCGATCGAGGAAGCAGCGTTTCCACGGTTTGCCATTAATGGCTGAGCGGCGTTAATACATCGGTGTTTGGCTGAGTTCGATTCTCTTATTGGCGAAATATCCGTTAATGGCGTGCAATTTTGGCTCCTGGCAGCCAAAGAAATCGATCCCGCCAATAGAGGAGCTACCTCGTCCGGTTGTGCTGAGCAGTTTATGCAGCTAACAATGGCGTGCATGTTGCATCAGCGTCCGATCTGGTGGAGATAAGTCTGGTCTATGTGGGGCCCAATGCAGTGGTTCGCTCGCACTGTGGTAGGTCACTATGTGCCATGATACCACGTGCGTAGGACAGTTCAGTTCCCCTGCCAACAGCTACGATTGGAAACCAGTCCTCGATGCAGCAAATGAACGTTTCGATGCTCTTGTCTGCCCCAGCATTGATCACCGTATTCGGATTGTAAGACCATATGTATAGCCTCGAGGAAGCCTAGCCTCCAACGAGCACCGGATGCAGGGCGATAGCTTTCGAAGCTACTACTACGTTTAGGGTAAAAGCTAAGAGCACGATGCCTGTCGCTGCCGAATCCTTAACGCGGAACCGGAAAGGGCGGGATTGTGTGCGTCGACGCGGAATCCGTTCATCCTGTGATTTCTGTCAAAGCCGGCGGCACTTGGTCGGCTGTGACATGTCGTTGCCATTCGTCGTAAGATGAGAGAGCCACAACGAATCTCCCAAATCCGCAAAGCATAACTTGATGAGATTTGGATAGCGTCGTCGAATTGACATCGTTAACAGAATGGCTTGCTGCGGAGGCGGTGTGCATAGGTACCCGCTGCGCTCGTGTAAATCGAACTGCGCCTTCTAATGCGAGATGAGCAGCGCTTGCCATATGGGTCTGTATCGCGTGGTCTGGAGATCTTCAATCTTCAGATGATGAACCACATGTTCAAGACATCATGCGGACCACGCCCACATGGAGATTTTCCGTGAACGTGTCGAGAAGGAATGATTCCCTGTTCGCTACCAGCTTGGCAGATTCAGTGCCGCGCGAGGGTGGCGCCGGGTGGCATGGGAGCGATAGATGCTTCTCCTGTGCATGCRATCGAGGGGATGAGCGGTAGGCTTGCAGTAGAGACGGGATGTGCCCTAACTGGTGGAGATCCCTCTTGCCAGGGTCCCTCCAGGGCTCAGGTCTTCTCTTTTCCACTAGAGCCGAACGGTAAGGTAGCTTCCGATGCTAGGTGGTTGCCTCTTTCGTCCCACAACATGCTAGGAGGAATGAAGCTGGAAGGCGAAAGTTCCAATGGCTCCTCGCCGCTTGTTTGCCTGGATGCTCGGGCAAATGTAGCCGTGATGTGGGATCTTCCACTAGGTAGGTGGTTCTTTTCATCAAAACCTCAATGCCGTGCTCGCTTAGCAAAAGGATATTCACCTCACTCTTCTGATACGGTATCCCCGGTGTGGAGTGCGAAGTACATCATGGCCCCACTGGTGTCGCCGCTGGCACAGAGCGAGTCGAAGCTCAAGTTATTCCAGCGGCTAGGTCTTGATCCCAAAGATCGCGTTCACAAGCGCGTGTATGCTCTCATGAAGGTCCGTAGCTCTATGAAGGGATGTTGCATGGGATTCGCTTGAGCTGACCATGTCGTTCAGCTGGAGGCTGCTGGTGCTCGGAAAAGGCTGCTGGAGAGCCAAGAACATAGCACTGCGCAGATTCACGAGGCAGCATGGCGGCGAGAAGTTCTGCGCATCTATGACGAGGCCTGCGTCGAGACGAAAGCGGTATATCGTTTTGGCCACGACACCGAGAATAGCATGGAGCCGGATAATTGGATCATTCGGTGGCTCTTGTGGCAGTGAGTACACCATGTCAGTCAGGAACGAAGAGAAGTTTAAGCTTACCACTTCTTGAAACTACCTAGTGTTTTCAGATACAGGGATCACAGGAACAAGGGTCGCGCGACGAGCACGTCAGCAGCTTCTAGCCACAGCTCGAGCTATGGCGACGACAATCACGACAGCGATATCACTACCAATGGTGCGAGAGTTGAGAATCAGGAAGAAGGGACGCATCCCAAGTCGACCACGAGCGCAGCTCCAAACCACTCCTCGCAGTACTGGGATCCCGTTCGCGAACGATGGCAACGTTGAAGAGCTGGACGAGTCCTAAGAAGTGCCAGGAAGGAATAATCCAGGAATGTGACCTGGTTTCGGCCAGTTTGTGACGCTGGCAGCCTTTGCTACATTCCAGAGATGGAAATGTTCTGCGGAAAGATCGGAGACGAGGTCCATATGCAACGCGCTTTCGCATTGTCACGCGGCAAAACCGAGTGCCATTGAGGGGGGCTGTTCACAAAGCGTCAGCCCCCGCCTTCCTGGTTGCTGCTGTGCAGCAGGTTCATATGGTGCGTATCGATGTCTGCAACTCGATACAGCATTGACACGCTGGCTTGGACCAGGAGCAGATCTTGAAGCAGTGGATCGCTCGGAGCCGCTCACCACTGAACGAGATGGCGAAGGCAGGCCTTTGTCTCGACTAACAAGGCGAAAAGCTTTATAGTTGCTTTCCTCAAGCTGCAGTGGTAGCAAGCGTTGCCCGCCATATGGATGTCGCTGCTGGGTAGCGGCCAATTGGGAGTGCCGACGATCGTAACCAACTACATGGAGCGACTGATAGCAGAAGATAACAAACCACGACTTTGGCAGGCCGAGCAACTATGCTCCCTAGGGTTTGATCACTGTCTAGAATTAAAGACACCCGTCGCTGCCAAACGAATGTATGTCAGGGCCTCACTTGCGCCGTCTACCAACTACATGGCGGTGGCATGACATTCATGGCCCATTATTGCGCCTCGCCTTTCCTATCCGCGCCGTCTACAGCCGCAACTGACTGTCACCCGTCTCCGTATCTGGAGCCGCCATTGTCGAGCGGTATCGTGGGTGGTGCGGTGTTGATGGGGTAGTGGTGAAGTCGTGGCGGTTGAGTGTACGACAATTCAGATGCCGGAGTGCAGGAACAAGAGCCTGCATCTTGCTCGTTCCTTAACAACAACATAGTAAGTCGCGAGGCACCTTCCACGTCTACACTCGTCGTAGGTACCCAACTCACATCCCTCGACGCACCATAGGTATCTGTTCTTTTACTCCTCAGCGGGGTAATCCCCCTTTTCCGTGTCCCATCCTCCGCCCGATATCCCTCTCGCAGCCTTGGCGATCCGCGCTCATGGAGCCTCTTCTCCCAGATTACTTTGCGACGCTTCGCGGGCGTTTCACGGAGACACACCTACTTGTTATGTGTTCGCAGTGTGTCCATCGACAACGGCGGTCATGACTGCCGACACACTTCAAAGCTAGAAGTAGCACGGACGTCTTCCCCAGAACCATAGCGAGGAGCGTCGTGGGTGGCGTCTACCTCCTCCAATTGCAAACTCTCGTCTAAGACGGCAACCAGCGGCTGTCCTTCAAAACAGCCAGCTCTGCGAAGCTTAACGAGAAAAGGCTCGACGGGTACGGACCGCTCTATAACGGTGTTCGTATGGGGTAACGAATGTTCCTTTATTATGCAAGGAAGCTTCTATCCAACACTTCCGTATAGTGTTCCCGGAAATCTATCCGCCGCAGTGCGAACGGGCTAGACTTTTATCATTTCCATGTTTGGTTGCGATGTGAAGGATTGGCCATGCCAGTACACAATTCTGTCGAGACACCAGTCGTTATTGCAACACTTTAGTCATATATGTGTAGATGACATAATTGTTCGCGTAGTCGATAATGTACTCGATGTGCTTGCAAGCGCGCTAGTCTCGTGAGCTCCTTGTTAGGAAGCGCAACAACAGTGCTAAACGCTTGCCTTGTAGAATGAGCAAGTGTGGTACTGCTATGTCAGAGAAGCCATGCACAGCGAGGTCGTAAAACGAAGAAGTTGCCGTTAGACGCTAAGTTCACTGAAACCAATGTATGATGTATCGAACCGTGGGACGCCATGCACTCACTCCCTTTTAGTGCTCGTTCTGCGGGAATTCCTCGAGCGTCAGGGTTGGATTAGGGTTGGGGTAACGAGCGCTTCCATTTGTTAATCTAGATGTTCAGAGGGATTATGTCGTATCCTCAAGGAATAATCGAATCGGTCAGAAAATGAGACGTCGTCCGGTAGCTGATTTGGTTGGACCGTAGGAAGGAGCTGGGCTTACAGCAGATTCATCCACTTACTGAAGCTCTTGTGACGCATTCCATATCCCTTTTCGTAGACACGCCAACAACCATTCCCTTCTGATATGCTCACACGTATCGAACAGCTCAGATGTACACAATCAGATACAGTGTATTTTTGACTATTCAAGTGTGCAGTCTTCAAGATCTACCCGCCATGCGGCCTCCTGAAATCTCTCGCAGCTTCCATATCTTCCAATGCAAAGATCAGAGCAGCGGGTTGAGTCTCCGCATGCAAAGCAACCGTGACGCCTCGCTGTCCTTTCATGAGCCCGCAAGCTCCCTGGAACGCCTGTGAAACCAACAAGTTCCCTAGATCCATTGACTGCTTCGCAAAAATCCCGCCTGTGTTTGCTTGATTCGTTGGCCAGTAGTCAGGATGAGATGTCGTTCCATTATTTGGGTTCATCCGCGGGCACAGCCTCCGGTTTCAGACTCACGAAGAAGTCCCTCGTCAACTCGAAACTCAGCCAGCTGCTCGCCATGCTCGGCGCGACCTTCAGAAGATTGGGTACTATCCCTTTATATAGTCCTCTGAAACCTTCCTGAGCTGCGATCGTTCGAACAGCGTCGAATATCGATTTGTATTGGTATCCCATGCCAGACATGGTGTTGATCTGGAATCGACGGCGAAGCACATCGCTATGGTGACTAGTCAGTAGGGCGATAAGCAATGGGTCGGCCAAGCCAACTTACAAAGGATAAGTGATGGTCTGCGCCACAGCACCTGAAATGGCACCAGCGCTTAGTTTTCCAACTGCAGAAGGATTCTGTTGTCCTTCTGGGGTGAAATATTGTCGTACGCTCTCGTAGACCATGAAGTTCAGACCGACATAGGGAGCCACGCCAGCAACCGTGGGTACTATCCCACGATATAGAGCTGTGAAACCGCCTTCGGTGGTGTACATGGTCTTCAATGTTGACCACATTCCGGGCAACTTCTTGGCCGCCTGTTCTCTGGTGAGACTCTCAAATGATGCAGATTGGATCGAAAGTCGCGTGCGGACGATGTCGAGAGGGTAGGTGACGGTCACGGATGTTATGCCCGCGACAGCACCGCAGCACAGTCTGCGGAGAGGGGAGAGAGGTTCGCCAGGTGTGGCCTCGAAGTACTATCATCATGCTGTCAGCGGATTGATTCGTTGACCGATGAACCTACAATATATTCTTACCGGTTTGTAGAGGTTGTAACTACCAAACTGCACCGCGCTGTAGGGCACAATCCGTATGCAATTGACGCCATTGCCCGCCATCATGCCTTTGAACCCCTCTTCTCTCCAAATCTTGCCCAAAGCTTTTGGTATGCTCATTTTGTATTCTGTACGTCCACTCGACTGTACTTGTAGCAGGATTTTTAGACGCTCCAGAGGTGATACGACTGTGCGAGAGACGGCCCCAGCCACGCCGCCGGCCACGAAGGATGCCACCACGGCTTGCGAGATCCAGGATCGCAAGCCGAGGAATCGAACCTCTGTGGCATCTGTGGAGGACTCGGCCATGTTGTGTTATGTGCGGAAGATATCGGATATCGGATGCTGCGAGTAGCAATGTGCTGTGCTCATGATACTTTGGTCAAACCGCATGCAAAGTCACATCGGAGGCACCACAATGCGCGCCAATGTCGTAGTCTCTCCAAGGCTCGCCAGCGTCAAGTCAATGGGATGCGGTGAGGACGAGCAAACTCGCTTTCCCGAGGATATCGATCGGTCAATGTCGAAGGAGCAATTTTTGCTGCGCGGGTCGTCGAAGGGAACCAGGTCACGTTTGGTTGGAGGATTGATAGCAGGCTACGTCGTACGGAATAGTAGCGACAGTGGCCCCTTTGCGGCGCAATGTTCGCGGTTCAATGCTCGAGTCCTGACTCCTTCAGAAGTTCAAGGGCACGCACGAGTCGAGGTCGAAGGAAGCTGAATGCAGCTAGTCCCTCATCGGACGTCAGGCACCGCCGATCACTTGTGAAGAGAAGTTCAGGGCSGAGGGGAAAACCCGTTTGCTGGCGAGCAGCCTTCAATAATCGTCTCCTCCTTTGGTTCGTAGTTCTACCCTCACTTGTATGGTTCGATGTGAGCTGGAGAGCGGTGTGAAACATCGATATACATATTCATTGAGTCTCTGCTCCCAGTTTATCTCCAACATTGCAAGACGCAGCACAACTATCGCTGATACGACTTGCGTGCTTAGTCTTATTACGGTCCTTGCGGTAGAAAGGCCTTTGGGAGTTGTGTTGGTATTGGATTGATTGWTGGTGAAAATATCCCCTTTGCACCGGTTTGGATACATGTCAGCTATGCCCAGGTGTTGATGAGTCTATGCTACCAATCAATCTCCAACATTGCAAGACGCAACACAACCAGCGCTACTACGACTCGCGTGCTCAGTCTCATTACGGTCGTTACGGTAGAAAGGCCTTTGGGAGTTGTGTTAGTATTGGATTGAGTGTTAGTGAAAATATCCCCTTTACACAGGTTTAGATACATGTCAGCTATGCCCAGGTGTTGATGCTTGTTCCTCGATTGACCTGCCAAGGTGTAGGTGGAAAAATGCATCAAACCAACCAAGACAGTGCCCCTACGACCGGATGGTAGCTTTCACTACACTCTGTCTTGGGTTATTAATGCGAACGGCCACAGCTCCGTCTTATGCCCTGCCTATAGTCCTTCACGTTCAATTGCCCTCCGCAGGCTTAGCCGTCCACMACGTGTAGATTGCCTGCCCGTAGAAGTACGTCTCAAATGTCCCCCAGATGCAAATGAGGACGTAGAAAAGCGTCTTCATATTCTTGCTAAGACCCAGGCCGTCGAGGCTGAACTTGGGAAGCTCGGGGTTCTGGTGGATCGCTTGTTTTGGCTTGGGCGGCTCGGTAGTAGCGGTAGTAGTAGTAGTTTTGCGCTTACTGAGCAGCGCGTGGCGCGTCGTGAACGGCCTGCGCACCGCTAATTGAAGTGCTAGTCGGGGGAAGAGGCGGGCTTGCTGGGAGCGTGCTAGCGCTACGCAATGGCGCGCGGCGACGGAGCTTGTCGCGCTCATAGTCGGTGTTTGAGGTGGTAGTAGAGGTAGAGGTCGAGGTCGAGGCCGAGGTCAAATTCGTCGCAGACATTACAAGACAACATCCTATATCCGTGGCCTTACTAGCTAGTAGTCACGCGCACTCGCCAGAGCCTGAAGCGAGGACAGTGACGAAGGAGTGGCACGGATACGGTTCGGACCCATCGAAAGAGGATCCTGGCATTCTGCCACTACCCCAACCCTAACCCTAGCACAAGCACTAAAGGCCTGAGAAGAAGGCAGGTCCAAACATCGATATCGCGTAGACATGAAAGCAGCGCAGTGTATCTTCTCCTGCCCACGGTACAAGCTTGATGGTCTCGTTACACCAACCGTCTCATTCATCTTCGTCATTCCCACGACTTCTTAGCAGCTCGTCGAAGAGGTCTAAAGCAAAAGCTCGTACACGAATCCTCTGCCCTGATGCGGAATCCTCCATTCCAGCTCCTCCAGCTCCTCCTGTCCGACTCTTTCCCTCGGCTTGAACAATTCACCGCCCTCAGGACTCAACTACTTCTTAGGCCTCTTGGATGGCCTGTCGCTCGACATCTGCCGTGAAGCCGGTAATGAGCAGATCATTTGAAAGCCATCCTCGTTACCTCCTGCGTGACTTAAGGGCCTTGTCATGAGAAGCAGATGTTTGACGTTGGTTGGTGTTGGTTTCTTTCAAGACTTTCCTCGCCGCTGTCTTCTTCGTAGCGGGCTTCTTCGCGACTTTCTTGACCGCAGCATCCTTCTTCTCGGCTGTCTTGTTTGTAGCGGGCTTCTTCTCAGCGGATTTCTTCGCGACCTTCTTAACCGCAGCAGCCTTTTCCGCAGCAGAAACCTTCGTAACTCTCCTACTAGCGACCTTCTTCACATTTCCCTTCTCCTCCGCAGCACCATGAGCAGCAACAGTCTCCTGCTTCTTAACCTTCTTCTTCTTCTTCTTCTTCACCGCGTCCCCGATCTTTGAAGGCTGCCGCTTAACAACCCTTCCGGCTTCTACCTTCACTTTCTCCGTCTCGATATCTTTGATTCTTGAACTGCGCCTGGCTTGAGCGCTCTTAGGCTGAGATGATGGATCCCTGAAAATACCACCACATTTACCAATCCTGTTACGTACGCCGGTCGGTTGCGAGAGCTCATGCTGGCCATCATTGGTGTTTGTCATATTGTGCGTAGATGAGCGTTCGGTTGGAGGCATGGCATATCGCGCCATCTTAGTAGTCGGGTGCGAATGGGTTATCCGCTCAAGTGCTTGCTCGCGTCGGTGAATGTATCGAACGAGTGGAATCTTCTTGGTCGACTCCACGCATATCAAAGTCAGAGCGAGATATCACAACGAGACATGGATCAACAGACGCGCATCCTTTTAGTGTCTGTCTACTCTCTCGAATGCTTGTTTACATCAGTCGCAAGAATGCAGCTCGAGCTAACGACTGCATTCCTCGGCCACAGCATGAGATTCTCTCAAAGCAACCCACCTCTACAAACGCCGCGGAATTGCCATCCGTGCATGCATGAAATTATTGTTCTCGTGGTACATGTTCGCGTCGCGTGTCGTTATTCCATGCCAGAGGCAATCAAGCGCCGTTGACGCCGTTGACCTTCAGCATGCGCTGGTTCATGAAAGCTGCAATCCACGTCAGTATGCATATTCCAATTGATCACATTGCAACGATAGACTTACCAAAGAAGCTGACGGGACTAGCAGAGATGCCCATCGTGTAGATGAAGCGACTCGCCAGGAAGCTACCGAAGATGGCGCGGAGGTAGTTGTCGGGGACCTATCATCATGTCAGCAATCGTTGTCTTGTCAAAATGGTGTCATATGCGACTTACGCGTTCAAGGATCTTATCCAGACCGATCTTCTGCAGAAGCAGCTGAGGCAAAGCATCACTCAAGACGCTCCGCCGCAACTTCTCGTTCTCCCAGAGCGCGGTACCCTGCAACTCCTCGTCCATGTTGGTAATGGCAACGCTGAGCTGATCGCTGAGGATGCTCCGTGGAACGCCCGTAAGCTCGTGTTCGCGCCAGATGGCATCAAATTCCAGTCTCGCGTTCTCCTGAATCTTGGCCTGCACTTGGCGGACGTAGTCCTGGTAGAAGGCAGGAACGGTGCCGTCGATGTGGACGCACATGTTCTCGAGGAAGCTCTCGTCGTCAAAGGAAAGCGACGCGAGGACCTCGAGGGAGGAAGAGGTCACGCCGCCCTTGTTGGCGGATGCGTCCTTGAAGATGATGCAGCCGGCCTTCTCAAGACGGACCTTGGCCTCCTGCGTGATGAAGAGGTTGGCACCTTCGACAATGTAGGGCACGGTGCACTTGCCCTCTGAAATGAGCTTGCTGGCACTCGTGAAGTCGATCGACTCAGGACGACCGCCGCACGGAACGAACATGTCGATCTTCTCGGTGGTTCTCAGGTGGAAGGTGTTGCGGAAGGCGGTACCGTTGTTAACGACCTCGCCCGAAGGAAGAGTGATGCCGGCATCCTCGACCAACACGCGGTAGCCTTGAGGGGAGAGGGTGGAGATGTCGTAGTGGGCAATCATCTTGCGTGCCTTGGCCAGACGGAGCAGCTCGCCGCGGTCGAGGCCGTTGGGGTCAACGAGAACACCAGAGCCATCAACGATGGCGCAGTACTTCTCATTGCCGAGTAGGATCTCATTAGAGCCGAGGTCACCGTCGGGACCACCAGTCTGCAGCTTCAGCACCTCGCGCTCGTCGAGGTTGAGCTTTCGGTAGATACCCTTGACGTACTCACGCACACTAAGCGTGGTCATGCCGTATGCATCGTGTGGAATGCCTCCTAGCTTGGGCGACTTGCCGGTGAAGAATGACTTCCACCAAGGCGCGCCTCTAGCCCTCGCGTGCTCGGTCGCCCAGTTGACGAGGTCGGCAGTGTTCTCATCGGGGCCCATGAAGAGAATCTCCGGCTTGCCATGCAGGTCMACGATGGGGTCCTTGATACCAGGGCTGGTCGGCGGAAGCAACAGATCCATGATGCTGTCAATGTACTTCTCGAACGCGACCTCAGTCTTGTCTTGGTGAGCTACATCGAGCAAAACGACACCCTTGCTACCACCTTCGGGGATATCCTTGTTCTTGCGCTGCTGGGTGTTGGCCAGGTTGTAGTTCTCATCAAACAACGACCGCGCGTTGATGGCATATGCTTCGCTGCTCCTAGATTTGACGATGCGGATACCACCACGCGCAATGTCTCTGAAGCGCAAGTGGAAACCTCTGAACTCGGAGCTGATGACCAGGAACATGCCGTAGAGAGGCTGTGGGTACTCCTCCACGGGCAGGAACGATGGGTCCAAGCGGAAGCTGAGAGCGACCTTGGTAGGAGTGTAGAAGTTGGTCTTCAGGACGGCATTGTTGAAGACGCGGAAGGCCGTCATGACAATCTCGTGGTGCTCATTGATGGCAGTCTTGGAGATGAGGGTCTTGAGCTCTTCATCGGTGAGGGTGGGCTCGATCTTCATCCGCAAGTACGACAGGGTTGGGAGGAAGTCATCCTGCTCACCACGAGTCTGCACGTAGTGCGCGCTTGCAAAGGCGAGGTAGAGCGAACGGACGAGATTGGGATAAGTGTTAATAATCTCGAGAATGTAGTCGGCCGTGAATGTCTCAGTACGCAATCGCTTCTTGAGCTTGTTAAGCAATTCGGCGTGCACACTGTTGTTGGGGTCCAAGACCGACTTGAGGGTGTTGTACTCGTTGCCCAAGCGGTTGAGGAAGTGCTGCACGAAGACCCAGACGCAGTGAGCGTATGTGGACTCCTGCAGGGAGAGACGACCGCTGTTGAAGTGAGGCTGCAGCTGGTTCTGGGGGATGCAGTAGAGCAGGGAGACCTCCTTCATGATCTGGTGAATGCTTGCCTCGATGGGAGGGTGCTTCGCAGCGATGTTAACGCTAGGCGCAGGCAGGAGGTAGATGGACATGATGGTGATGCCGTTGCTGAACTGCTCCACATACTTCCTCGACGAGGTCAATCCGTAGTAGTGATAGAGGTGAGAGAGGGCGGCGAACATGCCCAAAGCAGAACCCTGCTTGAAGCCGACGACGAGGCGCTTCTCACGGCTGCCGACCACGTCGTACATGTCAATGACCGGGCCAGTTCTAAGAACCACGGCATCCATGATACTCTGGTAGACCTCGAGGGTGTTGGGGGTTGCCTTTTGAAGAAAACGCTCGTCACCCAGCTCAGAGATGTTGGTTTCCTTCGGATGAGGCGTCTTGTTCTTGAAGCTCGACTGGTACACGAAGTAGCAGCGAAGCGTCTGTTCACTGCCGCCAGGGATCTTGCTTGGAGAGCGGAAGGACTCGACGCGGTAGCTGTCTAGACCTCGATTATTGCTGTCAAGGTACTTGTTTTCGAGTCTCTGCTCGAACTGTGAGCCGTCGACTTGGCTGATCCCGGGCGTGCTGGTGTCAATGTAGACAGCGTGGTCGATGGCCTCCTTGTCGAGGCGGATCTCGAGCTTCTTGTCGTCCCTCGCATAGGCGGCGACCTTGGCCGCGTAGAGCGAGTGGATATGGCTCACGATGGCGTCGGCAGCCTCTGTGCTAAAGTACATGTCGTCGATGCCAAGTTCGTTGTAGAACCACTTTGTCTCTGCGTCCACCAAATCGACCGGAATGAAGCCCCGCGCTTCAACCGCGTCCATGACTTGCTCCATCTGCTGTGCCTTGCCCTGGAACTCGGGGGCAATGTAGCCCGAGCCCTTCTCTTGCAGGATGCGGTGAGGAATGCCGCCGGGCACGCCCAAGTGAGTGGGCTGCGGTGACGGCTGTCCGTTGCGTTCCGGTGTGGTGATGTCGAGGTGCTTGTTGGTGGCATGCATGCTGCCATTGGTGCCGTTGGGGCCGTGTGTGCCATTGACGGCGTGGGATGGTAGGGCCGCCATGTTGGACGGGTGTGTGATGTTGGTGTTTGGGGGAGGAAAAGGAAAAGTTCAAGAAGAGAAGCTGCGAACAAGTCAGAAGCGTTCTGTTCCTGCATCATCATCACCACCATTCGTAACTTAGCAGCCATTGATAAGCCGCACCAATCCGATGACTGCACTCCGGCACTCTCCCCTTGCACAGTGCAGCTCCTCCTGTTTCTTCTCAAACACCAACAGTTACAACTCACCTCTTATCGTCGTGATCTGACTGGCGTGTCGACTCGAACGCAGGCTCTTGGTTTAATGTGTGTTTCATCGATGGATGTGGAAAGATTGAAGGACCATGAACTATCACGCGCGCGCGACGCATCTTATAAACGAACGAACGAACGAAGGGCCCTTTCGGCACGTGCAGCGACATACATACGTACACGCTGCACCTTCTCAAGTAATTGTTGAGTAAGTAAAATCTCACGCGCAGGAAGACRCAACGCCCGTTGCTAGCCGCCCTCCGCGCGACGGACACGTACCTGACGCTAAATACATCTTCCCCGGATCGACGCCTCGTGGCCATTTGGCTGCAGGAGACCGTCAGAACCAATCGCGACGCCTCGCAGATGGTCACACTGCAGCAGAGTCTTCACACAAATTTGTTGCTCCTTCGTGGCTGTTGCAAGTCTCTGCAACGTTCCACTTTCACCTGACCGACTTTCAGCGCTAGTGCAGACAACATGCTGGTCCGGGATGCGGTCACGAGTGAGGAACAGCATCTAACGGCAAATTCTCTCGTAATAGTCGTTCTTGGGACCGTCAAATGGTGGTCATTCAGAAATCTCCGTTGCGGGGGGGCTGCTACTGTACATGCTCGTGCGGAGACCAGCACATCAGGTCTGCGGACAATTGATGAATCCCTGAACGATTCCTATGAAAGGGTTCCCCTGTCGTTGGAAAGTCATTGAGAATGGCAAAGCGGAGCGCGCGCCGGTCCTTGGGAGGGGGCGGCGATTGAAATCCACCCACTTGCTCCCTTCATCGTCTTTGCATAACATCAACGAGCGGAATACTAAAGCGACAGCCGGCAACCCGTGCTGATGTTCGCCTCATCTGTCTCCATGGCCTTCGACAGCTTCGTCTTGGGTGATCGCGTCCGGCACCAAAGCAGCATGTGGTATGCCAACAAGTGACAGGCGACGACGTGCCGCTGCGGAAGTAAGGTATAGTACAACCCAACAACTACATTCGTGTCGAAAGAGAGGACAACGTAACAAGACACCAAGCTTGCCATCGACGCGGCCACGGGAACTGCAATATTGCTCACCATGCAATTCGATCAGAAATCCAGCCTCATCTTCTCAAATGTTTCTGTTGTCAAGGCATTTCTGGGCACACCGCGCTGGAACGCCGTTAATCTTGCCGCCTACATAAAGTCGGCGAACGGTCCCCGCAACTCAACGGCTTCAAGTTCAACGGCGAGGCTAGCCTCTCTTCCATCCCGCTGTACACACGTTGCGAGCAATGATCCAACGCGCCTTAGTGATGACTTTGAACCGTTGGGTATTGTTTTGGCGTTCCACCCTTTGCAGCGCATAAGCAGATCTTGGGGAAGCAGGAAACATGAGCAACTCCAGTCTGATTCGATCACTGAGGTCATTGCTCGATGACAAGAGGCACGTCATCTATGAGCCCAAGAAACATCTCCGCACTCCACCAGTATCTCTGTATCAGCAGCCGACGACCGTTGGATGCGGCTGAGACCCCCGACAACCAAGGTCCGCAATATGAGCGAACAAGCACCGTCTTTCGATGCTTGGAGACCGCGATCTCATGACCCGAGCCGGATCGTCTCCGTCAAATACCCCATTGGATTTGATCGCCTGTTCGGAACCTCCAAACCGTCAGCCCGACTGGGTCCGTTGCGAAGAACTGTTCGTACCTTGCAGGTAGTTCGCAGGCGGGCCGCTCCTGAGCTGCCGATGTTTCACGCACATTATCGACCAACCAAGGCTGGCGGACGGGCCAATACAGCTCTGACCTGCGTTTCCCCAGGAACGGCCTGGGCTCCAACCACGACCACGCTTGTCTCTCTTTGCTCCTACATTCAGCAAGAATCGCCAAGCATACCGCAAATGATCGTGCTAGGTGGATAGCAAAGTGAAACAATCTCATGGCGTAGCTTTACCGTCTTTCAGCAATGTTCGATCGTACGCTGTATCGGGCAGCCTCTACAGCTGGAACATGGCAGGTCTCTCGTGGGTTATGTTCGTCTGAGGAATATATAACTCCTCTCCTCCAACGCAGGAGTCAAYATCATCTCATCACATTCACATCATTCGCTTCACTCCACTCCAATCCAATCCAATCCAATCGCTCCAATCCAATCCAATCCACAACACAGCTCATCAACAAGGCTCCAGTGTTCCCCATCCATCTCAATGTCTCCCACCAAGCAGGTCGCTGGCATCGCCGCCCTCCTCACCTTGGCTGCTGCAGCACCAACTCCTCAGATCTCTGGCGGCATCTCCAACGAGATCGTGAACGTCGTCTCCAACGACGTTGATTACGATCACCACGACCACCACGACCACCACGACGATCACTACTACGAGCACTACCACAATGTCGACCCCGACCCGCTCCACCATGTCTACTACGACCACCACGACAAGCGTGATGTCGGTAAGTGAACCAAACAGTAAAAGGCCTGCGACATAGTTCAGAAATATCTCTCGAGCTACTGGACCTTGGTCGGAAATGTCTGGGCTATCGCTAACCCTCTATCCTTTGCCTCAGGCCCAAAGTTTTTCGGTGGCATCGTCAACGAGAAAACCACCGTTGTGGATACAGACATTGATGTCGACTCTGATCGCGACTACTACCTCGGCCATGGCCACGGTCACGGCTCGAAGCGCAGCCCCCAGGTGTTCGGAGGTAAGCAGTCTCATCTACTCAACTCACAAGCCATACGCTGACTTTCATACTTCGCTCCAGGCATCAACAACGAGGTGATTACTGTTAAAAATACTGACATTGACTACGACAACCACAACCACCACGACCACCATGATGACCACTACTACGAACACTACCACAACGTGGACCCCGACCCGCTCCACCATGTCTACTACGAGCACGGTCACCACGACAAGCGTGCTGCAAACGGAGGCAACGGGTTCGTTGTCCTTGATCCATTTCCCACCTTCCAAAGCTAATGCGTTTTCACACAGTATTCTCGCCGACGTGGCAGATGTAAACATCGGCTCGTAAGTGGATGAAAGGGCAGAAGGCGTGCAGGAGTAGCTCGAAGATGTCTTTCGAGCTACTCAGGCCGTGGGCCACATCGAAATTGCCTAAGAAATCGCTAATTCTTCTCTTCCAGGAACAACCAGGATGAAACCAATGCTGTCTTCTTTGACCACCACGACCACTACGACCACTACGATGACTACCACCACCACGACGACCACCACTGGAAGAGGGCCGCAAACGGTGGGAACGGAGCCCTAACTGGTACAATTGATCCCTTCCACCACTTCGCACCATTAAGAGACCATGCTAACGACTACAGATGTTCTTGATTTGAATGTAGGCCAGGGAAACCAGGATGTCAGTCACCACGCCTCTACATGGCTCCCCCAAACCTTGAAACACCCGCTTACTTTTGCTTTAGGAAACTTCTGCCACATTCATCGGCCATGGCCACCACAACAAGCGTGACCTTGGCCCCAAGATGTTCGGAGGCGTCGTCGCATCGTCTAGCAACTTTGTTGACACTGATGTTGATGTTGACTCCCACCGCGACTTCTACCATGGCCACCACGACAGACGCGACCTTGGTCCCAAGATGTTCGGAGGCGTCGTCACATCGTCCAAGAACTTTGTGGACACTGACATCGACGTTGACTCCCACCGCGACTTTTACCACGGCCACCA